AGAGTTATTACCCTGTCTTGATACTCGCTTTACCCTATACAAACCTCTGCGATATACCCCTCTTACCTTGTGTAGTAAGTTACCTATCGTTACAATATAGTAGTAGATACTCTATCTAGGTACCTAATAGAAGTGTAACAGGGTCGTCTGAGTGGAGACTTAGACACGTGACCTCGAAGGGGTTCTGTTGAGTGATGAGGGCCGTAGGCGTAGTATTAAAATACTGGTAAGGTTGAACGTCAATCAATCACTGTTGCGCAAATGTGTTGCCAAAGATATCACAAGTAATCTTCCGTTAGGAAACTGGATACAGAGAACTGTATCGTGGATTGACGATGAGGACCTATCTATGGGATACATTCTGCTTATATACATGAGTACGCTTGGCGGATTCGTTAGGTTCGTGGGACGAATCCACGAATCCGTCACGTGACCAGATCACGTGTCCATGTTGTGATCCGCTTCGTCTGCATAGAGCCTGTCCGCGTCCTCCTGTTCCCATAGGTCCTCCTCGTAGGATTCCTCGTCGCCCTCTGGCCACTCAGAATCGTCACTGTTCGGTTCATCCGTAACACTAGTTAGGTAACTATAGGCTATCCTATATAGACCTTAGTAGTATACTAGTAATAATTAACTTTATACTTACTTATAACCTTACTAATTACTCTTACTTAACCCCCTATTAGGTAATTATAAACTGTCTTACAGGCTGTTCCTAGAAACAAAGATAGCAAAGGGAAAACTACACTGCAGGCAGTCTCTAAAGTGCATGTTTTCCGGCATCCTGCTCTTCTCATTCTATGACAAGCACTGCCCTCGGATCCTTATACATATAGCTGGTGCATTCTAAGTATTTGCACGCTACAGCCTAATTAAAGGTACTCAACCTTAACTTAGTTTAGCCAAAGCATAAGTCTTTCTAATACGTTTCACACTGGCAGGACCGGCTACATAATTATCCGCGACCCAAAGCATGAGCACACATTCTTGACCAACCCCTCTCGGCAAGCAAATTGGGCTGATGTGGCCTGAGGACATAGTTCTAGTTGATCACGACGAGAACGTGATCGGCGGAAACCAGAGCCATCCAGCCAACGTTGTAGGCGTTTTTGATTTACTATGCGGTCCTACTACTTGAGATATTTAATCAGGATGTAACATCACTTCTATAGCAAGGCGCAGGCGGCGTATAAGGAGTTTGGTAGAGCCAATTTCAATAAGGATGAGGGAACTAGGTTGGCGAATGCACTTAGACTAAAATGAAAGACCACGATTTTGAGGTACCATAGCCTGTACATTGTGGGAAGCACATCTGATGAAGCTGCGCTCCTGTACTGCTGATAGACCGCTCAGCTAAAGTGCAATTGCAAGTCCAGGCAGCTACAGCCAGCGGCATTCTTAAGGTCTACGGTCATGGCGAGATTGCTACGAAGACATCAAAGATAGAAAGCGACCCGGACAGATTGTACTGGGAATTCCGGGAAGAATTTTGAACATGGGTGGTTGGCGAGTAATGGAGTTCCAAGCACCCCGGCTGCGATGAAGTCGACCGGCCTGGCTACAGATTTTGAATTCAACGAATTAATGCACTCGCTCAGTTTGATATAATTTACAATATAAGTTACGCATCGTTGGCAACGGAACCATTGTGCTACAATACAGAATTTCCTTGTTTATGGCACGGAGATGGTTGAACAACCAATGAGCTGAGGTTGGAGGCTGCGCTGCTACAATCCAGCTTTCAAAGCCGAGACCACTTCTGCTGCAACTCGTTCACCCGACTGGACCGCTTCCTCAATATACCCCAGCTTTTCGCTCGTCGTCGGGATCACGGGTAGATCAAGGTAGATCACATCGCCACCACTTTCCAAAATAGTTGCTCCAAGTCCCTCTCCTACTGCACCTCTTCCACCAGAGACCGGGACTGTCAGCTTGAAATCGTGACTGTTATTTGATTGACCATACACATGATAGTCCTCCCATATAGCCTAATGAGGTCTCTCGTATCAATCTGACTTGGTGCTGCCCAAGTCATTCTACCTGAACGAGTAGCCTTTCCTTTAGACATTGACCGACCTTGACTCAAGGCGCATACGACAAAGGTAAATAATGACCAGATTTCTTGATGTAGATGGGGTTCAATATGAAGGAAGACAAGGCTAGAGATGATTGTACAGCATTACACGGGTGACGTAACCATGCAGACGTTCCATCCAAACGTCGAAAGACTGGAAATGTAGATAGCCTTTTCACGAAATCCGGGGAAGAATCGAGCACCTACCTCAAATCTATACTGAGAACCTCGGAAGTTAGCAAACCAACAAGTGTTGCTATCTCACTACTAAATGTTAGCACAAGCTCAAGTATTTCACACGACATTATCAGGCAAGGCAGAATGTAAGCAAAGGCTATGATTGATAAAATGTACGCGTAAAGGAATGTAAAGAAGTACAGAAACAGCAAATATTAACCCAGTATCTATCGCAACCAGTTGACAAGCTCTCCTTCGTTCATCTCCGTCAAGATTCGAACGCAATAATTTACGCCGAAACACACTCGAACTTGTACTCGTTGGCGCTCCTGCGAGGATTCTCCTTGTGCAGAGCGGAATTAAGATCAAAGTGCCAGTTGAAGTCGTAGACAGTGTGTGCAGCGTCCATCTCCGCAATCACGTGTTTGTCGCCGTTGTACAAGTTGCACTTGGTGCCCTCCTTAAGGGGAGTCAGGATGACGATGCCGGTGGCACCAACATTGCCCATGTCGTTCAACCCGGCGACAAGGGTGCTGATCTCGGCCCAGCCCTTTGAAGGCGTGTTGACCGTCAATGTGGAAACGCCGCTCTTTGTGCCACCTATCGTGCCGCTATTGTTGGACAGTTCCAATGCGGTGCTAAAGTCGACGACTTGGAAGGCAATCTCCTGGTCTGCTGGCGCGACGGTCTGGCGGGTTGCAATGGTGGTTGCTGGGGCTGCAAGGGCTGCGGCGAGAAGAGAAGAGAAGACAGCGAGAGTGTACATTTTGTAGGAATTGGTGTTTGATTTTCGGGATTTTAGGTCTGAAGCAAATTCGAGATTATGAAGAAGTTTCAAGGAAATGAGACAACAAGGAAAATAAGGAAAAAGAAAACGAGAAAGAGAAGTTGAGTTGTTGTGTAGCTGTGTTTTGATGCGATTTGATGTCTGGCTGGAGTAGCAGACTGACGGTGTTTTATATTCTCTCTTTCCTGACCATGCTCACGCGAACTTCCCTTTGCGTCAGTCTGTGCAACTCGGCCTCATCGGAAATAGATTCGTACAAGAGGATTCTTCGAAGCTCCATCGTGCCTGAAGCGAACTTTACTCTATCAGCCTCATGGGCTGTTGTGCTTACGCCACGATGCTTGGATGTTGGGGCTAGTACGTATTTGTATACTAAATCACGAAATCAGCCAACCAAGGACTACATCTTTTGCCAAGACCTCTCTTTTTCCATCGCGAGTGGCTGAGGTTGCTTCATGTAAGTACTTGGCAAATCTAATTGACGAATACTTATTTTTGCTTCATCCTTGACTGTCGTGGCTTATACCTATGCGAAATTGAACAAAGTTGCTGATGAAGCTAATCAAGGTTCTAGTAACATTCATGAGCGCAAAATTCGAATTGAGGAGCACTAGGCACACTTTTTGTCGAGCTGCGCCTAGTTTGCAAGTCTGCTCGGGAGGTTAACGCGGGTTGTCTGCTACATAGCAGGACATGCCAGACTCAAGATGTCTATACGGCCAAAAAGGATAGATTCTTGACTTTTCTGCCTTTATGAGCAAGCAAAGATGGTGCTGCGCAGCGCTCGAGATCCTGTTTTGCTGAAAAGGAAGAAGACGGGTTATATAAGCACTAGTAAGGATGTTTTTCATACTAATATCATGCGTGCAGCTCGTACATTGAGTTTCCCCTTCCCTGCAGTTTTACCGAGCGCAGTACTTGTAGGATCTCATTGAATACGGGCTCCCCATGGTGTAACTGACACATCCAGTTAATTAGTTACCCTTCTCAGCGCGCGCACAAAACAGAACCCTCATTATCAACTTGCCTGGAACTGATATTTCCATATTGCTACAGGATCAGGTAATCTCCTGGAACTGGAGCTGGCAACAAACAGGCCCTCATATGTGGGTTGGAGGCGAACCTCAACTCAGAAAGATACTTGCTGAACCGAACCAAGCAATAAAGAATCGGCGAACCTTCGGCAGACTGCCATCCGCATGATCGGCCTAAAGGTTCTGAATAACAAACAAGCTCAAGACGGCCTCAATATCTTGAGAGAAGGATTATCCTTCAGGCCGGTTAGCAGGAGCGGTATTCTAACCGTAGGATGGGTTGCACCTGCAGTCTTAGGTGCAGACTTCTAGTCTGGATTAGGTGCAAAGGTATAGATCGCAAAGTGGCCATAGACCATAGGATGTCTCAATGGCGTAGGGAACAAGCGTGGTGATGAACGATCTCATTTTCAACTGGGAGCTACCTGTAGATATGTATCAGCACTTAAAGTGCAGACCAGGGTATCAGTAGTGATATAACACTGAAAGGAACAAAGGGTGTATTGCATCACCAGAGACCCCACAATTTTTCAATCACAGTTCTTGGAAAACCGCAGAAATGCCTGAAAAGTGACAGATATACGCATCATCCTCCTGATCAGGGTCCCGGCCAACATCCCTAGCATAGTAGGAGCACCTTTCAACATTGTGGGCCGAAACCTCTAGCTTTTAAAAACTTATAAGTAATTTGTAATAACTCTACTATTAAGTAACTATTAGTTACTCTATAGCCTATTACCTAACTTTTCTATTAGGTAATTATCTAGTTATATAACCTCTACCTCCTATAATAGTCTATAGCCTAGATAGAGAATATACTATCTTTCTATACTTATACTACCTAACTAGCTACTTAGCTAATAACCATATTAAAGACTGTATACTGTTTAATATGAACTATTATAATTACCAACTCATTGGCAATTGATAATCAGACCAGTGCTCCTCTAAATCTGTCTCGCTCCATTTCTCTATACCTCCTGCTACACCATGCTCGTCAACCTCCCATTTTCCCTCCTCGATCATCTCCATCCATTTGCACAACACATACCTGAGTTGTACATCATGCCCTGCAATGAAGTGGTTGAATCCTAGCTGGTATAGCTCTGCACTCTTTGGTTCGATCTCAGCGGAGGCATCCTCCCCTGCCTTTCGTACATTCTCGCCGATCAGCGCGCCGTCACTGGTTCGCGCAAATGCATTGGAACCGAGGGTGAATGGCAAGATAAGCTTACAGCCGTCCTCAAAAGGATGGCTGCTGTGAGGATTCGTTTCGGTAAGATAGAGACCAGCTGGGTAGGTCGAGATGTCATCGAAGTCGTGTGCAAACGGCGAGGCGCGTATTCGCTCACCCCATGGCGTGCGTTGGGTTTCTTGGTGGGCAGGTGATGTGCTCGTGAAGAGGAGCAGTGGGAAGAGCTTGTTCTCGTTCGCCTGCCCGGGCGTTGGCGCGAAAGGTTGTTGTTGCGTGATACTTAAACCTGGTGCGATATGAGTGAAGTTCGGTCTCGAGCACTGGGTGAGGAATCGATGTGCGAAGCTGTTCGGAGACAGGATCCCCGGATTACCACCAGTCACGACTTCGAGCAGATTCTGTTCTGCGCTTTGTTCTTGATAAGGCATTCTGACGTGGATTGCATCTAATAGCTGCTCAAAAGCCTGGAGAGTGTCTTCGAGGTCTGGTTCCGTGTACGAAGGCATGATCCATGGTTCCGTACGCTCTTGTTCCCCACTATTATTTTCGTCCACGGCCATGATTTTACCTTGGTCGATCATGTCTACGAAGCCATCAAGAACCATCTCAAGAGGCAACCACATCTGTCGGCCATTCATGGTAATTTCGGTGTCACGCATGGACATGTGCTGCATAGCAGTGAACTCGTCTTGATCCAAAACCAATCCTAACGGATGAGTAGCGCCCAACGCCCAATTCGCCATGTACAGCGTGATATAGCGTCTTTTGTTCGAATCGTCCTCTTCCTCGGAATAATTTGCATTCTGCCAAAGTTCCTCCGGTGAGCATAAGCGCGCCAGATAACGATGGAAAAGGTGAGGTTGTGTGGCTGAATCCATGGCGAATCCATGCCAAGATGCCTTTAGAAAAGACACTACAGAGGCATCGAGACGCTCGGCTGTGCTGGAAAGAGCTGCATCGCCGCCATAGCATTCCCACCATGTGCGTTTATCGAGGGTGTCCAGTGCTAGGCCACGCTGGGTCCAGCCTAGTTCAACAATGTGGTTGTGAAGCGCGGCGCAACGCTCGTGATCTAGGCCTTCTAATTCTCTTATCGGAGCAACATCACTGATGCGCCATTCTGCCATAGTGATGTGTTGGAAAGGAGATGCGAAGAGCGATGGTCCTTTTTTTTGAGTTGTGAATTAAGCTTACTAAGCGCATGCATAAAATTGGAAACACGACAATATGCAGTTACTATTCAATAGTTATCTAGATCTTCTTTTCTCTTAGCACGACAAAAGCTGTAAACACAGTAACTCAAGAGTAGATACTGTTGCATATAGACGCCTCTATAGCAGGGAGCATTACAGGCATAACCTGTAATTAGTAAATAGGTAGGAAAGGTAGATATTTAACGCTCTTAATAGGCCTCTTGAAATAGGTAGATAATACCTTAATTCCTTTTAGTAGCCCTAATTAATCTATCTATACCCTACCTAGTACCTTTCTCTATACATGTAATCCCTAAATAGCCTTACCTATCCTGCTACACTATAATACAAAATCGTGGTAAGTACTAGTACATAACTCCAAAAGATCCGACAGTTATATGTAGAAATAAGCTTGCTGTTATGCAACACCGAAGTATTTCGTTTTATTCTCATTCATGCCCTTTCATTTGTGATTCTCTATGGGACTCCAGTACTCTATCTTCAAAAAATACCCTAGTTAATACCAATTTATCACAAAGTGCCCATAGACGATGATCTGGTCTATGTGGAAGAGTGCTACAGATCACAATGAGGCCATTGCGTCAGTGCATTGAATTAATGTCTCAACATGTAGCCTCTCTCAATTTCAGTCTAATAAGACTGTGCTGTCCCTTCTACTATCGCCACAGTATATACCCCCCTCCATACGAAGACTAGAGCTCCCTCCTTTGGTTATGAAAGTCTTGATGCCTTACGTACTGACGATATTTGGGCACACCAGTCTGAGCCGGGGCTGATATCATAGTCTGCCCAGTCCTAGCCTTACCCAAGTCAGCAGTAGAGGTAGCCTCAACAACACTTTCAGTCACCGGGACCTCAGGAATGGGCCTCTTCTCATATACCAATTTGTTCTCTTCGTCGATGACTATTTTGCATTTGTTGCAATCAACATCCCCCGGTTGTTCAGCAGAGTCTGCAGACTCAGCTGGCATACGATTCTCCAACACGCTCCTGATGTTTGAACGCTTGAGCCAATTTGCGCTGGCAACGTCCTGTGGAAGCTGTTGGTTGTTTTGCACCAGCTGAGCGGGATCGATGTTGTAGTTTTGTCGTGGCCAATTATATCTACGAAACATGCTTTGGAGAGGGAGAAAAGGCCAGCCAGCATACAACTAGACCAGTTATTAAGAAACTCTTACGGGTCATTTGGAAGTGCTCTGAAGCCATGATCTAAGACCGCAGTGGGATTGTTACCGCTATTGGGGTCGTTGTATGTAGCTGTAAGGGATCGGTTAATACGCAAGTGAGATTTCACATTTTGGAGAGAAACTTACCCCAGCATTCTGCTCCAGGAGTTTGACTATCAAAACCATATCTCTGAATAAAATGAGGATAGAAGATGTTGGCAACGAGACGGGGATCATTGGGCTGGTGATCAAACTCCCAAGTGACGGGCGGGTCGCCTTTACCTAGCGCAGACCTCAAAGAGGAGCAAGGCCGCCATTGCGCGTACAAGAATTGCATCCAATCTGTTCCTTGGAGCCTGTTTGCATTTCCATTCACCAGACGACACACTTGATTGTGAAGTCCGGCGCGGCCCTCCCACAGACTGCCCATTGGAAACTCATCACTGTGATCCAATTTTAGCGGTCGGATAGTATAGTAGACATATTGCTCTCCACTCACACTTGACAACGAGCAGGATTTCCCGCCTGGGCCTGTGATCGATATGATGGTCTCCGGTGTACGCTTGCCCAATCAGCCTTGGCATATTCATTATCTGGTCCACGTGCTATGGCCGTATTAGCATTGATCAACTCCAGGAATAAGAACCGACTGTACCGTCATAGTGGTAGACGGTTCTTCCAGCGTTTGCTTCGAAGATTCCCCAAGACTGATTGTCGCAAATCTGTTGTATATGAGTATCGCGTAGTGTACAGCTAACATATTCTTTTAGAGAAATTTACCTCATCGTGCCCTCGACCGTATCTACAAGTGTATGTAACTACACAATCGGTATCTGTAGCCTTGTCGTAGCTCAGACTCAACCACTGACCAAAGAGTTTCTGCTTTGGTGCTTGAGCGGGAGGCTTGGGCTTAGATGGCTTAGGTCGAGGGTTCTGAGGCTTTTGAATTCGCCCAGTGCGGACTCCGGCCACGACTCCAACTGCATGCATCGTTGCCGCCTCCTTTGCCTTGATCTCACACACAGAGAAGACAGCGGCGAAGGTAGCCGTGAAAGCGGGGAGAAATCCTAGACCAAAAGAGAAAATAGCAGCAGCCGTACCTAGATTGGTTCAGCAAGAGAGTGAGGCACTGTCTGGCCGTGGGAGTTACTCACCAGCAGCAGTCGCAGCAGCAGTAGCACCAGCTGTGCAAGCTGCTGTCAGTCCCGCGAATTTGCCAACATCGAGTTTGCCTCCGTTGGTCTCCTTTCCATCCGTACCGATGAGATCGAGAGTAGATACTGACCCTTTCGGAGACGACTTGAACCCGTCGCAGCAGTAAGTCTGGAATCCACCTGTAAGTCTTGTTAGCGGGTCGAACTGCATCGAAGAAGAGAAGTTCGCTTACCATTGCAATCATAGTCCAAGTAATCTGTCCTTTGCGGCCAAGGCTGTTTGCTAGACAATTGTCAGTTCCTAAGCAGTGTGGGCTAAGTAAGATTTCTCACTATTGAAAGCAATTGCAACTGGACCGGACAAGTCCAATCCGGAGTCTAGAGCACGCTTCTTATTGTTCGTTGCTGCGAAATCGCAACTTCCTCCACAAGATAGCCCGACGCCGTTCCAACCATTCCATGAGCAGGTTCCCATGGTGGTTCCCGAGGCGCAGCACAAAGTTTGCACCTTGCCATCTTCGCAGACTGTGTTTGAACTCACTCCATTTACCTGGCCATCTGAATATGTCTCCTCAAAGTAGCCATCAACGCACTTGCCGCCACAGAACGTCCAATAGCAGGAATTAATGTTGGTGGCTTCGGTCTGTGCAAGCCTGCGATTGTTCTTGAGCTCGAGAGCCCTACTACTGGAAACACCGTTGGCTTTGCCAATGCCCAGGTAATCATTTGTGCTTGAATTCTCTTTGTCATCCTGGTCCACGGCCCAGACCATAGTTCCTCCGAGACACCATTTATTCGCCGCTCTGATCTTCATCTGCGTCGTTTCGCCGTCATCATAGCTGGCCCACTGGTTTGAATTCCAGGTGATCCATTTGACTGCAGCTTCTTTGTCGAAAGAAGGCTTTGCGCCAGTACTGCCCAGAATTTTGAAGATTTCTGCGTTTGAGAGAGTGCCCGCCGAGTTTGTGCATGATCCAGGGCTACCGCCCCACTGAACTGACATACGCCATCTGGCTTGTTGCAATTCGGGTCGGATAGGGTAAAGCTTCGGCCGTACCATCCGAGCCCCAATGTTACTTTGGCAGGGGAGATATTATTACGCCAGAGTAGGTCCAGTCCTAGTTGAATTTCCGTGAGGTTGGTATGGGGCCTGAGGAACGGCCCTGTGAATTTGTTTGTCGAATCCCAGACGCCCTTAAGCGAACAGAATCAGCTAAATAAATTCTAGATACCCGGATAGAGGTGAACACTTACATGAATATCGTAGCTCATCATGTTGAGCCAGTCGAGATACTTTTCGAGTCCTTTGAGGTCGAACCAGCGCAGATACCAATAGCTGCTTGGCAATGTGGCAGATAGGCCGTACTTGGTTCCCCAAGCAGCTCGCAACTCCTTCAAAAGCGTAACGAAGTTCTCGATATCTACATCCTTGCCTCCGCGGTCTGGTGCTCCAGGGTACTCCCAATCAATATCGGCGCCTATCGTTCTGTCAGTATCGTAACTATTCATCAAGGGACTTCAATCTCTACATACCATCAAACCCGAAACTTTGCATAAATTGGTGAGGGAATTGATGAACTTTTTCCTGTTGGCTGCGGTGGAAGCCATGTCGCTGAACGCCGTCTGAGTGTTTGGATTATTAGTTGCATCGTTAAAGCTCCATCCACCGATGGAAATCCAAGTCTGAAGTCCGGGGTAGGACTCTTTCAGGTTTGTGAACTCTGTGTAGAGAGTTGGATCACCGGCATCCATGGGCATCATTTCGAATGTGGTGGGATTGAAAAATGCAAACGCTGGAGGAGGCATAAGCAATGGAAACAGAATGCCAGCTTTGTCGTGAAGGAACGTACCAAAGTTCATATGTGTGAATCCAGTCAGATCTAGATCCTTAGGCAACCGCTTGTCGCATTTCCGCGTTGAAGACCTTCCGTAAATGGTCAATGTTATAACTGTGACACTCTTGAAGAGACACTTACCAGCTTTCATAGTAGCCGATATGCCTTTTCACAGTGGTGCCGCTGCACAATGGTTCTGTGGCTTTCCCGCACCCACCAAATCCGGATTGACATCCTTTCCCGCAGAATTCCTAGATGTGAGATCAGAAGCGTTCAAGATTATTCCTGCGAACACGCACATCTGTAGTTCCACAGTAGCCAAATTGACTACAGCAGACATTCAACGAGCATTTAGCTTTATCTTCCAGAGCATATTGTCCGCATTCGGCCTTGATATTGGTCAGCATCCATCAAACACCATTTTATTTGGCCGCCTACTTTTGCCTTACAGTTGGACAAGCAATTGCCCGGGCCACACTCGTCTGGAGAGAACCCACACTATCACAACGTATCAGTAGAAGACTTGATGATGGAATAAGCTTAATGGTAATTTACCACGCCGGACTATCAACAATCAGTAGCGTACAAGAATATTTCGATACAGATCTGCTTACCTGGCCACAGCAGGCACCGTTGACACAAGGTGCACCAGGGGCACACATACCCACTGGGAGACCATTATCGCCTGACTGACGCTTCTCAAGGATCGTGATATCGGTAGTCTTGCCTGCCAGCGCTACGTAAAGAGAGTTGGAGTTGACCTGGCTCACGTTATGAAACCTTGGAGTGGAATTTGAGTATTTCTCAAAAAGAGGACTATATAAAGTCGCATTCTTTGGTTCAGTTGGTTGAGTTGAGTTCTTCAACTGAAACGACTGTGCCGCACTGCTGGTCACAATGGTTAGTACCCTCGTAGCAGTGGATAACAACATCGTGTAGCCAGCTTTCCTCTGGAGTTACAGAGGAACGACTGAGATATTGGGAATTAGAGAACCATAGAACAAGAATCAGCATCTAGGCTATAGAGCTACACTAATGTTATCTTGACGCATAGCATTTAGTAATCAATCGCAGGTACCTCGAAGCTCCATGGCGACCAGGTCCAAAAGTCTAGCCGTAGCCCAAAACTTGTACGCAGTATGGGGCCCCTGCAGTCGCTTCACAGACGAGGCAAATTGGGACCAGAAACCCAGCCAATACGCAGGGTCTGAGGTTCTAAGCAAAGCGGCGTAGTCAATACGCACCAGTAAAATTCCACCCTCCGTTGGGACCTGGATAAATTCTAAGATTTCAGGAGTGCATGAAATTGGGGATGCGAGAAGAAGCGGTCAGAACCTGCATCGAAGGTCTGTCATGTTCGGAAATCTCTTAAGATCTCGACTCGCGAAAAGACAACACAAATGACAAATTGTGACCCATGAAGACATGAAGCTGTAAGAGGAACGCATCTCAGAAGTAGAGATCTTGATAAGAGGCATCATCTGCATGTCTCTGAAGATTGTCTTTACCTCTTCACATTGCTATACATATAATTGATGATTCAGTCTGAGCTTTAGTGAGGTCTTTTGTCGCTAAACTAGCTTTGGACAATGCTGGACCCTTTTCTTCAATTATAAAAGCAACTAATATCTTTAGTGGGTCGATAACCTGCGCTGTTACCCGCATTGTCAGAGCATGTTTCCCAACCAGGGTTTTGATAAACGATGTAGTGTACATGTACGAAGCTCTGATAGAGTACCACATATTGTAGCAATCATAGGAAGTAGCCCGCTCGCCACGCAGCACTACACGTCAAGGATTCCATTCCTTAGGTGCAGCAGGGGTTCGAGACTAAACCTAAGGAAACCAGGTCTAGATGCTTAGCCCTGGTAAGTTTGAAATGTCACAAACTGACTGACCTTCGGGGCAACTGTTCGATCGATGTAACAGCAGATATTCCTCAACTGGAGAGTCTTGTCTCTCTTCTCTGAATCACTATTGCTGAACGCTCACCATGTCCCCAATACTGCAGCGTCTGATACTTTTGGCCTGCATCGGCATTCAGGTCGAGGCAACTTTCAACATTTACGATGCCTACACTCCTGCTGAATTGCAGGCAGCGCACGGCATATCTTCTCAATGCTCGGATGCTTTGCTGATTCAGATGATAGACTGGTACAAGGAGAATATCACATCTCTATGCACCGCTTCGTGCTCGAATTCCTTGCAAACCTGGCTATCAACAGTGGAAAATTCATGCAGCTCCGATACTTTGGACTTCATGGGCAGCATTATGAAGGCCAAAACCGTGCCTATAGTGTTCAAATCGGCATACGACATTGCTTGTCTTCAGGATAGGTGGGAAACGGAGCTCTATGCTTAGTTGCTCGGCTAACACTGTTCTAGTAATTCAAATTGGTGTTTCCTCGATTCACAGCACTGGCAGGGTAGTGAATTCATCACGTCAGTATCCCCAATTCGGCCTAGAGATGATCGAATCACTGACGTCAGCTATAGCTATGATCCATACGCATGCTGGAACGACGACAAATCGCTAAATCCTCCTGAGTGCGATGAGTACGGGGATCTTACTGGCGATCTCAGTGCAAGCATGATGGACGTCACCCACATGTATGATCTCGAGCTTGTAAGTTGGTGTTAGCCTTAGTTCCTTAGACCATGTTGCTAATCAATGAACAACCTAGCTCTGCGATGAGTGCTTTGTCAAGATGTGGCGTCAGCGATTGCTCAATCCTTTCCTTCAGGATGGCAGGTCGACGAATTATTTGCTTGAGCAATACCAGGCTATTCAAGAGAAGTGTTCTATGAATCTACCGGTGACAACTTCAGCTTCGACTCTATTCGTATCTCTGGCTTACACAAGTGTCCCCGCGGAGAACACTGCTTCTCCCACAACCACCGGCAATGCTCCGGCTGCCACAGGATGCGTTGGCCAAGTGATCGATCCGCCCAACGATGGAGCGATTTTGGACTGCCTGAATATAGCTGATGACTACAAAGTAGCTCTTGGTGACATATACAAGGCTACTGGGGACTCAATGTGTCAGTTCAAAACCTCCATTTGCCTGCCTCCAGCCTGCGAAGGAGAGGTAATCTGGGACGGCCAATCCTGTGCCGAATTGGCGGCCAAATACTCGAGCGATAAGTTGAAGGTCACAGAGATGATGTTTCTCAGTTGGAACCCCAACATTCTCGGAGATTGTAGCCGGCTCAAGCCTGGCCAAAGGGTGTGCAGTCGCCCGCCCGGTGGGCAGTTCACTCCTACTGGAGCCATATACGTACCGACTGCCGCAGGCTCATACTACTCTACCGCTACGACTCCAGCCCCAACTCGGACTGGCACAACAGAGAGTTGCGGACTGTACCACCTCGTCGTGTCAGGCGACACTTGCAACTCGGTCGCTCTACGCTACGGGATCGACTTCAAGACGATCAGGGATCTGAACACAGTGATTGACGAGACCTGCTCCAATCTGTGGCTCAAATATGCAATCTGCGTCGCTCCAGTCACGCAAGCTCCGAAGTCGACTGATGGCTTATGTGGACCAAGTGCAAACCACGCCACATGCGAAGGTACCGCGTTTGGCCTTTGCTGTAGCACAAGCGGGTACTGCGGATCAAGTAGCGATTACTGTGGAGCCGGAAACTGCGCGTCGAGCGCGTGTAGTGGCGATGGCACGGGTGTGACCACAGATGGCACGTGTGGCCCTACCGTCTCTTGCAACAATCCCAGGTTTGGGCCGTGTTGCTCGACGTCTGGCTACTGTGGCGCGACCAAGGATTACTGTGGCCCTGGCAACTGCTATTCTGGGGCCTGCGATCCTGACGAAGGTGGTCCCTCTCTCGATGGTAGCTGTGGACCTAACTTTGCAGGCAACAAGACATGCACTGGCACGCAATTCGGCACTTGCTGCAGTAACTATGGCTACTGTGGCTCTACCGACGACTATTGTGGCGCGGGTAATTGCTACTCTGGTGCTTGCAAGCCAAGTTAGGTTGCGCACATTTTTATACTTGATTGCCAACGAACATATAGTATTGAAGCTTGCTATCAGAAATAGTGTCCTGCACTGGCTTTAAATTGTCACATACAACCAACTACTGCTCTAACGAAGATGGGTTATCCTGTCCGACTAGCTACCTACACTTGAACAGTCTACAGTAAACATAACGTAGCTAGCCTATCTCTGCCACCGTATGGCAATACCATCGACGTTAGGCGCGATGGCCTACTACTATTCGTAACTACTCGTTCAATTACTCGTACCGTCAACACTTACTGTGTTGAGATAGCACCTGTCGGTCAAGTACCCACTTTTTACCGACGCCATCGTTCATCATCAACACCATTACATCCTAGCTGACATTGTCGGAACGTCTGTCAAACAGAATCAGCGGGTTTTCAGTTTCCTCGAGGTGACTATTAGCCTCGATTTTGGGGCCACCGGCCGATGAAGAAACACTCACTGGACTTGAATTAAATGCAACCCCGGACTCGAGCTAGGTAGGTGAGTCCATGCGAGGCTCTATCGCGTATTGAGAGATATATAAAAGCTAAAGGGATTGAAAAGAAAATATGACGCACGGAGTATCTTTGACAATACTTTTGAAGAATATCATACCAACTACAACATGTTATTGAGACCAGCCCTTTTTCTTTTCCTTTCCGTCTTAGCCAGCTCAAGCCCAGTCTTCTCTGCCCCAACTGGCCCCCCTGCCCCCCATCATTTTCTCCACCCACGAGATGGACCACATTACAACAGCAGCCTCCCAAACATCACAGTTCTCGCCACCGGCGGTACAATCGCCGGCTCTGCAGGCTCTAATACTGATCTGACTGGCTACAAAGCCGGCCAGATAGGCATCCAAATCCTCATCGATGCGGTGCCTGAGATTCAAAACATCTCCAACGTCCAAGGCGTTCAAGTTGCCAATGTTGACTCCAGTGGAATTACTCCGGAGATCCTCCTCAACCTCACAGCGCAGGCACAGATGGCACTAGATGATCCGCACTGTCAGGGCATTGTGATTACGCACGGAACCGACACCCTTGAGGAGTCTGCTTTCTTCCTGGATTTGACTCTCAGGTCTGAAAAGCCTATCGTCATTGTTGGGTCTATGCGCCCTGCGACTGGCCTCAGCGCTGATGGCCCCCTGAATTTGTTAGAGGCTATAACACTCGCAGCGGACCCTCGCGCTGTTGGTCGAGGTACTATGGTTGTGTTGAATGATCGGATCACAAGTGCCTTTTATGCCACGAAGACCAACGCAAACTGGCTGGATACCTTTAAGGCAGTGGAACAAGGCGACCTTGGATCTTTCATCGACGCGAAGCCCAACTTCTTCTACAGTCCCGCAGTACCTGTTGGCTACCATTTTTTCAACGTCTCACAGAGTACCTCCTTGCCCAAGGTCGATATTGTTTTTGGTTATCAAGCTTTGGACCCCGAGATGGCTCGCTCCGCGGTTGGTAAGGGTGCCGAAGGCCTGGTTCTGGCAGGAGTGGGAGCTGGCGGCTGGACGTCCGCAGGTCTTGATGAGATCCATGAACTGATTAGAGAACATGGTACGCAGGTCGTCCTGTCGTCGCGAACGATGGGAGGATTTGTGAAGACAAATGGTACGGGGAACATCTATGGGAGTCAAGATTTGAATCCACAGAAGGCGCGCATCATGCTGCAGCTTGCGCTAAATGCGGGATATGATTCGAATGAATTAACAAAGCTTTTCTCTTTTTCAGAGTAGGTGGTGCTAGGGATTTAGGAGAATTAGTGTCGATAATTTGCGTTCCACAAAACCATGTGCAGTATTAACTGAATGAATTGATGTGCTCAATTGCCTGTTGAATCGAGGGAGACTAATGATAAGTTGTTTCGCCTGTCAGTCGGCTAATGGAAAAGTAGATTACCGCATACCTTATCGTGAGCATATCGATGGATATTGGGCCCTCAGATCAAAGTAGGAGGGTATGAATGCAAGAAATTCTGATACGCCGCGTTGTTGGGTGCATTTGCTTTTCTATTCCTCTGCTTTCTCTCTGATACTCTTCTATTGTCTCGTGTTCGCATGGGAACGCGGTGAACATCTTTCCGCCAACATACCTTTGCGACTTTGGTCGGGATACCTCGGCTCGACGCTGATGTTATCTCTAGGTCATGGTTTGCGCTCTAGTCGATACGAAGTTCATTTGTTTGTCTGAAGAAGTTAAGGCGATGGCCACACAGAGGCATAAAACCCGGTTCTAGTCGCTCGATAGTGGATTGCCGACTGATCGAGTAGATAAGCACTTGTCCCAGATTCCCAATAATTACCTGTTTGATAGGACCAACTTCAAGAGGAAATTATTTGAGGCAGTTCAATCTACCGAATTCAGTTGCAATTAATTGCTGTCTTATCGAATGTACAGAATTATGACGACGGCCGCTAGGAGGAAAAAGCCGAGGGTGAGCTAAACTAAATCTTCACTATCAAACCTCCGTTAACTAGTAATGATCGCCTTATCTATGCCCACGCTACAATCACGGTCCCAATCCTGTTGGTCCGAAAGCAACAACCAATTGGACGGTAATTAGTCATTTGCGTGTCTGTGTCTCTGTCAAAATCATCACAGGCACCCGCACTTTCTCCATGGACGGTCGGCCACTAACGTTTTGTGCCCGCAGAGGCTTGTCCCTCCCTCCGATAATGCTGCCCGCTAAGCTTAGCACCCCGTGGGGATCTGGGCTTGCTCCGCAATTGCCTAGGAATCGCTAGTGTGACATTGGTCTACTGGCAATCTATGGCGATCGACCTGCCTCGTTCCGTTCAAAAAATCATCATATTGAACATCACGATTGTATAAAGTCTCATACTCTCCCTGGGTCCAGAAATAAAGAAACTCAGGTTTACACATAACATCCTCAACACCAAAACATTGTTCCTTTTATTTTCCCATTCAGAATTCAGAATTATTCACTCTTTACGGTTTATCCTACGCCTGCCCTCTATGGCTGACGAAAAGACTGAGATGGCGGCCGATTGCCCGTCGTACAGTCTCGACGTCAAGCAAGATAGCCACGAAAGGACCGAAGTCCTCAGACCGCTGCCACCAGTTCTCCAGGATAAGACTCCCGAAGAGCTGAAGGCTTTGGAGAAACAGGTACTTCGAAAAGTTGACATGCGCCTGTTGCCTATGATGATACTCATCTACATCATGAACTACTTGGATAGGTGAGTATCTCGCGACCAAATAGCTCATCCACGAAACCACCACTGACACGGGTTAGAAATGCCATCGGAGCTGCCAGACTTGGTGGCATGGAAGCTGATCTGAAGTTAAAAAATAACGAGTTCCAAGTAAGTACTTGAGGATGTAAAAGGCAAATCGAATTTCCACTAACTTGATGGATGAAAGACCTGTGTTTCCATTTTATTCGTCGGTTACATCCTTATGCAGGTGCCTTCCAACATGCTTCTCACCAAAATTGGACGTCCTGCTGCCTATCTCTCTGCTTGCATGGTTGCTTGGGTATGCCACCCTCTGTCTTTTCTAAACGCTTCTACCAAACAATCAAAGACTAATATCCCTCAAGGGTATCCTTTGTGCCTGCTCCGGTGTCGTCCACAATTTTGCTGGCCTCGTCGTCACCCGCTTTCTCCTTGGCTTCGTCGAGGCCGCCTTCTATCCGGGAGCGCTTGCCACCCTATCCGCGTGGTATGTCCGCAGTGAACTTGGATTCCGCACAGGACTCTTCTACTCAGGCTCCATGCTCTCAGGTGCCTTTTCCGGACTCATCGCGGCGGGAATCACTGACGGCATGGACGGCCTTCGAGGACTACTCGCGTGGCGATGGGTGTTCATCTTGGAAGGTTCAGTGACAGTCTTGGTAGCGGCTGCGGCATTTTTCGTCCTGCCGGATTTCCCAGCAAATACCAAGTGGCTTTCTGAGGAGGAAAGAGCTATGGCTTGTTGGAGGATGGAGGAAGATGCCGCTGGCGAGGAGGACTGGAATGCCGAGGAAGCTGGAAAACAGCCTCTCTTCGACGGCTTCAAGCTCCTCCTCCGCGACCCCAAGAATTGGATCCTGGTCTTCGTTGTCTATGGTTCCGCTAGCGCCATCGCCATCAACTCATTCTTTCCCACGGTGGTCGCCAGCTTGGGCTACAACAGGATCACCACCCTCCTCCTTACGGCACCACCCTACCTTCTTGCCTGTATTGTCTGCGCAGCCGTATCGTGGAACGCTGGTCGTGTTCAGGAGCGATACTGGCATACCATCCTACCTATTTCTTGTGCACTGGTCGGATTTGTCATTGCTGCTGCTGCTACCAGTGTTGGGGCAAGGTACACTGGAACGATGTTGATGCTCCCAGGAGTTTACACAGGATTTAACATGGCTATGGTGTGGACAGCTAATACTATCTATAGACCTGTGTCAAAGCGTGCTGCTGCTTTGGCTTTCAATAACGCGCTTGCAACAATCTGCAGTATTTACGGATCTTACCTATACCCCAATAATGCGTCGCCTCGGTTCGTGTTGGCCTTTAGTGTCAATGCAGGGATGGCTCTGATGGCTATTGTGGCAAGCACAGTCCTACACTTCTATCTCAAGAGGGAAAATCGCAGACTGGATGAAAAGGAGGAGGCTGACGCGGCGAGGGGTATCTTTGTTGCTAAGCCGTTCAGATACCTTACTTAGCCTTGGAGTTTGCTGGTACATGGTTTGTCAGCTGAAATGCAACATATTTCAACTATAGTTCAAAACCGTGCTAGCTAAATTCATCGTTAAAATTGGGGTAGTATATCTCTGCGCATTACATGAAGGTGTAAGGTGATGGGACCAGCAGATAGAAATCCTGCGGGCAAAATAGTCATGTTCTAGCTGCACAATAAACAGAAAGTTTGTGTACACATAGGATCCAATGCACTGATGATGAATTTGAAGGTACTCAAAGATACAGTGGAATGATTAATATTCAATACTTCATCGATAAGCGTCCTGAATCCGCAAGCTCCGATTCTATGGCAGTCATACATTTGCGTAGGAGACTGAAGTGTTCTTGAAGACGTATTTTATTGTATCATGCTATTTGTCAGATTGAATTGTCAAGGCCTTTTAGCAGAATGCAGTCCATGCTTCGATCATATAGGTACGCTTCTTCGACAATCTCAAGGGTATGCTTTCGACTCGTTATTCTCTTATCGATTGTTCAGAGATGTGGACTCTATTGAGAATGGATCACACCACTTCCATATTTTCAATGGATTTGAGTATCTAATGCAGACTAGGAAGTTAATTTGTGTATAGAAGAGGATATGCTGTACAACAACACCTTTTAATATAGTTTCAACCCTTTCAAGTGAGTATAAAATGTTAAAGAAGAAATGATCTAAGGTGTGTACTAATCTCAGGTTCGTAGTCTCAACGTACATATCATGTAGTTTGAAATGAACAAAAGCAATAAACTGCCCTGAGTATGATTTAAACGAGGAAAGAACATGGCAGTCTACGTGTTGTCAACAGGTATCGATTCTGTTGCTGAGATACAATCGTTGACTTTGATTAATTTTCTACGCATAATAGAGACTATACGCAGTAGTATTATAGATTATTTTGAACAGAAACATCGAAGTTAAACTTTACACTACACGCCAATTCCGCCTTGATAAATTCTTCCATACGGTGGCTAGTTTGTCTCCCCTATACTGCCATCTTGTACACGCTTTGCTTTTGTTACTTCTCATTTCAAGAGCTTCTTCGATAAGCGAAGGTAATGAACGGAAGTTCCTCCTTTACTCTTCATAAAATAACGCTTCATCTTTTGGACGATCTCAGAATCGAAGTGTAACTTCTGGCATTTTAGAAATCAGCCTCCCTCAATCATCTCGCGCCTTGCCTCGTTTCTTCAACTGGCCCATAGGAAGCCGAAATGGAAGAGCCTCCTCGCACATGTAATGAGCGCAAGTATAGTAGCCGGCAAGGCCAGCAACCAACCCAAATGCTCCAGACACTTGCTGCATGCGAAGGAACGAAGTTTGATCGCCGTTTGCTAGGATGAAGTAGGAGGATCCATCAATGAGAAGGCAGCACTCCAAGCAGACGAAGATAAGAACGTATACACAGTTGCTGGAATCGATAGTAGTTAGGATTAAAACGCCTAATTTGTTCGAGTAGCTTACTAGGCGGTGGAGGTGATGAGGAAAAAGGTATTGAAAACTCCCCACACTACACAATATGTTAATCTTTTGTTTCATAGTCAATAGAAATCTCCTTCATGCCGGCTTACTCAGAATGTAGAACCCGAATGCATTATTGTACTCCGGCGTCAAGGGGCCACCGTAAGACTGGGTGATATTGAGAGTGGGGAGTAACAGGAAACCATAGCCACCATAGAATAGGCCTTTTTGATGTAGTCAAGATTAGGGAACGATTTCGATGATTTGGGAATAGTAGATCTTACATACCATATGCACTGAGAACCGTGTAGGAAAACGTATTGCCCCGAACCATCTCCCACTGTGCAGATATGAGTAGCCCAATGCTCGCCACGAAGCACAAGTTACCAATGTTGACGGTTTGAATGCTGACATCGCGGAGGTTCATCATGGCGAAGCAGACAGTGATGAGAGACGTCGCGAATCCACCCATCGCAAGCGGGGCCTACTCATTGTTGGTCAATTTTCACCACTTCTAGTATCTGACATGGCAGCCATCATAAACTGACCGGATCTGCGAGTCGACCAGCTACTCGGCTGAGACCTTCTTCTCGGGAGTAGGTCATATCCCCCTCTTCTAGCTTCCCGGGTGATAATATCTTGCTGGGCATGGAAATTTGGCTCATCTTGTTAATATGAGGGAGACGCTTGCTTTCAGTCACACAGGAACAATATCTGTCGAGTGCTGTTTTATACTTCTGACATTCTTTTGATTACATCAAAGTTGGGATAGCATGGATACTTAAATTAGGATCTTTTGGTAAGGGTAGGTACTTACACACGTCCTGGCCATTGTTGGCCAGTTCAGTGGCACAGTGGGCAACCCTCGGGCAAATTTGATAGCCGGCCGAGGCGAAGATGATATTCTAGTCTACGGAACTGTGGAGGTCCGAAGTCCCCCGTCAAACTAATGTAGTAGTGCACTTCTCACAAATTGTGATCAACGAACCGTGGGGTAGCCTTAGTCGCGGCCGAGCAGCCTCAATTTATTCCAATGAATCCACATTGGAATCACAAGCATGTTCACTAACGAAATCGCAAGGTGCGCAAAAAGAGTGGTTGTGAACTGCTAATGAAATGGAAAACTTGAACACGTAGAGGTAATCACAAATATGGAGAGATATCTTTGGTTGGGCTCTATCATTAACATGTACGATTCCGTGTTCGAAGTATTTTAAGCTATTTAAGACGTCTTATGACGATCTTACATTTGAAGAATCACTGAGATGGCCATATGACCGTGATTAACATGTCGGAAACCCTGCCGCAAGATATTTGTGTTAAATGAAATTCTTCCTAAGTCGCGTACGTGAAAGTGATTTCATGGAGAATCTTGTAGCTTTAAACAGTGCTGACTTCGCTTACGGAACATTTGAAATGCTCCTTAATACTGTTGGTCTTGACAGAAACTGCATGAGTACCGTTCGCGCCATTCGTCGCCTCATGTTTCTCCTCCACTGACGAGCCGCTATCTATCTGTACTGACTTGTCTAGGATTGACACAAGATCTCTCTCCTTCAAGCATCCTTCTTCGATAGCGAGCTCCAGGAACGGCCGCTTTTGCGCAATAGATTCACGAACGATTCTAGAAACTTGGGCATAACCCAAAGCTGGTACAAGGGCAGTGGCTAACGCACTAGAATCGAGCAAGTGTCTGTAAGAAATTTTCTCATTCGCCACGATACCCTCGACACATTTGACGCGGAACATGTTCGCACCGCTGGTGAGGAGATGTATGCTGTCGATGAGCCGATCGCAAACCACCATCTCGAAATGGTTGATCTCAAGCATACCCTGATGACAGGCCATTGATACAGTGGCGTCGTTTCCGGCAATGGCAAAAGCATTCTGGTTGACAGACATAGGAATGACTGGATTCACTTTGCCCGGCATTATCGACGATCCCGCCTGGACGGGAGGTAGAGTAAGCTCCCCAATGCCACCCCCAGGACCAGACGAAAGGGTGATGAGGTCGGTGGCTATTTTAGATATTGAGTTGGCAGTGTTACGCAGCTCAGCCGAAAGCCGGGCACATGTGTCCATGTTTTGCATTCCATCAAAGGAATCCGCTGCTGGTTTGATTCCGACACCCACAATGGAGGAAAGGTGCCGATATACGGCTGCTTTGTAGCCAGGCCTCGATCCAAAACCGGTCCCAATCGCCGTTCCGCCCAAAGGAAGAGTGAGAAATTGTTTGCGAAGCGTTTGGAGTTGCTCGGCGTGGCGTCGAGTAACGGACTCGTAACCTCCAAAGAGCTGACCGTAGGTCATGGGCTGTGCATCTTGGAGACACGTTCGCCCAAGACGAAGCACCGAGAAATACTCCTGTCGCTTCTTGGCAAAGGCATCGGCCAGCTGGAACAGAACGTAAGGGGTGTCAGCCATACAGTGGTAAAGGGCCAGCTTCATGGCACTTGGGTGCACATCGTTGGTTGATTGGCCCATGTTGACATGGTCATTGGGGTGAACGAAGCTGTAATCGCCGATGGGCTGTTGTGCTGATAGTGCAGCTGCGTTGGCGATAACTTCGTTGAAGTTCATATTGGTAGATGTGCCTCCTGACCCTTCCAACATATCGACTATCAGGTGGCCATCGTGTTTCCCAGCTCTTAGCTCTTCACATGCTACGGAGATGGCATTTCCCTTTTCTACAGGCAGGCTTCCAATTTCAACATTTGCTTGAGCTGCAGCCTGCTTTACCATAGCGAAAGCACGGACGAAGTCTGGACATGATGCGAGCGAGCGTCCTGTGAAGGGAAAGTTTTCGAATGCTCGAGCGGTATTGATACCGTAGAGAGCATTGCTAGGGAGCTCTCGCTGACCGAGGCTGTCTTTCTCAGTGCGGGTGGCTAATGGTGAAGACCCCTTTCTGGGTGTTTGAGTGACAGCCATGTTGAATCGTTCTGCAAACCGGTAGATATGAGTATAGTGTAGAGTGGGAAAGATTTATTGAGCAGTTCTGTGATGGCAAGGATCTTTTCCTTCGAGATACATAGGTAGGCGATGAAAATTCCCGGATCTATATAGGGTTGGTATTCATCTTATATATTGCCCAATAACAAAGTGTTTCAGTAGAAGAACACTGTCGCAATCACGGCAGTTCATGGCTGAGTGTTGACGGCATACCTCTACTATCTCATCCCATCAAGAACAACCAAAACAATTCCGCCGATCGAGACGGCAACCAACACTTTGTCACCGTAAAAGTCGTTAGCTAGTCCATCAGCCATGGTCTGCTATTCGGCCTCTAGCCCCTAGTCTCCGAAGAGAACCCACTTTGGCGGGTCGCTTTGAAACTAGACAAGAACGGGCATAGTGAGCACATCCCCAGCTTCCGATAATGTCCCATGGAGTTCCCTCGCTGTCTTCCATTGTGGAGAGTTACTAAACCGTGAATTTGCCAAGTTTCACCCCACTGACGTTTGCCTCATACACTGAACAAGAGTGGTGTTCCACTATCTCCGCAGTGCAATTTTCCGTTGGGCGCGGAATGCCTATCACTTCTTGATCCACATTTCACTGATAAGAGCTTAGTCTAGTCGCAATCACAAAGGGTTTGAACATCGATACCCTCGACTCTAGGGTTGCAATCTATCTCCAACTTGCTCTTAGCTATAAGCAACTTTCGCAGTCTCAAGTCTCGTTACGCTTTGTAGTATGAGCCTGGCTTCTGCGGTATCAACCTTCGGAGACAAACGAAGACCCACAGCGTGTCAACGCTGTCATAAGAGGAAAGTCAAGTGCTCAGGCGGTATGCACTCCCTTGTCATGCAAACCATATCACAAATTAATGCATGCCAAACTAGGTGTACCGTGCCAAAATTGTCAGATCGCAGGCACAATCTGCACCTTTCCGACTCGAGATCGTAATGTTGTCGTCTCCGAAGTATATCTCCAGCGGCTTCAAGCTCTGGCAGAAACCAACATAGTGAATCATGGGTCATCGACACCATTAAATTTAGAAGCTGATGTGACGAGTCGAGGGCCTGAACACAATGGCGCCCTTGGCACACCTCGTTCAACCCTCGCTAATCGCGAGTATCGCGCAGAGAAACTGACCCTGAAGCATGCCACTGCTGAGGCTTTCGTGTCTGGACTCCAGCGATTAAGCACCAAAGATGCCGAATCGAGTCCTGAATCTACATTCCAAAATGATTGGACTTCGCGTGCAGACTCGTACTCCGTTGGGGCGACTGAGGTTTCGAGCTATGATTATGTCTCTCTGAACTTTGATACGTCTTGTACGTCCATACATGAGGTTTTTCACTCTTTCCAATATTGCTAACACGTCTGCAGGTGAGAATGTTTCCATACAACTACCTCCATATCCGTACGCGGTTCAGCTAGTGTCACAGTTCGAGACATTCATGGCATGGGAATATCACTGGTATTGTCGGAAAGAGTTTCACTCCAGTCTGGAAGGGACCTATCGATGCCCTGACTCTGCAAGATCACGTAATCGTATCTGGCTTTGCAAGATGATGGCCGTCCTTGCTCTTGGGGAGTCTTACAATAGCTACGAGCCTCCTCTGATTGACCTATCTCAAGCTTCCGAGAAATCTCACCGCCCTGGGCAAGATAAAGATACCCGGGACTCATACCTTCCCGGACTGCGGTTCTTTGAGCAGGCATTGTCTCTCTTCAAGATGCCATCCGAGGAGCCAGATATCCAACATATAGAAGCACTCAATCTCATTGTGAGTTTCCCTCTGTAGAAGGCCGACTGCCATGTGTAATTAACGACACGCCTCAGGCATTCTTCTGCTATTCTTTGAACCGACGCAAAACAGCATACATGTACGCTGGAATGTCCGCTAGGATCGCGAATAGTCTGATGCTCCACATACCAACTATGGCTGAAGGGCCGGTCGTTGCAGAGTATCGAAGGCGCATATGGTGGACAACATTCCTTATGGATAATATGGTGTCTTCCGAGATGGGACTAAGGCCAGCCTTTGGGTTCGCACAGGCTGAGCATCCATTCCCATCCGATGAGCATATTCCTCCAGCTTACCAAGCCGACTTTTGGGACTGTAGTATCATGACAGCACATCTTAAATTGTGCAATATTAGAAGTCACATACTGGAGACTGTAGGACATCTACAAGAGTCAGATTTTACGAGCTATGAGGGAGTTATAGCAGTCCCGTTACGTGAGCTAGACTCATGGAAGAACGAGCTCTCACCAGACATTGTTTTCGATTTCGCGGGCGGAGTGCCACAACAGATGATTGACAAACCATCAATGAGGTCACTGGCATCGTGCTATCTGAGGTATCATCAGGTAAGATTTGCAGCAATCAAAAGACACTATTTCAATATGCTAAATTACGCACGGTTATAGGGTTATATCATGTTGATTCGTCCTATCTTTTTCAAGCTTCTTAGCATCGTCCTTGGTAAGGTCACTGATATGTCATCAATAGATGGTTTGTTGGCCCTCAGTGCTAGATGCCTCGAAGCTGCCAAATGCAATATGAGAATCATCAAGACTCTTTCAGACCGCAGTCGACTTGGTAAGTCCTACATACCGTAAATTGGGACAGGATACTCATGTTATTTCCCAGCCAAATATGGTTTCTATGACTCACTACACTTGTTCTCTGGCATCATGATATTCTCTTTGTCAAGGCTGGTGAACGCCATCAGGCCGCTCAGTCTTATACAGGAGTCCGATGATCTCTCCCTGTATTTTACTGCCAGAGATTTACTATTGAGCATGGCTGCGTGTGGAAATCTTGCATCAAAAGGCCATGTGCAGATGCTGGAGGATATAGAACGCCGTCTAGACAATATCTCTCAGACTCAGGACTCACAGGTGCTCGATGTCAGATTAGACGAAATCTCTCCCTGGATTGATTCTGTTGGTGGTGTAAATATGTTTCTAGACATGTCTGGGATCTCTTAAGATACTACTATAGTATATAGTAATATTATTAGTTAGATTATATAATATCCTTTTAACTATTACTTTATAACATAGGTAAATGAAAAATTTATCTAATTAATTTTAAATAATATAACTACATAATGTAATCTATAATAATAAATATAACATTTAAGAAGTTAAATAACGTCTTATATTTTATTATTTAGCCTTACCTTCAACCTATTATCCTAAATCTTATCTGTGTCATACCATTACCCTACAGAACCCCTTAGGGTACCTATAGAGTCGCCCTGCTACAATCAGACTTAAGCAATCACAGATGTAATAGCAAATAGCTAATTCCTGACAGTTTAATCGACTCAGCCTTTTCTATTGCCTAGCCTTTGTAGCAGTGTAGCGTCCAATTGTAGGCTGCCAGCTGTAGTTTCAACACAGCCACTGCCTCATGGTTTCACAACATCGGCTAGTCGCTTCATTTTCTTCAGCTCATCGTGTTAAACAGAGACCATCGTTGTTCATCCCATTCACTATTACCAGCAGTGTTCAACTCGTTCTTAGACTGATAGCAAATATGAGCAAGAAGCAGCCCAAGAGCGCTTCCATCCAGAAGGGAAAAGTCCTTATTGACGCCAAAGTGGAAGAAAGTACATCCATCAATAATAATGACGATGAGCACCACGAAAGCGACAAAGACACGAAACCCGAGATAGCTGATTGTGGAATTTACGAGCCTCTCGAAAAGGCTGAATTTCGTCTTCTTCGGTTGCACAAAGGACGCGACGGGGAGATCAAATGCGACCTATTCAAATCTCCATTTTACGAGCCTGATCGCACTCACAAATACATTGCTCAGTCATATACATGGGGCAAGTCTCCTAGAACGAGATGGATCAAAGTCAATGATAAAGAAATTCGAGTCGCAAATTCTTTATTTGATGCATTGACCGCCTTTCGTCGTATAGGAGAGGATGTGATTCTGTGGGTGGACGCTCTGTGTATCAATCAAGCGGACAATAAAGAGAAGAGCCACCAAATCACGCGTATGACCGAAGTCTACAGGAATGCAGAGGAGGTGTTTGTCTTCCTTGGCCGCGACAGTCCGCATCTTACCAGACCAATAATGACCGAAATGAAGAAGGCGGATAAACAAAGCTCATATCCTCAGATGAAGCGCTATCTTGAAAAGTTAGAGTGGAAGAAATTTAAGGATGGGCTCAAAGATCTCCTCAACCGCGAATGGTTTAAGCGCGTCTGGATCTTGCAGGAAGTCGCATTTGCTCGGACACTTCGAATATTTTGTGGTTCCCAGTCTGTCTCCGATACGTGCTTCGTTGCAGCTGCTGAAGCCGCCGATATTGATCTAAAACCACACTGTCGCGCAATTTTCGAGATCATGCCGAGACAGCACCGAACATTCCATATGGGGAGCCAGGAACAGATTACGTCCTCATGGTGGAGTCCGGAGAAAACTGCCCTTGCCGATCTTTTGAAGTTGTTTGGCAATCGCGAGGCCACCCAAGCATGCGACAAAGTATATGCGCTGCTTAGCATGTCGTCCGATGCTCGTGATACAGACTACCTGCGACCAGAGTACGGGAAACCGGATGCGGAAGTAGTTTACGATACCGCGGCTTTCGTTGTCGGCTATCGCGGGAAGGCTACTACGTTAGCTGTCTTCCAGGATTGGAATTACCAGAGGCTTGCAGACAACATCGACATTCTATCTCGAATAGCCGCGGAATGGGCCATGGACACACAGCATACACACCTGGTCAGCGATGTCCTCCAATTATATAAAATTCAGTATGATCGTTAGGGCGACGCCGATAAGCTTACGCAAAGGCTTCTTAGGTTAGCCATCGATACAAGAAACCTTGACCTATTACGAATCTTGCTTGGACTCCATGATGCTTAGTACTCGAAGTCATGCGTGGGTTTTCTCCAAAGCGCAAGTCATCGAAGTGAACTCCATAACCTAGTGCTGGAATTGTCGGTGAAAGCCAACAGCCCTGAAATGGTCCAAGAAGTACTCAGATATGCCGACACTAAGGATATACCAGCTGATGATAAGTTCCTTCGCAATACTGCCAGATGGGCGGTAGAAGCTTCGAGGGTAGACATCTTACACACTATGAGCCAACGTCACAAAGCGGAAAAGATCATCCCCCATTGTCAACAAGACTTACTCGCCCTAGCGGTTGGGCTTGGGGATGTGCCACTTTTGAAATGGGCGTTGCGGGATTTCAAGTTTTCAATTAGAGATTGGATGATACAGCAAGCAATTGACGGAAAGGACGAGGAGATCGTTCACTTGCTTCTGAATGACGCGACAGACATGGATGGTCAGCTGTTCGAAAGGTTAATTGGTTGGTCAACCAGTGTTTCAGCACCCCGTGAGACTCTTCGACAGTTACTTATATGTCGTTGGGCGGAGTTGTTTTGTGCCTCTTGGACAGAACACCATGTTGAGAGTATCTTAAAACAAGGAGCCAACCCAGATGGGGGCCCGAATTGTAGGAGGACGCCGTTGATAAAAGCTACGGGCCTGAAAATGGTGAATATGGTGGCCTTTTTGCTTCGCCAAAAGGTGGATGTTAACGCGAGATATTTCGACACACCTCTACTGAAAATGATCACAGAATGTCAACGGAAGAAGGAAGATTGGGAAAAGGCAGCTCGTAAAAACCTTTACCCCTATAGTTATGGCAAACGGTATGCAAACATCTGCGATACTACGAGCTCATCGGAAAAGGAGCCTCTGGATCTTACTACCGAGACCAGAATTATCAAGCTACTCCTCGCTCACAACGCAGATCCAAACATTGGTCGTTCAGTCGGTGGTTGTTTAGCGTTACACACATCCATTTTAGTAGGATCTACAGACCTTACCCAGAGCCTTCTACGATCAAACGCAAACCCCAACGCCATCGACAGTCATGATGGGCAAAAACGATTTCCTTTGCACATGGCTGTCACAGCAGGCTCGAACGAACTTACCGAACTTCTTCTCGATTGGAAAGCGAACCCAAATATGAGATACAGAGGCCAACCTTACCTCTTGCATCTTGCGCTGCAGGCAGGACATTGGAAGATAGCCAAGCTTCTGATACAACGAGGCGCTAATGTCAATGCCCGCGACCCTAAATACTTCACGCCACTCTTCTACGCCTGCGACCCTGATGCTGACGCGCTGGAAATTAGTCGACTGCTGCTCAAATACGGGGCTGAAATTGACGCAAGAGACAGAGAAGAAATGACACCGCTCATTCATGCCGCTCATTTTGGCGTCACGGAGATTGTTGCTCTACTCTTGCAGAATGGAGCCGCGTCTGGTGCCAAAGATAAGGGAGGGTATACGCCGCTTCTACACGCCAAGTATAAGCAGCACAAGGAAGTCAGCCGTGTAATTCAAACTCACGAGGCCTTTCTCAACTGGGTTCTTGAACGTGTAGAGCTGTAATACGGTCCGCGCAGACATTATGCAGACTGTAAAGGGGTCGCCTGAGTCAGGGCTTAGTGTTACGACAACAGGACCTATGATGATGAGAATTCGGGATGAAAGTCATGGAGTAAGCATACTGATCAAGGACTAGGAGGAACGAATATATAAGACTAACAGTTTCCTATGTTAGGAGTTCTTTGTGGTTAATACAACATTGCGCTTGGGTATTCAGAATTTAACCCTGGCAATAGTAACTAATCCACTGGATTAACTATAATTACTTTACACTCCTGTCTTGATACTCGCTTTTCAGTACTACACAACCCTCTACAACAACCTCTCCTTACCCTAGTAACTCTGAACCTGTTGTTTAACTTAGGTATCGACCTTGAAGGGGTTCTAGTAAGAGATAAGGAGTGCGCAGGGAAACATTACGTTACTAAATTAGATGAACAGTAACACTCTTTAAGGAAACTAGACGCAGAGAACTGTATTGTAGATTAACATTATTTACCTAAAGTGTATCTGTATTACAGGTTAATATCCTAAGGAACTAGATAAATTAATAATTATGATTAGAGTATTAAGTTTAAATTAAAGAAAGTGAGCTATTGAGCTATGGGGGTAATAAGAATTAGGTCCTTATTGTAACGGTTCATTACTAGGATCGATCAATCGATCAGACGATTGAGTATCAATACTAGATGAGATAGTGATTGAGGGTAGATCAGATAGAGGATGTAGGCCTACGAACTGTTGCTATCTGCCTACTATATAAGGAACTAATCCCCCTGCCTCATATAGCTCCATAGCTTACTCACTTCAATTCAAACTCGATACTCTGATTACAACCAACTGATCATCGTTGTATCTGGTTTCTTAGGATATTGACCCGTGACACTTGTATAGTAAGTAGATAGATAATAGTATATAAGCCTCCTGTTAGGTAACAGTGTATAGGCCTATATATCCTATCTAATCTATCCTTAGTCACTATCGTGTCTACTGTTCATACTCAATCGTCTGATTGATTGATCCTGGTGATTAACCGTTACATTACATGCCGTTTGCCTGCGGCGCTGCAGCTGACCAGACCTCACCTCCAGGGGCGACATATTCCATACCATGCATCTCGATATCAACAATGTAGTGGAGATGTATCTAAACATTTTAGATCTCATGTAATTTGATAAGTTGACTTAAAGCTAAAACTGATGCACTTACACCTTTAACATCGTCCGGATCATATGCACCTGGAAGTGCGACACCAGCAGGCAATTGATTAGTTCCGCTTCCAGAAACTTTGAGATGAGCACAAGATCTGTGTGCGTACAAGTCACTACTGCATTAGCTCACGTTGTTATTTTATAGTGTGCGTTACTGACGGATAGAATTGCGCGCCCATCCTCGTGCTTGCAGCTTGTAAGCCCAGAATTTCATGTCGGAGCACATAATCACCAGGTGCCAGAGTCGGAGGCACTGTTATTGTCCATGTGGCATTCTGTTTCATGAGCAACATTGAAGCCCAAGCAGGGTCTCTCGATCTGTCGTATGCCATTTGATCGATTTTTACCCAGACATTTCCAGTATCGCCTTTGAATGTCTTGCAATCTCCGTTGCAATTTGCTAGGTAGGTCATGACGGGACCAGGATGAGGAATGTTCCACGAATCCCATATTAATCGCCTTCAAAGATCCATCGATCAGTGTTAAAAATGAATGTCCCTGAATTGAGCTAAATCTTACATTTTATCGCCTGGCTTCACAGGGATACTTTCAACATTTGAGCCATCGTTACCCGGTGCTCCAGGCCCACCATTTGGCCCGACGTTTGGGTAATTATTGCACCTGTTGAAATCGATCAGTTCAGCTATGCTTTTTTGATTAAGAGCATAAGAATGTTACTTGCGTAATTGCTGCGGTAGTAAAGTCATCAACGGGTCCATTGTCCCGATAAGGTCGGGTGGCTCTGATGGGCTGCGGATCTACGAAGCGATCCTCCCAGACCTTCCAACCTGTGTAGTTGACGCCATTTACTTCTATTGCTCCCAGATACCCATGTGCATGAGAAGTTTTGAAGAGGCTGCTCGCAAGGAGCGCGAGAGACAAGAAATGGACCATTTTCAAACTCCCGAAATAATGTTGAGCAGAGTGTAGAACATTGAATCAGAGTATTTTTAAGAATTGGAACGCAATTTAAAGTTTTCGAATATTGAATAGTTATGTATTTAGTGAAAGTATGCAATGACTGTGTTTAAACATGATGTTGCATTTTGTGTTTAACCGCAGTATTGCTTGTATATAATTCAATGTAACGTACCGAAAGCAAGGTACACGCCATATGATTTATGGCTTGATAATCGTATGTTTAGACAACTCAGCATGGTGATATAAGCAGCTATATGATTTTGGCGAAGTGGTTTCTGTCTTCCTGCCCCGTTCTTAATCATTCTGTTGTTTAAACACATTGATGCAATTTATCTATTACCATCTGCTAGAAACCTTGCTATAGTGTTTAATATTAGAGTTAAGGTGTTACTATGATAAATGTACACGTTCATAGTATTTTTTAGAGCTCTAATGCACCGCTAGATGTAGGCAATTGCCCTCAATACTGATTCTCATAAACCCGCATACTTGCTCGGAAAGCGGATTCTGGCTAATGAGACTTAAGAGACTGTTTGACACATGGGAGAATTCTACAGCCAGACTTGATTTCTCTGCAAAAACGACAACGGTTGGAAATCACCCAATTGTCAGTCAATATGATTGTGGCAAGCCAAATCCGTAATGTATAACAATTCGTAAGCATCTTGCAAGTAATCCTTAATTACCATGTAGGGGTAGAGTTACATTAAGTATATATGTTAGAGCAGTACTGGCACAACACACACACATTGTCTTAACCTACAAGCTTCATAGAGACTGGGGGGAAATGGTGAGATATGTAGAGGTCTGTTTCATTATCGTAACACGATAGGGGCTGGGGGCAATGAACTATTTCCGGACCGCTACTTGTTTAATGCAAATTTTGCACTGATTCTTACAGTCGTGGAACCTATCAGCTCAATTACCCACAAAGGCACCAATATTTCTATGATTTGTCACCAGTTGAGGCGTCGAGACTCGGCGTGGATCAATGTAGATCCCTGCGCATGTGTGCATTGAGTTTCCCATAATCATGACTAACATTCTTCAAGATGTTCCGATTGACCTTTCGCTGATGAAAAGATAGTTCTACTAGATCTCTATAGAGTATAAATACTAGATAAATATAAAACCTAAGTTTTTTACGTCAAATACTTGAAGAACAAGATCCAAGCAACAATGATAAGCGCAGTCAATACAGCTAGAGCAGCGGTAGTAATGAGCTTGTTAGGAGTCCTCCGTGTCAAAGGGTCATTTTCAGGATCGGTGATTGCTCTCAGACGCGCTTCACGCTGATGTCTTGTCATCGTCATGCCCTTGCCCAGCTTCTTGAAGTCAAGTACGATGTACAACAACCCAAGAACAAAACCCCACGCCTTTATTCCGATAGCAAAAAGCAGTACCTTCGTATAGCCCATATTCTCTGTGCCATCTTGGAGCACACCATATACAACATCCGTCTGCTCGCACATTAGATATTGTCTCAGAGAGTGGCCGCCTTTAATTTACTTACAATTGTTGTGTTGGAATTATTGTATGCTCTCCATAATCCGAAGGCAGTGCCAAGCTTGGACTGGTCTGCGACCAAGAGCGGAATGATAATCTGAATTGGGAGTGCATTGAATGAATCTCCAAGACTGCCGAAGACAAGAGCGACTAGTGGGTGCAGGTCGGTGAAACCGATCAGGGCGCAACAAATGATGAAGAAAATTGGAGCCAGAGCAACGAGGTGAAAGCGATGTCCATATCTATCCATACCAATGCCGATCAATGGACTGAGGACGATTGGTAGGATCTTCTGTCCGGTCGCCATGTAACCTGCGACATCCTCTTTGTAACCCTTCATACGGATGATGTCGGCAGCACTGTTCTCGAAACCTCCAGCACCCCCCGCCTGTAGTGTCTGTGTTAGGGGAAACATCATATATGCCCATGGGATAGTAAACAGAATCCGCCAGTCTACGATCTTCGTCTTGAGATTAGGGTTCTTAGCCATTGCATCTGCTCGAGCGGAAGTAAGTCTGTGTTGAGGGGGCACGATGGTGTTGGCAAACCAAACATAGCCGATATTGATTACCCAGGAAACAGCACAGAATATAACAGCAATCCAGAAGGCCCATTGATAATGACCCGTGCCGTCTCGAATTGGAATTGCAGCCATGCCTGCCACAATTCCGACGGCCTTTGCAACAGCGTTATCAATGCCGAAGGCGAAACCGAGATCACGGGCGCCAAACCAATGATAAAAAAACTAATATATTGCGTCAAAAATGTGTCACCAGAATGATATGTTGCCTTACCTTATGCTGGGCCGAGTCAAGGACAGCGACTCCTAACCCTTCAATGAGATTACCAGCGGCTAGTACCCTCCACTTCCCCAGATGGGTGGCACCCGCAGCAAGTGCGTTTCCACCCAGCATGATCGTAGTGCATACGAGGGTAACAGCATTGGGCCCCCACCAATCGAGTAACATCCCTCCAAATATCGGCAGAAGAGTATTGACAAGACCGTCGGCACTGCTGATAACTCCGTATTGTGCATTATTGATATCGAGTTCGTTTCTCAGAGTATTCTTCAGAGGTCCAAGTGTGGAACTGGCCCATCGCCTGCCCAACGGGAAGGATATTACGCAGGCAAGCGCAATCCATTTGTACTTCCAAGGAATCGGCTGAGGTTCGTTGTCTGAGAGGCGAGTATCAGAGCCATCGTGGTCACTGATTGCGGCAGTAACAAAGTCTTTGTCGTCTTTTTCATTGTCAAGACTGACTTGCGTCTGATTGTTAGCCATTCTGTGCCAAAGAAAGAAAAGAGACTGTAGCTGACTGGTTATCTTATCTGATGATGATGATAATGGTGAATGATGTACCCTTCTATATATATATGTCAACATGTCTGCTCCTAGGGCGACTAAACTTTACCACTGGCATATTTTCATATGCGAATACGAACGAGTGCTTTTTTTTTTCCAATCCTTCATGAAGTCGCCAGGTCTGTCAATGTGGATGTTCTTGACCATCATGGCCTGTTAGCAGCTTGATCAGCACTTGGCATGCCTCTTTCTATCCAGATACAATGAACGACGATTTGCAGTCATTGGATCAGCGGACTCCATAGCGGAGCGGCCAAGGGGCCAAGTTATGTTTCCGTTCACTTGGCATGGATCTGATAAAACTTGGCGCTACCCAAATCAGCTAACTATGCGGAAGTCTTTTGAGTTGAATGGCTTCATCGCGCAATTGCAGGCTAGGATGAACCAGGCAGTAGTTGGGCGCATCTGGTTAGCTGCCATCCTACGAACCGTGTGACCAAAGCGCTGGGTGCTACTCGTGAGTCGTGTATGTACGTCAAAGAAGATGCAGACAACGATGCCTGATTTGACGACACTTTCTTGGTTATCTTTTCTAAATCATCAATTGAATCGTTCATTGGCCTTCCCTTGGACTCTAGAGCTCCATACAATTCACATTTACCTTGACTTGAAAAAAGGACCATAAAAAGCCGCATGGGCGATATGATTTGAACGAAGAAGGGAAGAAAACTTTACCAATTTCCTATTGTAGATGCTAAACCTTCGGGTCGTCTCGGCAGCAGATGCACCGCCGGTCCGCTGTATGTCGAGCGGCTGAATCTCTTTTCCGAGCGACTTGGCAATTCTGCGGTCCAATTAGGGTGCCACTTGCCCCACTACTAACCCTAATCAACACGAGATTAGATAATCGGCATGGCAGGATCTTATCTTTCCATCGTCACTCCGAAGACCACAGTAGTTATGTACGAGTAAATTGGATCAGACGTGCAACCTGCATCCTATGGTTGCACGGGAATAATAGCATAGCCATAGAGGAAGTATGTAAAGTTCGTGGCCTTTTGAGTGTATGGACCCACTTATCTGTTGCAGAGGTGACCAGTCGTGCATTCAATCAAGGAAAGCTACAACCGCCTACAGTGCACGCTGCCGACTGTCTTCTATAAAAATCTTCATCATAGCCTGGAAACGTAGTGAAAAGGATTACCTTGAGTATCCATCTAGCCCAAACCCCACAATGAAGCCGGAGTTGCCACAATTCAAGGTGCGTGGTCGTAACAGTGTCAGAGACAACAATGTAGAGTAGGTAATTGACTGTGCCTAACTATGTCGGATAATCAAGGCGGGAAGAGTACGGGATCCACTAGGACCAGTCCCCACCAAAACCAGTGGTATGACACGTACTGTAAGTGCCCGAGTCGGTTCGACGCACTTGATCTTTTTGTTTTTTCCGGTGGTCCTTTGCACATGTCCAAGGATATGTCATTTTATTGGGTTGATAGTCAATCCTATGAGGCGAAGCAGCAGAAGATTCACTCCTGCGAAAGACGCGAGATTGTGTCCGACTGCGGATCTCTCAACACTTTCCATAAATGGGAAGAGCTTGTCGTTCTCGGATATCAGATGCAAAGATAAAGTTGATGCCATGTAACTCACTGGTGGTTCACTTTAGTAGGTTAAGGCAGAGAGTGCGCCGGCTTCAAATTTAAGTAAAGGAAGGGCAGCTGAATACCCGATCCGAACTGCAGTTAATCCGGTATCCGAAGCAAGGCGGATATACGAAGCGGTCATTGACGTTGCGCTGTGTATAGACATCGGCATTGTCTGGTTACAAATTATACGGATAAATACCTCATTGGCCTACGAGTGTATTATTTCACGCGTAATGCTTTGGTGGACCGAGCTACTCACCTGTAAACACTATGCGTCCAATTACTCGTACCTCAATTACCGCCCACCTTCATGTCGACAACCGGCCGAAAGCCATTCCGCCAAGTGCGAAGTAGTAGAAGTTTGGGTGCCTATTCTAACCTTTTCGTGTTCTAGCAAATGCCTAGATTGACTATCTTCTTACTTCAAGCCACAACTTTAGTATAATAATCGCAGGGAAGCTGTTGAGGTAGTGGGGATACTCAGTGTAAAGACCAAGAGCACATGTCATTTATCAGACCTTTGTCTAAGGTATCTGATCCAATTTACTTGAGAGAGATTATCGAGGTGCTGTAAAACTTGAACCTATACTGTAAATCGAGATAATGTTGAAATGCTGAACCAAGCCAAATCCTCCAAAAGCCCACTCGGAGGGACAGTATCCAATAAGGAATCACCCGCGGGTAAATGCATTGGAGCAGTGAGACATGTCCGTATTGTATACTTTACAGCTGAAATGTTGATCATAGCAAGTACACACAATGCCCTTGGCCCAGAAGACGGAAATCAAGGAACCCTTACAGGTGGTACAGCGAGGAAGTTTAACTTTGTGTATTACAAGATGCTAACAGGTTCAACGCCTTTGATAATAATTCTCTTTGACAGGATAAAAAGCCCTTTGAAGTGAATGCGGAAGAGATATTCATTCCAAGGCTGATTACATGGTGGCCCATGGTTAGTTCGATTGTATTCTACCAGCTAACAACCACACGGATAAGAGTGTCAACAGACAATCGAATCACTTTCAGCTTTACAGTCACTGTATAATTGTTTTTTTTAGCATGCCTTAATTTATTATGACCCTAGTCTTTATCGCATGGGATATGCACGCCTTCCATTGCTGGAGGACCTATCTGACCAGGCAATCTTTTCAACCCTTCGATCCAACACGACGTTCTCCAATCTTCAGCACCAATTTCTGTATCATCTACCTCGCTAGTTTCATAAACATATTGCCACCTTGAATACCTAGACCCAACACGGCACTTATCTGAGAGGTGGACTAGACCTTTCCTAGTCATACACAGCAACATTGCTGGTAATGTCTGTGTGCGAAATACTTTTGGGACCGCTTTTCGAAATGCATGAAGAGATTCTTTGGCTACGACAAATAATAGGTATGCGATTTCCATAAGATACGGCAGCTGTGATTGGCACTTCTAGTTCGGAATGCCTATAATAGAAAATCAATGTTTGAATTGTTCTGCAACATTCTTGAACAGATAAGAGGCTGAATCAAATCTCTTGATTCACAACATCGTGTTGATCTCTTACCGCTGGTACCGGGTTTGCTTCTCAATATGTCCATCGACTTGACTATCCAAACTACATGTTAGAACGGGCGGATGGATTCGGTTGCGTTGTTAGGGACCAAGTAAATCTAGACCATCAGGGTTTAGCTCGGTGAGACCTTCGCTTTGCGACTTTACACTTTAAAGAGCAACCCATCACATCGGCTAGAGCATATTTCTAAGTCGATTAAAGATGTACGTGCTATCTATGAGAATATGGCCGTCCATTTCTCCATTTGTTCTGTATCTTAAATTTCGCCTTTTGTGATCTGGTGGAGTAAATTTTCATAACTTTCTTGCTTTCAAGTATACCTATACATTTCTCTGATTACAACGCTTACCATTTGAATTGTCGGTTGAGTATTGAGGCCAGAGAGCTCTAGTATCTGTAGTTTGACCAATAATGACTAACAAGTGCAAACAATTGCAAGTGAAGAATTGGCTTGGCGCTTAGAGGATATGCAGAGTCTGCAGTGACACGAATGTGACTATATAACATCAACGAGATGATTATAGGTCTCGTCAATTTGATTTTTAGGTGCACTTATTACATTATGGAGTCGAGCATGAAATTCTCCAGGAACTGAGACTTTGCAGCCCAAGCTACAGAAAAATGAGATCTTTTTCTTTATCATATGTACTCTTGAGAGTCTCCACAGCAATATACTAAAGTGAATTGGAAAAAGCCTCAGTCTATGAATAGGTAGGTAGTCTCATTTTCTCACCGGTCATAGGAACATATGTATTGATTCAGAGAAAACAAGCCATGATGGTCAAATCGTCCACGAGCGGTAAGATTTGCGTGTAATGAGATATAACACCCCTATAGACAATGAACACGGTCTTAGTGTCGAGCAGAATTCTGATGATTTCGATTGCTAAGGAGGGGATCCAAAGCTCTGGATATCTAAAATGTCAAGGCGATAAAAGATACTATGTACATCATTCATAGTGCTACATCTGCAATCGTCTTATCTTTGTTCGGGGCTCAAAGGGAATGCTTCGAGTGTGGCCGGGAGATGATCGACCTCTAAAAACAAGGTTTTACATTCCATCAGTTAGCATTGCCTCCACCATTTTCACATGACGATCTGCGTTCGTCTCACTCCACTCATTGTCGTAATTCAAACCATAGGGCCAGAAGTGCCCACCACCACAGTTGATTTTTGCGCTAGGTCCATCGAACGAACGGAGCAGTGGAAGCGCAGTTGCCCAGTCACCTGCTGCACATTTCCGATCAAATGCAGCAGTCTGTCCAACACCGAGCGTATGCGAGATTTCATGCATAGCTGTTCGCTCAGTCATGTAAGATCGATTTGAGCCAAAGCGTAGATCCCCATTGTAGTTTGCTTCAGCTGTCGGAACGCCGGGTGCATAGTATACGCGTATAACTTTGTTGGCATCGGAGAATCTCGAATATCTAGCGATTGCAAGCTTCATGGCTGCTTCTATCTTCTGATACGCATCGTTCTGATCGGCTGTGGGGTTCGAGGCTTTCTGAAGTGTCCACGTTATGGCAGCAGAAACCGTCGAAGCATACGCAATCAGGAATGTGAGTAGGAGAAGTCGCATGGTACAGGTTGATCGGTTTCAAAATGTAGGTAGTTGGTGTGAATGAAAACCTTTTTAACTTGACAAGAGAGAATCGATGTTGGATGCTCGAGAGAACTCGTTGCGGTGCCCTCGCCTTATACAATCTTGGAGCGGCATAGATCAGGTCTAATGAAGATGGTTGTAACCCTGTCTAGTTACTACTGCATACATGAGTTTCTAGAGAAATTTTGAGCACGGATTTGTCTCATCCTCCAATAAAATTGATGAAAGCCAGGGTTTCATACTTCACCTTCTTGAAAGATGCTAAACCCATGACTCTTCGATATTGGCTTGGCAATATCCGTAATTAATGACATGAAACGCACACTTCCGGGGTTATACACAGCATCATCTATAATATCAGGGATTAGGCCCACATTCGGACTCCACATGAATACAGAAGACAGAGTGGAATAAATCTCAAGGGAACCATCTTGTCTCGTAAAACTTTTCTCGCAAAACGTTTATTAATGTTTTACCAATAGACTGTTATCAGGAAAAATCGGGGCTTTAATGGAAAATCGCTGGCTAGATAATTGTTGTGGTTACTTGATCATTTTAGAGTCATCGTTGGACCCGAAGCCGAAGCTATCCTTTCTTTTGAAGACATATCCCATAAGTATGTCCTGAACCCAGAGAGGCCAGTTTCTAGCTCCAGCCTTTCCTTCTTCCGAAGCCGGAACATGAATCCTCCCACTCTTTCCAGCCAGGACTTGATTGAAAACTACCCTTGCTACGTTGATGGGTGGATCGGGGTAGATACCGTGTTTGTTAAGCGTCTTTTCAGCACCCTTCAGAATGCCCGTAGTATGCCAGGACGGATGAACGCTTGTTGTACAAATGCCTTCACCACCTGGATAACGAGACAAGCACTCTGCCCGAATACCTGTGCATGTTAGTTCAATACAGTGAGATGTTCAAGGGATATTCACCATCACTGAGATACAATGCTCCCACTTTCGAACAACAGTAATCTAGTAGGCCAGGAGCTGCGACGAATGAAGCCATCGATGCTATCGTAACTATGTGACCTCGTTTCTTTTGAAGCATGCCTGGAAGAAATTCTCTGATCAACACGAAGTGAGAGATCAAGTTGACTTTGAACAGCTTCTCACACTGTTCGTTGGTAGTCTACATCGAAGCATTAATTGAAGGTAAAGACGTTTTGGAGTTGATAGAATACCACTGACCTCGAGTACTGTCTTTCCAATACCAATTCCGGCGTTATTGATCAACACAGTAGGATTCCCGTGACTTCGCCGAATTTCATGGCAGAGGGATACAACTGCGGGGGTATCAGTAACATCGCATTCATAATAGAATACGCCGGGCACTGGAAATGACAGTCAGTAATTGTCAATTAAGTGGGCGAGTCACTTGCATCTTGAGAGCTCGCTTGGTAAAGGACTGATGTCCAGAACGATCACTCGTGCCTTCTCTGCAAAGAGCTTGACCATCTCGAAACCAAACCCAGAGCTACCTCCGGTGATGAGCACCACCTCTTCCTTCGTTGAACCAAATCGAAACGGTGTACCGGGGCGACCCAGTGTCCAATTGTTCAGAGCTAGCCTGTTCAACGCTCTGTTTACACGCTTTGCAAGGCCAAGTGCAGTAAGAGCTTGCAGAATGACGACCAGAGACTTCAACCTAGCATCCCGATTTTTTGATAGGAGATACGGCTGCAAAGGCTGTAGCATTTTATCTCTAATATGAGACGGACCTCGCGTCAGAAGATAAAGAAGACCACCGGTAACAATTGGCTCATTCAATGCGAATTTGAGTGCATCGATGGGAAGATGTGCCACACGTGCAATGGGCCTTGTGGCCTGCTCGGGAGCTGTGAAAGATGACATGTCGATCAACGAATTCGTCAGATGGAGTCTGGAGTACAGTAGTCAAACGAACCCAGAACAGATTCGAATTAAACAATTATATTTATGTACATTTTGGATATGTACTTGCATGGTTCGAGTCGAATGCCCCATGCTAGATGTAAGAATGAAGTATACCGAGGCATGGGCAAACTATGTTCGCCTTGATACCCCGCAGACATGTTGTTGTTGATTCTGGGGTGCGGTTTGCGGGGAAGCTAAGGTGACGAGCACATGGCGATTCAGCAGAAGCGTTCCCCCACATTATTGCCATGAAAATATTAGCGAGTCGCTTGTTGGCTACCCGCATATGATTGCACCAGATACCTAGAATTCCAACTCACTTCCTTTTTACTTGACAGTGTGCCCTTTCTCTGTATCTAAAGGCGCGCGCTCATTGCCACCGAGCCCCCCCATGTCATCACTCAGTTGATAGAGTGGCTCAAAAGGGGCAACATCTTTCCGTAGAACTGACTTCTGGAAATACCAAGGCAGCTTCTGACGATAGTATTGAGCATGTTGGCGATTACCAACATTGAAGACCGTATCCAGCTCCTCCAACGTAAGATTCTTCGTTTCTGGCAAAAGGAAGTATGCATATACCCACCCAAAAAAGTTCCAAGCGGCATACCAACCGAATGCACCCTGTGGGGTGAATGCTCGAACAAGAGGCGGCCATGTAAGTGACAGAATAAAGTTGAAGCCCCAACAGGTAGCTGTGGCAAAACTCATCCCAATGTCTCGAATATACAAGGGGAATGCTTCGGCTGAGTAGGTAAAGGGTACTGGGCCCTCGCCAGGTGAGTAGACTGCCATGAATGTGAAAATGGCTGCAGCGACGGAGCCGACTTGTGCCTGCGAAGGCTTGGTCTCACCCGGGTTCTCAGGATCCGGGATATTCGGAATGAAAAAGCTGAAGCCACACCAGAACAAGCATATTCCCATGAGCGGGAATGTTGTGAGGAGAAGATTCCGGCGCCCAAATGTGTCGATCGTATAGATTGCAGGGATGGCGAAGAGCCAATTGGTTATGCCTGTACCTAAAGAGACGAGCAATGCATTGGAGCGATCGAAGCCTGCTTCTTCGAAGATGGAGGAGCCTGCAAATAAATCAGTAGCCATTCATGCGCTTGTGAGGGACTTGCTTGTGTGATGCTCGAGGTTCTCCTGTTGGTGGATATAAATTCCCGACTTGTAAAGTTTACTCAGGAACCAACATCTAAAACACGAGCAGTGTGCAATCAAAACTTACTGTAATAAGCAATTACATTGACTCCGCAGAACTGAAATGTTTAGTTAGCGAGGTAAATCAGAAGTCTCGCCTAAAACCTTACCTGCTGCATGAACATGACAAAGAACGAGCTCTGTGCAGCTCGTCGATTGCGCCTCACGGTGAAGAATTCTTTAAAAAGATTCTTGCCCTCTCGTTCAGATTGCTCGACTTCGAGGAGCTTATATGCATAGTACATGTCGCGAGCAGCCTGTATTTTGTGCTTACGAAGACGCTGGAGGGCTTGGAAGGCCTTGTCAAATTTCCCCTTCTCCATGTACCTGATTAATGTCAGTCATGATTTCAGGCTCAAGCAATCCACTCTTACCATCTTGGACTTTCTGGACAGAAGTAGACTTGAAGCATAACCAGTAACGGAGGAATACTAGTGCTAGCAAGCATCCACCTCCACTGGGAGTATTCACCAAGGAAGTCTACGTTTTCGAAAGCCACGCAAACGACAAACCCAAGCATGATACCAAAAGCCGTCCACATTTGCCACATCATTGTCAGCGCTCCACGAATAGTTTTCGGGGCTGATTCGGCTGCATAGACAGGCGTTGTACTGGATTTAGCACCAACGGCTAGGCCAAGAGCAAACCGAGCAATGAGCAAGTTGTACCAGCTGACAGTCTGTTAGAAAGCGGACGCATATTTGGGGAAAGAGGGCGTTACCTATCAGCCGCGGCCATCCAGAAACCAGTAACAAAAGAGATGAAGCAAGAGATGAAAATAGTACCACGACGCCCAAACAATTTGTTCAGTGGTGCGTTGGTCCAGCATCCAATGGCAGCGGAGCACAGATATGGTGCACCGTTGAGCAAGCCTTGCATCCACTCGTTCTCGATGCCAAACTCTTCAAAGTAGTATAACTGATGCAATTCGTCAGAATACATGCTACCAATGACCTCTTGTATATAAGTCACTAAAATGAAGACTTACCTGCGCACCATTGACGGCAGTCTGGTCCATTCCTTGAACGATGGCTGAACCGGCGCATAGGACGACAAGGAAGTACAACATAAATGGTTGACTCCAACGGTGTGCAATCTCATGCCTCAACACTTTCTTGTCGTCTTCGCTGAGTTGAGTGACGTACTCAAACCCATCTTCCCTTTGACCAACTCTAGCGATCAATGCACCTTTTCGAAATGCATCTCTATGCGCGGAAAGACCCTTCTCTTCAACAAATGCATCGACATCAGCAAGTAGAGCCTCCTCTGTCATTCCCGCTAAGGGATTACGTAGCAGCGCGGCATTGGAGATGTGTCTACTGGCCACCGAAGCGTGCCGGCCGCCAGCATGTTCGTTATGTTGCGCATTGTTATCTCTGATTGAGTCTTTGCTGCTACCTGGCGAGGAGTTGTTCTTCGACTCATACCCTGGTGGAGGGTCAATACCATCCTGCCGAGACATTTCGCAGGAATGGGAAATTTCTATCACAATAGATCGAAACAAGAGCCACCTGGTTAATCTAGGTGGATGTAGGCAATTAGAGAAGAACAAGGCGAGCTTGAAATGGGAAAAGCATGGCAAGACTTGTAAATAAATAGCCAGTATCAGTCGTCCTTCGCATACCCACAGCTTCCTGGTGGAGCATCGAATATACCTCCAAGAATACGCCAACGGCCCCCGGAGCGGGTTTTACAACTGTGCAATGCATTGGCAGATGTAACCACACATCGTGTTCATGATCACTATATCACGTCCCAAGAAATAGGATTGTTCTGTTTCGTTGCGAATAGCGAAGATTCGATCCTGAGCATACATCATAGTGGAGAACAACAAGCACGTAGCCCGTCTAGGCGCGGACTGGGCGGAATCTGGGCCAGAACTTGGCGGGAGCGGAAGTGCCTTTGCTAAGACTCCGTCTTATGTGTATCACGGGTGGTTTTGCCGGGCGCGGCTCCAGGACCCAATTGAAAGGGAGCATTCTGGGGAATACGATTGCGGGTGAAGTTTGGATAGTATGTGCTCCTGGTTAGGCTGCAGATGAGCCGAACTCGAGAACTGGGGATATGAAAATGTTCATGGGCTTGTAAGCAGTGTTGATTGCTTCAAATAAAAATGCACAAAAGCCTCCACAGGATCAAGAGCGACATACCTCTTACAACCAAAGTCAAGTATGTAGGGGATGCTCATTGCACTTGATTAGCAGCCCGTCAACCACGATCACAACAGGATTCAGGGACGTCTTGATTGACGATCAGCACGAAGTTTGGTGATTTAGTCTCTGTGTTAGCACCGATTATGGTTCTTGTCTGGAGAAGGATCTACACAATTGTAAGCAGGACGCCTCTCGGTCGAGCTGCTCTGGCAATGCATCCACAAATATGTACCATTTTCATGCAGACTAAGGAGTACCATGTCGGTCACAATGAGGCAACTAGCCCTCCACGTCCCAGACTTTCACACTGGCATCTCCGCCTGTGGAGAGGACCCTGCCTGCCTGCCATGCGACTCCACTGACCCCGTCTTTGTGGGCGTTCAGAGCCTTGATGCGTTTGCCTGGATCGCTGACACTCCACACCATGACATTGGTGTCCAAACTACCGCTCGCTGCAAGCTCTGCTCTATCGTCCCATGCTAAACACGTAATTCTTGCTGTATGCGCGCTCCATCGGTCCGTGATGAGTTTCCATTCGCCGGCGTTTTCAAAAGCGTAAATCTTCCCGTTTGTCGCACCAACCGCTAGTTTGTCACCACCAGCGGAGAACGAGAGCGCAGAGATTGGAGAGGTTGCTCGTCGAAGTTCAATACCAGTCTCTTCAAGGGCCGTACCCGAGAGTGTGTAGATATGGACCAGCTTGTCGTCACCACCTACGGCCACAACAGATCCAGATGCGGCTATGCTCGTAGGGGCATACTTGACTGACAGGGAGCCTTCTTTCGATCCATCCTTGTAGATTGCGATCGCATCCGATGATACCACAAGCACGAGACCTGATGTTGTAGCGATTCCTTTGGGTTGGAAATTGAGCGAACTGGCGGCTCCGGTAAATATTTTGTTTGGAACTGAGACAGACCGCAGAGTGTCGTCCCAGCCAACACTAAAAACCTCGGGCTCGGTCTTGTTCTCGGAAGCTGTGAAGCCCGCGACATAGTTGGTGTGGGAGTCACCGTCTATCTTCTCTGCTACGCCAGCAAGAGTGTCCCAGCCAAGGACGCGACCTTCGTAACTGCCTGTGAAAAAGGTCGAGCCAGAAACCCCTGCAGCTGTTATATTTTTCTGATGACCACGGACGACGCGCGTAGGCTTGTCATTTTCTTCCACCAAATAATTCAGATTTCCCTCTAGGTCAACACTGATGACCAAACCATCGCTACGACCCGTCGGCCAAACAACACCCACCTGTTGGTCGGGTATGCTGGGTGTGCCTTCGTCGCCCATACGCCATGTCTGAATCGCTTTGCCTGCCTCGGGGTCCCAAATACGGACTGTTTGGTCTGCACTAGCGGTGACAAAGCGCTTTGAGTCTTTATTCCATGATATTCCAAAGATACTGCCCGTATGGACCCCTTCACCGATCTGTCCTTTCGCTTCGCCGGTCCTGCCATCATACAGCCAGATCTTCTTATCAGCACCGACACTAGCAAATACCGAACCATCTGGCGCAAATGCAGTGCCGAAGACGAATCGATTATGTTGTCCCCTCAGACTGGTGTTGAACTTGAACGGCGCCCCATGGTAGAAAACCAGACTGGTGTCGTCGGAGCCTGTAGCTGCGCGTAGAGGTCGTTGCTGACGGATAGAGACGGTATTGATCTGTGAGGAGTGACCCGATATTTCACCAACGCTGTTACCGCTATCGGCAGTGATGCAGTGTCCAAAGCGCTCTTTCCCATCTCCTACAGCGATGATGCGTTGCGAGTCACCGTCCCAAGCAAGGTCATTGATGCGTCCTGCAATGATATGATATTCTCCTATTAAACGTTGGTAAAATTCGCTATGCAATATTGGAAGGCTACGATCGCCGTAGCAACTCACCCTTGGTTGCGCCCTCGCCCACGGCATCCCATACTCGAACGGTACCAGAGGCGTCTCCGCTGGCCACATAGAAGCCCGAGGGGGAGAAGCGAGCAACCGTTGTTTGGGCGGTATGCTGGGTGTATTGTTTGCTCAAGGAAGGATCATCGATCGATCGGAGAAAGATGGACTTGTTGGACGCGTATGCGATACGCTCACCCTTGGGGTCGGAAGAGAGCGGTGTGGGTTGTCCGCGGGTGGTGGTCGGAGACGCAGCCCAAATGGCTTTGGAGACAAGCGACATTGTAGAACGCTTTACGGGCGTGAGCGCGGACTGTCAGTCTTGCTGGAGGTGGGTTGAAGGTGTGGTTGTGCTGGTGGTAGTGGTGGTAATTAGGCAGGTAGTATGTAGTATGTACTTGCAATTAGGTTGGTAGTTACAGGATATGGCACTTGGGTGCCCGTCATAGCTTGCGAGCTCAATGCCCCACAGTTTCTACGAGTACCTACCTAGTACCGCAGCTCAGGTAAATATCTAGTGTGGATTTGACTAGCCACCAGATCCAATTATCACATATGTTAAATGATTATGAACTTCAAGATTGAACATATGAAGAAATAAAGGAAAATAAGGGTAACAAAACGCAAATATGCAGTGTGATCCGTCCTGAGCTTAATGGAATTGAAGCGAAGCTTGGAGGGGTAGTTCTGTCCGCGTAATATTCGTATTCAACGAAGCATACGGACGAATACGAGGAGAATAGTCAGTGTGTAACTGTATGGAGAGATCACGTGAGTTCGCGTATTGCAAATTGAACTTCCCTTCAACGCGTCGACAACAACCCTCCGCTTCCCTCTAAATCTCAACATTCTCACACTTCATACGATCGCAAATCCTGATTTTTAATGTTGGATTGATGTGGTGCAATCGAAGTATTTCGCTAGCATGGACTTCGCTTCATCCACAGCACCTGAAAGAGACTTCCACCACCCATACGAACCCTATGACATCCAAAGACAATTCATGAACGCCGTATTTGACTGCATTGAAAACGAAAGAGTCGGTATATTCGAATCTCCTACTGGTACGGGAAAGTCTCTGAGCCTCATCTGCGGATCCTTGACTTGGTTGCGAGATCATCAGCGACGCGAGTTTGAAGATGGCTTTACGGAAGATACCCTAGATGAGAGTGGCGAGCCCTTGTGGATGCTGAAACATGCTCACAATCGAAAGAGACAAGCCGCCATGGACCGGAGAAAGGCACTAGACGATCGCATTGCCAGAGTCAAAGAGAAGGAGAGGCGAGTGAAAGAACAATTCACCATGGGAGAACCTCATCAAAAGCGACGAAAAATAGACCCCCACGGCCCCAGAGACGAGAGTGGTGACAACGAGGCAGGTTTTGTCTTGGAAGACTATGACAGTGACGAGGGCAAAGATTCTGGTCATTCCAAAGTTTTCTTTAATAGCGGTGGATACTCTGTTGAGACGCAGACCCTCATGGAGGAACTTGGCTATGCCTCAAGGGCAAATAAGAACTCGGACGACCAAGATACTGATGATCAATTGAAGATTTTCTATTGCTCACGAACCCACTCTCAGCTTACCCAGTTCGCTAGCGAGTTGCGCAAAGTCCAAATGCCCTCGCCAGCAGGGGTACCAGATGGGCCCCATGCTTCCGACCTGAACCCTCTTGTGGAGGATGTGAAGCACCTGACTTTAGGTTCAAGGAAAAATCTCTGTATCAATCCTAAAGTCAACAGGCTCGGAAATGCTACTGCCATCAATGAACGATGTTTGGAATTGCAACAGCCTGGAACGTCCACCAACACCAAATGCCCACACCTTCCGTCAAAGGAAACCGAAGCCTTGGTGAATGATTTCCGCGACCATGCTCTTGCCAGAATACGAGACATTGAAGAGCTAGGTTCTCTGGGTAAGAAATTGGGCATTTGCCCATATTATGCCTCGCGGCCAGCAACAAAATCTTGCGAAGTAAGCATTTTTACTGCCATCATAGTGTGCATCTATATGCTCATGGTAATCTAGGTTGTCACTCTACCTTATCCCCTCTTGCTCCAAAAGTCTGCGCGCGAGTCGCTCGATATCTCTCTGAAGGGCCACGTCATTATCGTAGATGAGGCACATAACTTGATGGATGCGATAAATGGTATATATTCTGCATCCGTGACACTTTCCCAGGTGCAAGAAGCCCGCGCACAACTCACCATTTATCTCCAAAAATTCCGGAACAAACTCAAAGGCAAAAATCGCGTCTATGTTGCACAGATTATCCGGTTGCTGGATTCGATTGTAGCATATCTTCACTCAAGGCAAAATAAAAGCCCGCATGGAGATGGTAAAGTGGATATGGGTGCCTTGATGGCTGGAAAAGGCGTCGATCAGATCAATCTTTTTAAACTTAATCGGTACCTGCAAGAAAGCCGATTGGCACGGAAAGTTGATGGCTACACGTCGTATGCTGATCAAAACGAGAGAAAGAACCAGATCTCATCATCAGAAAATAAGCCTCTGCAGAGCCCAAAAACCAGTGTCCCTGTCTTGACCCACGTCCAAGGCTTTCTACTCTCTCTCATGAACCCATCTTCGGAGGGCCAATTCTTCTTTTCACACGACGATGACCTAGGCACGGAGCTGAAGTACTTGCTTCTCGACCCAACTTTTCATTTCAAGGACATTGTCGAGCAGGCAAGAGCCGTGATCCTAGCAGGAGGTACCATGTCGCCAGTGAGTGCGCCGAGCCAGTAGGACGTTTAATTCCATTCTGACATGTACGTAGATGAGTGATTACAGGCAGCACCTACTCTCATACCTAGACCCGGCAAGAATCATGACCCTGTCATGTGGCCATATCGTACCGCCTTCGAATCTAGAGGCTATTGCTGTCAGTCGATCCATGAGCGGGGTAGAATTGGAATTCACGTTCGAGAAGCGAAATTCCGAGAAAACCGTTGGTGGCAACGACTTTCCTAAAATGGCATACTTTACTGATAGTACATGCAGATGATCGACCTCGGAAATACTATTGTGAGCGTTGCACGACATATTCCTGACGGTGTTGTCGTCTTCTTCCCCAGTTACTCATATCTGAACACTTGCATCGCCGCCTGGAAACGGCTAAGACCAAGCGATTCGGCGTCATCGCCATCCTTCTGGGACGCTTTGCTCGAGATCAAGCCAATATTCATGGAACAGTCCCTTCAACAAACCCCACATACCCACAGTAAGACCAAAGACAAAGCTGGCGATTCGGTGTTGCACGCGTATTCGAAAGCGGTATCTGAAGGCCAAGGTGCACTCCTGTTCGCCGTCATTGGAGGCAACCTTTCCGAGGGCATCAATTTCAGTGATGCCCTAGGACGAGGAGTCGTTGTTGTTGGGTTGCCATTCCCGAACCCTCACTCTGCGGAATGGAAAGCCAAGGCGCAGTACATATCGCACAAAGCCACCAATGATGGTCAAGATGGAAAAGTGGCGGCGCGTGACTTCTACGAGAACGTGTGTATGCGGTCGGTGAATCAATGTATAGGACGGGCGATTCGTCACCGCGGGGACTACGCCGCGATACTGATGTTGGACAGACGTTATAGTGGGGATCGAATTCAGGCTAAGTTACCCCAGTGGATCCGAAAAAGCCTTGTCACTGATGCTGCGGTTCAAGGACTTGGAAGACGATTAGATGAGTTTTTTGTAGGGAAGAAGGCTAGCTAAGTATTATTTGTTGAGATCGCAAAGTAGAAAACCGTCTAGAGAGAATCGCGAAAACAAATCTGGAGCTTGCAGATACGGGATCAATCGTGCTTGCGGCTGTGGCTTGTTCGGCTAGACGAAGATGTTCTGTCTATCCTCCCATGACAGGGGTGATGGCCAATAGAAGATTCCGCTTGATAGATTGGACTGCATAGCGCTATTTAGACCGTGTTGTTATCAACATGCGTGCATATAAGAAGTAACTAGCGGAAAATCGAAGTTGAGCAGGCATGGTGCCAGTCGTCATCTTTGCCCATGTTCCCAGGATGAAGGGATTCGTGTGTCTAAGTTGCCACCAATCATGCAGGGCATGTATGATTTCTCTACAGTGGCATGTATTTGTGCTACCTACAAACCTAATGAGGCCGCGTCCTACCCCGTCTCGGCAATTCATATGTGCAACGGCCGGTCGTTAGTAATTCGGGTCTTATCAAGGGCCTTACTTGACATACAACCATTGGGGCTTTATGCTACCTGTTGCCCGAACTTTTTCTTTCTGATAGCAACCCTCGTTCGACAATTGTACGCACACCACTCATAGAAATACTTCGACAAGCGTGCAGATTTGAGAGCTCCGGAAATCTCTGACGTAAATCGGGCTAGATCTCGTGAGTCTTGTCATTATTCTTTTAAACATAGGCAGGGCGTTCGTGTTGGCCGTAGTTCGACTTATCAATGTAAACTTGTATGTTCCCTGAAATGTGCCTAACAATTAGTTTAAGTTTCGAAACAACGAAGCTCACTTCTACAGACTGGAGATGTGTAGCATTGAGACTGTGCCCTCGGCGCCATCCACCGAAACTGCTCTGAGGCGTCGCTATCCTGTCCTCGAGAACGAAGAATTCCATACTTTGACACAATTGGTCCAAGCGAGCTGCGCGTCGAGTGCAGCAGCAGAACAGTCCTATTACGAGGAGGACTCGGGGGGAGAGAGTGGCGCTCAAATGAACAAGGGAGCCAAGATTGGTATGGGTGTTGGCATTGTGGTTGTGGTCGTCCTGACTGTTATTGCTATTGGGTTCTGTTTGTTGGATTGCAGGCGTAAACTCAAGAAACGACAAAGCGCACGACACAGTGGTGAGGAGGAAGTTGCCATATGGGAGGATCAACTGCAGCGTGCAAGGTCTGGCCCACCGAAAAATGAAGGCGCCGGCTTGTGGGACAAGTTAAAAGATAAAAGCTCACTGCCCAAAATACACGATGACCTCGGCGATACTCCGTCTAAGGGCCACTGTAACGACAAGCAGATTGATGGGGCAGTCGACGAGAAAAGTCGACATTCGGAATACAACTGAGATTATCGGAAAGTACGTAATATTCTACGGCCGGATTAACAGAAGAGTATTTTGTCTCTTTCAAGTTGATGTGTACGATTTCACCGAGATGTAATTTGAGTAAGATGATGCAAGATCTAGTAGTGGGTTGTCACCATACCATCTCAAAATCGAAACTAAAGGAAGCTTAGGGTTAATTGCTTTTAATTATATTCATTACTTCTTTGTCAGATCTGGTGTTATGAAAGACTTTTAATTGATTTAATCGGCTGAGGTAGAGTTCTTGATTCATTGTAACATCCAGTCTATTCATGTCCTAATGCGGACTAGTCACATCGATCAACGTCTCAGCTCACGTTCAACCGTGTCTTCTGCACTCCACACCATGTCAACGATCACGTTGAGATAAGGCGAATAACTTACTACAAATCCAGCGTCTACAAAAATTTCATATTTCGTTGCAATCTCATCGACCAGATCGTGTATGCGGGGGCATAAATACCCAGGAAGCGTGCCCAATCCGCCCCTTAACGAAAAGATAATTGAACAGTGTCGATGGGCTAGCGGGGAGCGGCCCTCCACGATCTATTCCTTACCTCTGCATATGTATGAGTAATGTCTTCAAGATGGAATGGGTCACGAGGCGAGGAGCGAGGCGCTTATGCTTCCATTGCTCAAACCGAGAACGAGACTATATTCTCGTCCAACCACCAGGAGGAACTGGGGAAAGACTATCTGTATGTTAAGTTCGTTTCTTTCATACGCACAGTGGGCAGTGGCGTCACAGTTGTCGCTGCTGGATGCAAATAGCATGTTTTGGAACATTGACCTCATCGCGCGCACACCCGAGCACCATAAGGTCCCGAAACATACGATTGCTAATCTTAAAGTTAGATCGGATGACGACGTAGGAAAAGAGGTATCCTCTGATAGAGAGACACAATACTTGACTGGTGACTCAGATGAGGCCGGTCGAGAGGATTTGGAGCATCTTCCACACGTTGCGGATAAATTGCCGTATGGTGCCTTCTTGGTAGCCATCGTTGAACTATGCGAACGTTTCGCGTACTACGGTCTCTCTGGCCCGTTCCAAAACTACATGGCAAACAAATACGACGACCCAAATGGATTGCCGGGTGCCCTAGGGCTGTCGCAATCCGGGGCGACCGCACTCTCTAATTTTTTCCAATTCTTCTGCTATGTGACGCCGATACTAGGTGCTATTGTGGCGGACCAATTCTTGGGCAAGTTCCTCACCATCAAATATTTCTCGATAGTCTACATGACAGGAATTGTTATACTTTTCTTGACTTCGCTGCCGATCTGCATAGAGAAGGGGATTGCATTCCCTGGTCTAATTGCATCCATGATCATCATTGGCGTTGGCACAGGGGGAATCAAGTCCAATGTTTCCCCATTGGTTGCCGAGCAGGTGCGCACAACAAGACCATTCGTCAAAACTCTCTCAAACGGAAATCGAGTCATTGTTGATCCGGAAGTCACCATCCAACGCATCTATATGGTGTTCTACATGTGTATCAACATAGGATCAATCTCGGCCATTGCTACAACAACGCTCGAGCTCCATGTTGGCTTCTGGAGTGCGTATCTACTTCCTCTTATTATGTTCTGTGTCGGATACTTCATCTTGATCGCCGGCAAGGATAGATATGTTATCAGGCCGCCTCAAGGCGGTGTGATAGGTAACTGTTTCCGGGCCATCTGGATTGGAGTTAAGAACGGCTTTGATCTCGAGAAGTCGAAGCCGTCACGGCAGCCTCGGCCGAATATCCCATATCCTTGGACTGATGGCTTTGTTGATGAGCTGAGGACAGCATTACTTGCTTGCAAAGTATTCCTTTTCTATCCTGTATATTGGGTGACTTTCTCGCAGATGGCGACGAATTTCGTCTCTCAAGGTAAGGACACCCCCCTAGAAAGAGCCCACATATGATCCATTGACGAGATATATAGCTGGCCAAATGCAATTGCACGGTCTACCCAACGATATTCTACCCAACATCGATCCTATTACTGTGATCATCCTTATACCAGTGTTCGACCGCCTCATATATCCTTTCATTCGCACCAGGTTAAGAATAGATTTCCACCCCTTGACACGCATAACGTATGGATTCGTCTTCGCGTCACTGGCCATGGCATATGCAGCCATGTTGCAGGCCCGCATCTACTCCGCACCTCCTTGCTACACGAGCCCATCCAAGTGTGAGGCGGGCAGACTTCCAAATTCCAGAATTGCACCGAACGAGGTACATGTTGCTTGGCAAGCACCTGCTTACATTGTCCTCGCCATATCCGAGATCCTCGCGTCCGTCACTGGCCTTGAGTTTGCTTACAAAAACGCGCCCGAGAGCATGAAATCCTTCATAATGTCCTTGTTTCTGCTGACTTCGGCTTTTGGAAGCGCGCTGGGGATGCTGCTTTCGCCTTTCGCAAAGGATCCGAATCTCGTCTGGCTGTATACGGGATTGTCGTGTACGGCACTGGCTGGAGGCGGACTTTTCCATTGGACTTTTAAGAGCGTGGCCAAGCCTCAAGGCGCATTACCCGCCGTCGAAACGGTAGAGGAGTATGAGCTAGAAAGTAGGAAAAGCGGTGTAGAGGCCGGGTCAAGTGGAGGCGATTGAAATGAATGATTGTGAAGTTCTTCCAAAATGGTGAAACGAACCAAGGAAATAGAGTCAAGAAATCTACATGGAAGATACATATGTACATATATACAATACCATTCCGTATAGTCGTTTCGGTGTCACTATAAATCACGTGGCTCCAATGCACTCTCGCGTATCCCTGTCGCGCTATTTAGGCCTACTTCCGCCTAGGCTTTCCCCAATCCAGCCCCTGAGTCGCTTCAGCCTGGACATCATGCAGTTCGCTACCAACCTTTATTCCCTCCAGAATAGTATGGTTTGACTTTGATTCAGTGTATATAAATCTCATCACACATCCCGTGTTTGTCCTTCCTTTCTCCGTTCACTCACACTCTATTCTCCAACCCAGCAGGCCAATTGAGGACTTCGCCTTGGCTCCTTCCTGTTTCACCTCACCAGACCAGATCCGCCTTGATAGTCAATCCAATCCTGCACCTTCACAATGATGGACATTGACCAAGAACCTCCACACGTGAACCCTTCAGTGAAGCTTCCGGGTTTCGGGCTCCCTGTAGACACCCTTGACCAGTGGCGTCTCGAAGATGACGAATGGACACGTTTCCCCCATGCAATTGCAGATTCACTGGCCAAATTGGGCATTACTCTGCGCGAGAAGCGCATGCTTGTATTCATCAACCAAATCACCGACAAAACGGAGTGGGAGCGTAAGGTGTTCGACGACACCATCGTCGCGAAGTGGGAGAAGGAGGCCGTCCGGTGGGACGCAAGCTTCCCTGAGAAGGGAGATTGGTGGCTGAGCACCGAGATGTTCAAATGTTGCATGGAGGAGCTGAGGGAGAAGGCCGAGCAGTTCAAGGAGACTGGCATTGTGTCCGTGCTGGACGCGAATGCTACGGTCGTCAAGTGTGACACCGCCGTGTCGAGTGAGCTGAAGGACGCGCTCAAGCGTGCGGCGTTCAAGCTGGAGGATGTCCCCGACCTCCAGAAGGACTGGCACCCGGGTTCAGATGAGCAGGTCCTTGATCTCGTTCACCCTTCATTGTACCCTGTGACTTTCGGCCTCACGAGGGCGTTGCCTACAGGAACTGTCCCGCTTCGGAATTGTGCCGAGTACATTGGCAAGGGGGAAGTCATACCGAAGTTCTCGGCGAAGGCTTACGAGCCGCCAAATACGTGGGGACAGCCACAGAACATCGAGAACGCTTGGGGAAGCTTCCAGTGGCTCCCATCTGATGTTCACTTCACCGGCGAGAACGGGACTGCATCGATCACGAGTTACGTCAACAATCTCCACCCTGCACATCACCAAGACCTTTACCGAGTATTGGAACAGATGGTAGATGCTTCCATTCCCCTATGGAATGAGTGTCTTTCCTGGTTCCACAATCGGCTCCGTATCGATATCGGCGGTGCGGGCAACGATGACTACATCATACCAGAAGGTGTGAAATTCCCACGAGAAGAGTATGTAGAGGACGGCGTGGACACAAATGAGATGAATGAAGACGGCGAGGAGATGGAAGATCAGGAGTGGGCCGAGGAGCACGATGTAGAAGACGAGTATCGCGACTGGTGGGAGGAGAAGAGGGTTCTGGAATTCCCGGAACCGGAATTCAAAAAATGCAAGAAGCTGAGGAAACGCAAGGGCGCACGACCTATCGATTTGCGTGAGAACTTCGCCGAGCGTGGGCTCCAGGTCATCTTCAAGCTTGCCAACATTCATTTGACACCCGAGAATCCGACATACGACGGCGGGTCGTGGCATGTTGAAGGCAGCCTAAACGAGCACATTTGTGCCACCGCCATCTACTACTACGACTGCGAAAATGTCACCGACAGTCAATTGAGCTTCCGCCAGGCGTTCGATCTGGAAGACATGACCATGAAGCCTGCACAGGTAAGGCTGAAACCCCCACACTCACGTCCGCCGCGATGGACAATGACTAACACACATGACAGAGCGAGTATGCATCTATGGAGGCATTCTACGGCATCGAGCAGGAAGGATCCAGCGTCATGAACCTTGGATCCGTCCTCACGAAAGAGGACCGCCTGATCACGTTCCCCAATGTCCTCCAGCACCAGGTGCAGCCCTTCTCTCTGGCCGACAATTCGAAGCCCGGCCATCGCAAGATCCTGGGGATGTTCCTCGTGGACCCTCACATCCAGGTTCTCTCGACGGCCAATGTGCCGCCGCAGCGCAAGGACTGGTGGGCAGACGAGATCCGGAACATTGGCAGGTTCGCCGACCTGCCGAAGGAGATCTTCGACATGGTTATCGACGCCGTGGATGACTTCCCTATCTCGTGGGACGACGCCGATGATATTCGCGACCAGCTGATGGAAGAGAGAGGGGCCAGCTCCGAGAGCATTACTGCAAACATGGAAGGGGTTAGTGGCCCAGAATGATTTCCTAATTATCCAGCAACATGACTGACAGAAAGCAGGATACGTTTTATTTCTGCGAGCACTGATTGTGTTTTCTCCTGAGAGCTTTCTCCACTACAAGTAGCACCATGTTGAGAGAAGTATGTGAAAAACGTTGGCGCGGATGAGTAGGAGCACCCTTAGATGCACCCAAGAGCTCATCCTAATGTGTAGTCTAGCAAGACGATACACCCAATTCAAATGATAATGAGATCGTATATCCCCGCCGAATAGACCTCACAAGGCATAGACGATCTTATATCCCGAGATCTTGCCATCTCTGTACTCTTGGAACCCTTCAGAAACCGCGTCAAGACCGTGCTTGATGCTGGCCCTGTTGGGCGTGAACTTTCCTTCCTCAAGCAATTTGGGTATCGATTCGAAGAAGTCGGCAACGAGGTCGTGATCCCCTTTATGCGGCTAGATGATTGAATGAAATAAAGTCAGTAAATTTTACAATGCCCTCGTTATGCTTGTAGTGTTGTTCTCATTTAAAGGGGATGAGAGGGCAAGACTGACCGGCCAATGAAACGTCCCATATCTATGTTCCTTCAAGAATGCAGTCCAAACAAGAACATCAGTGACGGTAGTCCTCTTCGACACACCCTCTGTATTCGCTTTTCCGGGACGGACGGTGCAAAGACGACCGCCCCCTTCCTCGCGAATTGCCTGCGACGCTTGAGCCGACGAACCCTTATCTCCGATGGTGTCGAAGACGTATTGCAAGTCGGGAGCCACACGTCTTATCTGGTCGACCACGTCCGGGGCGCGGTAATCGAAGACATGGTCTGCGCCTGCTTGTTTGACGAGGTCGAAGTTCTTTGGGCTGCAGGTCGTGATGGTTCCCAGGCCGTGCAGTTTGGCAATCTGGATGGCGTACAAGCCGACACTCGCTTCATTTCCATGTAGTTTGTCAGTAGATGCGTCTCGCGTTTTCGTCGAGAATAGTAAACGTACAGCTTCCGCCCCATATCAAGACCCTTGTGCCCTTCTTCTTCCTATCAATGTGTAGGCTCTGCTCTGAGAACAATGCCAGCGCGGATGTTGCAGCCGCCAGGGGAACGGTAGCAGCTTGTTCCGGGGCAATGGACGACGGAACCTTGAAGCTGATGCGCTCGTCTGCGACTGTGTATTCGCTATACGCTCCGAGACCTTTGATCTCGCCTGCTCTTGCAAGATTCGAAAATTAGATACTAGTTTCCTTTTTTTGGTTCTCTTTTTTCGTAACAGTAAATGGCACATAGTAGTTTTCGGAAACTCACCTCCCCAGATCAATCCGGCCACGACGTCACCCTCGGCCTTGCTCGTCACAGCCTCCCCAATCTTTTCGACGGTGCCGACAAAGTCACATCCGAACACGGAGCCATCGCCAAACGCATTCGAATCGAGCGATTGGACTGTTTCAAAGTGATCAGTAGTGTTCCTTCTTTTCAATACAATGTAGATAGCTCAGTAAATAGGCAAGGAGAACAAGATGAATGAATGGAAAGTCTCAGCCATACCATCTGTTGGGTTTTGAGCGACGTGCGATATCTTGACGAGCAATTGATGCGATTCGAGCTTCGGTAGCGGTATCGACTCGTTGGATAGTGTGGGCTTGCCGCCATTAGTGCTATTGCGCTGCACTACAGCTCTCATTCGGTCTGCCATGCTCTTCTATTTTCTAAAGGTTGTAGGGTCGCTTAAAGGGGAATGATTTCGATTGAGGTAGCCGTTGTAATGGATGTAGAGTTCAATTAAATAGTGGTGTATCTTAGACAAAGTGATGCTCTTTTCTACGTAGCATTCAATTGCAGTCTAGGGAATGAATGACGGAATGAGGTGTTACGAGGATTGGACGGAGCAGTCCGAAAAGGGTAATCCGAGCCTACAATGTCGAAGATTGGTTCGCTGATTTCTAAGCACATGTATGGAGTGAAGGTGGTCCCAATTTTATAGCAGTGTGTTACTGTATATGCTGTACACTCATTGATGCTGGAGACAGTGTGGATCTTGTGATTATTACAAAGGAAGATTGGTGAGGTTCCATGGTCCTCTCGTCGTGGCTCCTGCAGCATAGCCTATGCTACGTCTTCCAATCATACAATAACAGAATCTACTATATCCCAACAACGCCTGTAACATATTCAAGATGGGGTGTCGATCGCGAGGTATTTGTATATGTATCCACCAACGCCTTACAGAAAATCATACATATAGCGCCGAAAGAAACTCAAGGCTGGCAATGGTTCCCCCAACGGTTCAAGGGCATTACACTATGCCATATATCCTCTTCGCAATGAAATAGCATGTGAGACCGAAGACAATCAGCGAGGCAGTGATGCACCAAAACCAGTTCAGGTTTTCTATATCCTGTCCAGGGACCAGGCCTACAACAATTGTCAGTAAGGTCGAACGATATGTAGGATCATGTAAAACTCACAATTCATTCCCCAAATACCAGTGACAACGTTCATCGGTAAGACAATAGTACCCATCACGGTCAGTTTTCCAAGAATGTCAGATGTCTTCTCTTGCCGTTCGTTCATTCGAATGTTGATCTGTGCGAGGTAATTGCTATGCGCGCGAGATAGCAGGCTGTTCAATGTTAGAATATGGTTGTAGACGATGGAACCAGCCGCTAGACTACTTACTTTTCATAATGACTCAGGTTAGATGTCATGGTCACGATATGATCTTGGATATCTCCCAGATACAATCCAATCTCGCTCCTGGGCGCCACATCCCACTGCTCGTTGCACCTCTTCGCAAAACCCTTGATGACATCGGCTTTGTTACCTAAGAGGCGATAAAGGCTCATCACCTTCTTTCGACACTCGCCCACTCGTCGCAACATGTCTCTGCCACTATCCTGCCCTTCTTTCGTTCCCGTATCGCCCTTTTCGTAGAACGAACTTCCGTACGGGTACGGGAACGATTTGGATTTCTTTGCCTCCTGCTCATCTTCGCCAGAATGCAAACGCAATATTGCCTCGTCAATGTCGTCAACGTCTTCTTCGATGCGCTGAATGAGAGGTGCATATGCGTCCGTAATATCGTCGATAATACCGTACGAAATCCAATCAGGGGATAGAATCAGGTAGTCTTGAAGTTGGCGAATCCGGCGCCGTACGTTGGCTGGATGAGGCGTCATTGAGAAGTGGAAACTGATGACTCCTTCGCGGAAAACAACGACATATAGATTCACGGGTTCGAGATAGTCCTCGCTCGTTTCATCCTGCTCAAAAGTCCGGTAATTTATGAAGTAATAGTGCTTGAATAGTTCCACCTTTTCACGGGCTTCCTGCATCAGTATGTCTTCTGCCGTCAAAGGATGGATACTGAACGCCTTCGAGATGACCTTCATCTCGGCATCTGTGGGCGATAGTACATCGAGCCAGAAGGCTGGCCTGGGGCCATATCGTTTTGGTTTTTCCTGGTCTGGTTTGGGTGTGGTGGAGCCGGCAGCTGGGGTGCTCGAGCGCGTTTGTTCGCCTGAGGAGTGCTGTTTGATGTGATCCACCCTGGAAGAGGGTCGCAAGCCGGCCTTAGAGTTGCCGTTTAAGGTGCTATCCCTCGTCAGTGGCGCCAATTCTTCTTCGTCCGTCTCATCGTCACTGCTGTCCTCAATCACTGGTGGCTCAGGGATGAACAAGTCTCTGAAAGTCTGGCCGGGTTGTACAAGTTCGCTGATCGTTTGGCTGTGAACCGTATTGTCGAATTCCTCGTTGAAATAGGTGAATCGGTAGGGCGCATCGTCGGCTTCACGGTGCCAACTATATTTCTGCGGCCTGAGGCGGCCACCGACCATGAGCGGCTCGCTGACCTTTCGCGTTCGAAGACCTTCCATCGTGCGTTGTTCTTTCTCCTCACGCGACCATGACTCTAGCACACCTAGATCCGGCCAACGCCTACGACGGCGGCGGCGAGGCTCCTCGCTCTCTGGACGATGTAGATAGTCCTCTGGTCCAATCTCCGACATGCCTTCCAGTGGAAAGCAAACATCCTCGGCCGCTTGGAGTGCCGTCATGCGCCGGCGGAACTCACTCGGGCCCTTTGGAGAGGAATGCGAAGATCCAGAGTATTTTCCTTGCCCAGACTCTTCATCTATGTCAATGAGGACATCGCGCGACCGATTGCGGTTGGTGTCATCTGATCTGCTACGTTCGACATCAGCCGTGAGCATGACATCGTCAAAGCCAATATTGGGCCCGATGACGGGGCTTGCGGGTACGGAGGGAGGATTATTGACATCGTAGTCGTCGAGGTTCGTTTGGGAGTGGTGTGAAGTGAATGCGGGTCTGCGGTGGTTGATGCTCGATGTGCTGCCACGCCGCGCCCGGCCAGCGCTCGAGGGTGCGCTCAGCCCCCCATAACTGCCACCACCTCGAACATCGCGTTGGGATGAGCTCATCAAGGGGGTTTGGTCGTTTGTGTTTCCGCCATCGTCGTCTTCGCTATCCGATTGGGGCTGCTGGCGCGAGAGCTTCGATCGAAGGCCGCCGGTGTGGGGAGAGGATCGCAATTGAACGCTCTGCCGGCGAGCCTGAAGGAAAGTCTGGTCCCGGTGGTCGAGTAATGCCTCGCTCTCTAGACTCGTATTGCTGTGATTCTCGGTCAGGCGGTAGAAGCTCGAGCTTGCTGGGTTGTTCGCGAGACTCGGCCGCTCTTCTTCCGCTTCATCATCCGCGCCAATGGCCGCAGCGGTGGTTGCAAAGGATTGTCTTCGATTGCGACGTTTCTTCCCACCGCGGTGCTTTCGTTTCTTGGCCTGTCCGGATGTTGTTCCAGCGGTAGCGGACTGGGCTGCATTGTCATGGCTGTTATCTTGCGAGGCGGCTGAAGCGCCTGCGAGAGACGAGTGCGGAGGGATTGCGCTGGGCCGAGGCGAGTTGGCAGCCATTGGTGCGCGGGATGTGGGAGGAGGTGATGATGGAAGAGGAGGAGTGTAAAGGGAGGAGAGGGAGAGTATGAGTATGTGCACTGTCCGTGTCTTGAATCCCAGTACCCAGTAGCGGGTAGAGTTTGAGATCAGAGTCAAGTCATTTACGGAGGGTCAACGTCATCATCCACCAGTTCCCTTCAAAGGTCCATGCACTCTTCATTCCTTGGCAATATCCTCCACCTCAACTCCTACAAACGTATACGAGATAATATCTGACTCATATCCTTAACCTTCATCTACCTTTATCTTACCTTCAAACTCCCCAATCCAAGATTTGTACATATCTCTTAACGGAGTGGGAAATCATCTAACCAGTTGCTGCACGGAATGGCGATCGGGTCCTCAACAATGGTTGCACGCGCTCTCTTACTCGATCTGGACTGAAGCCACTTTCGAAAGGCCAATACTTGTGGACACTAACAGGTACTAGATATCAAGGATACCAGCAAGTAATCATCAATTTAGTCGTAACCCTACTACAAAAGCGGTATCTACTTGTACTCGCTAGTTGACCTTCTCCTAACTCGTCGGAGCTTGGTGACTATCCGTTGCAGTCTAGCTTTGGCACATGCAATTCATCCAAATGCCATTCAGACACACCACCGTTGAGTTATCATTCAATTTGCATTCAATTCTACAGATGGTGGGGGTCGAAAATTTCCGTTGAGGTCAAACTTCCTCAATTATTCTTCTGCTTCGTTATGGAGTGCTCAAGAGTCAAGGCGGACTCCGCGATCTAATTCACAAAGTCCGGCGGCCTAGTTATCATATTGAGAATTCGCTCACGCAAACTACTCCCAATTATTTACTCGTCGGATATGATTTAGCAATGCATGAATAGATAATTACCTACCGGAAACGAAGCATATATGCTTGCACACATACGAATACCGTACAATTGGCTCACGCATGCATAACGCCTACGGATTGAAAATTTGCAGAAAACATCACGCGCATAAAGAAAACCACAGATGGCATATAAGATACCACCTCTTGGCGAAAGCTTACTCTTCCTTTTCGATGAATAAACAACTACCTGAATTTTTAAACTTGGAGAGAAAATCGCTCTTCATTGAAAAAGCATCTGCAGATATTGAACATGCACAACAGAATACCTATGCATTGAACATGTTTAAGACCACTCATTTTGGTAATGCATCGCTTGATTGGATCGATTCCTTCCAATCGAAGAGCAGTCTTCGTAATATTTCATCTCGAAATTTCATCTCGAAATTTCATCGATATATATGTTATGTAGGCCATCTATGTATACCTACCTTACTGATGATATAAAAGGCCAAAGTCCAGTTCCTAAAAGACAAAAGAGAACGCCATAAATTCCCAAAGACCAAACATAACGTTGCTAACCCAGTCCCTTTGTGGAGTATTGGGATTTAATTTACTAACAAAAACCCTCGAAGACAAGAGGGAATTCATCAGAACGACCCTCTAAACAGCGATATGCTGGAACCTGCCCTTCGAGTCCTGCCCACCCAAGCCCTTGACCCCTTCGAACGCCTTCGCTGGAGACGGCCTTACGGGCGTCTTGCTCGCCTGGCCTGGCAACGTCCTGGTCCCCGGATATGGCTGCTTCTTGTCGTTCTTGACGGCGTTCGTCTCCTTAGGAGGCACGAACGGCTTCGACTGGCCCGGTTTCACTGCCGTCTTCTTCTCCGTGGGATACGCGGTGCCCCCGTATGGCTTAGGCAACGAGTTGGATTGTTTCGTGTCGGCAGCAGCGGCTTTAACGTTGTTCAGCGGCTGCTTCGACGTCCCTGCTTGGGGCTTCGCCTTGGTGCCGTAGGGCTGGTTCTCTGGAAACGGTTTCGGCAGTGCGTTCTTCTTTTTCTTTGCTGCACTTGCTCCTGTTCCTGCTCCTGCTCCTGCTCCTGCTCCTGCTGCGGGCCCGTTGGCGATCTGCTTCACGGCTGCTACTTGTTTCGTTGGCGCTGGGGGTGCCTTCTTCGCGCCTATGGGCGTCTTGCTGGTCGGGCCCGCGATGGCCTTGGTCTTTGTGGTTGATGCTGATGCTGCTGGACTCGAGTGCGAGCGTTTGAGCGCGGGCTTGCGGGCTGTGGATGGGAGTGCCTTGCCGGATGGTTCGTACGTCTGGCCTGTAATCGCTGTGCCGTAGTTCGATGCTTTGCGTTCGATACCTGTGTGGGTTTCGCCACGAGATCAGTCTTGTGCTTTTGTCTTGTGCTTTTGAATGTGGGACGGTGAAGAGCGGATGAGAAAAGACATACCAGTGCCAATGCTACGACCTGAGTTCTCGATCAAGTCGCCGGCCTTGATCAACGCGTTACCTGCGTATCCTCCTGCGGTGCGGGTCCCGGCCTCGACGAAGCCCTCCACGCTGTTCCAGAGGATGTTCTGGATGAATCCTGCCATTGCTTCTATTTACGCCTCTATCAAAGACTCTCCTCTTTCTCGGTAGAAGATTTGACCTCAATGAGGTGCTGGTTGCTGGTATTTCCTATGGAATGGCGAGATGGACGTGGAATATGGGGTGGATGTGGTGTAAGTCGGCAAGGCGTGAAGATTGGATGGATGTTACGATTGCATGTATGAGTGATGGAAGATTTGCACACTCGGATGTGCCACAAGAACCTCGACAAGATCCTGTTTTGGGTCTGGGTAACACATGGGAGGGATTAGGGATTGGCTTGTTGGTCGTCCATTAGCCACCCGTTGGGTCGATCTCATGTTCCCTGATCGATCGCCCCCGCAATGATGACGTACCTGGAGCCACATTCACAGGACCCACGGGAACCCTGGATTCGACAGGGATGGCCGGATCTCGATTCTAGAATTCTGGAACTTACGAGGTAGTCCGTATTTACTGTACCTCGTACGAAAAGGTGCTGGTACTCGCGGTTCGAGAGGAGGCAACTGCACGGTGCTAGATGCCTACTCTAACTAAGATATAAAACGAAGAAACATCTTGAAATATTTTACATTTGACCTGATGTGGTCGAATCCTTGCTACTATATCATCCGTATGCTCTCATATCACCATGCCCTACCCTCTATCGCACCAACAAAAATTATCAATGTCCAATGGCTATCCTGCCGAATGTAAATACAGGTATCTTATGAAGCAAAGCTTTAAAGCTAAGATGCGCAAAATATACTGTATGCGCTATGAAAGATGTCAATTGCACCACAAGGTCTTTTGCCCATGTCAATCAAGGAACGGGTTTCTTGACTGGCGTTTTCACCGTACTGGGTGTCTTTGGGCTATTCACAGTACTCGGCTTGTTGTTGACACTTGTCTGTAGTTGGGTTTTCTTCACTGGCGGTCGGGAATTGGTGCTCTGCTGTGCAGCGGGCGTCTTGCTTGCTGGTGGCTGTTGCTTTTTCACAGCATCCAAAGACCTCGGCGTCGATGGAGATGCTGCTGGCACTTTCGTACCGAGCGGTGACTTTTTCGCCTGCTGCGCTCTACCAGTCTTTGGCTGCAGTGTGATGTCTCCGCTTGGTGAGATCTTGATAGGTACCCCCGATGAAGTCATAATAGTTGTGCCTTTTTTGGCCTGAGCTTCCTCAATCTCGTCCTTTCCCAGTTTGATGACGAGTCCGTTCTTGGTGACAATTGTCCCCGTCTTCTTGGCTTCTTCAACCTGCGGTTTTGGTATTTTGATCATAACCCCAGAACTTGTCATAACCGTCTGGGTTGGGCCTGTGGCAGCAGCCGCCTTTGTCTTAATCGGAGTGGGCGTTTTCTTGACTGTGCCTGCTGGTTTTCTGCTAGTATTTGGTACGGTTGCGGTGCTCTTTGGTCTTGTAGGCAGCCTGTTTGATGCCTTTGATGGCGCATTTGGTGGCGCTGTAACAGCTGGAAGCGCCGTGCTGGCCCTTCTCAACCCGCCAGGCATCATGCCATTTTTGAGAGCAGTCTCTTTGACCAATTTCGCAAGATTTTCTTGAGTCAACTGGTGGCCTTTGCCCTGGCTTTGAGGTCCTTTAGCCTGCATGGCCCCTATCTTCGAAGCACTTTCGATCAACTTTCCTATTTCTTCAGGGCCTGGAAGCCCCGTCACCTCTATTTCGCCCCCCGCTAATATGGCCTTCATGTTCTTCTCCAGGAATTCCATGCCGCCAGGTCCAAGAATTTCATCTGGTTTTGCACCGTAGGCAACTGTCAGTGCCATCATCACACTACTGATCGGCGCAAAAATCTTGATGAACTCATTCCAATTGCCAGACTTGACCTCTGTCTCAATGGTGATGGCCGGGCGTGGAACGCTACGGAGACTTTGACTTCCAGAGCTTCCCATGTCAAGATGTTCCTTCCAGAAATCTTCGGCGGGAAAGCGATTGTTTCGGCGGAAGTATTCAAGCATGTAATCTTTCTCCCTCCATCGGTTGCGCAGCCATACTTCGAAAGCTTTGGTATTCTTGATGGGAATATCGTCGATATGGAAGCGTCGCCAGTGCATGTTGACAGACTTGGGAGGTCGGCCCTCAAAGAATGACGAGCGAAGGGTGAAGATGTCTTGACCAAATTGTCCATCAGGGACACCTTCATACGCGATCGTGCAATCATACAACCATTTCGTTGTGTCCTCAAGCTCGTTCAGGCAGAATCGCAGGCCCGTACTGCGGGGCAGAAGTTGATGCTTCATATCCTTCAGTCCGTTCTTCTTGGCCCACTGTTGGCTTTTCTCTCGAGTCGAAGCAGACAGATTGGTTCCCTCGGGAAATATGATCAACCACATGGGATCATTGGGTTTGTTGAGTTTGGAAAGGTGTTGTTTGAATGTCCGCTCGTCTTGTTCCCATTTCCGCGAGAGGAAGATGAAGTTGTAGAATTGTGCACCCCATCCAATTATGGGTATGTGTTTGAGTGACTCCTTGAGGATTATGTAGACGAAGCCATGCATGTTGTTGGTGTAGGCAATCCACCAGAGGTAAAGCCAGTCAGTGTAAAGCTAATCTATTAGTTCACGCTGTCTTTATTCATTAAATGATGATGATGATGGTTAAGACTTACCTGATGATTTGCCATGAGAAGTAGGCGATCCTCAAACTTACACTCTAGACTTCCATCTGGCTTCCTGGTCAATTGGCCAAGCATGCTGGAATCGCCGCTCACGCGCACGACTGTCGGAGCCCACCATTGCGTCAAGCAAGTAATGAGGACAGCAAAACACTCTTTAGTGTAGGCCATGTAGCCTTCATAGAAGACAGGATCGATTAGCTTCAAGGGCGCACCCAGCAACTGCGATGCGCTTATGGCCAACACGCCGCTGAGAAAAGTGGAGGCGAGCGTGAATGCGCGCTCAGCCTGAGTGAGTTCGCCATGCCTTGGAGGTCCTGCAGGGTGGTTCTCAATGTTCTGCTTGGAGACGCGGAGGCCAGCACCTAGGTCGTCTTTCTTCTTTTGCATAGCGGGCGACATGATGATGGATGAGGAGTGTGAAGCTGTAAGCGCAGGCTCATGAAGAACATGGCCCGCCCAGTGCGACAACTAATCTATGATAGTAGTTATCAATCAAAAGAGAAGTGACTAGCAGGTATGAGCACCACTATTCTTGGAGGATAGTACAAAGTAAGCTAGGTCGTGGTGGAAGAAGGTGTTTGTTTTATTGTTGTAATGGTAAGGCTATGTGCCGGAAGGCGCATCGTGGACCTTGTATCACCGTTCGCTACGAGTACTCGAGGAAGGCTCGAGTACTTCTGAGAGCATTACTACAATAAGGGAACGGGGAAATGTGGCGGACTAGGGGGCAAGGAATAAGAAGACCAGATTCAAGGCAAGGGAGTATGGGAATTGATGTGGTTGGGGGTTGGGGTTTGGGGGACGAGAGGGGAAATGCCATCAGGATCAAGATCGGATCGAAGGGGGTATGACGTCGCTCTTGTCCCGCGTCAACTGCCAACTTTTGTCGTCTCCCCCAAAGATCCCCATCATCTTCAACAACTTTCCCACCTTTTTGTTCCTATTTCCTATTCATCCATCGATTACCTGTCGCACTGTCCTCCTGCACGTAAAACCAGCCTTTCCCGGATTTCCTGATTCCGAGTCACCTCCAAGCCTTACTATAACTACAACTATACCTATTATAACAACTACTCCTGTTGCCACCATATAGAACGGGTTCCTACCACACACCTAGATACAGACCTACCCAAACGACCCTTTTCTCAATCTCACATCTCCTCCAAAATGCCTGCGTCGGTAGCATCCGCTCCCGTCAACCGAACCTCCACCAAGACGGCAGCCTCGAGGACAAAGAAAGCGGGTGCTGCTAAGTCTTCGTCCAAAGCCGTCAACGGCGCAACCAACGGTGCTGTACACCACTCGCCCTATGAGATCATGGCCTCGAGAATCGCAAACCGCGTGGCAGAGATGGCCGAGAACTACACGTTCGTCGAGCGAGAGAAGTACGTTTGTGAATCCCCTGGAGATGACAACGATAGTGGCACTTCTTGCATTCGTCTCTCCAAAGCTTCTCTTATTATTACTGACACTTCTCTAGGCCTCAACCCCGACAAAATGGACAATCGCCAGCGCCTCAGCAGCGCAAGCCTCCGCGGAAGCTCGAGGTTCGACTGCCTCCAACTGGACAATCCCCCACCAACATCACCTTCTCCGCGCCATTCCTAGACAACACCCTAACCAAGCTCCTCACCCTCCAGAACAGGATGTTGAAGGTCAGCAACGACATCGCAGCCAGTGAGGATGTAGACGAGATCACCAAACAAGAGCAGTTCGCACAGAGCGCAGAGCTGTCGCGTATCATAGCATTGATCTGCGCAGAGAAGGCCAGGCAAGGCGCATAAAGAGGGAATTTTTACACCGCGTCCCTTTTTTAGTCCTATCTTTCCGGCAATCCCATACGGCGGCTCCCTGAATTGTGAGATATTTTCTTGGCCACGGTGGGCGTTTATGAAATGTTCCTCGTCTCCTCTACCCCTGGGAATGTGATTCGATCTATATTTCAACTTTCCGTACCTTGGTTCGAGTCTCTATTTTCTTCTCTCATTATATTTTTATCATATCTGGTACGGCACCGTCACACAGTACGGTTATAGCAGTCACGGCACAGCAACGTTATCCCTTTACTTCTCTATTTCTTCTTTCGCGGTACGGAACTATGGAATTCGGCGTAGGGTAAAGGAATGAAACAATAACACGGGATGTATGTATGATTAGCACAGCACAGCACGAGATATTGGGAAGAGAAAAAAAGCATAGCTTTCCTCGAAAACCTAAAACACCTGAAGACTCTCTTTATTTCCATCTTACTTCGTGACGGATGACCCCAACTTGATGCCGGAAAATAACAGTGACGATGGACAGTCCGTCCTATCTCTTCATAGCCTATTCCATGACCACTGTCTATGCTGCAGTGCACAGGAGACGAGCTCCAATACACACCCACACCAACGCTCTTCTTACCCGCTCCGAAAGCGATGATATGACTCCACAACACTCATCGTTTCCTCTCATCCAGCAGACCCCTGGCCTTTAAGTCGCGAATCCGCTCATCCTCCTCCCTACGTTCCGCCGCCAACCTTGTCCTCCACCAAAAGTAGAATCCGTACGCGCCTACAATGAGGCAGTCAGTCAATCAATCGATCACTCGTTTTCCAGACATACCCAACACCATAGCAATAATCCCTCCAAACATGACGCCCAGCTCGTGGCCCAGCGAGCTCGCATCGTGGTACTGCACCTCGGACGCGCTGAGGCCGGCACGTGGGTTGAGCTCGCCCATCTGCTCTTTTTTCCCTTCTTGCTTCTCTTGATCGTGCCGGCGGTTTAATGTACTCGGTTTTTAGTTTTTTTTTTTGGTTCGGGGGTTATGGAGGTGGTGGGGATTGCATGGAATAGTTTCTCATGAAGGGGGACGACGCATAGAGATGACGAAAGACGAGACGTGGAAGAGTAGAGGTAATGTGACTTGTTCAAAATAACGAAGCTTAAATAGCGAGCGAATGGAAGGGAGTAAGTTCAAAAGCGCTCGCTGTGGGATGGAGCTGAGTTGGGCTGAAGCATGAGTCTCATGTATCTCATATGTGCGTTTATGACTGTGCAAGAATCGTATGAATGTAAATGTAGATAGATGAAGAAAAAAGGCAAAAGGAACATCAGCCTTATTGGGTTTCTTTCACATTAAAACCCAACATGCCACAGCGTTTGACGTCGAGGAACGATCGATACGATAAGCTCCGATGCATCAACGGTGGCGGGGTGCACTTGGCGCAACTTGGCGAGTGAGGGGGAAAGGAATAAAGGGGTTTGATGATGCTATCGTGAAGCTCTGTTGCTTTAACTACCCGCCATTTAGGGGTGTTTGTAAGGTTTCGAGGGCTCAGATTTCATGTTCATATCATGGGAATATGTGGGGTAGCTTTTAGGTCGGTATGGGATGATTTCGTATTTTGACTACCCAATTATGGAAACCATACCGTATTGATAATACATGGTTAAACGTGTGTTGATTCCTTGAATTCTCATGAAAATGAGACCAAGTCGACATACGGGCATATCATGCAACCACTTCCCACGTTTCCTTCCCTGCGTCCAGTAATTGCTGTAGTGATGACTGAACGGCACAGGATGACCCTCGATGTTGTCCATACAAAAATCTCACTTCTTCATCTTAGCAGCCTGTTCTTCCTGTGCGCGCATGGCCGCCCTGGCACTTCGCGATCCTCCCAGCTTCGGTCCTTTCGGATGCTCTTTGGCGCCCTTTGCGTTTGGCGGAGGTGCGGCCCTGCGATGGCGATTCTCTATGGATTCGAGGAAATCGAGCCGGAACTGCTCAGCAATTGCATCGTCGGCGTCTCGGTTCGGATCCGTAGGCTTGGGGGCGGGTTTTGCTTCTTCGAAGTACTCCACTATTGTAGGGTTAGCATCATAAATATAGCTAGCAACAGATATAACGTGGTCCACCCACATTTCGACTCTCGGAGCACAGCTTCGACCATGGCGTCTCGCCGAATATCTTCGCTGTTGCGCCGTTTCTGCCAGCGCTTCCTCGGCTTCCCGTCCTTCCCTAGGCGGACCTTGCCTTGGGGTTCTTCTGCGTCTGGTTCGACATGGCCCTCCAGGCGCCGTCGAGCTTGTTCTGTGCGTTCAATGTTCTTCGCTGTGGCCTCGGGCCCAAGATCAATCTCCATCAACTTGCCATGGCCCGCGGCTAATCGTGGGTCAGTAGTCGTAGTCGGTCTCTGGCTCTGTCCCTTCTCCTGGTCGCCCTCCGACGTGGGACCAAGACGACCAAGAAGCTTCTGCAAATGGTCCGGAATCGGCCAGCCGTACTTGCGATGGTTCTGCTCAGCAAGGCGCGCTTCTACATATTCCGCCCTACCCCATTAGCGTTCGTTCATTGCAACATTGATCGATGCAGCGATGCGCCTTGGGATGAGGTGCTGTGAGGTTTGCGCTGTACCCATTGAATGACTCACATCTGTTGGTCTTCCTTTCCGACCACCTGTCCGGTCTGTGCGACGAAGCGGTCCACATAGGGGGTCTCGTTTCTGGGCTGCAGGTCCTGTTGCTCGACGTGGACGAGCGCATCGCTCTTCTGTTCTGCTTTGCGCGCGGCCTCGCGGAGGCGGTCATGTGGCCTCCTACGATTTCGAAGGATCTCTTTTAAATTCGGAACGTCTTCGTGGTTATCGTGGTCGTGGTCGTTCGACTGTCCGTTCGATGTCTGGACAGTCGTCGCGAGGTGGTCTGAAGGCGCATCATCATTATCGGCAAGGGTGCTTCGTCGCGGGTGTGCGAGCTTGCGGCGCTTGAATCGGACAGGCGGTGCTGTAGTCTCTCCCTCCATGCCGTTTCTTGGGTGGTGTAGGAAATAGTGTAAAGAGGAACTAGACTTGGTCGCGTGTGAAGATTAATGATAGAATATATGGGGATGATCGTCGGTTGGTTCCGAGGCACAGCCCAGATACGGAAACAGGCACGCAGGGCATCAATAGGCGAGAACTGCCGTTTGTACAAGTACCTAGAACTAGAGTGCTAGGTAGATATCAATAACAGCCTCACCTCAATCCCTTTGCCTGGCTTGCCAGAATCAATTTAGCCATTGGTTTATGATATAGTTAGGACCTCTTAGAAATACAAGTAGAATCAAGCCTTGAAAGGTTTCCCATTCGTCTCGTGAAGATTCCATAGTTCAACTGATTCTCAAATGCTTCTTAATAAACCATCAGAATACTTGTCGCTCCACCACCAAATGAAGTAGAGCAACAGCATGTCATGATTCAAACCACAAACACCTACAGTTGGGTTAATTGCAGGCCAACATGGAAATTCCATGCTGATTTCTTCTCTGAGATCGTCTACAATAGCAATAGCTAATTTCAATTCCTCAGTCCAGAATATCATGTTAATGACCATTGCATCTTCCTTCCCACTTGGCCTATTATGGATGGAATAGTTTCTAGGGTACGAAGCACTTATGTGGCTTATGAGCGCGCAGCGTGTGTATAGACTGGTGCAAAGTCCATCTCTAAAGTACCAATCCCAATGGTTATGAAATATCCCTTTCCCACTTCACGATCATGGACCCAAATCCGACAGCCTCTCTCTCAATATGATGATGATCGCCAGCGCCTGTTATAAATACTTGTACGCTATGCTGCGAGTAGGCCCGTCTTTCTGCTGCCTGCAAGCCAACATAGTCAACACAGCACGTTTGAACAAGCGAATCACCCGTATCAAACCACCCTCTATGCCTTCATCTGTCGATCCATTTGTCGATCCATGACTCGCGCACACCCTCCCCCAAAAGAAAGACTCGAAAGCAACAGGCAGCAAACCTTTCAAAGTCTCACACTTCCTCTGCCGTCTCTTTCACCGCCCCGCATGTCGCCGACTTACATAGTCTACACTGCACTAGGCATCGTATGCGACGCGGGACGCTATGACACGACTGGGGCGCTAAGGAGATGGGCAATGGTAAACCATGTCAAGATCACCTTGGTGGAGATTGGGGTTTTGTATGTTTTGCGCTGTAGGTTTTTATTTAGCATAGACTCCGTACGGAGTATTGAGGCGTTGAAGTTGGGTATGAGATAATCAGAGTATGATTATGGGAGCTTGATGATAGATGCATGTACTGATATATTTGGAGAAAGCGTGAATGAACGATATGGCCCAGTTGTTGATTTGCTTGTCATGTGAACCCCGAAGAAAAAAAATCCCCGTCAAACTGACAAGACATGCCCGCGTCGCGGGAAGCGAGCAATGTGCGAGCAAGGTAGTACTTAGTAGGTTTCACGAATTGTGTGGATATGAGTTGTCATACCCATCAGCGTATGGAGCCTGAAGTAACAGCGGTGATCCTTGCGGGTTTGTGGACTGAGCCACGACAAAATGTTCGTAACCTCATAGCATCTACTACGAATTATGAAGGACTGTTGTACTATTTGGGTCGCGCGAGATATGACTACCGGGAGACGAGTGTGGGATTTCTTGTCAGGTTTCTTGTGATCATGAATATTCATTATTGTATTGTGTTTGTGTTGTGCTATTGGGTATCTAGGGAAAGGATTTGGGGGAGAAAAAAGCAAGACTAAGCCAACGGCGCCTGTACAAATCAAGACGTATCAAAAATGACTTCGCAGTTTTCCTTTGCCTTAGATGATTTAATATAGTAGATGGTTGCGTAGATGGTTGCATAGATGGCTGCATCAATCTGTTCCTCCTCTTCACGTTATCGTCTGATAGTGTCTCTCCAATGGGTCGCGCTTCAGACGAGCCGCTCATTTGACCTGCACCACATGGCCATTGCCATTGCCAGGGGCCGGGATCGGCGCCCCGTTCGTATGGATGGGATGCTGCTGGTAGTAATACTGTTGTCCTCCGTTCTGCGGAGCAGCGAACTGCGGCTGGCCTTGCTGCTGCACTGGGTAGTAAGGCTGCGGGGCGTAGGGGTTGGGCTCCACGTTGTCGACGACCGAGGACTTGAAGACGGGAGACGCCGCGATGGAGAGCAGCAGCGACCAGGACGCAACCCAGAAGATGTAGCGGATGTACGTGAAGGCGATGTAGACGTCGCGGGAGAAGTTGTCCACGTCTGGGAGGTACGTGCCGTCTTCGATGAGGTTGATCAGTACCCAGATGAACATGCTAACGTACAACCCTATGATCTGGGCAAAGAGGTTCTGTGGGGGGAACGTTAGATTACAATGTAGTGGAAGAGAGCGAGTTGATATTGGGATACTTACGCCCGTGGGAATCTTGCGAGAGCGCATGGAGACAAGCGACATGATTGCAAGGACACCTCCGGCCGAAACAGTCACCAGATAGAATACAAAGTAGGCAATGTCGAGCTTATTGGCCTCCTCTGATAGCAATGGCGCACTCTCGATCCGACCGGCTTCGCTCGCGGCATAGTAGTTGTAGGACCAGAGACCGGTCAGAGCAACGGTCAAGATACCCATGAAGCCGAGGACCACGTAGTTCACGATTCTGAGGTAGCCCGGAGTGTTGTTCAAGTGCTGGTGCAGGGCCTTATTAACGGTGTAAAATACCAGCACCAACAGAAGGTAGAGACTGAGGGAGTAGAAGATATTGAAGACCAGGACCCAGTACATATAGGTGAGGGGTGGAGTTGTGCTGCACTCCAATAACATCGTTCCCACAATCATCAAAGATGTTGCGCTGGTCAAGGTTGTCAGTCTACTGCCGAATTCATGGATTGATATATACGTCTGTATCATGTTCAGACGGTAACTTACAAGAAAGCAGACCAGACGGATCCCAAGAAGAGGGGTCCGATAAGGATGGTTGCGCCGGGCAACTTCTTCACCACCTTCGAACGAGCGACGATGAGCCCGAGGAGAGCTACCCAGAGGAGGCAATAAGCGACGAACACCTCAATGCGGGTCGTGTAGTAGCCATAGTAGCCGTCGGTACTGAATGGGTGAGGGCAACTTGCGCTGGCACTTGAGCCGAAGCTTGAGCCTCCTCCACCGCGTCTTGGAGCCATCTCGGAATGGTGTCAGATGGGGTGTCAATGGGAGAGAATGGTGATGAAGAAGAAGAAGAAGACGAGGCGGATAGGGCTCATTTAACCAATTCAAACATGAGTCTTAGATTTTGCGATCGCCTTGGCCCATAATTATACAGTATGCATCTTATGTGGTGGAACGACGGTGAATGGCTGGGATGGGATGAGATGGGGTAGAGTCGGGGGAGTTGTGCCCTATTTTTACGCACACACCACCATCACCATTTCCACCACACGTGCTGGGGCTAGATGAGCATTGTAAGGCAGCTCGTATTCCTCATGCACATCGCGATCCATCAAGCGAATCACGTATGGGGTCCTTCCACGGTCTGGCTCGAATGGCTTTTTTGCCGAAGGATGACTGGCTCTCGGGATGGCTGGGCGATGCAGGCGATGGGGGCCGGAAGTCGACAAAGTAATGCACTTCTAATTTCATTACTTCGGCGACCCTGGCACCTGGCAGCCTGAGGGTTTGAATGCGAGAATTGCGAGAATTGCGAGAGACGGACATGGATTGTATTGTTGTATGATAGAAGATGAATGGTTAGGTTGAAGCAGCTTGTTTGATGAAGCGACGGGTGGGCCGTTGTATTTGCTTTTTTGTTGGATACCTGGGCTGAAGTCACTGGACGACACATTTGCTAGTTATGGCTTATGCTGTTCCTGGGGCTGGTACTAGGTAGCAAGTACCTACCCTAAGAGTCCGAAGAGCAGCCACCTGCACGGCACCAAGCCAGATAATTTGGTGCTTAAGCCTTGACGTACCTAAATGCTGCTAGATATATGAAGCATCGTATGCATTTGTATGCAATGTATGCGAATAATAATTCTCCGACAGTTGTGGCCAATTTTTCCAAGCATTTCTTATATCTGGACTATGCATGTCTGTACGGAGCACCTAGTACAAGTACATACATTCCCCCGCAATGCACTGTAGACCGCAGTGATCGTACCTGCATTTGCCTTTTCAAGGTGTGGCACAACACCACTTGCGCTGCCAATACAATGTAATTATATATTCGACAGTAAGCTTTAAGATGAAGGCGAACTATTTTGTATAGTTGAATCCAATAGGGAGTTGGTAATGCATTTTACTATGGAATACAAGTAGGATGTTATCGATAAAGGTACTGCGGCTGCGGGTGGCACAAGGGACGGACTGACGAAAACGTTACAACCAAGGGCTCAGCGGATGTCATACACCCACCAGGTACTCCGTACACCCCAAATGTTTTCACTTTCTACCCCTACGACAACAGCGTTCTCATCTCAACTCAACATTGCAATTCGGTCATCTGGCCCTTGGCAATGACCGTTGATGAGCAGCGCATCGCAACCCACCCGCCAGATGTCTCCGACCCAGATATGACGTCGCCATTACTGGCAAACAGCGGGTCAGCAATGTCACACGCGTTCAGCGGGCTCTCAGAGCGTCCACCCCAGGGCAGTGAGGGCTCTTGGACACCGGAAACTTTGGACGAGGGCATCGATGTCATCCAGAAAGATGGCCCTGGCGATCGCGATCCCGAACGTAGGCACGCGAGTATACAGCTAGTCGTCCAGGAGCCTCACAAGAGCGGTCGATACATCTTGACCGACGACGATCCAGAGTTTCGCAAGATCATGCAGTCGGGCATAGAACGGGAGGCTGCAAAGCTCAATGGAAAGGCTCCGCGAAATATCCGAGACCTGGTCTTCAGGCATCAATTCACCACCTTCGACCGACAGAACCCTCGCGCCTCACAGTCGCCCTTCCATGGCTTCTTTACACTGTTCTGGCTGGCCATGGCCTTATTGCTGGTCAAGATCGCTGCTCAGAACTACAAGAATATGGGATCCGTATTTGGAAGAGCTGAGATCCTACATCTGATGGTGGACAGAGACCTGGTGCTTCTGCTAACAACAGACGCCATCATGTGTCTTGCAACAAGCTTCGGCTTCTTCTTGCACAAGGCCATTGCGCACGGCCTACTCACCTGGAGTGGTTCAGGGTGGGTGATACAGTCTCTGTATCAATTGGTCTTCACCGTCGGCTTCATATGGGTATGCTTCCATCGGGAGTGGCCTTGGACGCATAATGTCTTCATCGTCATGCACGACCTTGTGCTCCTGATGAAGCAGCATTCATATGCTTTCTCTAACGGCTACTGTATGTTCTAATCCTCACACCATCTGATACTACCGAACTAAAGCTAACAACCACTAGTATCACAAGTATATCGTCGGAAGACTCTTCTACTCCAGAAACTTCAACAACTCGAGGACATGGAAGCTCATGACAGTCCCACAGCATCACATGCCGGAACTTCAATCACCACAGGTCTAGATGATCGCGAAGACAGCAGCACCCTGCGTCACAGACCTAGCATAGGCCTCAGGTGCTCCACCAATCTGACTAAGGAACAGTCTGAGATCGCTACAATGGCGGAAGCAATGGAAAGTGGAGACCCGCTGGACATAGATCAGATCCATCTGTTCAAGCGCGTCATTCACACAGAGATCACTTTTCTCGACGAAGACCTGCGCGGCAAGTGCACGAAGGCAGGCAACTCCTATCCAAATAATCTGACCTTCTACAACTTCGCCGAGTGGATCTGCCTACCGACTCTCGTCTACGAACTCGAGTATCCACGCATCGAGACCATAAACTGGTGGTACGTCGCAGAGAAGTCTGCCGCCACCCTGGGCGTCATTTGGATCATGATCATAATCTCGCAAGCCTACATCTACCCTGTCGTTGTCGAGACGGTAGGCCTAAAGCAGTCGGGCATCAGCCTCGACGAGCGCTGGAAGGAATTCCCCTGGGTGGTGTCGGACATGCTGTTCCCATTACTCCTAGAACAACTGCTCGCCTGGTACGTGATTTGGGAATGTCTTCTCAACGTTCTCGCCGAGCTCACGCGGTTTGCGGACCGCGGGTTCTATGGCGACTGGTGGAACGCGGTCTCATGGGACCAGTACGCACGCGACTGGAACCGGCCGGTACATGCGTTCCTCCTCCGCCACGTCTACCACAGCTCGATATCGGCGTTCCACCTCAGCAAGATGGGCGCGACGTTTGCGACGTTTCTACTCAGCGCCGTGGTGCACGAAGTCCTCATGTTCTGTCTATTCAAGAAGGTGAGGGGTTATCTTTTCGCAAGCCAGATGAGCCAGGTGCCTTTAGCGGCATTGAGCAGGACGAGATTCCTAAAAGGGAGACAGACATTGGGGAATGTCATGTTCTGGCTGGGTTTGTTCATTGGGCCAAGCGTCATCACTAGTCTGTATCTCATCGTGTAGCTTTATGTACAACACCATGATGCTAGCATGCATCGCATTGTTATCACATTGCAAGAAAGGTTAGGAAAATTAGTGCCTCTCAGAAGAGGCTTTCATTCGAGCAAATTTCTATGTTTTTGATAGTATCTTTAGCCTGCACTACACTGTATGGATGTATGCATACAAAATACAAACAAACAAACCTACAGTCTGGACCCTGTTGACGTCATCACTACCTTCCGTCCCACCGCAGACTTCCGAGTCCTGGCGTGACCTTGACCTTGACCTCCCCCATGTTATTTGTTCCAACTACCAGCAATTCCAGCCGAACGACGGCCAATCCGATGAATCGCTGAGCTCCACTCTCGGCAGCCAAAACCTGGATGTACTGATCTAACGGCTCTCCTCAAGCTTGGTTCCAAAGTGGGGAAGGAGAACAAAAGCAAGACAGGTTTGGATGATAGCTCCGGCCAATAACACACAAATACTGGGGAGCTTAAACAAGGCTTCTAGCTTGCTCTTCGATTCATAACGTCTTTTTCCTTCCCACGAGTAAACTTCCTCAACATCTCCTCGCATTACCTTTTTCGAGAATCTGCAGAGGTGCTGATAGGCTTCGGCCTGGAGAAGAATCGCATCGCATCGCATCAAATCGCATAACCTCACGACGACATCAATTACACATCCTACTACCCTACTACCGACCAAAACATCCACAATGTCCACCAAATCTTCCTCCAAGCCCGGCACAGGATTCCTCACATTCAACTCGCTCCCACCCCGACTCTGGCTCACCGGGCCCTCCCCACACCCACCAGAGAAACAGCTCCTCTACTGGAAAGAAGAAGGCTACGACGTCACCTACCTACCCTACACGCCCGACGACCAAGCGAGCTACACCCGTGCGCTGAAGAGCCTACACGACGACCTCGAGCTCGGCGAAACCTACGCGATAGTATGCTACGGCGCGGCCGCAACCGCGGTGCTCAAGACGGCCCAGAAGCCGATGCCCAAGTGCTGCGCAATCGTCGCGTTCTACCCGTCCGTGCTGCCTGACCCGCGGCACAAGTTCCCGTCGCTGCTGCAGGTCGTCGTGCACGTCGCGGGGCTGGAGCAGATCTCGCCGCCGGCGGAGCAGTGCGCGTGGCGGTGCTACCGGTACGAGAAGGGGCGGGTTGGGTTCGCGGACCCGGAGGGCGACGAGTTCGAGGAGGTGGAGGCGGGGCTGGCGTGGAGTCGGTCGCTGGCGTGCGTGCGGAGGGGGTTCAAGATGGAGGAAGACGTCGAGGAGGTCGCGGATAGGGCGTGGAGGGCGAAGTATGAGGGCGACCCCGATGCGTCTGATGTCGGGGCCGCGGCGGTGGTGACGAGCATGACGCAGGATAGTCCGCATGTGACGATCTTCCCGACGCTGGAGGGCGGGGTGGGGAGGAAGAAGCTGAATGAGTTTTATAGGGAGTATTTCATCCCCAGTGTGATTGACGATTTCGACCTGAGGCTCGTGTCGAGGACGGTCGGGGTGGATAGGGTGGTGGACGAGATGTTGGTGTCGTTCACGCACACGGACGACATGGACTGGATCCTGCCTGGGGTGGCGCCGACGAACAAGCGCGTTGAGATTCCGATGGTGAGCATCGTGGCCGTCCGCGGCGGCAAGCTCGTCTCCGAGCACATGTATTGGGACCAGGCGTCGGTGCTGGTGCAGGTCGGATTGCTCGACCCCAAGGTGGTTCCCAAGAAGTTCAAGAACGGAGGGTTCGACGGTACGGAGTTGAAACGATTGCCGGCTGTGGGTGTCGAGGCAGCCATGCAATTGCTGGATCCGCAAGAGAACAGGTATAATGAGCTGCTTCGAGAGAGTGGGCTGGTCGGACCTTCGACGAATGGTTTGAACGGAGCGAATGGTGCGTGAAGGACTAAAGGATAGGCGTTTCGATCTGAAGGCTTCTAGGGTAATATGCTCTAGAAGAAGAAGTAAAAGGGGTTTTGTGAATTTTTAGCACTTCAGCGCTGCAGTCTTTTGTTGGTTTGTTCAGGATTTTCATTCTTAGTTCATATTTCACGGTTCTAATATTTTCTATCTGGATAACTTGACATGATCGATCGCTAGCCCATGAAGTTGCAGGTGGGCAATCTGTATTTATCGAGGACCCAATACTTCCTCCTCACGCCTTCCCACTCGCCGTCGGCATCGAGATCCGGGACGTCAATGGTCTCCCACTCGATGTCAAACCCAGCCTCCAATAGATCGATCTCCACAATCTTTCCGTACACGTCGTAACATATCTGGCGATCCGCGCCCATGCCATTGAAGAAACCGAACTTCCCTCCCTCGCCATCACTGCCGCCCGCCGGATCCAACAGGCCGATCACGTACTCAGTGAAGAACTCCCGAAGCGCCTTGTAGTCCTCCGCGAATGTGTCGAAGTAGATGGCATCGAAGAGCTCGCCCTCCTCGACGAGCCGCGGCACGACGTCCTGCCAGCGGCCCTCGTGCACTACCACGCCCGTCTTCTCGTGCCAGCCCTGCTCCTTCATCCTCTTGACCACGTCCGGGTGGGCCTCGATGATGTGGTGCGCCTTGGGAGACTTAGACTGGAAGATGCCGTCGATGATGCCCATGCCGTGTCCGACGTTCAGGACGCGGAGTCCCTCGGTAGGGAGGAGTCGCTCGGCGGATCTGCGCATGAGCGTGGTCTCCCATTCCATCATGACGCCGTTGGAGGACTCGTCCAGCAGACGGTCGCGGTCGAAGGTCAGGGTGGACGAGAGGTACGCTGGGTTCTGGGTCGACTCGTCGCCCTCTGCTAGCGCAACGTCGTTGACGCTTTGTGTGACTCTCTCGACGGTACGGTCATCGTCTTCTTCCTCTGCCTCTACTCCCTCTCCTTCCTCCTCGTCCTCGTCCTCGTCCTCCTCGGAATCGTCATCGCCAATCAACTGATACTCCTCGAGCCTACTGAGTAGCAATTCGGCCCTTACGCCGGCGTCAACGCACATCTCGTACAGTTCGTCCAGCCCCAGCCTGCGCGCAATGCAGCCGGGCGTCTCGCCGTTGATGTCGAGGTCGTTCCATATCGCGCCGTTCTCAAAGAGCAATCTGACCGTCTTGACCGCAGCGTCTAGCTCCTTCTTTCTCTGCTCGCTGAGCTCTGGTTCTTGTTGTTCCTGTTGTTCCTGCACGCCATTCGTGTGGCCGTTCACCTTGGATCCAGCATCAGACGCGGCGGGTTGTGCAGATTCTTGTCCTTCTTCGTTGTCATCGTCGTCTTCCTCGCAGGCGGCGATGGCGGCATGCAGAGGCGTGAACCCCGTCTCGGCGTCCTGCACGTTGGCGGAGGTGTTACGGAGGAGGTTCCGCAGCGCGGAGATGTCGTGGTGGGCGGATGCGAGGAGGATGCTCTGCGTCGAGAGGTCGGTTTCGACCGCGAAGGCTGGGTCGTCCATTGGTGTGTCTTCTTCCGTTCTTTCTCGAAACTAGCAGTGTCAATGGGAAGAATTGGCGATGTGGTGCTTATGGTAGTGGGAGTTTGTTTTCTGTTGTAGTTGTGTACAAGTACGTCGTAGTGGGGGTTTGGGAAATTTCGGTGTTATCGATAAGAAACATATTGCAGTGGACAGTTCCATCCAATGGCCTCGTACCTACGGGGCTAGTCTTCGCATTGCGTTTGTAGTATGATGGGATTGATTGACTCTGTTTATATGCCAGAACTAATTTGGGTTCAGTTCATGTGATGAAAGTGTCTACAGTGCTTGCTCGTTTCCTGGTGTGTTCAGTTGACGATACATACCCAATTTCTAGGTGTCTAGCACGCATGACCTACCAGCAGCGCCCTACTCGAGTAGTACCTCAAGCCACTATTCCCACAAGCGAATGAATAATCCACCAACCTAGCGTCCGCACCAAACGTTCAACCCATCAACTGACTTTTCATCTTTGAATTTACCGGGTATATAAGCACACAAATTCACGAAACTTTCATCAAAGCCAGCAAATCACAAATTTGCGAGCGGTTCCAATAACAGATCAGCTCGCTTGGCTCAGTGGTAGAGCGTATCACTAGTAGCCGCAAATGATAAGGTCATCAGTTCGATTCTGATAGTGAGCAATTGGTTCTTTTTTTGCACTTTTTTGGTGCTTTGAAAATCTAGGGTTTTTTGGTGCACGCCAGCGCATCAGAGAGAAAGAGAGAGAGTATGGATCGGGGAGTGAAGATTGATCATCATCGACGAATTCTGGTGACAGATGATGCTCGAATCTGCTGGGCCAACTTATTTTTGTTCAATTTTATTTTGCCATCAATGGAAAGAGGTTTTAGAAGGGTCTATCTACCTCTAGCACACACGATATTTGTGTGCTGTTATAATAAGATGGAAACACAATTGTGTTTCTTCTGTGTGATTGGCTGGTCGCTTCATGTCTACCTTGATTTGCGTAGCAGCTTATATGCGATCCCATTTCTCGAGACAAAAGGTACCAACATACACAGTAAGCATGCACTTTGAGAGCTATCTTCAACTCCTGAACACAGCATCATCATTAGAGGGTGACATCAATCACCACGTGAGAAAATCGAGATAGAGTACGGAGTACTTGTGCATTCATACAATATCATCAAGCGCGTCCGCGTCGCGTTCGAAGTGCTCTCAACTCTCTCGGTAACTATGCGATTCGCACCTAGGTAATTAGGGACGATGAAACAGACAGATCGGTTGATTCGGCCCTGGAGGATGGACAATGGCCAAACGAAATTGAGATTGATGCTCGCGGGATGCAGATCCTTCCCGTGTGGGCAAGGCTTGCTGCCAGCTTTTTCTCGCTGGAGTGAAATTGCGATAGGCGCGTGCGGGCCTACGGCATTACACAGTTACTTACTCGGACAAGTATGGTAAATTGTTAGGTACGAGGTAGCCAGAGCAAGCACGGCGTTGTATCTATAGGAGGTTACAGGTAATTAGCTCTCCTGTTTTCTTTGGGACGCCGCCGGCTCTGGTTCAGGTCCGTCGCTGTCGGTGAGAGGGACAGGTAATTGCATTACTGTGGGTGATATTTGTCCCTAACGTCTGCAACCACGGCATGCTATACTTAGATACTTCGTGTCTGAACGAACGTGTACAAGTACAGAAGCTGCTGATGCGTTCGCTGTACGCCGTACCACAGTGATACAACAATGGTTCACATGTCACCATGTCCAGCTCGCGTAGGTCTTGTACTTGTACACAGCTGCGCGACTGAGTGCACTCGTGCCCGCAGAGCTAGCAACCCACAAGATCGACCGAGCCAAGCGTGGAGAGCCGCTGCCCTCACCGGCGAATTACTGTTAATAATGTCTCATAATTCGAAAAGGTCTCAAGGCGCCCTGTCCCGCCCGGCGCGAGACCCTTTCCAAATCTCCTTGATATTTCGTCATGGGGGTGTGGGAGATGAAGGGCAAGGCTGAGAGAGTGGCTGAGCAGGTGCCAGGTGGAGGAGAGGATGGAGCGAGAAAGAGGAGATTGTGGTCTCGTCAAGAAGGTGGTCCACAGTGGTCATGGCCGAGGTAGCCGAGCGAGAGAGCAGCGTTGGCGCAGAATGGCTGGTGCTGGTGACAGCCACTGCGCTCGTATTTGGTTCTATCGTCAAACGATCGCGAGTTGTGACTACTGTGTACCTAGGTACGAGAGTATCCAGAGGGACATATCGCTCAATTTTGCTGCTGGTGATGGTGATACATGTTGAAAGAATTGCATTGCGCCATTTCACAGGCCGAAAGGCTGACCTGGTGTTCGGAGGAGGATGACAATGATAAAAATAAAAGGCTGATGACGATGATGGATCCTCCACCAAGGGTCGAGGATAAAAGGGGGTGTGAGCAGGAAATGTGATATGATAAGTGACAAGTCCCGTATGCGCCGGGGTGAAGTTAGGTGGTGTTAGGTGAGGTTTAGGTGAGGTTAGATGAAGTTAGTGAGAGAGTAGAAGTCCACGAGGGAAACGAAACGGGATTAGCCCGTAGGGACGAATGAGAGAGAAAATAGCACGAGGCAGGGGGACGGGAGCGGGAAATTAAGATTAGATGGTTCAACCAATCACACCCATTCTGTGCCTGACGCCAAGGGACGGGTGGTGAATGAACGAACAGGGGCAGAGTGACGCTGATTGGCCGACTGTTGGGTGAATTTCTGTTGGTTGCTGTGCCGTATACGAGCCGCCGAGTGGAGCTGTTGTTCGTGAAGGTGAGGTTATCCCCCATACACAGCACATACACAGCAATCGATACTATACAATGCTAATTATACTATACTCGATTCTCTCCTAGTAGGCGTTGTAACACTATGCTGTAATACACCATACTCAATTCTACTACGTCTGTTCTGTATTCTACCGTGGGTAGAGTGGGTGGTGGTGGTCCCCTGGTCGTGCCTTCTCAACTCGTTTCCTTCCGTATTCGCCGTTTCGCCCACCCTGTCGCTCACCCTTCACCCTTCACCCTGCTGACTCGGCCTCTTCTTCTCTCTTCTCCTCCTCCTCTTCCTTTCCACTCCTTCACCTCACCTCTCCACCTCCTCGCGGTCGCTCTCCCACCCATCACCATCACCTTCCTTTCGCTTTAATCGCGACCAGGCTGTCGTTCGCCCTTCGTTCATCGACCCCAGCCGTCGCACATTCGCTCTTTCATACAACAAAAACGACAAAACCAATAACTACACCAACCTCACCATAGTCAACTCCTTTATGTTTAGTGCTTAAAATACCAATCTACAACTATTATTCAACACGCGACGCGCAAAAGACAAACAGTACATACATACACTCGACTACCAACTAGTACATACATACATTCCACGGGACTCGCCAGAACACACCTCCAGGCCCAGTTCTAGAGCCATCGACATTCCTGACCGCAATCCGCTGCCTCCCTTGGAACCCAGGAACCTGCACCAGCCTCGTCCCCGTATATATGCCACTCGCCGCTATTCAGTAACAGTAATAACACCAATCGATAATCGCCAAACACCGTTCGCTCGCGCGCAACAGTCACCGTCCGACTCAATCGCAACTCCAACACGCGCCTGTCACGAACAATTGTCCCCAGACCGCCAATTGCAACCTCCAAAATGGCTCACAATCACGGGCGCAAGCACCGCCAGGTGCCTCGCCAATTCGACCGCCATCGGCACACCTCGGAGGAAGAGGAATTCGACTTTGCGACCTTCCTCTCCGTCGTCATCCAGACCTTGGGAGCGCCAGTGACAAGAACCCTGGGAGAGCCTATGACAAGAGCACCCGCTTCTACCATCACCCAGGACCCCGAAGAACCCGAATCGACTCGAAAGCCACAACCCAAACCTACTAGCTCTGAGGAACAGGAAGAGCGAGTCACGTCTACCGCGCAGCCTAGGAGCCCATCCGCCGCAAAGCCAACCTCCGCTGCCCATTCCTCCTCGATCAACTTCGATGAGACCATCAAGCCCTCGAACACCCAGGTCCGAGCTGCGTCCACCATTTTGGTGGCCTCCTCATCCCCTGTCATTACTGAGGCCTTGATTTCTGCTACCGCAGCGTCGTCTCCTTCAGCCTCTGCCACTGCTGACCCAGCGGCGAGCGGTGAGATGTCCACGGGCGCGAAGGCTGGTATCGCTTTGGGAGTCCTTCTCGTAGTGTGTGCGCTTCTTACCGGAATCCTCATCTTGTACCGTCGCAAGAAGAGCCAGATGCGTGATCAGGAGGTGGCCAACGAGAAGCCTCCTATGCGCAACATGCACGATCTGCCTCCACCACCCATCGTAACGCCTCCTCCTGCCGAACCCGCCCCCAGCATTCGTACTCAGCGTACCATGTCCACCGCTCCTCGTCTTAGCCTGCGCCCCGTCACTCAGTTCGATCCCACGTTCTCTGAGAACCGCAAGAGCGGTGGCAACCTCCTCGGTGTTGCCAGCGCCGCCGCTGTTCCTCATCAGCGCGCTCCTTCCCCTGATCGCCCGAGCAGCTCCTGGGAGCGTCCTGGTGCCGCGAATGTTTCTCCAACTGGCAACCCTTTCAATGACCCGCAGCCACTGTCTAGCAGCCCACCCCAGGACCCGTTCACAAACGCCGCTGTCATTGAGACCCCTCGCTCTCTTTCTCCCGGTCCTCCCATGTCCGCCAACATGCCTGACGCAAGCGAGTTCGCTGCTGCGGCTGCTGCAGCGCCTGCTGCCGCCGTTGTTGCTGCTGCTGTTCCAGTTGCTTCCCGAAACGCCCAACAGGACAAGGAAATGCCGCCTCCCCCGCCCATCGGACAAGAAAATGGCCCTCTCGCTAGCCCTGCTTGGACCGAAGACTTCCCTGCATCTCCTGGCCCAGCTCCTACCGGTCCTCCCCCTGTTGCTGCTCCTAACAATGTCCACCGCGTCCAGCTCGATTTCAAGCCTTCCATGGAGGACGAACTTGGTCTCCGTGCCGGTCAGTTGGTGAGGATGCTCCACGAATATGATGATGGATGGGTAAGTAACAACAGGACCCCGATTTGACGTTTCTTGACTAATTGTATCCAGACTCTCTGTGTCCGCATGGATCGCTCCCAGCAAGGTGTTGTCCCCCGAACATGTCTTTCCAAGCACCCCGTCAAGCCTCGCACTGGTCCTCCTCGTCAGCAGCCTCCGATGCGTGGCCCCCCTCCCTCCGGCATGCCCCCTCACGCAGGTGTTCCCCAGCCTCGTCCTCTCTCTCCCGCCAGCGGACGAAGCTCGCCACACCCACCGGTCCTCTCGCCTGCGAATGGCCGCATGTCTCCCGCTCCCCGTTCGATGAGCCCCGGCCCTAACCAGATGCCTCCCCAAGAGGGACGCGCCCGATCAAACAGCAACGCACCTTACGCAGAGCCTCCTCGCTCCATGAGCCCTGGATTCGGACCGATGCCTCCTCAGGGTCGTCCTCGCGCGAACAGCAATGCTCCGTATGCTGGTGCTCCTCGATCCATGTCTCCTGGCCCGTACGGCGGTGGGCCCCAGCAGCTCCCGCCCCCTTCGATGGAGATGGGACGCCCTCGATCAAACTCAACCGGCCAGGTCGCCCGCCGTGGCTCGCCACCTGGCCCGAGCCCCATGAATCCTAATGCCAATTTGCCGATGCCTTCAAGAAAGCCTCTTCCAGGCCAGGCACTATAAATATTTTCATGAGGAATGATCATGGCTTCGAACTTCTTCTTTTGTTTGTTTTGTTTCGAGACTTCATTTCGATTTCCTTGTAGGGGTCATTGCGATCTCTAGTTCATATCTACTTGTGGCGACTTGTCTGGGTCTTCCAACTATTTATATCTTATTCTCTGACTATTCCGCAAGATGGGGTGGAGGTGATTGGATTGGATGTCGATTTCTAAAGATTAGCTATCGGGTCTGCAGACGCATAAGATGTACAAAGAAAAGGCAGCGAATGTGATACCCATAGCAGAATCCAATCCTTTGCCATGCAATGCCATGCTTAGACACCGATTAGTTTATTTCCCCTTTTTAGGGGCCTTTATTTCCCATGTCTTCCTAGCTATACCCCAAAATCCTAAAATGCAGAAAATCAACTACAAATACAACTACAACTACATCATATAACAATAAAATATCCTTAACATATGAAATCATCTGTTTGTAACGACTCTTCCCCATGTCCTAGTCCCTATGGCGACTTTACAACTGATTTTCTTCTACTTTGTTGTCCTCCTGTATGCGAGTGGTGTATCAGCTATATATCTATCGGTCTGTTCGTCCGTTTATCTGACCATAATATCAAAAAAAGAAAAACAGGGTAAAGTGTGATGCATCCAATTGAGGCTGATGGTTGAGCAGGGTAGAGAAAAGTACACTTGTGCGATCTGAGTACATAAATTGTGGAAGTCCATCTCTATCTCGTAACATGACTTCGTGAGACGTGTTTCTTGGTGTCAAAATACTGATGGGAGTAAGTACATACGGGAGGGCGTGTTTTCATTGTGCGATTGATCCATTCACGTCGCCGCCTCTTTTGCTGTGCTTCTTATGTCTTAGTCTGTAGCATAGTACTGTATAGTCTGGCATGATATGGTCTTTTCCATTCTGAAGTGTATTAAGAGTCTGATCTAATTTTCCTCGTCTTTTGTGCCTTTCTTCTGTTTCCGCCTGCCAGTAGGACTTCGCAGTAGTTATAGCAGTGATATCAACATTACTCGCCCTACCAACCAACCGCAACGCATCCATCTCGAGAGAGTGAGAAGACAGACAAGCCTCTACTCGCACCGACACCTCCCCTCACAAGCCTTCACAGCGCTCTCCTGCACCGTCAAAACAGCTTTGACCCAAGGCGACATCTTGCTCGTGTCCACGACGATGTTGCCCTCGTCGTCGCAGGTGAAGTGCTTCTTGCATTGCACCATGGGGCTGCGGTGATTGGGGTTCGTGTGGAGCGGGACGACGCCTGCGGGGGGCGTGCAGGTGATGGTTTGGGGGTTTGGGGTTGAGTTGCTGGCTTGGTTGCCGGGGGTTGCGAGGACGGTGGTGGTTGTGAAGGAGAGGAGGGAGAGGATGGTGAGGTGGTGGAATTGCATGGTGGTGGTTTCTTGATGTCGAAGGATTGGTTGGTGGGCTGATTTGGTGGGTTGCTTATTGGGTAGCAAATGTGATTGTAGAGCGAGCGACGTTGTTTGTCTAAAAGAATGTGATCTTAAAGATCGGAAAGGATTGACTGTGGTGAGTGAGTGTATCGCAAGGGTAGTGAATGTCCATCATGGATGGGAATACAAGGCTTCTTTATAACACTTCCCAAAAAAAACATAAAAGATTATATTTGAGCATCCTTGACGAGTACAGTGCTACAACTTCCCGCCTGCCGGCCTAAGTAAATTCCCGTAAAAAGGAACATTTAATGCAAAATTGTCCGGAGTCTATGTCTCGGACTTTTTTTGCTTTAACTTATTCTACGTTGCCTCTGTGCACACGGAGTACAGTTCGTTAGTACTGACGATCGTCGGTCCGACCAATTCTTTCATCTAGTGACCAAGTAACAATAACGACTACTCTCAAGAGTAACAATGCTACTCTCGAGCCTCCTGTACAAAATTACAATGTAGAGGTAGGATAGTTAAGCCACCTTGTCTCTATTAGACAGCGTCCCATTACAGAGTCAGAAGAACTCCATTCTATCATACCAGGGCTCAGGTTAGCCATACAATCTGCTTTATCTGTGCCCTCCGCTGCTGAAAAGGGATTGGGCAGGCAATGATTCGTCTGTCTTTTCACGATGTAGCAATCTACGCTACGTGTCTATTGCATTTTCACTCACTTTGTGCCTCTACTTATCGTAAGGTCAGGGAATTATAAATCATGATGGTTTGGAGCCGCGCAGATAGTACTGATATTGTATTGTATTGCATGATTATTTTTAATTGATTTGATCTTCAAAACCCTCCCTCCTCTTCTTCTACTATGCCAAGCAGTTCGTACCAAATGCATCCCACTCCGTGAGCGAATAAATCACAGCCAGGAAAGCTAATATAAAGATGTGCATACGCGTATCTTCAATCAATTACTGAGGAGGACACTTGCAGCCAATCTTTGTACAAGCCGCGAGCGTGTCCTCCTTCATACCCGGAAGCTCCCAGATAGAGCCCTCCATAAATGGAGTGGTCGATTCCAGCTTGCCTGCGGTGCACTTGTAGACGCGCTCGCACAGGACGTTCCACGGGCCGTGGGTCCTGCTGGCCGCCACGAGGACATTGCCCTCTGGTTTGCCGTTGCAGGTGGGGCGGGGGACATCGCTTGTCGTTGGTGCTTTGATTTCGGGAGCTGTGGTTGCGGGAGCGTTGACTTCGGGAGCTTTGACTCCGGGGGCTTTGATTTCGGGAGCTGGGGTTTCGGGAGCTGCCGCGCTGACTGCTGCGCCGAGGGTGCCAGTCGCAGTGAAAAGGGTGAAGAGAACGATTTGGTGGAACTGCATGGTGGAAGGTGTTGTGGTTGGCGTTGGGTTTGATCGTATTATGTCGTGTTGCAGGGCTGAGGAAATATTCTTGATTGATGGATAGGATGATAGACTAATCGAATAGAACTTTTTCTTCCGCAGTAATGTTTAAAGAATGTGAAGTAAAGAATGTGAAGTAAAGACTGTAAACTTTGAAAATGATTGACTGGTGGTGAGCTGTTGCGGTGAACGCTCTGAAGAAGGTGAATTCAGAGCTCTTTTAAATAATTCCATCTTCAAAAATAATTACTGAACCACCGGATTTCCGTATCTTGAATCTCCGAATGTATCAATCTACCTTGCCTCTTTGCATGCAGACTACGGTACTTGAGTGTAGATCATCGGTAACCCAGCAATTGCGTGGTCGACCGATGACGATCACTCCGGAACATCGACGTGTAAGTACGCCCGCATCGCGTAGACTTCTGAATAGTTAGGACAATTAAGCTTTCTTTTCCTTCTTCAGTAATTGGGGAGCATGCTGTGCGGAGTTCCGTTCCGGTGAAAGGGTTGATCCCATTCTCTGCAGTGCTCTAGCAATAATATGCCTATGTCTTCTGAGCCCTCTCGGAATGTAAAAGGAGGTGGAAGTTGGTTAGCATCCGACGTACCGAGGATGGATATATACATAGCAGAAGGCATAGTCCCGTGCTGGTTTGCATATGACTTTGACCTTTTCTAGCATAGTGTTCGACAGTTGAGTCAATTATACTATACTGTCAAGCAGTCGTGTTTTTCAGCTACGATTTATTATTTTTGTGAGTGCAATCAACGCTATCGTCTGTATATTTGATGTACGCAACATACAAAGATCATTTGATGCATTGAACAAGGAACACTGAGCCCCACAAAGACTTTGTCTTACAGAGTCGGAAAATCATGTGTATGAACAGTTGGGACATACCTCTCTTCACTTCTCTACACACGTGAACATTATGAAGAGTACTTGAATCACACGTACCGTTTAGAGCAACAGGTATCGGTAGGCTGCGACGATTTAAGACGTTAGTAGCATACATCGACAGTAGCGGTGGCGGTGATATTGTCTCTTTTGGAGTGACTGTGGTATACTCGTTCGACAATTGGTTGCAATGCTTTCAACTCCCTAGGCACACTCACACAAAAATGGGAATCGTTGAAGCGAGACTGAAATGGTGCAAAAGATATATTGTTGCAGACATGGTGAGAGTGGATCACTTCGAGAAAGAAAAGGCCGTGTTGGCAAGTTTTGAAAAATCTAATTGTGCATATATGTTACGCTGCGTATCTACGTTGATCTATAGTAATATAATCTCCCACTCTTCCCCGTGCGGTCGCCTCATGCCATCTCATACCTCGGAACAGGTGGTGGCTCGGGACTTCGAGCCGGTACAGATTCGAGTTCTGGCTTCGCTCTTGTTTCCAGCTCATGGGCATAGTATTCAGCACCTTTATCAAGTGGAGATGGTGGTGCCTGGTCCTCATGATTGCTGCTGGTCACGTGCGTGAGAGTACCGTCCTTGTCGTTCGTGTATGGGCTGTTGTTGTTTGGGTGCGGGCTGTCATTGTTTCCTCTGTGCTGATGATCATCGCTGTTCTTCGTCGACCGTGCCATCCGCCTCGCGAGGAAGAATCCCAATCCGATGAGCAGAAATGCACCCACCACAGCACCGACTCCGATCCCAGCCTTTGCGCCCGTCGTCAACCCTCCCCCTCCTGCAGTCACACTGGGAGTGGGACTCGACGTCTCAGAGGCCAGCGGTCTAGGCGTCGCACTTGCGGTGTTGGGGATCGCGCCCCGGAACTCGAAAGGTAGCGTCTTGACCTTGGTCGGGTCCTTGCAGCAGTCTGTCGATATGCCGCAGCACCAGGTCAGTGACTTCTCTGTTCCGTCGCAGGGCGTCATGACGGCGCCCGTGGTTCCGTTCCCGCTCGTCCAGTCGTCGGAGCAGACGTCCAGGCACAGTCCCGACTTCCAGTCTCTCTCCGTGCACGTCTCCCGCCAGTAGCTGACCTGCATCGTGCCGTGGTCCAGCACGCGGTTTCGACAGACGCCATTGGGGAGACACTCGTCGTTGGTCCGGCCGTACAGCTTGTCGCCGCCGGATGGATTGGTGCGATTCAGAGCGCAGCAGATAGTGGAGAGTGGAGATGTGGTGTCGTTGGAGCAGGGCATGTGTTCATATTCGTCGCGGGCGTAGGTCGCATTGCCAGTAGGCCAGTAGCAAGTCGCTGTCGCTGGATTCGAGAAGAGTGTCGTCATGGTCGTTAGGCCAATTATCGCTGCCGCCATCGCGGTCCTGTGTCGTTGTTGTCGCATATTGGCTGTGCCAATTGCTCGCCTGTAGAGGCCCTCTCTTCTCTTTTCTTTTCTTCCTCCTTTTCTCAGATCCCCGGGGAAGTTTGACCCTTCGGTTCGGTCCTTTCGTCACTTTCCCTCTATTGAATGTCGATGTAGGGCTGAGGCGTATTTCTCCGAAATACGAGAAAACCGTTGGGGCCGTTTCGTATTCGTCAATCTGTACCTCTCTCCGATCACACAAGGCAGATGTGGGGAAGGGTAGTATCTTGGTTGAGAATGACGACGATCAAGTAGTATAGAGAGGAGTTGTGAGAGAGAGGAGAGAAGGGATGTGCGATGTGACGGTGGTATTACAGTTGTCGTAGAGGAACCAGGAGTACGGGCCGATGGGGAAGACAGAAGGGATCATGGGGAATTAATTAATTGCTGCTGGGCCTAGTTGTCGTAGCGTACTTGTAGCGCTGAGTAGTGTCCTGGTAGTGTGAATGTCGGTTCCTCCATGCATGTGAATAACATCCGACGAGGAGAAGCGAAGCAAAGCGCCAATTACTTAGGACGGTACCAGGCGCAAACTGGGCAGAAGAGGCTGTCTTGCTGTTTGAGCCCAACTTAATTGATGGTTACAATACAAGTGAGGTATCTGTTAATCGGGCTGAGTTGAGTTGATTTGGATTGAAGTCGGTCTGCCTCGAGCATGATCATACGCACCATAGCATATCATAGCATACCATTATTGCATACCATTGGATAGCACAGGATACAACTCCGTATATACCATAACATATCATGCCATGGAGCACAGGAGACCATGCACGATCATCACCCATGTATGTACAGTCAGCCTTTAGATCCCTTAGCCAAGGCCCGCGCGTGCATGGGAACTTCCACCACATGCACACACTAGACTGCGAGTGGTAGTACAAACACCCGCTCATCTTACCTTCAAGTATCACACTCTTTGCACCGATTGGGAGCTGAATGAAACGGCCACAACAGGTAGGCTGAGTGAGTCTGTGTATCCTGTGTTCCATTCCACCCCTCGAGTCAAAATCAATCGTTGCTCCGCCAAGTGTTGTACTCAATTGCTATTCTTGATTCTCCCATCATCATCATACATCATAACCTGTTGATTGAGGCGAGGTGAGACGTCTTGGTCGTTACCCAAGTGATGGAATATTCCGTTAATAGTTTGGCATTTCGATCTCGTCTGTGCGTCCGTCTGCCATGAACAAACAACACCCTACCGTAAGTGTCTACTTAACGCATTAGGAATACAGTCTCCCTGCTCTTCTTCCCACTCTTCCCCTCCCCCCTCCCCCCTTCCCATGTCTATACGATCAAAGTTTTAACGATCAGGAAAGACAGTAAAGTGGATGGCGGGAAAAAGCTAACGGGAACACCGTCTCCCATTTCTCACGTGGCATACATAACGGGCATCGCTAATCAATTAGCTTAAGCATTAACTAACTGCTAGCACTGAACGCCTTAACGAGCATCCGATTGAACCCTTAACATTCCGAATTGCACCAGTACGAGTAGGTTCTGAACAATTTGAGACGGAATGATTCGGCCGATGGAGCGATCGAATCGGACTGTCAAAGCACGATGGCGGTCGAGACCCTCCGGGGCTTGGCCTTGATGCGGTGTAGGGAAAACATCTGCCTTCCTACTCGTATCTATCTGTCCAACACCTGCCTGTTCGACTGTCTGCCTTGCTTGTCTTGTATTCTTCTTCTTCTCTGTTTCCCTTGCGAGGGACTTGCACATCTAGAAGTGTGCGCCGCGCATGAGGCCAATTGGCGGAGAATATCGCGAATGCAACTAGCCAGCCCTACCATGCCGTGTGGGTGACACAACGATAGGTGGAATCTTTGCAGCCATTAAACCCTCCTTTCCATTTAAACCTAACTCCCCTCTCTTCCCCTCTTCCTCTTTGCTTTTAGGACAATAACAATGACAATGTTTATTGAACTATGGAAAAAAATCAAGGGTCCAAAGGAATACGAAGCGCGCTAATTTACCATCGAACCCATCCATGCACGGGCTGCATGTATGATCCGATTCCAACAATTGGATTGACCAATTCCTACTCCTACGAAATGGTAAAAGCAAACGAGCTCATGCAGCGCGGCTTGAATACCCATGTCTCCCCGCGGCGGCGGCGGCCGCCTGACTGCTGCGTTTCTCCTACACCAATATTTACCTACATACGATATGGACGCCCATGCACGCACAGCACGCAAGCGATGAATCGGTTAGATCAATCATCAATCCTTCCACCGTAGCTAACCAAGTGTTCCCTTCTCTTGGGAAAGAAAGAAGAAAAAGGAAAGATCGAGAATTTCATCGGAGGAATGGTTTAGCTCCCCTTCTTCCTTGTCGTTCCCCCGCCTGATCTCTGAGCTACACTGTTAAGGCACTTACTGTGCAGTACCCCGTATCTACGTATTGTTTGAACATAAGTAGTTGCTTGTCCTAGACATTGTCATAGGCGGCTTACCGGTAGGAGCCGGCCATGACTTCTGATCGCATTGCCCCGCTGTTGATCGACTGATCTTCCCTACGGTATTGTCAGTCACGCTCACGAGACATTGTCTGGCACACAACACATTCCAGCACAGCACATTGCAAGAGGCCAGATGTGATGGATTTGTAGATACATCGTACCTTGACGAAAGTGAAACCTCAATCATTAACCCCCCACCCTGCTGGGGCTGTTTACTGTTGAGTGATGAGGTTTGGAAAATACGCTCTTCAGCTTAGTTTTGGGACCAGCCTCCGGAGGTGTCGTGCCGTTACCTGCAGTAGACATCCCGTGCTGTTGTCACTACTAGGGCTGATCGGTGGTGGTCTAGGTTGATTTTCTTTCTCTAGACTTGGATGTCTAATCGACTGATATTGTGTATGAGAAATCCTTAGTATGGTTGCCATCTACAGTAAAGGCCATCTACAGTAAATGATTCGTCTATGTCTTTCGAACAATAATGATGACGATTCCTTCTAACGACGAAGCTATCCCGTTTCTACCTTGCCTAAACCGCTAGATCCCTCACTTCTTTCCCCTCCGTCGTCCATTGGCCATCCAAAGACCCTCGTCTTGATGACCTGCAATCCGAGTCTTGGTCTTCTCCACTCCCATTCCATCTCGCACCTGATCTTCGCGCTGCACCACCTTCAGTGGTAGATCTTTGCCGATGCCGAACAGCACAAAAGGCGCCCACTTCCATCGGAACGGATTGATCGCGATCGTGAAGACAAACCAGTAGATCAGCTCAGAATAGGTGAAGAAGTCGAAGGCTCCGCCGGGCGCCTTGGACTTGATCCATCGCGTCATGTCGATCCACAGCTTCATCAACCGGGTTCGCGGCCGCGCCAGCGGGTCCACAAGATACATCAGCAGGAAGCGCGTGTAGATGCCGATGTGGTAGTTTCCGACGGTCCCGATGGCGTTGACGTACGTGCAGTTGTTGCAGCAGATCTCCGGGTGGTCGGGCGGGAACACTTGCAGATACCAGTTCGGCGGGTCGTAGGGCTCCTCGAACACTTCGTCCGGGAGGAACTTCAGGCTCGGCCGCTCGTACCCCGTGGCCATGATCACCATGTCTGCCTCGATGGACTGCTCTTCCCCAGGGCCGTTCTTGGGTACGCCCTGGGCGCGCTTGTTGAATCGGACCCCCTTGCCGGACTTGTCGTATCCGAGGGTGTCGCCCCTCAGCCACGATGCCTTGCCCGTGCGGACGAGGTCGAGTACGTTGTCATTGACCATGGGAGTCTCAGTGAAAATACCCTTGCCGCTGTTCCTGGGAGGACTGATGTCGTAGAGATCGCGGTAGAAGAACAGTCGGAGGATGTTTTCGGGGATCCACGAGAAGATGGTTTCAGAGCCGAAGATGTTCAATGCAAGTAACACGTCGATGAATGGGTTTCGCGGGATGATCCATTTCTCAGAGCGAGCGAGAACGTTGGTATGCTCGGCTTCCTCTCTGGCGACGAACTCCAGTGCCTCGACGGCTGACGCTCCTCCTCCGATGACAACAACCTTTTTGCCCTTCGCAGATACGCCGTCGAGCTGAGAAGAGTGATGGATCTCCCCTTTGAAGTGCTCTTGACCTGGAAGTTTCGGCATTTTGGGGTCACCGCAGGTTCCTATTGCTGCAATGACGCCGTCGAAGCGTCCATTCGAGGTGTCGTTGATGACCCAGCGGCCGTGTGGGTCGCGATAGACCTTCTCCACGGGGGTGTTGAAGCTCGTCTTGTCTTCCAATCCGTACCGCTTCCACAGCTCGGTGACCTGGGATACGATTTGTTTGCGATCGGGGTAACCCTTGTCCCACTTGACCGAAGGATGAAAACGGTACATTAGACTGTGGATCTGAAGGCCCGAGGTGTTGTTAACTTTCTGGATTGTTGTTAGCCGTGCGTTCCATATCTTCGTGCAGTGTGTAAGTCTGGGAGGCGTACACTCCAAATGCCCCCAAGGTTCTTCTTAGGACCAGCTTCAAAGATTCTACAGTCGAATCCATGTCCGACTATGTGTGATGCAGCAGAGACGCCTGTGATGCCTGCTCCAATAACGGCAATCTTCGGACGGACGAGGTTTGGATTAGGGGGTGGCGGGGCTGGAGACAATAGCTTGTCCAGGAACCATTGTATGACCTGGTAGAAGAAAAGAATAGGACTTGTGATTAGGTGCTGAAGGAGTTTGAATAGGCCCATCCTGAACTCAATGGGATGATAGGATCAGCTTGAAGACGGCTGTATAGGAAGGACTGTGTTTGTGTAGGAAGAGTTGTTTCGGAAGGTTGTGGAAGAGTTGAGGAATGTGAGACGATATGTTTTGCATGTGATGTCATGGTGTCGATTGAGATAAGTACTGAGTAGTCAGGTACCAGGAAGAAAAGCGGGACTATTGTTGTAGGATAGGTTGAGATGGGAGTATGAGAAGAGATGTTGTTTTTTGACATGTGAAAGAAGCGATTAAAGTTAATTATTCTGAGAACTAAAGTTACGAGTACTTGGACCCGTACAAAAGATACGAGGCAACGTCACTGTTCTGCAATTCTTACAAGGATGATCTGCGACAGGGATATCTCATCGCTAAGAAAGGAGCTCGGACCAACGACAGCGCTCCCATCAAACGTCCATACTTTCGCGTCAACATCTATTTTCCATTCATTGATTCATCCGCAAACACCAAAGCGTTGTGCAGATGGAACTCGCTGCAGGTTTATAACAGAATAATTCAGGGGCCATACGTTTTGGAGTCCCCGATCAATTGAAAGAGATAGTCACGGGGTTGACCACGGAGGTGGTGGAAGCAAGCTTAAACTTAAGCTTATGCTCTGAAGAGGAGGACAGCCTCATACAAGAGCTTCTACACGATGGCGCCATTCAACTCCGGCATAGAGACGCAATTCTGCAATGAAGTGAACAACGCCCTGCAGGCTCAGGATGGCGCACAGCTACTCTCCATTCTCCAACTGGAACCTCCGTTCGGACCCATCTACCAACAGCTGATATCGTCGCTGCAATCCAAATACCCCAAGGACGACCAGCGCGCAGAGGAACAGCTCGAACGCGTCGTACGCAATGCTGTCCCCGAGACGGGCGAGAGCGAGGACGAGGAGGGCCGACCGGTGCCGAATTGGAGTGCGATGGTCACATTCATCGTCTCGTGGATGTGCTTCATCCGCGACGTCAACGTCGAAAACCTACTGGAGACGTACGAGCGGCTCAGCGACCTCCAGCAGAAGGCGAACAGCGCGCTCCAGCACTCGACCAAGGGAATTCTCATCCTACCGACCGTCATCAGCTACGCCAAGGTCTTCTCCCGCGTCGCGATAGGCCTTGACCGGCAGCCTGAGCTCATCCAACACCTCATCGCGGAGACGGTGACGGAAGAAGGGCGAAGAGAGTCACTACCAGAAAAGGCGGCCAACATCCTCCGCCACGCCTTCATCACCTGCCTCAACGACCGAAACACAGCGCCGCGGGGGATCAAAGACGGCCGGCCAGACGGCAAGAAGGTCGGCATCTACAGGATGGCCAACATCTGCCTCAAGATCCTGTTCCAGTGCGAGAAGCTCGAGAACTGCCAAACCTTCTTCTCCAACATCCACAACTCCTCCCCTCCGCTGGCCATCTACCCAGCCTCCGAGCGCGTCACCTACCTTTACTACCTCGGCCGCTTCAAATTCGCAACAACCGACTTCTTCGCCGCGCAGCTCTGTCTCCAAAAAGCCCACGACGAATGCCCCTCGGACCCCAGCTGCCTCCCGCAATCCCGGCTCCTCCTCATCTACCTCATCGCCTCCAACCTTCTCCTCGGCCGCCTCCCCCACTCCTCCCTCTACCACCGCCCGGAAGCCAAAAACCTCCGCACGCACTTCGAACCCCTCGCCCGCGCCATCCGACGCGGGGACCTCGAATCCTTCCGACGCATCACCTCCCTCTCCCTCTCCCACCCCTCCACCCCGTTCTTCATCCGCCACCGCATCTTCTACCAACTCGGCAACTACTGCGAAGTCTTCGTGTGGCGCTCCCTCATCCGCCGCGTCTTCCTCCTCACCGGCCAACAAGTCGGGACATCCTCGCGCTCCGCCCCGACAATCGACCTCTCCGCCCTCCTCGCCGCCTTCCTCTCCCTCGAGCGCCGCGCCCTCACCCTCTCGGCTTCCTTATCCCAGGCGGACTCCGTCCCAGGGAAACGCCACATCAGTTTCGCGCTGGCCGATACCTCCACGCCCCCGGCCTCGCTCGGGTACATCGACCCTGACTTCGACGGCGTGGATCCCGTCGAAGACGACACCACCCCCCTGACCCCGTACATCCGCACCACGGACTACAGCATCATGACGATAGAATCCATCGTCTCGAGCCTGATTCTCCAGGGGTTCCTGCAGGGCTTCGTGAGCCAGCGGACGAGGAAGTTTGCGATCACGGGGGCGAGGCGGGGCGGCGGGCCGTTGAAGGCGGGGTTTCCGGTGGTGTGGGAGGTGGTGAGGAGGAGGGAGGAGGGGAGGGAGGTCGTGGGGTGGAGGTTGGAGGGCGCGGTGGAGGGCGGTGGTGGGGGGGTTGTGAGGTTGGCGGGGGCGAGGCCGGCGGGGGAGTAGGGGGGATGGACGGTGGATGAGGTAGATAGATACCCGTGGTTGTGATGGTGGTGATGTGGTGGTGGTGGTGGTGGGTTGAGGGAAGTTGTATATACATTTGCATGTACAGTAGGTATATTCCGACGCATGATCGATCGATTGACTGCCGAACACATGTATCACAATGTTTTCAGCATAAATATCACTGTGTTCTCACAAGATTTCCAGTTTTCTTTCATGATTCAAAGTTGGCTGGCTGTGTTTGGTAATGTGGTTTTTACTTTACGTTGCTGGATTACTTGCCCTGTTCTTCTAGATATTCAACTAGGTCAGAGAGGGGGTGAATTTCGATCTATGCAAAAGATGAACAGAAAGGGATGGGTATCTAAACTGCGACTGCTTGCATGTAGCTTCTTCCAAGACGTCTCTCGTCTGATAATGATACCAGCAGTCCCTCAATCGTCGTCCTCGAAGTCGTCGAAGAGATTGAACTGCTGCCGCGGCTTCTCTTCCACCGGCGGAGGCTTCGCCCCAACCACGACGACGCTCTCCTTCCGCTGCGGCGCGGGATGTGAATCAGCACTCTCCTCTCTCTTCGGCCCAGAAGACTGGTCTGCCTTGATCGATGCCTCGCCAGCGTCCCGGTCGCGAGCGTTCGCATCCGCCTCTACATCCCCATCAATCTCCACAGATTCCTTCCACGGATCCTTCTTGAAGTCCAACAGATGTCGCTGGATCGCCATGAGGTTGCCGCCCCAGATCTTGGTGTTGTGAGGATACGGCGTCCACGTCGAACCGGACTCCTGGAGCTTCTTGATCCACTCCGCCTGCTCCTCCGTGACCTCCTTCAACGCCGCGTTGTCGCCATCAGCGGGGTCCTTACTACTCGGATCCGCCGAAGTCGTCGCGACGGTGCCTGCAGCAGCAGCTCCAGCCGGCGTCCCCACGACGCCATTGGCCGCGCCAGCCTGCTCCTCCTCGCCCGCCGCCTTCGGGGGCGCCAATTCGCGGTACGTCGGCGGCACGGTGTAGCTCGCGATCTTCCTGGCGTACGCGAGCAGCTCGTCGACGGGGACGGGCCGCGAGTCGTCCGGGAAGGCGGTCGCCGGGGTCTTGTAGAGCTCGCGGCGGAGGTCGGCGAGCGTGGAGACGGAGGACTTGACTTGCGCTTCTAGGGCTTCGGCTTCGGCGCGCAGGGCGAGGATGCGGGCGTGGTTGGCTTGGTGGTGGGATACTGGATGGGCGGATGAGCTTGGGGTTTTCATGTGTGGATGGTGGATTGCTTCATGTGAAGTGAAGGTATGGGGGTTTTTTTTAATTGAGGGTGGACGTACGTTGATCTAGTCCTTCGCTGAGGTCGTCATCGGCGGCGACGAGGTCCAGGGCGGCCTGCGTGGAGGGATTATAGGTGGCTATGGATTCGACGAGGGTGCTCAATGCGGACTCGACGCGAGCGAAGTGAGACTGTAGGACGGCGTCCATGGCGGGCGTGTGTGTGGTGGTTGGTTTCTGGTGGACACTCCACGGGGATGAGGGGGAGAACAATGCCACCGAAGAGAACGGTTATACGGTGACTGGTGTTTCTTTTGTTTGTGTTCCACGCTTTGTTGTTGGGTTGGTAGAAGCTTGGAGGTCGGAGGAGCTGTCTCGGACTCGTTCCTCGTTAAGAGGGAGCGCACGTGATCAGGCCAGTCTGCTAGTGAATCGTCTTTCCACCCCGCCGGTCCCGTCCCCAGACCCTCGAATGCGACCAATAATGGTTCAACTACTCACCAAGTACCTCGTAGGTACTCCGTATTACTATTGTAGGTGCTCCTGATCATAATCAAGGGTTCAACTAAATATCCTAAGGGCACTCCTGAACTATAGTGAAGGGTTCAACTCTCAGGTACCACGAGGGACTAGATGCCAAACAAATGACGGAGTTGTTGTTTATTAACAAAGAAACAATCCCATTCTTCTCTGAGTAATAGTCGTTTGTTGTACCCTACCAACTGCATGCATCACATTTAATTGTCTATCCGCGTTGAATGTCTCTACTGTCTGCAGAGAGACAGCGCGTTGGTGTGAGGAAAAGGGAACTTAAAGTGTTGATGGGACTTATTGTAACTATTCTTGGGTATTTATCCATCTGCAATACCCAATTACAGCTAGGTATCTCCGATTATTTATAGCCGATGACGACAGCCTGAGGTACTTACTCGTACTGTGCGCAATCACGCATTGAACAAGTACTCGTAGCTAGTGGCGAAAGATGCTGCTCGAATACGCATCAGCATCGTCAACACCCCCATTTACTTACCAGTAGTAGTGGAGATGGACGAGGCATGGGCTGGCCAGCTGGCGGGTTGGTTGGTTGGATGGCCGGGTCGGTCGAACTGGGCTGAGCAGCTGGAGCTGAAGTCGAAGGACCTAGATCCGCCATTAACGCGGGACGAACTGATGACGATTTGGCAACTCCCGACACCGTCAATTACTAAACTCGTAGGTAGATCTGCTATTTATTCCTGCCACGAGGTACTACTGCTGCTGCTAACACTGCAACTGGGCAAACGCGTCTTGTGCTGGAAGAGTGGATAGGATACCAAGAAGAAGCGGAAAGATATTTCAGATGCCGGACCGAATACAACGGGGACTTTTGACGTTGTTGATGCTAAGTTACTAACCGCGAAGGTGCCTGGGGACCGACCGAATGGCGACGGAGGAGGCGACGGTAACGGCGATGAGCGATGGCGATGTTTGGTAATGGACGGGGATTGGTAAACCAGCGGCTGGCTTGCTACCTGAAACTCGTCCGACCCGTATCTGACATGTAACAGAGTTTGGGGAGTATCAAAAAGCAAACAGCAATCATGCATGTCACGTCGAAGTAGGATAGACAAGATTTCAACAGCTCACCTTCCCACTGTCTTGTCTGTACTCCGTACTCTTGATTTAATTCTTGAATCCCGGTACTTGGATTATGGGGCAGAACCGCGGAACGAAATAAAATATATACCGCATCGTTGCCTTGTCTGGTCTCTTGGCTGGTCGACATCGGGACTGACTGCGCCTCAAAAAAGTCTTGAGAGGTGAATGCTTGAGCCTTGGTTGAAGAGGAAATATTCCCTTAGCTGTGAGGATTAGTGGCAATATTGCTGTGTAGAGACGGAGAAGAAGAAGAAGAAGCTGGGGGAATCAACAAGACTTGTCCCTTTGCTTGTGATTCCTTGACCTTCCATTTCCGATTTTTCCCATTCCCGTCCCATTCCCTTGACCAATATTTACAATTCCCGCTCTTATTATGCGCGGGACTTGTGTACACACAGTACCATCCAGTACTGGTACCTGTAATGGTACCAAGTTACCGTGACAGTCTCGAGTACCAGTACCAGGAGATACGATATGCGATGGTACGATACGTACGAGTACGATACGAGTGTACCACCACCCACCCCTTATGAAACTCTAAACGAACCTGACCTGAACTTGAACTGAAGGGACTGGAGGACTTGAACTGGACTGGACAGAAATGAAATAAAGTATACTTGGACTGAATAGAAGGACTGTTTGCGATGGGCGATCTGTGACCTGTCTTTGCCTTTGCCTTTGCCTGTTTCGGTGTTTGCTTCGTCTGTGTCTTGCCTCTCCCACCTGCAGGCAGCATGAACCTCGTACCCATCCAGACCGGGAGAACCGAACCTACGAGGAACTCCCTCTCTCTATTCCTCCTCCTCCTCCTCCTCCTCTTACTCTCCTGGGGAACGCCTCTTTCTCCAACTCTTACCATTACGAGCACTTCTTTTCCCATCCAACTTCCTGAACCTTTTCTCTCTCTTTTCTCTTCACATCTTCACCTTCACCTTCACCTTCACCTTCACCTTCACCTTCACCTTCACCTTCATCTTCATCTTCATCTTCATCTTCATCCCCATTTATCTTTTTGCACACACGCGCACACCCCACGAAGCGCGCTTGCGTACCCCATCACCCATCACCCATCACACCTACGCCCGCCCGCCAGCTAGCCAGCCCGCCCTCCGCCTCGACCCTCGACCCTCGACCCTCTCAGCCATCCATCCCACCTTAAACTCACCTTAAACTCTCCCGCCTACCTCGTTCACTCTCCTCCACTTTCGCCTTCACCTTCACCTTCACCTTCACCTTCACTCTCACTAACTTTCACTCACATTCTCACCTGCTCACCTACAAACCCGCCCGCCCCCTCACTTTCAAATAACTCAGCCCTCGTTGTCTTGAGCATTCTCCGCCTGCTTGCACCATGGGTAAATCGTAAGTCCAATCTTTTTCTCTTCTCACTCACTTCGTTCTTTCCCTCGTCGCGACCCCGCCGTGCGTAGCCGCCACCCACCAAACCTCGACGTCCTTCACTTTCGACCCTCCATTCAGCCTTGGACGACTCCACCCAGGTTGCTGGCCTTTTTTTATACTTTGCACGTTCAATCGAGGACCGCGACCACGCTCCGAATTACATCTTCCTGTCTGCGCTGTTCGAAAACCGCGTTGCGTCATCGCTAGGTTCCCCTCGCTGCACCACAAACAAACTTTACGATACCAACTGCGCGACGTTGATTCTCACCCACAACAACGCAACAACACAACAACAACAACAACAGCAACACCTACACTGTCACTTCTCGTTGGAGAACCATGCGCCAGAATGCAGACCGGAGAATGCGACAGCCAGGAGTGGTGCCGTAGGAACAGCAGCAACGGAGACAACAGCCATACCTATCCTCACATCCCACTCGGCACTCGTGTAGTACCTTTGCTGGCCCACGAACACCCTCCCCTCAACTTTGCGCGCCGGCACAACGCTCCGATCCCCAACCATTGTGATCCCGAGTACCACCACTACCAGGCTTCCCGCACTGTCGCCCTAGCCAACGGCGTTTCCAACCTCCATACCGAGCTCTCTACGCGTTGCCCCGTGGAGCTGCTCACTATGAAGAATCACTCGCTGACCATAACTTACCACAGCCAGAGCAAGCTCTCCCAGCAGGAGCTAGCCGACCTCCAGAAAGCGACCCACTTCGACAAGAAGGAGCTGCAGCAATGGTATAAAGGTGCGGCTGGGAAGGGAGACAGCAGATTGGCTGGACGCTAACCGGACCAGGTTTCTTGAAGGACTGCCCATCTGGCATGCTCACCAAGGAGGAGTTCCAGAAGATTTACAAGCAATTCTTTCCGTTTGGAGATCCGTCGTCATTCGCAGATTACGTGTTCAATGTCTTTGACGCCGACAAGTCAGGCACGATAGACTTTAAGGAGTTCATCTGCGCTCTCAGCGTCACCAGCCGAGGAAAGATGGAGGACAAGCTCGACTGGGCGTTCCAACTTTACGACATAGACGGTGACGGCAAGATCAGCTACGAGGAGATGCTCGCCATCGTGGAGGCTATCTACAAGATGGTAGGTGGTGCTTCGATATTACTTAGATCTGCCATCCCACGTGCCCGTATTGACATATTCTACTAACTAGGTCGGCTCCATGGTCAAGCTCCCAGAAGACGAGGATACGCCCGAGAAGCGCGTGCGCAAGATCTTCAGGATGATGGACAAGGACGAGAACGGCAGTCTGGACATGGCCGAGTTCAAGGAGGGCTCCAAGCGCGACGAAACCATTGTGTCGGCACTGTCGCTGTACGACGGTCTGGTATGAGGGAGGACTGCGTTGCTCATGGCTCGTCTTGTACTTTGGTCGGTGTTCTCTGGATTCTTTGATATCAACAGCGCATGGATTGGTTTTTCTTTGGCATGTACGCAGGCCGCATGTCCGCGGGGAGGTCTGGTCCGATTTCGCTTCGGCGCTCACGGCATATCCATGGTATGGTGTAAATAAAGAGACGCGGGGCAATGAAATGAATATCAAGAGTATCACAAACGACTGAAGTATTGATGTTGCGGTTTCGTGTGTATTTGATGTTCGTGTAATTGAACATTGGTAGTGCCTAATAGGCTCGTAAACCCATGTATACAGAAAAGAGAGCTATGCCTCTTCTCGGATACGTCCGTAAAATTTCTCTCTATTCTAATTACACATGCCATCATTCTACTCCGCCTTCTATTGCGCAGATAATCCTTTCGTTTAATCACCTGTTTTGGTTGTTGCTTTCGCGGCAAGTCTTGTTGTGGTTAAGCGTGGCTTGGCGCCGTAACCTCCGAAAGACGTAAGAGCAGAGGATGGACGCGAGGCGGAAGAGGCAACTTGGACTTTAATTCATTCAACCTTAACCTTAAACACTTCCACTCCAAACAGCACCAACACTTCGTCATCGCCCGCCACCTCGACTCTCTTGCTGGAACAAGAATACACCCTGCCATCAACATCTTCCACATTCCATCTGCATGGTCTCTTCCATAAAAATCCGATAAGCTTCTTCCCCAACGCCCAGCAGGGCTCCAAGTACTCGTAGGTAAGCTCCCTGCTTGGTTCCTGCAGTGGGAGCCTGGGCTGACAATGTACACCTTGCTGCAGCACTTTCTACTTGATCCACCTACCTCTACCTCCGACCATTAGCTCTACGCTCCACGCCACATCATGCGGCGAATCGACATATCCACCTCCGGTGCAATCCTCGCCTCTCTACTGGCAATCGTTCCCAGCCCGGCATCTGCCTTCTACTTCCCAGGCGTTGCGCCGACTTCGTATAAAAATGGTGACGCGGTGCCTTTGCATGTGAACCATCTCACTCCCGCGGACTCGCAAAACGATCCCAAGCTTCGCTCCGTGTTTTCGTTCGATTACTACCACCCCCCGTTCCACTTCTGCAAACCGAAAGATGGACCGCAATACATTAGGGAGAGCCTTGGCAGCATCCTCTTCGGCGATCGGATACAGACGAGTCCCTTCGATCTCAGGATGGGTATAAACGAGACGTGCAAGGCTTTGTGTCCCGAGGAGACCTTCTCGCCGCAAGACGCCGTCTTTGTTAATCAGAGAATCTACCAGGGCTACGACCTCAATTGGCTGGTGGACGGACTGCCGGCGGCGCAAGTCTTCGTGGAGAAGGATTCGGACGAACCATTCTACAGCCCCGGCTTCGCATTGGGAACGGTCGACGGCGAGGAGCCAAACTTCAATAACCACTACGACATTTACGTCGATTTCCACAAGGCTGGCCCTGACCAATTCCGTGTAGTCGGCGTCTTGGTCGTGCCGTTCTCCTTGAAGGAATCGCGATTCATCGAGGAAGGACGAGCGGAATGCGGCGACACCGCTGCGGCCGTAGCACTGGATGAGAATGCGGAGACCAAGGTTACGTTCACCTACAGCGTCTATTGGCGGGAGAACTCCACGCCTTTTGCAACCCGATGGGACAAATATCTGCATGTCTATGACCCCAAGATCCATTGGTTCTCGCTCGTCAACTCTGCCGTCATTGTGGTCTTCCTGATCGGAATGGTGAGCACTATTCTCGTGCGCACGCTGAAGAAGGACATTGCACGGTACAACCGTCTCGACCAGCTTGCCCTGGACGATTTCGGCGAGACCGGCGGCGCTGGCGACGACATTCAGGAGGATTCGGGCTGGAAGCTCGTCCATGGTGACGTCTTCCGTACCCCAAAGAACCCTCTTCTCCTTTCCGTCCTGATTGGCAACGGCGCACAGCTGTTCATGATGGCGGGTCTGACCATCGCATTCGCCCTCCTCGGCTTCCTCTCGCCCAGCAACCGTGGAGCCCTGGGCACTGTTGTGATCGTGTTCTACACCCTGTTCGGCTTCATCGGCGGTTACGTCTCGTCCCGCGTCTACAAGTTCTTCAACGGTGAATCCTGGAAGCTCTGCTTCTTCTACACTCCGTTCGCCCTCCCCGTCATCGTCTTCGCGACCTTCTTCTTGCTGAATCTGTTCGTCTGGGGCCGTGGCGCATCCGGAGCTGTTCCGTTCACCACGATGTTGATCCTAGTCATCATCTGGTTCGTCATCAGCGTGCCGCTCAGTCTGGCAGGTTCCTGGTTCGGATTCAAGCAGCCCGTGATTGAAGCACCAACTCGGACGAACCAGATCCCGCGCCAGATCCCTCCCGCAGTCGGCTACCTACGCCCATTCCCATCGATGGCGCTCGCCGGAGTGCTCCCATTCGGAGCCATCTTCGTCGAGTTGTACTTCATCCTCAAGTCAATCTGGTTCTCGAAGGTGTACTACATGTTTGGCTTCCTGTTCATCTGCTACGGGCTTATGATCATGACCAGCGCCGCCGTCACCGTCCTGATGATCTACTTCCTGCTCTGCGCTGAGAACTACCACTGGCAGTGGCGCAGCTTCTTCACCGCGGGTGCCAGCGCCTTCTACGTGTTCGCCAGTGCCTTGCTGTACTGGGCCAAGGACGTGAGCTTCGGCAGCTGGACTTCGGGCGTTCTGTATCTGGGTTATAGTTTGTTATTGAGTTTGTTGTTCTTCGTTCTTACTGGTAAGTCGTCTCTATCCTCACTTGTACCACGAATCACGCTAACCTCTACTTTGCACAGGCACTATCGGATTCTTCGCAAGCTGGATGTTCGTCATCAAGATCTACCGATCCATCAAGGTGGATTGATCGAGCTCTCCCTTACCCTCTCCATTTTCCCCTCCTCCCCGTCTCCGAACCCTGAATGGAAAGAAGAAAAAGCGAAACGAATATTTGCGGGATAACTTTCTGGGAAATCTTTTGAAACGAAATGAGAAAATCTTTTACAATTTACATCATTTTTCTTTCACGGCAAGCGAGCGTATATCTATTAGAGAGAGAGAGAGATCAATTATTCCCCTTTCCCTTTCCCTATGCCTGTTGCTGCTGCTACGATGGGGTGTTCAGCTTGTCTCGGACGACTACTACGCTTCCAAACGTTTCCAAGCAGGGAGGTCTGAACTTTTAAGTCTCGAGGCCCAAGTCTGAACTTCTCTAAGTTTTCTAAACGACGAATAAAAGAGAGAAAAAAAAGATGGATAGAAATATATCATTAACTCCCAAAACCATCCCCTCCCCTCCCCTCCCCAATCAAATGAAGAAGGAAAATAACATGAAGTCAATGACATAAAAAAACGCATAAAACCACACGCAAGAAAGCAATAGACAATGAAGTATGGCCAGTCCAGTCCCACATCCTCCTAGTCTCACTGAGTCACAATAGTCAAGTTTTAAGGTTTTAGGTTTTTCCAAGCTTAAATTTAAAAAGTTATCACGAGATACAAAGAGGGCGGTTGAAAGGGTTACTTTTTCTCAATTTCGAGGTTCTCATTTACGTCGTTCTATCGAGAGAGAGAGGGACTGTATGTAATGTCTCCTTCTCTTTCCTGGTGCGATGTCTTCCGTATCGTCCTATCCTATCTACAGCCCTCCCGATTACATTACCATACCCTTCGTGATAACAATAGATCCCATCTTTCCAATTCAATTCAAATCGTGAAATTCGGTATCCCCGACGGCGTCTCCCACAGCGCCTCCCACGAGAAATCAAACGCATTCGGATCCAGCACGTCGGACAGCAAGAACGCGGAGTCGTCGAACCCCCCACTTCCCATAGCCGTCGCCGTCGTCGCATCACCACCACCCCCACCGACGTCAACATCCGGCGCAGCAATAGCAGCATCCGCCTCCACCTGCACAGGCGCATGGGCACCACCCCCCTCCCTCGCCACGAGCCGCGAGATCTTAGCCACGAGCTCGGAGCACCGCTCGAGGCAGTGCTTGGCGATGTCCCAGTCGTAGTTGTCGTGCGCGTCCTGGATGTGCACCATGACGCGCTCGAGGCGGCGGATGCTCGTGTTGCGGAACGCGAGGTCGTTTGTGTCGACGGCGCAGCGCAGGGAGACGTTGACGGCGAGGACGAGCAGGTGGGCCGCGTGCGGGAGCCAGAAGTCCTGGAACTGGGCGTCGCGGAGGTGGAGGAGGAAGTCGAGGACCGCCGAGGAGGAGACGCGGAGTTCGTCGAGGCGGGTCGCTTCGAGGGAGGTGTCGTCGAGCATCACGGCGGCGCGGATCCCGACGCGCGAGAGGAGCACCCGCATGCTGAGGAAGCAGAACCAGAGGTTCGAGACGCCGGTTGCGTTGGGGGAGGCGCGCCATTCGGGCAGTTGGGTCTCGAGCGTGTTGATGGTGGCACGGAGGGTTTCGACTTTGCGGGAGAGTTCGACGGGGTCGCGCCCGATGCGGTAGACGAGGGAGAGGAGGTCGCCGAGGACGAGGGACATGGAGCAGAGGTGCACGAAGCAGTTGGTGGCGCATTTCTGGAAGGGGGTTGCTTTGGGCGAGAGGAGGGATTCGACGGTGGGTAAGGGGACGTCGTATTCGCCCTTGCGGACGTGGGGAGGCGCGCCGTACGCCATGCTGTTCCAGTAGTCGACGATCAGGACGCCCCACCAGAGCCGGACGCGGGTGGATTTCTCGTTCTCGGAGATCTCCCACTTGGTGGGGTCGCGGTGCAGGCCGAAGCTCTGGGCGAGCGAGATGTTGCGCCCGCAGAGGGTGATGTTGCCCATGATGGAGACGCTGGGGCGGCCGGCTTGGTCGAGCAGGGCTGCGGAGATGGTCGCCAGGCTAGGGCTCAGGAAGTCCTCCAGCACCGCGGAGATGGCCTTGTTCCAGATGTAGTAGAAGTCGGGCCGGGCGTGCATCTTCAGCGTCTCCGACTTGCGCCAGTTGGGTGCCGAGTTGGCGTAGATGACGCAGAGGAGGTTCCGCGGCACCGTCTCGATGGGGCCGTGCCGGATCGTGTGGCACGTCTCGTCGTCCAGGATCGGGAAATTGTGGTGGATGTGGTTGAAGTAGAGCTCGATGACTTCCCGCTTGAACGGTCCCATGATCTGTTCGATGATTTCGAGCTGCTCTTTGCCCGGGCCAATCTCCGGTCGCAAACCGATCCGGTAACGGGGGACAGAGAGGTAGACGATGGGGTTCTTCGAGTCGTGTAGCAGAGTCTTGTACGTTTGCGACTCGTCTGGCTCTGAGGTCCGGAATTTCGAGATGTGTCTCTGGACCACATCTATGTCGTCGGCCAGGTGAGGTGCTAAAAGAATGGATGCTGATGGATGGGTGGAGTGCTTGTGTAGCACTGGATTCGGGACAGGCCGCCGCTCGATCTCAGGTTCGTCATTTCCGGAGCGTCGTCTCTTGAGTTGCTGTCTGGACTCGCCATTCTCCTCGGTCGGCGAGTTGCCTTTGGGAGAGTCGACGTACTGGCACTTCAAACGGCGCTCCCTACATGAAAGGCATGGTTCTCCCGGGATGTCGATGTGGCAGCGGATCTTGCGTGACCGACACCGAGTACACGCAGGGACGCGATGCGACCGATATGGCCGGTTCTGAATGGATCCGCTGGGATTGCTGGCGTTGTTGGCCATGATGTCCTGTGACTCTTGAAGCTATATCTCTTGGCGCAAATGTGTGGAGACGGTCTCCCAGTCCGACAGCTGTAGCTGTACCAGCGCGCAACAGGATTGGTTGCTCAAGGCTTCGATCCAGGCTTGCAGGCCGCAGGCGCAATGGACGCAGATATCCGCATGTTCGAGCAATTGTGGACCTGAAGTGCAACAATGAGGATGGCGGTAGAGGAAGGGTCCAAGTGCGTAAAATGGGGAATCTGCTAAGTCGATAGCGGAATTGATCCGGTCACGTGGTCGAAGATCCGCCAATGGATAGCCGTCAATATCCCCGGATTCTGCATCCGAATCCAGACGTCATCTCTGCACGTTCTCATGTGTTGACATCGTACACTATTTTAATAATGTGTATTTCCACTTATCTTTGTGTAACGTTCTCATTAGAAGAACCATCTCAATGCCTAGAGGGGTTTGCGGAGAAGAATTGAATCTCTTGCTCCAAAAGCTTGAGGATGACCAAAGGACCAAGGGTCACATACATAAATCCCATAACTGTTAAGATTCCATGAGATTGTGCTTTCTAACAACGATGTATCAAATGCTGATCCCGGAACATTCGCTGTGCTGTTATACATCGAGAGTAAGCAGCTTGGAGACAAATCGTGCGCGTCTCGGCTGCACATCAACCCAATTTTCTATAGAGCCCTTTCGCGGTTGGACTACATGCAGGCACACTGTGCTCGCTAGAAGAGTTTGAAGAGGGGCAAATATATGAATTTTATCTTCGCTGAAGACATGTGCACTTCCCACTGTTTTGATTAGAGTGACTGTAGCTAAGTGCGGGCAGCATGTTTGTATCACGGTTGCTCTGAAGCATTACCCTTAATTCGAGTAAATGATGACTTACGAGCAGTCGGATTAATTGCAGAAAGGGTTATAAGACCAAATACCAGTTGCTATCACTAACAGTTACTCCCACCAACGTTTCTGTCACCAGCGCTTCCTCCCACCAACGCTTCCTCTCACCAGCGCTTTCTCTCACCAGCGCTTCTTCTCACTAATATTTCTTCTCACTAACGCTTCTTTTCACTAATGCCTCTTCTCACCAACGCTTCTTCTCACTAACGCTTCTTCTCACCAACGCTTCCTCTCGCCAGCATCTCCTCTCATTAAAGCTTCCTCTCACTCACGGTTGCTTTCGCTAAAGCTTCCTCTCACTCACGGTTGCTTTCGCTAAAGCTTCCTCTCACTCACGGTTGCTTTCGCTAAAGCTTCCTCTCACTCACGGTTGCTTTCGCTAAAGCTTCCTCTCACTCACGGTTGCTTTCGCTAAAGCTTCCTCTCACTCACGGTTGCTCTCGCGAACGGTTGCTCTCACTCACGGTACCTATATAGTCTGCTTTCGTCACCCAATCTACAACACGAAACACAGCTACGAAGCTTTGCGCCCAACCATCTCATTACATACTCTCAGACTCAATCACGTTCTCGAAATCGTTCTCCATCTGGGATCATGACAAAGGCAATCCCACTCGCCGTAGTTGGTGATTTTGATAACGAGAAACGTCTCCGCATTCTCGGTATCATTGACAAAATCCGAGAACTAGGCATTAGCGAGAGCGTTTCGTTGCCTCAGGTAAGTGCCCGGTACGAAAGTCTAAGATATCACTTAACAATTCCGGCAGCTCGTTGTTGTGGGCGACCAGTCAAGTGGGAAGTCGTCACTCTTGGAGGGGCTAACGGGGCTGTCGTTCCCAGTCGCGAGCGATCTTTGCACCCGCTTCGCGACGCAGATTGTCTTACGCCGAGCACCCTCAGATGAGGCACAAGTGAAGATTTCGATCATTGCCGGTCCCGCCGCGCAGGCGAATGAAGAAGCTCTAGATGGTTTGCGCAACTTCCAACGAACACTCGCCGTTGGGGACTTTGGCAGTGAAATGTTTCAGAAGATTATTGCAGAGGTGAGTGATGGTTGAAGAAATGTTTGGGAATTTGCTCACAAACCTAGGCTGCCGAATGTATGCGACTACCAGCTTCAAGCGCCAAAGACCTTGAGGATGTAGACAAGAGATTTTCAGACGATGTTCTCAAAATCGAACTGGCAGGCCCTGACCAGCACCATTTAAGTTTCGTCGATGTTCCAGGGCTTTTCCATAGTAAGCAACAATTTAGTTCGCTACGTGGTAATCTTTGCTTACATAGAAAAGATCCAACCAAGTACCAGACGGAGGAGGATCGCGCTGTAATTCGAAGGCTCATCGAAAATTACATCACGGACCCAAGGACCATCATTCTGTAGGTTACACTCATATTTGAAATTGAATCTTGGCTAACTCTATCGAAGAGCGGTTATGAACGCTTGTACTAATCTTGCTAACCAAGAAGTGTGAGTATTAACCCCGACTAGTTGATGCATCGCTGACTTGATCAAGCTTCTCCATGGCACGCGCCGCTGATCCAGACGGAAAGCGTACCGTCGGCATCATCACAAAATGTGATGCAGTGCAAGCTGGAGATGAACAAGCTGTACGTGTGCACTGAAGGAAGGGAAATACATAGCTGACACAGAAAGGTCCTTTGCATTGCCGAGAACGAAGTTGAACGGCTGAAGCATGGCTAGTTTGCCGTAAAGAATCGATCCACACAAGACATTGCCGAAGGTGTCTCTATCACAGAACGACACAAGCGAGAGAAGCTTTTCTTCTCGACTGTCGCGCCATGGAAAGACCTGAAAGCGGCCCGGACAGGAGTGAACGCGCTCAAGGGCTTTCTCGGAAGACTCCTCTACAGCCACGCTGGTAGCGAATTTCCGGACGTCGTCAAGGACATCGTGAAACTTTCAGCAAGCACTCTCATGGAGCTTGAGCTTCTTGGACCGTCGCGCCAGACCAGCACCGACCAGAGGCGTTGCCTGATGCGTTTGGCGAGCGTCTATCAACAAGATGTCAATAACGGTCTGAACGGAAACTACGACTCAGATCTTGGTAAAGACAACCCCTTGAAGCTGCGCATGCGCATACGAAATCTCAATGATGAGTTCGCAATTATCATGGCGCGCTCAGGACATGCGAAGATATTCAAAGATGTGGGTGGAGCTCTTGATAATGAGTTCCGCCGGATGGGCCCCCAAGAGGATATCTTACACTGGATTCGCGGGCTTTACAAGGAATCCCGAGGCACAGAGCTACCTGGAACTATCAACCCAAAAGTCGTCGAGAATATGTTCCGTCAGCAATCTTTGCCATGGGTGCGTCTCGCAAATCGTTACATGCGGGAAGCTGGCACCATTATTCGGGAGTTCAATGACGATGTGCTTGAAAGAAGGATCTCGGACCATGAACTGAGAGACAAGGTGAAAGCGAAAGTGGGCCGAGCGCATGAAAAGTCATTTTCCGAGGCCCAAAACCAGCTCCTTGCGATCTTGGCCGATGAAAGGGGTGGCATCCTCTAGACTGTAAACCACTACTTTGCCGACACACTTTCTGCTATTCGCGAAGAACGGATGATAGCTAGACTGAAGAATGCTGGTGTCTCTAGTGGCCAGTATTTTGATCTCCAGGGGGCGGTGAATGGCGTGCATCTCAGCAATGAAGATCAGGCGGTCAACGACATTCATGATACCTTGAAGGCCTACTACAAAGTAGCCTTGAAGCGGTTCGTGGACAACGTGGTAATCCAGATCACCGAAAGAATCATTCTGGGCCCTAACGGATCGGTAAGATGGTTTTCTCCCGAGATGATTGGCGATCTTCAGGACGACGAATTAGCATACCTTGCGGCTGAGAACTTCTCTACGTCGACCAGAAGGAACGAACTCCAGATCAAGTACGATCGCCTGCAGAAAGCTTTGGTGATCGCGAAGGGGGTCGTCTTGTAGTCATGACTTGGCCTAGGCTTGACATAGTTTTGGGTCAGATTTTCCGGGAACTTGCATCCGATTCGAGACGTCATCTCAGTCCGCTCTCATGCATTTACGCCGAATTGCATACTTCTACAAAACTGGAACTTGTCAATTCACGTGTATATTATGCTCAAATCGAGGAATCGCCTAACGGTTCCGCTGTGCCGAAAGGCATTCTATAACAAATCAGAATCAAACATTTACTTCACATGAATTCTCGTGACACTATCTCCAAAAGGTGACAAGCACATTTGCTTTTATGTGTTGTGGAATGCTAGGAAGTTTTATTGTTTACAATTTTGCCGCCTTTCTGTGCTGAAATGGCGCGAGAAGAGGCAGAATAGGAACGAATAACCTCCAGCATTTATTGCTGGCGCCACGAGCTTGTTCGACGTACCTTGTCCCGCAAAAGAGGTGGTTGATGCAATTCCTACTGCGTGTTGTTTAGTCTAGATCGACGAATCATGAATGTCCCAAAACTCCGGTAGAGTCAATTAAAACTCCTTGAACTTTTAATGATTACCTCAAAAACAGGTACTCAGTATTACACTCGTCTTGAATAATGGTGCCTGCACTGAGCTACAAATTCTGCCAGTTGTCCAAGTATGTTTGTGGACTAGACAAGAATTGCAGCCATCTCGGATGTAGAGGCGACTCAAAGTAGGCTAGAATGCGTTTGATGTGTCGGAAATCAAGCGGGCCTGGAATCGCTTCGCTGAAAGTTGCGAACGACACTGATACAACGTCAGAGATTGCGTTAACAAATAATCGAGTATGCTGTCACCTACGCTTAAGAAGTTTAGGTAACGTCCAAAGCCTTGCAAATTGCTCCAGCTGTAGGCAAAGAGCCGTCCTGTCATGATCGATCCGAGCGTGGACGTCCAACGTGGAAACGGTAGTTGACTTCCTATGCAAATCGAGGAAGATGAGCGCAGTAAAGACCACAAAGGAGATCGCAGGGTCCACTTGGATACAAAAGAAGCTGTCCCACTGCTCCGCAATCAAAGCAATATTCTGACAAGCCTCAATCACTTGCTGCCAGCTCATGAGCGCTTCCTCTTCCTGTTGCCTGACACAATGATAAACTGAGAGAAGGAGGTGGGACATTAGAAGATGGAGAACGGTAACAAGTCTCGCGTGGTGGTCGGCGTGAGATTCGTACGAGAATGCGTTGCGTTTGGGATTCAGCCACCCTGGTGGAAGGGCGAGTCGAAGCGCAGATAATTGTCGCTTTACATTGACTACTCGTTCGATTGCTTCCTCTTTGGGTCTGACAGGACAAATTCGGTTGAGATATGCCGCTTGACGCATCATGGTAACAGTGATATTGTGGATATTCGATATCAAAGATTCCGGATGCGAAATAATGGATGGAAGGAATTTCCACAGATTTTCGGGTTCTGCAGACAGGAGAATTTGCGGAAAATCGTTATCAGTGATCTGCGACTGGGCTGGGCTGCGTAAAATCAAAGAAGTGCTTATTAGATCCTCGTCGATTAGGTACGGCGTTCCCGAGGCAAGGTTGGAGTACGAATCTAAACGGTAAATGCACCACCAAACAGCGCGCCATTCGTCCACGTCTTGATCACTCAAAATACGCCATTCGTGATGAAGCTTGCGTAGATTTTCAAGGCGATCAAGCCCTACGCGATACGCTACACGAGTCAGATTTCCTATTCGCGTCCAAGATTGGTGTCCCGGAAACTGGTGGAACTCGTAGAAGGCTAGTACACAAGACTTTCGAAATTGGTCGAGTGATGGAAAGTTAGTGAACAGGTCATCCTGTACAGTAGTCGAGCTTAGTAGCAAGTCGATTCGGGCATCTATCGCGTCGGAGGATACAGATGATATTGAGTTCGTGAGCTTTGCCGTAATTGCGGTGATTGTAGAAATGAGACTATTATCGCAGTCGGAGTTGCGATAGCTGTCGAGAAAGCGAGCCTTCGAGAAGATGGGGTTTACATCCTGAGCAATGTGGAAGTATCTTTCAAGGCTAGAAATATCATAACAGTCTTAGTGTGGGTGTAAGCAGTGAAGTTAGACAGTCCATACAGGTGTTCTTCCTCATTTGGTTCGACGGGGCCAATGTTCCCGAGAACCCTATCTCGTGTGCCTTGGGAGACCTCGGGATGTCCTTGGTTGGGACTGTCATCTGAAAGTAGATACCGTTCTGAAGAGGTAGATTGCGTGTGGGGCGAAGCTTCGGTCACGACAAGAGACTCGTCATGACCTTGCTGGGGACCTGTTTTAGATTGGTATAGTCAGAATAACACCAGGGGTATAGGGTTGGCAGTCCCGTTCAACTACCATAGAACAAGAAAAGCGAGATACTTACCTGAAGTCGCTTGCGATGTCGCCGAAGATGAAGGGCGAATAATGCCTGGCTGGGGCCCAGGTTTCCGCCGCTTGGACGAATATGCACAAACCTCTCCACGCTGAAAACAGCGTGAGCATGTAGGTCGAGCTTGGTTGCCTACAATTCGGCGTGATTCAGCAGACAGAGTACTAACTCGCAAGGTTGAAACATACACCTGACTTTCTTCCTAATTGTGCCGTTAATACAGACTGGAAGCATGGAGCTGGAGAACCTTACCGGATGCACGTATCACAGACTCTTGAGCTCATGGACACGGAGATTTCGGCCACTGCTGTGGGACCGGAACGTTCGGAATTAGGGCAATCGGATGCGGGGAGATCTTTCTAATGTCAACGTATTTTGCGGGGAAGAAAGAGTGATGCAGGAACGAAGGCAGCGGAAGATTTAACACTGGGGATGTGATATTCCGGATGCGATATTCGTAATAGTCCGGAGGATTTGCTAGATCCTCCGGCACTAGTATCTATTGGGAAAGATTCTCGATTCTGGACTCCTCTTCAATGGTAACAACTTGACGGATAGTATCTTCCATTGCAACTGAATGCTAATTTTGCATGGCAATTCGGTGTTTATGTGAGGCTCGGGGGATGTTAATAGCGAGACTACGTAGAACTGCAGTTGTCTAAAAAGTCGCCAACCCTGACTCTAAACTTTCCTGCTCCCAACTCCATCTCCTTGATATCCACTATGGCATCGTTTTCCCGTCTTGTGCGATTTGAATGCGCTGAAGATGGTATCCCACGCTTTGCAGACCTGGGAGCCAAGATCAAAGATCTACCATCTCCAGGAACCAAACTAGAGGCTTTTGAATCTGTCGATACGCTCTTGTCGAAATCTGCCGGCAAACAGGTTACTATTCGCCGAGTACGTCTTTCTACCCTGCATTCTCTACAGAGCAATAGGTCTCCATCTAACTAAGCGGACAGCTGCTGGCGCCATTGCCTCGAGATGGAATACCGATATACTGTGTAGGCCTGAACTATCGAAGTCACGCCAAAGAGGCATCTGTTTGTAACCCAACCTAAATGCGAAGGATTGCCATTTGACAAAAGCAGCTCACGATCCCGTCCTATCCACCGCTGTGGACAAAGCCTGCTGCATCCCTCGCCCACCCAGAGGAAGAAATCCCCGTCAATGACTTTTGTGCAAGAAGTCTTCTTGACTATGAGGTATGCTATGTCACGGATACAACGCAGAGTTAGTCGTGGATGAGCTGATTTAATGTTCTACAATAAAGGGTGAACTCGTATTCGTAACTTCACGCGAATGCCGCGATGTATCTGTTAGTGAAGCGAAGACCTTCATTCTGGGCTACACTATAGGAAACGATATATCCTGCCGCATGTTCCAGCTTCCCAAGAACTCGGCCGGCCAGTTCTTTTTCGCTAAAGCTTTTGATCACTTCGCACCTATCGGCCCAGTTCTCATCAGCCCGGAGCTTTACGAAGGCGTAAAGGCCGATGGCATTACTGTCACTGTGAATGGAGATGTACGGCAAAAGGCAGACGTGCAAAATGACATGATTTTCTCACCAGAAAAGATTCTGAGCCATATGAGTCAAGGTGGGTGGAGAGGATATGAACAAGATCCTAGTTTGTGTTTTGCTAATCTGTCCTAGGCACGACGATTCCAGCAGGAACCGCGGTCATGACAGGCACACCCGCGGGTGTTGGCATCTTTCGCAAGCCAAAGACAACACTGCAGGATGGCGATGTTGTCGAGATAAGCATGCCAGCAGTTGGAACGCTCAGAAACAAGATCAAATTTGAGTAAGTTATCCAAGAAAGCCACAACTTGTCAGTTGAACTTATAGCTAACGATCTTCTCGAGGGTGAATGCGATGACTCATGTAATAGTATGGGCTCAGTGGCTTGCCCTCCAGATAGCTACCCGGTGGTAAATATCTTTACGCCCGAAACTCCAACCAACATCACGCTGCAATGGTTGTGAGGAAACAACTTGCTCGGGGGTTATTCGATTTGGCTTGTGTTGGTGAATGGGGCGCACCCATATTCGATATTCAAAGGCTTGTCAATGAAACATTTAAAGGGAAACAGTGCTATGGGTACCATACTAGTGTAGACAATAGACTATTGATTTCAATATAACATTACTCAGAGTATCTAGAGAACCGTGCTCCACCGACGCATTGTGGACATAATCACGGCCACTGAACCCGCCGATATTGTGTTTCGACAGAATAGAGCCAACAGATCTATCGTAATAGACCCAATAATGTATCACAAAGCATTGTTAGACGCATGTTAATTGATTTCAAGAATGATTTCGTATATCATACCTGGAGAAAGCAATCCAGGCACATGTCATATGTAGTTCGTCTTTGAGTAGAAAATTATATTGCGATTTTACATCCTCTTCATTTACCTCCTCTATGATGTGATATAACAGGATAGATGAAGCTATTCGGGGGTTACCTGCAGGGGGATAGAGCGTAGATAGATTAATCAGGGAAGTCGAGGGAGACTAATGTTTTATCTACATACGTATAGAGGCCTACTGACAACGGCGAATATCTATTTATCCACCAGTTGCGGGTCGCACCTGTAACCCTCCCTACTACATAGGCGTCAATACGCGACAGTACCCTCAGTATAGCCGACTGCGCAGCATAGTCAAGCATTTCGCAAGCTCGCCAATGTTCCTAGAGCAAGAGTAGACAAAAAGGTCAGGCCTTACTATGGCAAATCTGGTGGTTTTACCTATACGATCCATGAATGATCCCGGATCATATTGTGGACGATATCCGGACACCTCTTGCCAGTCTTCAGCTGGCCAGAAAATCTCCATGCCATCTTCGAGATCTCCATTTGTCTTTGAGGACAATACAGGAGTCGAAGAGGGATTGAAGATTGAAATTGAGTCGAAGGAGAGCACAGATGGATTGATGGATGCCTCCTCGATTATTTGCTTGACTTCTGCAAGATCCTGGATATGGTTACTCTGAGTGATGACCAGGAGGCTCAGCACGCTCCTTGTCGGCCGAAACATTTGATCCGAAAGCATCGGGCCATGCTGATGCGACTGCACGACTATTTGAGCCAGTCGAGGTCCACCACGGTAATCTTTGAGAAAGAATCCATTATTGACGGTAGTGAAGCCCTGGCGCTCCTTAAAGACTTGAGGGTCCAACATGCGACGGAGAATTGGGACATAACCCAGTAATGTGGCCAGACGAAGGTAGCCCAATCTCCACAAGGATGGTTCCTCATTGCACAGTTGCCCGTTCAGCATCGACATGAGAGCTGCATCATCGATGCTCTTCCGCCTCTCCAGAGCCCATGCCTCAAGAATGTCAGGCATAGCCTGCCCCAAGCCGGAGTCTTTAAGAAGTAGTGCGAGCCTCCACGCAAGCTGGTACGCGTCCCGCATACCACTCCCGATTCCTTGGCCTGCGAATGGAGGGAACACATGCGCAGCATCGCCGATGAGGATAGCTCTGCCAGAAAACCACTTGTTGACCACCTTGTGGACAAACCGAAATGGTCGGCAGCGGATGATTTCGATACAGTCTCGTGGAAACTGAACAGAACAGGGAAACTGTGTACCATCATTGTCACAGTCTCGAGTGATCATCTTACCAAGATGATCCCAGAGAAGCTCTTCAGCATTCATATTGTCGTTCCAATCTTCCTGACGAAATTCATGACGCCAAAGCCTTTCTTCATGAGGCCCAAACCGTCCAGTAGCCGTCGCTTTGCCGGGGGGACTACAAAAGTGCCATCCCTGCGGCCAAAAAAGGTCGTAAACTTGCTCCGGGGTGTACCCAAGGGCCCAAAGGGGGAAGTTTGGATGAGTCTGTCGTGATGGTAACTTGAGCCTTAAGTTTGCGGCTACCCAGGTTCCGCTATAGCGATACACGCCCTCTTCCTGTCTGATGCCTGCAGATGATTCGAGGAAGTGCTTTCGGACTATACCAACCTTTCCATCGGCGCCAATGAGCCACTGTGACTGTATTTGGTGCTGCGAGCCATCCTCGGTACGGTATACAACTCTTGGAGGATCTTCGCTCAATCGACCGACCACTTCGCATCCTGTGCGCAAGGTACAATAATCTGAAAGTTCAATTTGTTGTCTCAATGATTTCTCTATATTGTTCAGAACCCAAGTAGGATACTGGGAGTCATTTGGAGTACAAACCGAGGCGAGGTTGGATCTGTAGGATTCCGTTGGGCACGGTCTGACTCAAAGCGTCTGATCCGGTTTCCATAGTGTAGAAAGGCTTAGTGCTGAAAGAAGTTTTGTGGAAGTTGATATTCTGGACATCTAACAAAGATGACTGATAAGATTTCAAGTAAATCATGACAGGATTTCACTTACCATGGCCAATTTTGGCAATATCGGAGCCAAGGCCCAGACTGTAAAGCATTCTCACAGAATCTGCAGTAAGATACACTCCCCGAGGATCGGTGGTGATCTCTGTTTCCTTCTCTAGAATGATTGACTAAACGAAAGTCAGAGTTGAAAATCAATGATGGCCAGGATGATTGTACTGTGATCTGATATTGTGCGAGGCAGAGTCCTAGCGTAAGCCCTGCTGGCCCAGCACCGACAATGACAACCTGAGTTTCTTCCGGCATTTCGTGATTGTGTTGATTTTGGGGTAAAGATTGCAGTTTTTGGTGAACAACCGAGACTGAGGTCTTTACAATTTTAAACACGTTGATAACCGCATTTTCAGCAACATCGATTCATAGCATGAGCATCGTTCCCAGCGTGGCCAATCGCATCTCACATGCTCAAGAGTACTGGTCGTACCACTTCCCCCCGGGAGCTAGAACGACGCTAAATCGAGTTACTCCGGACCAGAACCGAGATGCTCCGCGAGCAATTAGCCCCATTTGCAGACTCTATCACTTTCCCGCTACCAATCCAGCCAATAAGGCCAGCCTAAATTCAATCTGAATTGTTTATAGTTCGTAAGAATTATATTCATTGTCAGTCCGAAAAGTATGCAGAGACAGGTGAGATGACCGGGACAATTTCACCCCTTTAATAATTTCAATCGGTATCATGTACCTTTCAAGCTAGTGTTAACTGTTGCTGTATGGCTGAAAGCCTATATAAATATGTTTCAGACCTGGGCGATATCTAGCCCAAACAATACAACCGAGGTTTTCTGGCTTACAACATTTCCTCAATGAACTCTGCCGCCAATCAGTCTCTCCGGCTACCATGCGGGCTGATGCTAAAGAACCGGCTTGTCAAATCGGCCATGTCTGAGAAACTGGCAGTTGACGGGCACCCAACAGCGGTGCATCAACGAGTGTTCGCAAGGTGGGCCCAAGGCGGATGGGGCATGTTGATCACTGGTAACTATTCTGATTCTTTCAGTCAAATGGGTTTACTGATGGTCCCCGAGGTAATATCATGGTAGACGAACGCTATCTCGGATCCAAAGGAGATGTCACCGTCGTGAACACGGACTCAGCTACCCTCAAACATTGGACTGCGTGGGCCGAGGCTGTTAGAAGCCATGGATCTGTGATCATTGCTCAGCTGTAAGGAGAAGCACAGTATTGTCGAAATGGGTCCTTTGACGTCAAAGCTGAATGCTGAATCTAGAAATCATCCTGGTCGCCAGTCACCAGCTGGCGCTGGCAAACGAAGCTTGTTCTCCAAAAGTCTTGCCCCTAGTGCCATCCCGCTCAGCCTCGGTGATAATATGCTGGCATATGTCTCTGGGAAGATCATGTTTGGCACTCCTAAGGAAATGACGTTGGCTGATATTGATGATGTAATTGCTCGGTTCACCAACGCAGCAAATCTCGCATTTCGAGCTGGATTCCATGGTGTTGAGATTCATGCAGGACGTAAGTGCACCCAAAATGACTGCTGAATCTAATTGACATGCTGCTAAATTATAAGCAGATGGATTTCTTCTATCCCAGTTTCTTTCTTCGTCTACCAATACCCGCATGGACGAGTTTGGGGGCTCTGCTGAGAAACGCGTCGAGCTTGTGCTTCGCATCATTCGTGCTGTTCGTAAAGAAGTTCCAGCTTCGTTCTGTGTCGGTGTTAAGATCAATACTGCGGAACATATGAACACGTCAGGTTTCGAGGATATGTTGGAGCAAATCAACCTGATATCCAAGGAACAGGTTGACTACGTTCAGCTCACTGGTGGTACGTTCTCCGATCCTCAGGTAAGTCCAGACAATCCGCCTTTTGTTCAGTGGGAGAGTCTTACGGTTCTTCTAGATGATGAGCACTAGCCACTCCATGTCACCAAATGCCTCGGCCGGTACCCAAAGCATTGCACGTGAGGGGTTCTTTCTACAAGCTAGCCAGGAGATCCGAAAGCGGAATCAAAAACTTGTACTCATAGTCACGGGAGGCTTTCGAAGCCGCAAGGGCATCAATGACGCACTCCAAAGTGGAGCGTGCGATCTCATTGGTCTTGCGCGACCTGCTGTCAAATTTCCTAGTTTGCCTATCGATATAATGTCCAACGATCGCCTCACCGATGAAGAAGCAAGATTCGATGTTGAAAAGGCACCATCTCCTGGCTGGATTGCTACGAAGATTCGGTCGGTTGGAGCTGGTGCTGAAAGTGTAAGTCAGAACCTTGGATCACCATCGAACAGCAATCTAAGAACACACGCAGAAATACTATGCGGCTCTTCTCCAGAAGCTCTAGAGTCATAGGTCCTCGTTGTATTCAATTCTATTTCGATTCTACTCTTTGAACGCTATTTATAGGGATCAATTTTATGTACGATAAGGGATGACAGCTTCAAGTGTCAATCAGAGAGCCCACCCGTTATCTTCGACCTGAGAGTAACAGACCTAGTCTAAACCTATGGTAGAGAATCATATTCTGCATCAGAGCGGTCTCGTTAGATCAAATCGAAAATCTAGGATTTGGGTCACTTACCAAAATGCGCAATGGAAGAAAAGTTACTAAGAAGTATATATAATATGCCAGTGCACCATCCCATATCTCCGGAGCAACGCGTTTTCGCATTAACTTACTGACCACCGATGCTGCATAATCCTCTGTAGGCATACCAGTTGCATTTCCTTCATATTTCAACTGCTGGATGGTGGCCTTGATTGGCAGATACAGTGACTCCTCGGGAGCGTGTAATCCATGATGGAGAATGTTGCTGCGGACGAATCCAGTGATAATTTCAACAACTTCTATACCGAGAGGCGCCAGCTCCTACTAATGTAAGCTGTTGTACATTTTAATACGATGCAGAACCTACCAGTCTCAGAGTTTTCGTATACTGGCTCAGAGCTGCCTTGGATGCATTGTAAGCTCCTTGCCATACCATCGGCACGTCCCTCGTAACACTGCCAATCTGTACTATACGACCACGAGATGACTTGAGAAGAAGAGGGACAAATGTTTGACAAAGACTCATGACGGCGAACACGTTGACGTTGAACAGCTTCATCGCCTCTCTCACTTCTAGGTCCAGGGCCGTCGCCGCGTAGTGTGTGCCCGCATTGTTGACCAGAAAATCGAGCCGACCGCCTGTGCGTTTGATAACAGCATCTCTCAGGCGCCCAATGCTGCCAGGATTGCCGAGTTCGAGGGCAAAAGCCTCGATATTGCTGTGCTGCTTTACCAGATCCTCGAGACTTTCGGTGCGCCGTGCTGTGGCGAGAACAGTAACTCCTCTTACTGCGAAAGCAAGAGCGAGTTGCTTCCCAATCCCGCTGTTGCACCCAGTGATGAGTGCAATTGGAGCTTCAACCATGCTAACGACTGGTCTAACCGCGGCGCTTTTGGATTGGTCGAGAAGTGAAGACTTAAATATCGAGTTTGGTGTTTTTGGAAAAGAGGAATAAAAATAAATTGCTCCTCATTCATATGTATTCCTTTTGTGTCAACCATATGCTAGAATCAAAGTAGCTGGGGAGCTATGCATCGGGGTCTCGGTATGGATGGCAGCAGCAATCGCTCAAACTTTCTAGAATCACTCCGACAGACTGAGATCAATTACATGAGTAAATAGCCAAAAAAATCCCAGCCGTTCTTTGTTCTGATGGCAGCTGGTGCGATTGGCCAACCGAGGCTGTGAGATTCTCCGAGAGGTCCAAGCTGAGTTACTCCGGAATGCCAATTCAGAGGCAAAAATAAGTTGCTCCGAAACTACCTCTCCCACATGTTGTTCCCCTCGGATGATCTAGAGGGGTGTATTTGGCCTGCCCGGCATTCATGGATACCCGAATTGCCTTTGATAGATGACCGTTCGAATTCGAATCGTGATGTTTTACATGCATAGATTTAGATTCGCTGCTTATTTATACTCGACAAGCAGTAGGTGCTAGACGACTAAAGATGTCGCTGGTGTTCAAGCTCCTCTTCAACTTTCTTTCAAAACTGCCCAGGTTTATACGTGAGCGCATCATGCCGGACATGCTTATCCCCCCGATATCGAACAACCCTTCCAAGGTCCAATTAGACCGCTTAGGTCATTTTTACTTCGAGCATCCCGATCTAGAGAAATTCAGCAAATTCGCTGCAGACTTTGGCTTCGTCGAGGAAAAAAGGACTAAGGACAGGATCTATTTCCGCGGATACGGCAAAGACCCGTACGTGTATGTAGCGACCAGGAGTAAGGACGGCAAGCCTAGATTCCGCGGTCCGGCGTTCGTTGCTCGGTCACAGGAGGAATTCGAGAAGGCTGCGAAACTTCCTGGGGCCATCATGGGTTCTTTAGAAGATACACCCGGCGGGGGTAAAATAATAACTTTCAACCGAACTGACAATACTCTCTTTCATATTATCTACGGTCAGACAGAGCGAGAGACTGGTTCACAAGAGGCGACCGCTACACACGAGCAACAAGGACCCTACAACAGAGCATTTGAAAAGCCCCGCAAGGGTAAGTGTAGTTGAATTTGCCTCGAGAGCGCGTCGTCTGCTTACAATCATCCAGGCAAGTTCCAGCGGTATCACCCAGGACCTGCGCTCGTCCACAAGGTTGGTCACTTTGGCTATGTTTGCCCCGACTTCGACAATGAACTGGCGTGGTACACGGACAACTTCAACTTCGTGCCGTCCGACATCCTCTATCACTGGGACTTCTCGAACATGGATGTGCTAACCTTTATGCATCTCGACCTCGGCGAGGAGTACTCCGACCACCACGTCTTCTTCATGCAGCGGGCGGAGCCGGAGGTGAAGAAGACATTTGTTCACCACACGTCCTATGAGGTTGCAGATATGGACACGCAACAGCTCGGACACGAGTGGCTGGCGTCAAAAGGCTGGAAAAGCATCTGGGGAGTGGGTCGACACGTCTTAGGTAGCCAAATCTTTGACTATTGGGCGGATTCGAGTGGTTTCAAGATTGAACATTACGCGGACGGTGATCTAGTGAACAAAGACACACCAACATCAAGAGACGTGGTGGGCCCGTTCTCGATTTGGGGACCAGAAGTACCGAAAGATTTTGGCGGGAAGGGCGCATCACCAAGTTGAATGTTGCATTCCAAAATAAAGTATGAGATCTTTTGGTTAATAATTTTACATCAAGGGATCAGGATCAGGCTTGATGAATAATTCATGAGTACTAAATTGAATAAATGTCGAAGAACAATTATCAGGCAGTATACTTGATATGAATTCCTATTGATTTAATTAGAGACAGGCCTGTTACTTGCCTGTCAATGCATGGCTTGTTGCAATGCAAACGCAAACGAAAGTGAATCCGTCTACCGCATGAACTTGTTGGTCAATTAATGCTATCTAAAATGATGTTGGATTTGTTGATAGCCCCTGCCTCTTTTCGTGTCTTCTCTTATGACCATACGAATACGAGTTTCCACCGTTGCTGCAATTTAACTCCGAAACAGGATCCATGACGATGACCCGACTCTTATGCTGCAACGTCAATCCATTTCTCCAAGTTCGCCCTCCCACTCATGAGCGTCCACGCCCACAAGCCATCAACAACGAGGATATCTGCGAAGCTGAAGACCAGACTACCACCAAATACTAGACTGTGATATGTCCATGCGTCGTCAGCGTTGAGATTCGCAACTTGACAGACGATTGCCCACGGAAGCACGTAGAGCAGGTTCGATGCCAGTGATTGGTACAGATACCACTTTGGGCGCGTTGCCAGTAAGATGGTGGCGAGCTGTGTGCTAAGAGCGTAGAAGATGTAGCACCTGTCCTAGTGAGCAAAGACAACAAGACTACAAGAAGGGAAGCACAGCGCCGTGACATACCAATCGATAGTCTTCCACATATGGGCAGTGATTGCAGCGACTCTGTCAGAGTTGCTCAGCCAATGCGCATATGGCTTTGCCCCTACCGTCGAAAGTATGATACACATTGGTACTTCGATAGCCAATGCAATCGCACAAGAGATGAACGCAGGACGTGCAATACCTAAAGGTGAAGTGTCAGCAAGTGCTCTTCCCTTCACAGGCTACACAGAAAACGCACAGAGAAGATGATTCTTGGCTGCTCTAGGATTTCGCTCATCAACACCGATACGCTTCCTCCATTTGCCCCATTCATGCCCGACGAAAGCTAGGGATGTCTGCTCAAGAGCTTGCACGGGAACCATGATTAGACCCCAGCGGATCGTACTAAAGACTCCCCAAGCAGTCGCATAGTCGTTCCCCATCGCTACGATAGTGGTGATGAGCCAGAGGTAGAGAGCATTGCGTACAGCAGATTCGGCAAATGTCATGAGACCGGGCCTTATAAGCACCATCAGCGCATTGAGGCTTGGTCGTACTGAGCCGTGATAATCAGCGCGCCGCAAGATTCCCCTTGACAGCCACAGGAAGTAACACAGTCCCGTGAAAGCGGCGGTCAAACTAACTGCAAGCTGAATCCGGGCCTGGTCATTGACTGTAGGAATGTGAGATCCGACGTGAAATTTGGAGATGATCAAGAAGTCCAAGATGATATTGACGAGAAATTTGACCGAGCTGATGACCAGAGGCACATCTGGCTTATCCAATGCTCTTGTACAGTACGCGATCGCAGTCTCGAGAGACGAAGCCAAGGACGTGAATGCACTGATGCGGACATAGCTGATGGATACCGCGCGAACTTCGGCTGGGACAAAGCTACCAGCGAATCGCTCAGCCGCTGCGAGGAAGATGACGCTGAGGATTGTACCAAGCAAGGTTTGGAACGCGATGAGCGTGTAGGTAAGCCCAATGCGTGACGAAGTTGAACGTGCAGCCTTATCACCGATGATAACCCATGCAGCGCGGGGAAGGCCTTCGTTGATGACTTCAACCACTACGCCCATGTATGTGTTTGCATCGGTCAATACTACTAGCGAAGAATCGATATTAGCTACCCATAGTTTCGACAAAGTAGAGTAGAGCGCGGGCAAGATGAATGCGGCGAGGTTGAATACGAGCGCCCCAAAGTACCTATAACTGTTAATTGCGCAAACCGTGATGTAGACACTGGAAAGACTACCTGTCGCGGCGCCAAAGACTCTGTTCGAGAGAGCCATCATGTACCTGTCCGCTGTCTTGATCATCGCCGCATGTATCACCAGCGATGGCAGAGGTTGCGTCAACGTGGGTGTCGTCTTTGGGTACCATAGTGTAACCTCCTCGTTGTAGTAAATTGTCTACTCCCAACATCTTGGCTGAGTACTGACACTTTTAATACTGCCCATTATTCACCACAATCGATAGGGAGCCCCGCAATTGTGCAGCCTTGTCTGGACGCTCAGTCCTTCATGCGAGGGTGAAGTGGCGGATTCCGCTTGGCTCATCGCACGTGACATATGAAATGCATAGCACTCCAACATTGCCTTCGACTCTTGTTGGACAAGCCCCTTAGCAGGTAGACCCATCTCGCTCTGGCTGCCTAGGACAGTGGGTAAGATTCCTTACAACATGGCGCTTCTCAGTGGGAACATTTGAGATTCCTCCGTAGGCGCGAAATCTTTGGCAGAATCTCTCACCACTGACCGAGCAGTCGCTCATTAAGGCAAACTTGATAATGTACCCAATACTCTATCCACTGAACTCCAATGATCTTGAAGATCTTGTCAACAACGACTGGCATTGCCAGAGTTTACAAGGTTTAGGAAATATCTTTTCAGAGTGCTTCGATGGCGTAATGTTCTTGCACGATGGCTGTATAAAAGCATATTGAACACATCTCTACTTCTATCGTTAGCTAGAGAGGAAGACATTGCCGATGGCACTGTGCGTATGTAAGACGTTTACTGGAGGCCTTGAAAATACACACCTGCATCTATACATTTTCCCTCTATTATCGTACTTTCAATATTTAGAGAATGGATGTGGACATACAATACCAGTCTCACGTCTACGTATACATCGCCTAAAGTCCAAGGAACCTGAAGCGCGTTCATGCCTTCTGCCATTTATGCGCCCCCTTGAGATAGAGACCGTCAAGCTCCTTGGCCACTGTCTCATTCCCGGCCCTCAATTTCAAGTAATGCTGATTGGCCACCGACCCATCCTTCACCCAAACATTGCTACCATTCTGCCACACAAAGTTATAACCATTTACGTTACCATACTCAAACCAACTTCCCAGCCCCTGGCAAGCATACGCAACCGTCAAGGGATCCCACGACGACCTCGTCGTATTGTATCCAACATACCACTCATACCCAGCCTTCACGGGATCGCGCGCCGGGCCCTTGACACTGAGTTCCGCACCCGTCGCCACCGCCTCACCAACCTCGGTGCCCAGAAACGTGATCGCGACGTCCCTCGGCCAGGAATTCACGACATGTGCAGTATAGGTCGGGTTGTTGCCCCAGAAATTGAACTCGTGGCCGGAAGGATATCCCCCGCCCATGACAACAAGTTTTCCGACCTTCTTCGAGACGAGCTCGGGCCCACTGAGCGGGGAGTACTCGTCCGCGGTGGAGTTGAGTAGGCCGGAGAGGTTCTGGAAAAAGCCTATGCTGGCGATTGTCGCCTTTTCATCTTCGGGGACGGCCTCGGCGAGAGTCTTGCGGTACAGTTTCACGGGATCCCAGGTGTTTTCCGCGACGTCGAACCAGGGGACGGAGCCGCCGGACCAGTGGTACGCGATCTTGCTTGCGTACTCGCCGAGTTCGTAGGCCCAGGTGTCGAAGAAGCTGGAGTTGACATGGGGATGGGGAAGGCCGATGGGGACGGAGGGGTGGCCGTAGTGGTTGAGTATTGCGGAGGCGGCGATGGCGGAGTAGCTTGAGTTTGTGTTCACATTGACGGCTAGTAGGTTTGTGTTTGGGAGGGTGGCAGCTAGGAGGAGTGCTGCGGCATCGCTGGGGAGAATTGTTAATGTTGGGTTATATCATTATGAGTGGTGGGAATGCGTCTTACTCGACGTCTGAGAAGAGATCTGTGTCGACGATTAGATTCGTCTTTTGTCGGGCATGGATGGGTGAGCCAATATACCATGCACACAGCACCGTATACCGGAGGAGCCGAAACGGGGATAAGAGATTGTTCATATTAATAGCACAGAGGCTGAGCAGCAGTGATATGATTGCCACACAGATGAGGATCAATATCCGAATACTGGGTATCTTTGGGGATAGTGGAAGTGCACGAGGTGGTCGACATTTTGTACCCATAGACTCGCTTGACCCACAGCTTAGAACACTTTGATAGCCACCTAGTCCAGGAGATTGACGATCTCTCCGCTCTACAGTTAAAGTGGACGATATACGATGGATGATAGCAGACGGACGTTCAGGATGTGGGGTATCAAAAGCATTAGCCCCAATTAGGCAGGTGGAATTTCTGATTGCTTGAATCTGCCTACAAAAACTAACAAACATGATTGGAATAAGTACCTGGGTGGATATCTTCATGATTCATGACAACGTGATGCTCCGATAACGCCAATTTCGCTATGCGAGAAAATGAACATCGTACAATACACTGTAGCCGTTTGGCTACCTCATGTAAGGAGTCGTTGAATTACTTCGAACGTGTGAACTTGAGATCGGGCCCATCGCCTGTGAGCCTACCACTCATCGCCATGATGTTCTCATGGGACCATCGAAACGAGGCAACGCGCTGGCAGTCGAGCAGAGCGTTTAAGCCCTTCAGAATCCACTCCTGGACGTCCTGCGTGCAGAACTCATAGGCCATGACGAAGCTGAAGCCAGTGTGGAATGCGCCGATCGGCTTGCTGGCCCACGAGTCCTCCCACGTCTTGCAGATCTCGTATGCGATCGTTCGGCACTCTGCCTCTAGCATCTGCTTCGTCGGATCGTAGGTTGGGAGGAGCTTGAGGAGTAGTTTATTGGTCAGTATGAGGAGGGCCCAGAAGCAGTTGTAGGCGACGGTGACGCGCCAGCCGGAGAAGTGGAAGGCTGTTGGGATTGGGCTGCCTTCTTCGATGGAGGGTAGCTCGATGGCGGCGGAGCCGTCTAGAAGTCGTGCGTTGAGCTGCGTGCCGAGAGCACACAATTCCTCTTTGAGACAGTGGAGTTTGTTGATGAGTGATGACTGCGAGGGTGGGAATGCATTCGCGCATGAGACGTCAAAGGGGTACGGGTCGAGCGAGAATTCGAGCGGCGGTTCGAAAGACTCAGAGAGGAAGTCCAGAGGAGCGTCTAGATTTATAGATGGGTCGTCAAGATCTACATGAAGGTCGGCCTGCAATAGGATATCGTCTAGAGTTGGCATGATATTGTGGTTACCCTGTTCCAGATCTTTAAGTTCTCTCAGCAGCGCAGGGAAGTCAGCCATGCGTTGAAGGACATCGGTATATAAACAGTCCTCGTAAGATAAACCGGATTTATCAAAAGCGATGTCGCGCCACTCTGGTGTCGTGAGAAAGCATGGTCTTCTCTCGTAGAGCGATGTAATGATCTAAAAACGAATTAGAATTTTGAATGCGATCATAATAGATAATAATGAAGGCACGCGTACAATGCCTCCCCTGTTGAACCGGAGAATCTCCCTTGTGAACTTGTCTATGCACGTCCTAGGACCTTGGATCTCCATAAGACGTCCAGCCCCGCCAACATGAGCAAGGTATCTGTTGCCTTCCCGAGGGCCTGCTAAAGCCTACATAAGAGTCAATGAGTAATCCAGCCAGTTGATATAGAATAGTTGTTTCATACCTCCACGATGCCTAACAAAACAGACGCGCAAAGCGTGTTTGAGGACATCCCCTGGGCGGGATCTTCCAAACACAATTGCAAGGTCTGAACAGCGTGTAGATATAGTCCCGGATTAACGATCTCGCAACCTCCTTGATTGCCTACCATCGAGGAATGTGCGTTGACGAGGCAGACCACCGCAGAGTCGAGAGCTGCATTGTGTCCTATTCGCGCGGGCACCTCCCGAATGAAAGGGCCAAATGCGGACATGCGGTGGCCTACATTTCCAGTATTCAGGGCCTCGACGAAAGCACGTGTCAGCATCATGTACTGTGGTGGTGATGGGTTCCTTGCTATCGTCATCTGTGGAGGGCTAGCACTCGAGCTGGGACTAATGGTTGAGCGAGGGCTTTTCGAAGTGCGTTTTTGCACGCCATTGTTGTTTCTTGTCTTGGACGACATTCGCCATTTCTGGAACATACCACCCCCATCGGGAGATAATTTGGCATTGAGTTGGGTGAGTTGATTGCAGCTTTGGTCTGCCGAAGTTCAGTCAGAGAGTTTGGCCGGTTTGGAAATGTGGGGTAAGCAGGGCGTACTTAGGATGCGCGTTGATTCATTGTCCCTCGCGCTGGTTTTCACGCCCGACAAGCCAGATTTGAACGTATGTCGCTCAGGTGGACCTGGGCATTGTTTTCCATTCTTATAACAGTTGCGGCAGTGGGGCCAGTTCTCGTCACACTGTAGTTTTATAACGTCAAGTTAATGTTGCTGAGAGCCAGACTGCTATTAATGGACTTGCTTACCTTGATCTTTCGCTGTCGGCAAATCAAACATCCAGTACTTTTGGGAACGCCGACCATCCTGACTTGTTACTTGGTGCAGTGAGACTCGTATGTACGCGATTATTCCTATAATGCAGATAGAAAATAAAAGATAGATATACAACGGTGAAGGAGACTGAGACTGGTGACACAGAGAAAGATGGAAATCTAGATAGAAATAACGGATCAAGCGAGTGGTGGCTACGTAAAGGGAAGATGCTCCACAGTCTTTGTATGAGGTGAGGACTAAGACTGGCAGAAGTATGGAAGCTACTGTCAGTATACGGGATGCTTCGATCCGCAAGTCAGACTGGGGGGCTCTTTGGGTCGGACGGGGGTGTGAGGCCCCTAGTCACGGAAGCCATGGTGCTACTGTACCATGACCGATGGAGTATATCCTTCTAAGCTTGTTTTTTTTTGTTTTGATTCCTCGTGGTACTTGTAGGGTAGGGGAATTAGGATCCGGATAGTGGTAGGGGTGGAAATGGGTAGTGCCAATGGCTTGGAAGAAACGGGTTGAGGTATGGAGAAGGGCACACGTGATTCTCGCAACATGTTGCTCAAAACAGTTATAAGCTCGTACATGATGCCAATTCGACTAAGGCAGACATGCACTCTAGCCTTACCAGTCCAATGGCTAGGCTGACTGGAGGTCAAACCTTGGCCGAGCTCTCCCTTTTAAAGAGGATAATAAGTAATGCCGGGAATCTAATAATTACTACTTGTATATACGGTTGTCAAGGGGCAGTGTTTGGGTCAATTTGATGCTCACAGCTGTGTATATTGTACAACCAATACGTTGCATTTCTGATCGTTTCTCAACGGTTCCCGCTTGGAAGCTGGGGACGATCGTGCTGTGGGTATGAGTTGTGATTCGACTCAGCAGGATGATTAAGGTGTGGCTAAGGCTCAAACGAAGTGGAGACGGGTTCGTACACTGTGGGAACGACAGGCCGAAAAGGTTCGGTAAAGGAATTGCACTGTCTCAAATCGGTATATAAGGCGAAGCGGATGCGATAGCATCACAGCGCTGGCCGTGGCTGGGGTGTTAAAGAGCTTGTTTGCACTTGTCCCCAAAGCCTCCTGTTGCCTTATTGTATTGCCTGCCACATGGAGTCCCGCAATGGTCTATCTTCGTTCACACTTCCATTCCGACAATACCGACAATACCGACACCAATATAAATCCGGGGAAGCTGTTGGGGACGGTTTTTCACTCGGCGAGGCCGGCCACAAGACCAACCAATTAGACCCGGCTATGTCGTGTATATTTTAAGATAGATCAACCAAGACACTGCCCTGAACTCCCTGCATCTTGTGCAGCGTGAAGATGTGATATTGAATTGAGCACAAGGTGTGCAGATAAGATAGTCCGAGGCCAACGGCTGGCTGTGCAAATGCTACAAAACCACATAGAATTCGAAACCGCTGTCTGCCTGACAATCTGATATGCACATCAGCAACCTAAATCCCGTCTCATCTTGTAGATTGACCATCTATATCGCATCGTATCTATGGCCCCATCCCTATCCTTGCGTTCTGGTGCACACGCGACTGAATCAGCTACCCTGACAATTCCAATCCGGCTGGTGAATGTGGCTCCATGAGGCTGTCGATCCACCCCAATATCCCCATTGGGCATACACTGCTCTCACGGCTTAGCCTCATCCCCCAAACATGTACCCGCCACGCGGCCATGCCCATGCCAACTGTTCCCTCATCGGATCGAGTGCACATCAAAGACCGAAATGTCCAGCGGCCCGCCTGGAAAGCCAAGCATCCAGGATTCAGACCATACAATAGATCCAGATCCCATCCGGTGCCCCTGGATGTAGTCGCCGTGGTCGCTTAGCAGAAGAATGTTCAACACAATACTCGTATTGGTCGTCGTAGATTTTGCATAATTTGCACCTAGATCAGGATGCAATCCTAGATCTTTTGCACATTCAGTTGATAAACCGTTCGGCGCGAGTTTTTTAAGTCTGTACCCGTACATGCAAACGACGACGAGAAAAGAAAAGAAAAGAAGCAAAATAGCATGAACGTCACGGTTTTCTCGACCCCGAGTCGTCCTGTTCATCGGACATTTTTCGACCCCCAATTATCTTGTGATGATCCGGCCCTATTGTACCATAGTAGCGGAACTCGCAATGCTAATAATAAGGTCCGTCGGTGGACCTGATGCTAGTGAACAGGAACCACGGGCCACAGCCGGTGTGAATTCCACATCGACTGTGCAAGCTCTTAGCAGACTATCCAGCTCTATTGACAAGGCTTAGGATCTTTCCGAATGCATGTTCCACTCTGTGATCAACAGAATCCATAACCTGCTGGGCAGCCACTAATATGTTCCTGTTGATTTATATTAACCTTCTCGAACTGGTGCAAAAAGTGCGAGGCCGGCCTGACGGTCCAGATGTGTGGTAGAGGTCGGCTATCTATCTACTTGTAGCTCACTCGAGGTGCAAGGGGAGACGAGCATTCCTAAACCATACTGATGGACCAAATTTACGACCTGACCATTGATGATTCGGAACGGACTCCCACGATTCCTTTCCCAGTCGCATGCTAAGACAGGCGGTGCCGTTTTGAGTGACACTGCAGATGCAATGATATTCAGGCCATCCACGGGAAACGACAAAAAAGTTGGCACGGAGACAGGATTCAAAGTATTGGTGTTTGAGGTTATTCTTTGTTTGTTGCAATACAGTTACATTGACTTGCTACGCCATGACGCCATAGGCGTAGAGGCGCCGCGCCAGCGTTGGGGCCTGAACTAAGTACCATCCACAGCCGTCACTATGCATTACTCCCAAAATACGTGGAGTCGATAGCCAAGGCTCATAGTTGTGGAGGTTGCTTTTCTTCAGTAGCCTTGTGTGTGGTTTTGCATTAATCCTGATTCGTGGTTCCTCCACGTTGTCAAATCTCGATGGTCAACGACTTGAGCGACAAAGGCCCCCAACGTCGACACCGATGATATGCCAGTGACACGTCCACGTACTCAGTCGCCAAAGGTGGGCCTATCGGCAGCGAGCCCTCAAAATCCCCCATAACCTAACGCAGCTGTGCTAGATCAGGCACATCTGGACGCCTTAAGTTCTAAGTTGCAATCAACTCCTATGTTATGTTGAACATAGACCTCTTACGTCATAGTCCTAGATCCCCTCCCTTCTTCTAAATGTACGCTTCGAAATCGAATCTTGACTTGGTTTTTGGTAACTCGGAGATCGTATACGCAGGGTGAAATCACCCAAGATCGCAATATGCCCATGAAACGCCCGCTTTCCCTATGAAAGTTGAATGCTCGCTGACCCTTGTTTATGTCCCCGGTTCGTTCCTGCATTTTGATGTCGCGGTCCTTTTACATGCAAGTTCCTGCCATGATATGCTTCGCTATACACGCAGGTTCGTCGCTTAATTCATGTCCAAATCGAAGTCATCCAGTTTATCGCGGTACTTCATGATGTTCCTCTTAATCTTGGATGAGTCGACCCAGGTAACGAAGTCCTCCATATTTCTTGTGACCAGGAAAGCCGTGTCCGTCACGACTTCTGTGCCCACGCGGACATGACCCTGCTCGATCAAAGTTGTCGCTGCTTGAACTGTATCTGCCATCCGGAGTCGGGTCATAACTACAGGGAGGCGGCGTCGCGCAAAAGCACTAATTCTGTCAGCTGCTAGATCATTGATTTGATGGGCAAAAGGGGAGGTTTACCTGACGGTGACTTTGTTTTCAATGTCCTGAGATAGTAAGATTCTGTTAGCCATAATGCCCAAAAGTCGCGGCCTTTATATTATTACAGCCAGCGAAAGCTAGGTGGAAAACTCACAGAAAGCTTTCCTTTACCGCTTCCACCAGTACCTAGTATTCCCATATCAAATAACTTTTCCAGCATCAGATCTTCGTGTTTGCGACGGAATGGATCGGAGGGATCGAGGTTTGCCAGACGATGGGCCAATTGTCGGAGGCTACCACATAGTTGATTGTATTTGCGGTAGTCGTCGGGCTGGATGCGCATTAGAATGCTCAATCGAAGTCGGACGTGTGTCGTTGCTGAACATACCTTCTGGATAACGTATCTGCGGACGACGTCGTTCTGGCGATGGCCCTGGTCGGACTTGTAGGTTGTGAAGTCGACCTTCTTCAGGAGCTTCTGCTCATGATGCTTGAGTTTTCGAACCATTGCGACAAGGATTCTGTGGTTTGGTTGTCAAAAACTTGTGTTGTCGCTACGAGGACATGTCCATCTACAAAAAGTTCGCGACAGGGATATTTTCTGGCCTTGGCATCAGATCCGCGCCTGGCCAATCGGAGCCGATCGCCATTCCCTCTCTCTACCCCCGCCAACAATAGTCAGTCATAGTAATAAGTTCGCGCCGCGGGGCCATTATGAGTCCAGCAAAAAAATTGGGGGACTCATAGTTAGCTAGATTGTCAGTCATCGTTGCATTCAGTTGACTCCACGACTTCACACATTCTTCGCTCTCTTGAACGCCTTCCAATTGAAGAGTATCACAGAATGCCTACCGTCCACCTCCTCGACTATGTCGCAGGAAACGTTCGTTCACTAGTCAATGCAATTGAGAAGGTCGGCTACACAGTAGTATGGGTCAGGTCGCCCGCTGATGTCCCTTCTGCAGAGGTAATTGAGAACATTCTCTATGATAATTCCATTCCGATCAATTGTATACATATAACTAACAGAATTCTCTTTGACGTCCATTAGAAACTCATCATCCCCGGAGTCGGCCACTTCGGCCACTGCCTATCGCAGCTCGAAAACGCAGGCTATGTCGAGCCGATCCGCGCACACATCAAAGCCGGCAAGCCCTTCATGGGAATCTGCGTGGGGCTCCAGGCTCTATTCGAAGGCTCGGAAGAGGACCCCGATGTCAAAGGTCTGGGCGTGATCCCCTCACGGCTGCAGAAATTCAAGGACACGGACAAGAGCGTGCCTCACATCGGATGGAACTCTGCGAACACGTCACGGACGGGCGAGGTCACCGATGAGTCACTGTACGGACTACGTCCGAGCTCGAAGTACTACTACGTACACTCATATGCGGCGCTGTACAAGGAGGGGGAATTGGAGAAGGATGGCTGGACTGTTGCTACTGCGAGGTACGGGGATGAGGAGTTCATCGGCGCAGTGGAGAAGAACAATGTCTTCGCGACGCAGTTCCATCCTGAGAAGAGCGGCGCCGCAGGTCTCAGGGTCTTAAAGGCCTTCCTCGAGGGCAAGAGGAGCCAGCCGTTGCCAGAGAAGCCATCGGCCGCGTCGACGAAAGAAGGTCTCACAAGGAGGGTGATCGCGTGCTTGGACGTCCGGACAAACGACTCGGGAGATCTCGTCGTCACGAAAGGCGATCAGTACGATGTGCGTGAGAAGGACGGCGTGTCGGCCGGCGGTGCGGTGCGGAATCTAGGCAAGCCAGTGGAGATGGCGAAGAAGTACTACGAGCAGGGCGCGGATGAGGTCACCTTCTTGAACATCACTTCGTTCCGCAACTCCCCCGTCGCAGACACACCCATGCTTGAAATCCTCAGGAGAACCAGCGAGACCGTCTTCGTCCCGCTGACCATCGGTGGAGGAATCCGCGACACAATCGACACGGACGGTACTAAGATCTCGGCCCTGGATGTCGCGAAGCTGTACTTCAAATCCGGCGCCGATAAAGTCAGCATTGGATCTGACGCCGTGACTGCAGCCGAGGAGTACTACGCTCGGGGGAAGACGCTATCACGCACAACAGCCATCGAGACCATCTCCTCCGCATACGGTAACCAGGCTGTCGTCGTCAGCGTCGACCCGAAACGCGTCTATGTCAGCTCACCAGACGCAACACCACACCACACGATCAAGACAGCGACGAAAGGACCAAACGGCGAGGAGTACTGCTGGTACCAATGCACGATCAAGGGCGGCCGCGAGGGAAGGGACTTCGACGTTCGACAGCTCGTCACTGCTGTTGAGGCTATGGGCGCGGGAGAGATTCTATTGAACTGCATAGACAAGGATGGCACGAATAGCGGGTTTGATCTCGAGCTCATTAATGATGTGAAGGCTGCCATAAGCATTCCTGTGATTGCAAGCAGTGGAGCTGGAAACCCGGCGCACTTTGATGAGGTTTTCGATAAGACGACCACGGACGCCGCGCTCGGCGCTGGCATGGTGAGTGGAATACCCCTTTGCCCCTGACTTTGATAACTATTTCTAACATTAGTTAGTTCCACCGTGGAGAGTACACTGTCAAGCAGGTTAAGGATCACCTACAAGAACAGGGACAATTGGTCCGACAGTTCGAGGAGGCAGTCTAATGAAAGTATAAATGATAGATGGCTGTTTAGACCAATATGAAAATACAATATCATGATATCCCCAAACAAGTATGCCACGTAATTTTTGTGTCATCCAAACGCCTCGCAATCAAACCTTCTATGAAGCGCCCAAACGCCCGTCAATGCATGGACTAATGGTATCAACATTAGGTTGCGTTGTTTTTAGCTAAAATGTATGCCCTCCTGGTTGAAAGCATACAGTAGCCTCAAGAAATCGCCTTCGTCGCAAAGTCGTGCTCGTTTTTCTGCCAGTTCCGTCTCATCCTCGAGAACCTTTCGGACCTTCTCCCGCACCAGCTCCGTCACCCTTCCCCTCTTCTTCCTGTTTACACCATTCTTCTTCTGATTCGCTTGCATTTCCTTGAAGAAATCGGGCAACTCGTCGTCGTCTTCGGCATCAGAGAATCCCTTGAATTCCTCCTCTGGCTCTGCGATCTGGTCCACTTCCATTCCATCTACTTCATCTTCACCCGCCACTGGGGAGTCGTCCACCGGGATGTCGTTTTGCGCACACCACAGGCGATAGTTGCTCGTCAGCATATCCAGCACTGCAGCTGTTCCGAGGAAGCCAGCGCGGAGTGTCCTGTTCTTTCTCACGAATGCAATACGCAATAGACCATCCCACTCTTCGTAGCTAATTTGTGGTCGTGGGTTCTTGGGTTCGATGCGCACGACGTTCGACTCGACCTGCGGAGGGGGGTTGAAGTTGTTTCGGCCAACCTTCATGACGTGGGATACTTTGGCAAACATTTGGACGTTTACACTGAGGCGCGAGTATAATTTATCGCCTGGTTTGGCAAAGAGACGCTGCTCACTGTCAGTCTCTTATATATAGAACATTCTTCCTGTGCTGTTACCATTGCAAATTCTCTTTGAAACATAAGAACAGCGCATCGGGGCGGGTTCGGAAGGCTGAGGAGCTTGAAAACGAGAGGGGAGGAAATTTGATAGGGAGTATTGCCTATTCAATGTTAGTAGAGGTCTGACTGAAGCACGTCTAGATGCTGCTCATGGTTCGCTTACTGATGCAAACGTCGAAGTGTGGGAGTTCTGTTTTGATCACATCGCCCAGGAGAATCTTAAGCTTCTTTTCCAACGGTGTTCCTTGTACTCGTTTGGTCAACTCGGCGGCCATTCGAGGCTGCAGAAGTTAGTATACCGTCCCAGGACAGACGTCCTTTCCCAGAGGAATAGTCGCATGGGTCGCAGCAACGTACATCGAACTCGCAAGCAGTCACAGCCTTTGCCTCTTTCAAAATGAGAACAGTAAGATTTCCAGTACCGGGACCGACTTCGACGACATGGTCGGACTGCTTGAGATTGGCTTTAGCAACAATCGCAGCAGCTACCTAGATAGCCGGTTAGACAATAAAACTGTGTAGTACGACTAGAATACCACTTGCTCCTGGGTTTTTCAGAAGATGCTGTCCGAGGTCTGTGTTCATCTTGAAGATGGAATGCGCTGCAGCAGCCTTCGCAGACGGTTTCGAGTAGGGCGAGCTGTCCGCCCCGCCCTGGCTCTTTCGCTTCGCTTTCGGCATTTTGGGGCTGGTTAACAAAAGAAGGGTAGTGCAGGAGGTCTTCGATTGGCGACCAGGCGAGTCGTGCGGGATATGGGCGTTCTGTAGAGAATACTCGGAAAATCTAAAGATTCGGCTCGACGTCTTTGGTGGGGATTTGTTTGGCGGCCGAACATCAGAAAATACTTTATCGATAAGAAAAACTTAGCGGAATTGAGCACGTGATGACGCGTTTCTCCGCATCATCAACCTCAAGTACCTACCTAAGGCACACCAACATACAACTAACTTGAAGATCTATTCGGAAGGCTTGCGACAAAAGCAAACTAAGAGAGAAGAGAAGCCAAAGCATATATAAACATTTACTTCTTTCCTGGATGCACAAAACGACAATCCACCTTTACCCTCGACACCAACATTTCCACTCTCTCCTTTCTCCCTGCGCCTCTCTCGCGACTCACTCGTCGACGTCACGACACTTCACTTCCTCTTCTCGATTCTTTTCAACTCCATTACTTTCATATAAATCTTACGAGTCCCGCACCTTCACCAGCGACTCTTTTTGTCAAACCAGATTTACCCACTACAACCCATTGACTTCTCTCACTACTCATCGTCCAGGCAATCCCATTCGCCATTATACTGGCTACGCGGAAAGCAGCATACACAGTCTTAGCCAATCAACACAGACCCAACAGTCTTCATACGTCGATATGGCTCGGAAGCTGAAGAAGTCTCCTAGTTCTTCTCTATCGCCGCCTCCGGACGATGCCGTGAGTGAGGAAACCGTCACAGCGACAAAAACCACAGTTCAGACCAACGGCCAGGGAAAGAAAAGGAAAGCGGAAGCGACCGTAAATTCTGTCAAGCGTGCAAGGACGAGCACTGCAACAAAGGAGGAAAAGAGTGTCAAGGAAGAATACAAGGTTGAAGAGAATAGCGCCGAAGTCAAGGTCAAGCGCAAACGGACAACTAAAAAGGAGTCGCAATTGGAGCCACTTCAGGAACGGACTCCAGACACAAAATTACGCGTTGGCGCGCATGTCAGCATGGCAGGAGGTATGCAAAGAATATCCCTCTCTCGCTTTCATCGACTTTATTCACGTCAAATTGATCGCTAACGTCCTGGAACCTAGGTGTCCACAACGCGATTCCGAACTTATTACATATTGGGTAAGCATCCTCCTATCACTGTTTAAATGAAACCTTGCTGATATCTACCAGAGCAAATGCTTTTGCGCTGTTCCTGAAGAGTCAACGAAAATGGGACAATCCCGCCCTGGACCCTGAACATGCCAAGCTGTTCATCGCAGGTTGTAAAGAGCATTCAATAGAGCCTGGCGCATGCTGCCTGCCTCACGGGTCGTATTTAGTGAATCTCGCACATCCAGATGCAGCACGCAAAAAGCAAGCTTATGATTCATTCCGAGATGATCTCACTCGTTGCCATAAGCTTGGTATAAAGTTATACAACTTTCACCCGGGAAATTCGAACGCTACTACACGTGAAGAGGGCATTCGTTTGATCGCGGAGAACATTAATAAGGCTCATCAGGATCCTGAGACTGGAGAGGTTATCGCAGTTCTCGAGACAATGGCCACACTCGGGAACACTATTGGCGGAACCTTCAAAGACCTCGCTGAGATCATCGAGCTCGTAAATAACAAGGACCGCGTGGGTGTTTGCTTGGATACCTGCCATGTCTTCGCTGCAGGGTACGATCTTCGAAGCCCAGAAGCATACGCAAAGACCATGAAAGAGTTCGACGACGTCATTGGACTTGAAAACCTCAAAGCATTGCACATGAACGATAGCAAAGCGCCCTACAGCTCCCATCGCGACCTTCACGCACAGATTGGCACAGGCTATCTTGGTCTACGTGCTTTCCACAACATCGTCAATGACGAGCGGCTCCACGGTCTTCCCATGGTCCTTGAGACACCCATTGACGCCAAGGACGAAAATGGGAAAAAGACTGAGGACAAGTCTGTTTGGGCCCGAGAGATAAAACTCCTCGAAGAACTAGTCGGGATGGATATCGAAAGTAAGAGATTCAAAACGCTGGAGCAAGAATTGCAAGAAGCAGGCGCGGGGGAGCGTGAGCGGATCGGTGGCCAGGTCGAACGCAAAAAGTCCAAAGCTAACGGCACACCGAAGAAGAAGGGCAAAAAGAAGGTCGTATCCGACGATGAAGAGGATTCGGATTGAATCGTGCGTCAGAAAAGACATGATTGATCCACACAGCCACAAGTTAACTACGGTCTGATCATTATGACCGATCTTGAAGGCTATCACATTTTCGTCCCGATTCCAAACTCCAGTTTTACATATTCATATTCACCCGGGGTGAGGCACTGAGTCTTTACTGGGTCGTGTAGGTCCTCAATAGACTCAGTGGAAGCGAAGATGCCTGATTGCGTGGCTGGCATTGCAGGAGCAGAAGGAGCGCTGGTAAGCGGTACAGGGAGCGAGGCATGTGCGGGAGCAAGAAGTGAATGTGGTTGAGAGAAGCAAAACATGAAGCAACTAGGATACATACGACTGGTCTCCTCATATTTTGCCTATATCTGAGCACGTTAGCTCCAGTTCTGGCTTTTGCCCTAAGAGCACATCTATTCTTGCGACGATCAAAAGGGTTACAAGCCAGACATTCCCGGATGCCTGTATTTAGCATGCAGGTGGAAACTCTGGAGACTATGCGCTCCAGTCACTGACCTAAGGTTGGTCTAACGTCAATAATGGTGAATTTGGAGTCAAGGGGAAACATAATAATATGAGCGATATCTAGTTAGCCGGTAGCTATGCTTGTGCAGCAATTTCAAACCCCTTCCAACCTGTCATAGTTTCACGACATTGCTTCTCATACATGTCGATGCCACCGATATAAATCAAGAATTCTGACGTCTTTCCTGGAACATTACCAGCATTCCACCAAGAGCTAGTATACGGGTAGAGAGTGCCTCTGTATAATTGATCAGCGTTGTCCAAGCCTGGTATCCGAATAAATAGGGCATTCACTTACTTGCTCATTGCGTTCATGCCAGCCTTCCATTCTTCTTCTGCTTGGCGCGTTGGTTCAATAGCTTTCACACCCTGAGCACGAAGCGCAGATATGGTGTCGCAGATGAAGTTCGCTTGCATCTCAAGGATAGTTGGCCCGTTGGCAAGTGGTGTTGGAGCTGGAAGGTCATCAGTCCATGGAAATCCATTGCAGGAGCACGTGCAGTCATTGATCTTACCTTGAGGTGAATAGCACATGAATGCATTAGGGAAACCTCGCATCATCATTCCCAGATAAGTCTTCACGCCATCCTTCCAGACATCTTTGATGTCGACACCATCCTTACTCTTCAGGCCCATCTGCGTTAGGGAACCTGTGTATGAGTCGAATCCCGTCGCTAACACGACATAATCGAACTCTCGCTCCTGGTCTTCGCCTCCCAGCTTAATTCCCTTCTCAGTGAACGACACAATGGGGTTGTTATTCAGATCCACAATGTCGACATTGTCCTGGTTCAAGACCTCGTAGTAATCCTGCTCCAGAGGTATCCGCTTTGTACCAAAATAATACGGTGCTTCATCCGGCGCCATAATCTGCTGCTTCTTCGGATCCGTCAACCTCTCCCTCGTGTTCCGCTTCCAGAAATCATAGACAATCTTGTTCGCATCCTTATCCAATATTACATCGCTGTAATTCCTGAGCTGGAAATGGAATCCACCCGTCTTCCACAGCTCAGTCAGGTACTCTTCTCGCTCATCTTCTGGCGTCTCCAAGATCTTCTTGTCGCACCGAAGAGTTGGAAACCCCACTGGCGATTTGGCCGCAGCCTCAAACAGTGCAGGATAATATCCTCTCCAGCCGCGCTGTTCCTCTACCGTGAATGCACGCTGGCCCATCGGCAAGCAGTAGCTCGGCCTCCGAATGAGATGCGTCAGCTGCGACGCCTCCTTCCCTAACTCCTGCACAATCTGTACCGCCGTGGCGCCCGCACCGATAACCGCAACCTTCTTCCCCTTTACGGAAGTCTCCTCTGGCCATGCTCCGGAATGATGCACAATACCCTTATAGTTCTCAATCCCGGGAAAGTTAGGCGTGTGCGTCCGGTGTAGCAGACCCGTACCCAAAATGAGCCACCTCGCTCGAGCTTGCTTCCCGTTCTTCGTCTTGACGTGCCATTCAGACTTCTGTATGTCCCACTCGGCGGAGTTGACAAACGAATTGAAGGATACGTCTTTGCGGAGGTTGAGCACGCGGTCGCAGTGCGCCATGTACTCTCTCATCTCTCGGTGGTCCGAGAACCGAGACGTGAAGTTCCATGTGTTGTACACTTCGGGAATGTTGAGTTGGTAGAAGGGTGTCTCGCTGTCGACGCGAGCGCCGGGGTAGCGGTTCCAGTACCAGACGCCACCGAAGTCGGATGCTGCAGTGGGATGGGCGTTAGCAATGTTCTTCCTTTAGGTTCAGATGTCTGTGTGAAAGTGATGGGACTTGCCAGATTCGAAAACATGCACTTTATATCCGTCCTTCCTCAGTCGATGGAGGCTTGTGATACCAGAGAATCCAGCTCCAACCACTATGGCATCGTAGTGAGGAACGGCATCACCATTGGCGAAACCATTGGTAGCTTCCTTTGGGACGGGAATAGAAGCCATGCTGGATCTATGTGATAGAGCAGGAATTGTATCGACAGACCAGACAGTATATGGGATTTTGAACGGTATTGCTCGGGGAAATGCAGAAGAACAGCCAGAGAGTTCGGTATTTATAACTGACACCAAGATTTACATGTAGGGCCACCACCAGTCATCGCCTGATCTCGGATAGACCTAAACTCTCCAACTCGATGCTGATGTGAGCTATAGACCGTTGAACAGAATAACAAGACTTATCCTCGGATGCTGATTTGCATTGACAAGCAATTAGCAGGCCACCGTCGGACGAGAGGAATTAACCATTGGATATAATAGTAGTCAACAATGTCACAAACATGTTGTACTCGTATGCTATGTGTGGGGTAAAATTGAGGGGAAACGACCGAGGCATTACACGCGTGTGTGTTCCCATCCTGGGGTAGCTGTGACATGTAGTTGGGGTGAAATGTGGGGTTGAATCGCGATTGGCGACGTCGAACCTAGACTAGAGCAGAGCGTTTCGCCACAATAGGCAATTGGAACGCCTACATGGCAAGGATCGTGTTTAAGGCGATCAACCGCATGTATTGAACTGCAAAGTGAAGCTTTTTTGCCTACTCAGGAAATGGTGACTACGGATTTAACATAGCGTGAAGCGCGGAATGGGACGACGTCACACGTGCATAAAGCATGTGGGTGAAGCACACATCAACTCGGTTCTTTAAGTATTATTACTTGGTTCGGAAGATCTTATGTGAGAGTACATGGAATCTACGCAGTTGTATCTCCTGCCATTTTCTTCTCCTCCAATGCTTTACGGTCCTGTTGTTGAATAGCAACCGTCTTGGCTGTATACTTCCGCTCGTCAACACTGGGGATGAAAAACGCAGCAACCGTTCCGACAAGACCAAACGCCAGCGCAACTTGGTATGAAAGATGTGCACCGCTAAGATAGGCTTCTTTGTTACCGAGAGTTGCTGCGGCTCGGATGGCTGGGGTCATTCCTGGTACAGCATTGTACGCTGCGGCAGTGCCGGCGCGAGCCGCTTTGATAAGTTGGGCCAATGTTCCGCTGGGTAAGTTGAAGCTGGAGACATTGTCCCCAACCCTTTTTGGAAGCTCTGTTGCGTATTTATTGTTGGTTACGTTGCTGAAGATTGCGGTTGCAACGGCACCTGCAAGGAGTCGCGAGGTTCCGGCAAGGCCGGCTGCAGTGCCAATATCTTCTTGATAGACAATTCCTACGGAGGTGGTCAGCATATTGAGCTCAATGAGATGTATAAGAGCTGAAGGGTCTTACCGAATCCGACGAGCACCATTCCGTTGAGGAGATTGATCGACGTACAAAGTGAAACAAAGAAGGTCAAGATGATAGACTTAACCGGGTTGTCGATGGTGGCGGTCGACAATGCACCTACGCATGCCGTCTGAAGAGCTACAGCAAAAGTGACCTGCCATCGCTGATGACCGATCTTCTTGCTGAATGCTACAACAATTCCTCCGACTGCAACCAATTAGTTTTCTCGTTGTGGCTTCTCTGGGTTGCACTTACGGACGGAGCCAAGGGGTAGAACTTCTGCATATAGACCCTTGGATATCTCATCCGAGGTATACAATATTTGGGACAGGCGATTCCACAATGTCGCATTCGAATAATACTGCATACCACCAATTGCCATAACGAGCATAGGTACGGTAAAACTGACATGGTGAGTCGACAATCTTTGCGGTGTCATTAGATAACTTACTGTCGCATAGCACGGAAAAGACGTGGTGGGAAAAGAGGCTCCTTGAGGTTTCCATAAGCCTCATAAAACCCAAGACCAATAATAGTCAGGAAGCCAATGATGAGTGGCGCAAGGGTAGTCGCGGACGTCCAAGGATAAAGTGATCCACCCCAGTTGACTCCAATGATGAACAGCGTGCATCCAGCAATGAAAAGGAAAAGACCAAGCCAATCGAACTCCCGAAGAAGTTGGCGTTTAGACTTTCCATGTTCCGCCTGCTTTTCCTTGAAAGATGGAGGAAAATAGAAGAACCACAGTAGCACAAGATTTATCGTTTGGAACCCGATCATCATGTAATACGCAATTCGCCAGTTGCCAGTTTGCTTGATGATAACCCACGCAACGAGTGGCATGATCTGTGCAATGACGGAGGCAGCATCGAAGAGACCAATTGTCACATGTCGATATTTACTGGGGACAATTTCCTGACGCATGTTAGAGCGCTTCCCTCATGGAAATCAAGATGCACCTACCTGGACCGCACCGAAGGCCATTTCTAGAAATCCCGAGCCAGCTCCAAAGAGGGCACCTCCCGCAATCATCTGGTTAATCGACTGTCCTGTCGCCGATACAATGCTACCAATGATCAAGATTATAGCCCCTGCGATGAAGAACCACCGGCGGCCGAACAGATCTGATAGGCGTCCGCCAACGGTGACCAACATAGCTCCTCCGAGGTTCCAAGATATTGTGATCCAAGTGAATCGGGGATCTGGGCCGAGGTCTGCATTGATGAAGCTCAAAATTGCAGGTGGAATCAAGAGCGTGAAGAGATAGGCATTGTAGCACATTCCCATGGACTGAGTAAAGAGATGGTCAGCCAACGGTAGCCGGTGGATGGTATGACGAAACTTACGACTGCCGCCATGATCGTGCGCCATGTCATACCAACTTCTTCACCAGTATTCTGTAGGTGCTGCACAATTTCCTCGTTGGCGCTGTTGACATGTTTGATTGGTACGTTCTGCTCCGAATTATTTGCACTTTCGATGGCATCAATGTGCTCTGTAGTCGACTTGTCGTGGTCAGCCATCACGACGGTTGATTTGGTTTCCGTCACAAGCAAAGAAGAACAGATGTATCAATACTAGGACGAAGTATCTCCCCAAGGAAAAAACCCCAGGCCAGGGAATTCAAATGCTTTAAGTACGAGCGTACGAGATCCATCCCTTGCTCGTCGTGTTCCGCCGTCTGATAACGGTCCCCGGACGTTCTCCATAGAAATATGGGGTTACCGTGCCGCCTCCGCAAAACATCGTAAGCGAAGAGCTCGCGGATTCTCGGAAAGATAAACATAGGGCTGCGGCGGGCCACTAGGGCACTGGATCTGGTTTGGTCGTTGCGGGATCTGGGGAAAGTCAGGGAGGTGGCGTTCATGTCTTGGCCGCTTGATTCATCGCTCGGAAAAGGTCAACCGACTAAGTCTCTGTCTCCAACTATCCGCGCATGAACTTAACCACCACTCCTCTTACAAAGTACGTTCTTATTCCCGGAAAGCAATTATGACGTCGCTGACAGATATTGGATGCTACAATAGGGAGCGAGGAGTTTGAATTGGTTCACTGATGAGATGGCCGCTTGTAAATATTGCCTGCTCGTATCTAGTACGAGGTAAGATTAATGTTGCGCAGTTGAGCGCATACGAATGATTTGTCGCTCTCGTATTGGTTGTCTGCAGGCATACCTGTGCCGTGGCCATGGAAACTATGCAGGGACGATCAATTGTCAGATGCCTCACGCAGCAGGTGCTATGAAATACGATATCGGAACTATTGGACGCTATCTTAGTTCCGCAACGCCCTGCGCACTGTTGAAGAACAGACTTGTACCGGAATTACGGGAGTATGGTTTCCGAATCATAAATATGAGAGCCACTCGGATGGCACGCATCCATGCATATCCTTTGATATAAGCATCGAATCAATAATGCCATTGCATCGACCCTTCGTTCATGCATCCGCAGAGAATACCATCCTTGTAGAAGATCCACATAGTCTACAACTTGAGTCTGGACTCTTGAAAATTCGGCTAAGTTTGATCACCCTCTACAGTTGGAATGCGGGCATTGACTGAGGAATCAGAAACAACCATCCTTCTGATGAAGCCAATTTTGACTAGATCTAGGCTTCCCATTATTAGCGTTTATGTGGGACTCATTGTACTGCTACTCCACATTGAGATTCAATCCCAGTCCATCATTTGGCTAATTGTTAGGTCGGGGATATCGTTTTTGTCGTCATGCCTTGAGCACTGAAGCGAGAATTATACAAGTGAAAGAGTTTGGAAAAGGAGTGTTTTCCATAAGTAATCTCCCAACACTGAATACAAAAAGATTGCAGAATGTCATCAATACCAAAACTCTGCCGCTTAGGCTATCAACTTCCAGTTAGTAAATTGTGATTCTCTTGGATGGCTGGCACCAATACGTCCTGGGCGATGTCTGAGCATATGATACTCCACAGTAACCATCTCTCGTTGGACGTATCATTTATACATCCGACGAGCCGAAACGACAAGCGTATTCACCTAATCCCTTTTCTCATTTTCCAAAGCCGCCAATTCGACATCCGTCCGCTTCCAGTAGTGGCTGAGATCACCGACTGGTAGTCGGACTGTCCAGCGCATTTCTGCAGCCATCATGACAACAATCATGTACCATCCTAGTAGCGCCACAATGAACAAAAGCGCACCTCCAGCCTTAGACCATCCTTAGTTCAGTTCAAATATTCGAGGCGATAAGATACTGACCTTTTGTAATTTGAGTGCCTGATCGAAATCCCCTAGGCTCAGCTTCCAGTAGGCTCCGCTCAACACCCATGAGCCCAGGGTGACAAACAAGAATATGGAAGCGAACACAGCATTGATACGGATCGTGAACAGCCAGAACGTACCCAGAGCAAACCCCCAGACGAGTAGGTATAGTGCGACCACTGCATTCATTTCTTTAGAAATTGCTCCCTCCGCCGCATTTCCAGTTGCGGAGTACGCGGTAGCTAAGCCTAGTGTTGGGAGCTGCAAAAGGCCAAAGGATAGCCAGAAGACGCAGAATAGTCCGCAGACCATCATCGGGAAGAATTGGGCTTGGATCCAAAGAAAGATTGTGGAGAGGAGAAGGAGCACTGGACCGGTGAAGAAGAAGATGCCGCTGTTCGCAACAATGTCAGTAAAAAGCCCTCGAGTAAGTTCACATGGAGTATACCCACGCAACTGCTGGTAGTCCGCTAGCTCCTCCCCAACCCATCAAGACCATACTGAAAGTGAACGTCGAAATAACGAAGCTGCAAAGGCATGTTAATATCAGTTGCGCAATGATCACCCACTGGATCCAATGTAAGAGCGCCTTAGAGGTACAACATACCCAACGAAACCCAAAGGTGTTGCATTTGCATATCGCTGTATATGCTCCGTAGCATGTGGTACCTTTGGTGCGAGGTAGAGCTATGGATCATTGTCAGTTGTTAATCCACGGTCAACGACTCCAACAAGTGCAGTATCCTATACCTTCTCGAAAAGCTCAGGAGAAAGAGAGATATTAGTCGTAGTGTGGGTCAAGGGCGGCTTCGCTGTCTCGATTCTCTCTGTACCATAATTTTCTTCAACCTCCCTGGTCGTGGCACTGTTTGTGGTCGATAGGCCCGAAGTTGTGGTCGCCATCGCCGATTACAATGACGCAGCTGAGTGACCAGTATGTTGTTACTGTGCAAAGCGAAGAGTTGCAGACTTGTTGATTCTGGGGGACTTTGTGGACTGTTTCAAAGTACGAATCTTCTCCAGGCTTTGAGATGGTCGCGTATGGTTCTTCTAGCAGGCTATGTAGTTGTCTCGATGTACAGACTTTGCGAACACAACTATGCCACAACGACTGAACATCGGTCCTTATATGCTTTCGGTCCTCATGCGAGCATCCCTCTGTCTGGTTGGTAATGTCGTGCGGGGCGTAGCTACCCATGTCGTCTGTGACCATCTCGACTCACCACCAAGACTGTGATTCTGGAGGATACACGCAGATAAGACCAATCTCGAGCGACATATAAGCCCGAGCCCGCTTTCCGCAGGAAGGGTACATTTAATGATTAGTGGTTGAAGCATGCCATGCCCATGTTTCGTCCGGCTATATTGCCCAGTAGGATCTCGGTTGTGACGAGCGTGATGTTTCCCCACACGTTTCTCGCGTGGTCCCTGTCTTCGGCAAAATTGGGGAGCAAGGCCCCACCGGATGGAAACTGCATTACAGGTAGCTTACTGCTCTTTTGGGTCATGGCTTACATTGGGGGCTTGAGCTGACGAAATGTTTTGACGTCCTCCACATAAAGCTCACTGAAACATAACTTGGCAGTTTTCGAAGGACCGAATCTCCCAATACTGAAGGCCACACATGGTGGGGTGATCACAACAATGAGACAAAAAACAGTATGAGATGTCAGCATTTTTGTATAACAACGTTGATTTCTGCTTCAACCTAGGCAACTGGGACTGCTAACAGCCGGTCTGAAATATTACAGGACTTTCCAGTACAATTACTTCCTCTATGGGAATACGTTCAACGTAAACGATTCCGGCGACAGCCAGCGCAGATCTCGATGTGGCATCGTGGACAGCGGAGAATAAACTTGGAGTGTCTTCTCGAGCACATCTCACATTGAAATCTCGTTCCTGAACCTTGCATTCCTTCGATCCTCGTAAGCCAGCCCCGATGTCGACATTCATGATTTGCACGAAGAGTCTCGGCCATTTCTCGAACAAGACGATCTACTTCTAAATCTGTGATAGCAAATTGCTCAACCCGTTCTGCGGGGGGATCAATTCGATCCTCAATGGAATTATCGGAAGCAGCATCAAGGACAGGCTCTACTTGAAGTGTTGCGACATCTTCATCTGCCCCTTCCTCCAAAACCTCATTAACGGCTTGTCTCGCTTCGTTAACTGCATTTTCAAGTCCATCATCGTTCACAACATCATCTGCCTCCTCGATATGGTCTTCGACTTCGTCGTCGACAATATCTTCATGCAGATCATTCCCAACAATATCTCCTTCGACTGGTATTTCATTGTCCGGCCAGTGAATTGGTGGTTGGCGCTGGAGGTTTACCGGAATCAGTGGGGCTTGATGAATTGCCTCTCGATCGACGACAGCTCGGGCTCGAGCAACAAGTCTATCCTCGTTCCATTGGTCGCAGCGACAGGTTTTCCACCGAGCACCGCACAAGTAGCAGAATTCAGCGCTACACACACAGCTGTTTGAACATGTTAGAGTTGTAATTCGACATAGTCCAGGCAACTTCATACCGCATATGGTTACAGCCATGATCCAATTCGACCATCGTACGGCACTTGTAGCAGCGCTGCCAGCCTTCCTGTTGCCCCAAAGATACCACCGCTTGAATATGTGGATCTGCTGGACAGTCGGTATCTGGGTGAGAAGCATTCTTGCACGTCGTACAAGTATTTGCCAGACAAGCAGCACAGGAAGCTATCTCGTGCGCGATTCTATCAGGAGGTACAAATTTCCCACACAGCTTGTTGCTGCAATAGGTGCGGTTAGGCACGGAGAATTCAATTTCTGCCCAGAAGAAGGCCTCGAGGGTAGCTTTGGGAAGATAATTGCGTGCCACGTCAATTACTATGGGCTCGCGGCAGCATCGAGGGGGAAAGAGGCCTTGATCCTTGAAAGCATTACGAAAAAGCCTGTCCAGACACCCGCGACACTATCGGTCTCCACATGAAAGTTTGATTGTTGTCGTCCCACAGAAATCTCCAAAGCATGCAACGCAGCGATGCTCTTCTGAAAGTTTACCAAGGGCTTGGGCTTGTCTTTGCGCGTAAGTCATGGACGGCCCGGCTTCTGGTTCTTCTTCGTCATCATCGAGCCCGATCAAGCAATGAGACGCATTGAAAGGCGTTTCAGACTGGGTCCAATCTATATCTTCACTACCATCTGCCGTTCCACGCTCTTCTTTGTCCAGCCTTATTGCGAAACGCCTGTCTTCCTGTATCTGTACGTCTAGGGCTGTGAGCTCCGCGATGAGCTGAGCATCGGCATCGACGGCATTCGCAATACTATGCGCGAGCCTCAGGTCCCGCATGAAATTTATATGTGCCAATACCTCCGCTTGGAACCCTTCGAAAGCGACTACATCATCGGGCGGGCTGTTTTGACGATATTTTCCTTTTAGTGACGTCGGATTCTCGAATGAATTAACCTCATCCAGCTGAAGGCGAAGAGCCATGATCTCGTCATCCATGAGATTGGATTGGAACGGTTGGATAGCAACATCTGTCATGATGATAGATTGAATGGTCGATGATCTGGATGCTGCAAAAGGTTATGTGTGGGAATCAGGCAGACATCAATGTGGAGGGGACCTGGCATTTATGGAAGAAATTGATTGAGATACGGTCAACCAATAGAACACTTCCTTGCGACGAATGGCAGGGGCCAAAGAAATGATAAATCGCGGTTTTCGACGTGGTGTAACACGCCTAAGAGTGTCATAGCTGCAGACAAATGACGATGATGTTCTACCAACCAGTCATCAATTGCAACATATTTGAATAGAAAGAATGTCAATCCGTATTATTATGAACAGATTGACGAGCTTTTTGTTCAAATCATAGCAGACTTGTCGTTGATACATTCTGGCTCACCATCATTTCATCATAACAACTTAGGTGATACCATCCCTTGCATATTCAAGGCAACCACGAAAATGTTTGTTTGATGACGTGGGGTGTAATTAGATTCAGATAGATGATTACCTGAGGGGACGATATGCCCACCCGGAAAGAAAGTTCTTTTTACACTGAGAACGTTGGCATTGTATATGAGTTAATAGACTCGAATGTATCAGGCACCAAGACCAAGTGGATGTTGTAACATTCACTCTTTCGTGTACCGCTTTGAGAAACTTCTATTCCAATAAGTACTCAGAGCTTAGAGCGTTTGCGTCTACTGTTTTCACATTTATAGATTCCTCTGTAGTTGGGGGCATCACAAGAACAACCCGCAATCGATAGATGGGCTCGGTAGATCCAAATGGCAAATGTTAATAATACTTTTCTGTAACTTTGTGGATGCTTTACTCGATAACGTGTCAAGCTACACGTGACCTGCGAATAGAATCGTCGCGTCCTATACTACTCTGCACTTGAGAAACAAAAGTATTGAGCAGAAAAAGTTGTTTTGAGAAATTATTATTTTATTATAGACAGCCATCATAAGTAACTAGCTTTGCCCGGCTCACGGCCAAAGATCTAATGTGTAATCTTTTTAAAATGCAAATGAAGATTAAACGCCATCGCTATGCAAATGCTCGCCACAAGCAACAAAAATAATCGTAACAATCCTTCCACAATCAGGCCTTCATCTTTTGGTTCAATTGTTCCCTGAACTTGGCACCCTTGATCATGATTAGAATGATACCAGGGATGCACAAAATATCGAGAGCCGCCAGCCCAGTGAAGCACCATCCATACCCCATCCTCTTGACAAGCTCATCCATGATGACAGCTCCAATCGCAGCAGCAATGTTCCTCAGCAATCCTCCAAGCGCCACGAGACTTGCAGCCTGCGAAGGATCGCATTCGGTCTGGAACGAAGTGCTAGTAACGAAGATGATACTCGTGCCGACAGCCGCGAACGCAGATCCGAACAAGCCACCCGCAGCGTTGATGCGGTACTTGGTAAACCATCCGTACATCAACTTACCCACACACGCGATGACGAAACCGACGATCTGGATGGGGATACGTCGCTCAGGGACAACTTTATCGTTGGGTGAGTTGCGGATTGCCCTTGCGCGCATGGCGTCGGAGATCCGACCGACGGCGATGGATGTGACGAAGAGGGCAAAGCCTGGGACAAGGAATGCGTAGCCGACTTCTTGGGTGGAGAACCCGAACTCTTTCTGCCAAACCTTGGGGAAGGTGATGTAGATGGCGTAGAGGCCTGCGAATTGAAGGGCACCGTTGATGCTGACGATGAGATGGGGAGGGTATGCGAGGAGATGTAGGAACTTTTTGAGGGTTGGTCGCGGAGGCTTGGGGAATTTCTTGCCGTCGATGTCTTCGATGGGCATTTGGCGGAACTTGGGCAAGAAGAACCACGGCTTTTTAGTTAAAGCTTCCCCATTGCCTACGAGCGAGCGTAGTGTCTCGGGGAGACAGAAGAGGATGAGAAGATAAAGTGGAAAGCATGCCAATGCTGATGTTTGGTTAGTTTGATGTCCTCTTTGAACTATGATGCTACCCACCTAAGAATCCAAAAGCCCAACGCCAGCGTGCAACATGAGCAAACTGGCCACCAATCAAGGGTCCCAAGATAGGACCTAGCTGGGGCCCAAGTAGAAACCAAGAGAGTGCAGCACCTCGTCTCTTTGGCTCGGTGATGTCCGCTACAGTACCCGCGCCCACAGAGAAGACGATGCAAGATCCGAATGCCTGAAAGATTCGGAGAACGAACAAGAGGCCAATGTTAGCAGGCAAGGTCGCTAGTAAGATATTGGCTATTAGAAAGCTTCCAAGACCGACTATGTAAACGGTTTTGCGACCTCCGAAGTCAGAAGCGGCAGCACCAAAGAGAGGCTAATAGATACCATTAGTGTCGAGCCTCAATATATAAGAAAGAAAACTCACTGCTACAGCAAAGACTGCCATATACACTGACACTGTTGCGTTTATAACGGTCGCCGAAGTATGAAAGACATCCTGGAACAGAACCAGGGAAGGAAGGTATACAGCGCCGCAAAGGGGACCGAAGAATCCCGCAATGGTAACGATGGCCAGTATGAGCCTGCGTCGTGCAGGCGTGTATGCCGAGTATGGCGGACCTTTAGACTCGTTCTCATTGCGAATAGTCTCTAGGATATCTTCGAAGGATTTGGAGACGGGTCGTGTCGTAGATGTTGAATCTCTTGAATAGGTTGAATCTTCGTAATCTTTCATAATGATTAACAACGCACAAGAACCATAGAATCGAAATGCAGTGACTATTAAATCGTGAAGTGCTTTATTATGCCATTTGATGCAGGACTCGCGGGCAACTATGTACTCCGATCATATTCATCGGTGTTTGCGCAGTTGATAGTTGGCTACACGAGTCCGGCGCCGCGAGCACTGAGCCACGCTGAACCCGTTCCACCACCAGGACCACGCTGCTCATGATTTCTGCAGAGCTATTTTCATTTCTGCTGTGTACAAGGAAAGGCTGTTCGAGACAATGAGTCGTGGCGCACCGCCAAGTGTTCAGCCGCGCTCGCTCCGATAGTATACAGTTTTAGGACGGCGTCCCCCTTGGAGCTGTAATACAATACATGCATGCAAGCTAGATTCCTTCACAAGAGCTGCACAAGGTAAGGGCATCGTTCAAATGGATCATAACTGTTGCAAGTGGCATTGTTGACGACATGATGCTCGCTCTCCCATGTTGTTGTAGGATTACACCACAGTTTGCATGTTGGTCAATGGTAAATCCCAAATCCTTCTTGGATAAAGTCCATACGCAATCTGTAGTGCTTCTCAGTGATGTGCTTTTGGTAAGCCGCATTCAATGTTCTTAGGCTGATATACTCGATGATGTTATTTGCAGTTGCGCTGACCAAGTGCAGCAGCGCATGCATCTATTTCCTGGTGTTGAGTTGATAAGGCTAGGAAACGATTGCAATTGGCCAGACATTGCTTGAAACAGCCAGCCTTCTCGAACTCTGCACGACCTAAAAACGTCCAAAGGCTCAGCCCACCTGGTACCGAGCAAGATACCCGAGAATATGGCCAATAACAAGCATCGCACAACCAACAATGCCATCTTATTATGGCGGACATATGTAGGATCTATCACGAATTGGAGGACGCGAAATTCAACGGACATGGCGACACTGCGCGCTCGTTGGCTCTCACACTTACCACCACGCTGGAACTATGTGATTTGCCTAGAAGTAAGATCTACAATATACCCGCTGTGCATGGGCGGACATAATCACGGGCATCATGATTCAGATGCCTTCTTCTTGTTGTTTGTTTGTCTGGCGGGAATCAATGAATCCTACACAAGGAACAAAATATGGCCCAAGTGTCTCTAAAAGATGTTTTCCCGACCCCCAAGCAAAGGGCAGTCTTTGTGCGAGGTACTACTCTGGTCCCAACCCCATGCGACATGTGCACGTCTTGCCAATGTGACATGAGGACGTTTCTACGTCCCTGAAGGACGCAGCATGACTAAATGTTGCACTAAAGCAGTACCAATGTCATGATCTCTTTTGCATCATAGCATTATGTTTGCATTGCCAACAGCATAGCGCAATCAAAGACAGTGGCACATCGTGATCAATGGGCCAAAAGAGCAACACAGCCTTCTCCGAAAGAGAAATCCTTAGAAAGATGGCACAATTATCTATGCGCTGTAAGATTTGGAGAACATGATATCCATACCTAACGTTGCATCAATGTGTGTTGGCAAAATACAACAATTGATCCCATAGCCTCTTTCACAGCGTGTTGGGTGGGGAATTCAGGAGAAAATTGGCTGGCCTGAGCCCGCTATTTAGTCCCGTATGCTTACATGATGATGTTGGGTAGGTGTATTGTCTTAGATGGGGTGGAGAATCGACAAGACAGAGAGACCGTGCCAGTGTTTGAAGCCAGCATCTAGGGCCGACTTGCAAAGAAAACAAAAGATTTCTCAAAGTTGACAACAACTGGCATCGCATCTGTCTGCGAATCAGGCCATTAATCATGGTGCACTGCACACATAGAAGCTCAAAATATAATAGAACCATTTGTTTAAGATTCTGTTCTTGATAATGTTCAATAATAATTCTAAAATACCTCTGTTATACAAGAAAAAGAAATCGCTATGCTAGTTACGCCATATGATGCTTTGATGCAATAAAAAGAACAATAACGAGATAAAAGCATTTCTAAGCCTTTACATGACCATCACACCCGGTAGTCTCGAATTTCAGCTTCAGATTCCGAGGATACAACGGACCAGCTGGTGTCATCTTTCCATCCCAGCTCTCGCTGACCCGCCACTTCAAGCCCTTCAACAGTTCAACCATAGTGATCCTCAATTCCAACATGGCGAACTTCTGCCCAAGGCAGGTCCTACGACCGCCATGGAAGCTGATGAACGCACCCTTTGCATTCGCTCTGCGGTACAGCTGGTTGATTTCCTCCATCGTGCTGCCCCATCGACTTGGGCGGAACTCGTCGGCGTCAGGGCCCCAGAACTCAGTGTCCCGGTTTGTGGAGTATGCATTGTAGCCGAGGTAGGTACCTTCGGGGATGGCGATTGATGAACCGAGCATCACCGGGGCGTTTGTGCGACGGTTGATAAGTTGGGAGATGGGAGGGAACATCCGAAGCGACTCATAGATGACCGAGGTAAGGTAGGGGAGGTCATGAATGGAGCCATAGCTAGGCTTTTTGTCTCCATCAGTACTATCGGAGAGTAAAGTATTGACTTCTTCGCGGACCTTCTCTTGCACTTGAGGATTGGCGCCGAGCAGATACATGAGCGACATGAGTGCCAATTGTGGGTTTTCGTGTCCGGCGAGAAAAGTGCTGACAAGGTTGTCGTTGAGCTGCTTCTCGTCGATCAGGCCTTGACGATGCGCACCAAGAAGGCGACAGCCAAGGTTCTGCGAGTTGTGATCGCAAACATGGTTATGGCCTTTCGATACTTCTGCCCGGAGGGTGTTGCGGAATCTTTGTACAAGCTTTCGTCCTAGTTGGCGGGATCGAAGACGCAGGTGATCTAAGAATGGAAAGTTCAGGAATATGGGATTGAAGATATTCGGCTTGATCATCGTCTGTAGCATATGAAGTGGTGCATCGGTTCGTCGGAGCGTCTCGAAGTCCGAGCCATAAAGCACTTCTGAAAGGTTGGCTAGAGCATAGCGATGGAGTGGACCATATATGGGCACATCATCGGTCGTGCTCTTAGATCCAGAGATGAACATCTCCTTCAATAGCTTCGAGTTGCGCCATACAAGCGCGGGATCTTGCTCAGCTTGCAGCGCCGGCTTGATGATCGAAGTATATAATTTCCAGTTCTCGCCATGTCCACTGATGATGTTTTCACCAGTATATTCGGCAAGGAGGCTGTATGGAATCTTGACTTGATTGCCACTTTTGGCGAATGTGTCCTCGTATTTGAAGACCTGGGCGATGTATGATGGTTTCCGGACTAGAATATTCCACCGACCGCCGAAGAAGATCTTGACCGCGCCGTATTTCTCCAAAGGCTCCTTCAAATATTGTCGATAAGACTCGGCTTGATCAGTGTCTCTGAACAGCGGCAATAAAGCATAATAAAATGGTATGGTAGGGATGTTCTTCGGGAAGTGTCGAGGAGGTGTGAAGAGATAGATGAAAAATGAGAGGAGCGAAAGGCATGACACAGTAAGTGCCAGAACGACAAAGGAAAGATAGGACAACATCGTGATAGGTGAAGCGATAGAAAATTGTTTGATTGTACGGAGTAATGCTGTCTGCTTGTTGTTGTAGATATTTACTTGTTGATGTCCAGAATTGGTACCACGCTACAAAAAGCATTCCCCCACAGCCACCACCGCCTCAGGCCGCCCATTCTAGCTGAAGACAGTCGCACACCGCTGGGGCCAGCAGCGCGTGGGAGGATCCTGGTGGGACGAAACGCCTGTGCACAAGACAAATGTTACGGGTAGATGGGTTTTGCGTTGTTGCTCGTATCGTATTATTTAGACTTTAAGCGAACCAAAGGACTCTGCGCCAAAGCGCCCCTGGCGTGTGCATTATGCGCTGGTCGTTCACGCCAGGACATCCCAAGTCTCCTCCCCTCACCGCCGACAGAGTCCCCCAACACTGAGGAATGCTGCGCCTACCCGACACTGTTGTCACCATGAGACGAGCTTCTGTTCTGGTGCTATGGCGCACGCACGTTGAGTTTCCAGCGGGGACCCCGTCGTGCATACGGCGCAGGTGATCTGTGACCCAATGAAAGGCATGTGCCTTTTTTTTTTACAAGGACTAGGCTGAGCTGGACAGCTCGGACGCTGCAGTGTCACATCTTGGATTGCGAGACATCATCAGTAGCTGTACGGAAGTAGTGCGATGGATCGAAGTGGCTGGCAAAGCTGGGCATGCTATTGTTGGAGCATGGCCGCTCCGTGAGGTTCAAACAACATCAAGATTATACCAGTACTGGATTCAATCATGGATATATTAGATGAGACCAGCTTCGCCAGTTCAAAGGACATCACAACCAACTCACAATTACTTCCAACAGTTCCTCACAATAACTGCACACCTTCAACTAGATAATCATACCCTTTCCACCAACATACTTTTCTCCAAAGATTGCAACTCGCCCAACAACAGCTTCTAAATCATTTGATTCCAAGACGCAGCTCAACTTCTTTCTTCTTGTTCTATTCTTTTTTGTTTAATCATAATACCCATTCATAATGCCTGCACTCAACAAGGGGACTTCTACCTACCACTCCGTCCACGGACTCTACTGGAGGAACGCTTCCGGTGAGCTCTTGGCCGTTGAGGGGAGCAATTCACAAACACTCCCTCAACTCTGGACATCGCTACGAGCTGAGATTCTCGACCAAAGCAACTCCTGGTCTCGACAACGTCTGCCTTCCGGCAAAGAGATCAGCACCCTTCACATCAAGGCCCAAATTCCAGAGCTCACTCACATCCGCGCAAACTTCCCTCCCAATCATCAGGATGAGGAGTTGGTCACTAAGGTTGCTGAAGTGCAGCACGCTGATGGACTCATCCTCGGCATGCTCACCTCCCGGCCTAAGTCGCTTGCTGCGGACAAGTTTGGTCTGTGGGCGGAAAACTTTGTCCTTCTCGAGACCCAGTTCCGACCCTTTGCGCAGCTGACGGATGCTGCCAACCACGAACATCGTGCGATTGTTGAGAAGGTTGCCACTATTTTCGAGACGAAGCTCAAGAATGCGTCTAGAGATGATCAGTGGAACGTCACTGGCCGGAATGCATTCATGAACAGAGTCTATGGGTTCGTCGAGAGGAACATACCAATTCTTCTTGCGCTGCCCGCTTTCCCTTGCAAGTCTCCCAATTCAAACAAGGTTGGTGGAACAATGCCAGATCTCGCGGAACATATCGCTCTCGATGTTCTTCGCGATTTCGTCAAGGAAGTGAACAAAATCTACGCACCCGGTGCTACCATGTGGGTCATCAGCGATGGACATGTCTTTTCGGATTGCATCGGAGTTGATGATGGCAAGGTCGACACTTACGATGCCCAACTCATCGAGGTCTACAAGAAGAAGTTTCCGGTTGAAGAGGGCCCAGTACCAGCCATTCAGTTCAAGGGCCTCAAAGACATCTTCATGTCGAACCCAGACAGCTTCGCCTCTTTCTCAGAGTCCATGGTGGCAGAAGTCAATGTCCCTCACCCGGTCAAAACTGAGCTGACAGCCCCATCCGAGCTCTGCAGAAAGCTCTTACTGAGTGTTTCCGAGGCAGATCGTGGATTCATTCGCCAATGCATCGAAGAACAAGAGCCACACGCGCTGCAACTCTACCGCGGTCAGACTCGCTTCATGCTCGAGGATCTGGCTATGGTTCCCTCTGTCATCAACCTGAGCAACAAGCAAAAGAAGAAGACCGCAGCCTTGGTCGCACAGGAGATGATCTCCCGCAACCAGGCATACTCGAACTTGGTGGAGCTTCTCCTTCCCAACTACGTGCGCCTCTCCATCCATGCACACAACAACAAGGGACCCAAATTTGCTGTTCGCCTTCTCCCAAAGAGTCTAGTCCGCCCCATCGAGTCACTCTTGAATCGCCACGAACCCGTCCCAGCCTACGAGTTCCAAATCCCTACCCCATGGCACAACTCGATCATCAAAGTTGAGGGTGACGACCTTATGTACCTTGCCCGCGCCGACGTCGCCAGGGTCGCCATTAAGACGGGCACCGACTTCGAAGGTTCGTGGGTTGATGGCCCGAACGGCGCATACTTCCACCTCACTCGCAAGCCTGGAATAACCAAGGCGATCTCTCCGCTCGTCACATCCGAGAAAGCGCTCCTGCAGAAACGACGACCAACCATCTCTCTCCTCTCGCCTATCGAGAAGCCCGTCCTGCACAAGCGTTCTACAATCATCATCAGATCGCCGCTCCAAGAGAAGTCTCTGCTGGCTCTCGAGCCTTCGCTCAACCAACATGCACTCAAGTTTTTCCTTCCTTTCTCGTCCTTCCTCACGTTCACATCTTTTTTCCAGACGCTGTGGCGCAATGTCGCCGAGGGTGTTTATTGAGCCTAACTACCACCCTCCTTTTTCAGTGTCTAAGACGGATGATTTTAGTATTTGTAGCGTTCAAAAGCATACCTGGTGCTCAGATGATAGTCTTGTAATTGCATTTTTCTGGAGTCTGGGTCCTTTGTACATTCGGGGGTTATTATTGTCTTTAGTTAGTGGTCTGGTAACAAGAGCACGTTTTAATAAATTTTCATATGCCTCAAATGTTCTTTTGAAATACCATGTGTTTAAACGTATGCATGCATCAATCGAAATACACAGATGAGATTACCTGCATCAGCGACTCTTTCCTTTCTCTCTTAGCACTGGTAACATGCTCAAGCTTTGCAAGCCTTCTTCCCAGTACAGAGAACACTACAATGACGCCACCATGATAATGTTTGACCTAGATGGAAAGACAATGATGTTTCAACTTAGACCAGGGCAATATGTTTATTATGTTCACAACTTGTCCTAAGGTCTTCCAACCAAGGCTCTATTATATTACTTTATCCTAGCATAAGTACCTCTAAATAGGAATGTTTTTAGGTCTCCTTCGATAGATTCTACTTAAATATTACAAAGTTATGATATACTTACATCATGTATACAGTACAGCCTGTTAGCTTATACCTACATAGTACATAAGCAGATCCTTAGATTCTTAGTATACGGCATTCTATTTTCTAATAGAGTGTTCCTGTTTGATGTTGTAGCTGTGCAATAAGCTGGACACCCCCTGATGCAAGGAATTGTATCCAGGGACTGCCAGGGCGACACATTTACAAGCAACTATCTTGGCACATCCCTTTTGTCAAACTCAGCCAATATGCCTTCTTTTGCCTTGTTCTGCCCCTTTGGCACAAGTGCTGCCTAGTACGATCGCCTGATACATTTATATGAGGCATATCTCTGTATCCACGAACCAATCCTTCATTTCATTTTCTAGGTAGACACTTCACCAATTGTTCACTCGTATCCAGCATTCCTGCATCGCCCGTGGCGCCTCAAACCTAACCTGACTGCTACCAATCTTGATAGTTCAACTTAGACGGCTATCAGATACGACACACTGCTGCCCTCTAACGCCTTCCTTGAATGCTGTCGTCGCTTGGCATATAGTTCCTAACGATTCGCTGCAAGCCCGAAATCTATCAAAATCACCAAGAAAGTTGCGACATATTGAAACGATCCTACTTCTGACCCTATGGGTTCTTCTCATTCACGCTTCGCCTGTTCAGCATGAGGAAGACGAAACGCCCCAACGGGCCTACATTCATTCGCCTCAAACTCGAAGTACATGGGCTATTCTCAGCACTTCATGTTTAGCCCTTTTTGCAAGCACATATTCGGCGCTTCACTTGAACATTCCCAAGCAGTGGGAACATGATGACAAATCTTGGAAGGATAAGATTAAGAAGATCATTCGAGACTTTACCCTCCCTGCGAAGTGGACAGTAGCCGCGATTATTGCCCCAGAATCCCTAGTTAGATTCGCATTTAGCGACTGGATGCATGTAAAAAGGACGGAGAGCCTGTTGAAAATGTATGGAAGAGGAAAATTACAATCTTGGGACCGAACACATATCCACTATGCGAATATGGGCGGATTCGTTTTCCAATTTGAAGTCCTGGAAAATGACAGTGAGCAAGAAAAAGGGTACGATCAAGAAACGAAAAACGTGGCTCTTGATATTTCAGATGAGTTTCATCGTGGTGGTTACGCCCTTTTTATCAGGGCTATCCAAAAACGATTTCGATTCATCTTGTCCAACTTTCGAAAAGCTAGTGATGCAGTCTCTAGTCCAGATCGGAGCGGCAGAGGTGCGTCACATAATCTACCGGACCGGATGCATGAGCTAGGAGATTCTTCAGCTATAGAGCTTCGCTCATCTCAGGGTCTCGAAATCACAGACTTATCAATGCCTTCTTTTCCAGAGGCCGAAACCGAGGCAGTCACCCCCGAAAATCCCGTTCCATCCCCCACTTCCAACGCAAGTACAGATGGAGATGTAGGCCAAATTCCCACAAAGAAGGTTGACTTCTACCTGAACGGTACCTAAATTTTGTTGGCTCAATGCCTCGGAATTTTGGAGGAACCTCCGGAAATCGAAACGAAAGAGATTGAGGACAAGAGTAAAACCCCTCCTTTTGCGAAAATTTACCTTGCCTTACCACTTTTGGTTCTCACATATAACGTTATTGCTCGAACTGCCAAGGGCTTACACGTGTCACAACTGGAAATTGCGGTTTGCGCTTACGGCATTTGTACAATTTTCGTTTCCGTGTTTTACTGGTCAAAGCCACAATCTGTTGGAGTTCCAACGTCTAACTCCCATCAACTTCGGATGGTGTTAAGGAAGGACCAACGGATCCTTTCCCTTTATGGTGGGACATCATTCATAGAAACAAACTTCTTTCCACCATTCGGCGCCGACCGTAAAAAGTATTTTAGGAAAATCACTCAACCTATATCCAACGATAACATTGTTGGAAACTTCTGCGACATTTTCGGGACAACACTCCATAATGCAGACTTCGCGTCTGTTCTAGTAGGAACTTTGTTTGGTGGACTATACTTCCTTTGCTGGAATAGTGTCTTTCCAAGTAGTGCTGAGAAATATCTTTGGAGAGTCTCGAGTTTTGTTGTAACTTTAGGGCTTATTCCCTACGCGTTGATGAACACGATCTTTACTCTAATGTACCGAAAGTCTAAAACACACACAGATATTCGGCAAATAATTGGGCTCTACACAATTCTTGCTTGTTATACTTTAGCACGGATATTTTTCATTTGGGAGATGTTTTGGTCCCTCTTTTATCAACCTCAAGAGACTTTCCAAAACTTGTAAGGTTTACAGCTAGCTTTGCAGGATGAGAATGTGTATCTCAGGACTTGGTTTATATGCGGTGCGCTGTCTTCCATATCTAGGATTAATCTAACAAAACAAAACGAAAAGGTTACCAAAACAGAAACGAGCGTTATTAATAGACGCTAAAGCTGCATTTTAAATGTATTGTTTGTATGTACAAGTACTTCATATTGTCCCGATCTAATGTATTCTGCTACCTCCTCACACGTCGAACAACCACTTGGTTATTTGCGGCCCAGTGCCGATACAAGAGAGAACATCAGGACAGCGGGCGCTTATATTAACGTTATGTTACTGGAGAGGAGGCAAACATCGATTCGACATCTACATGACTAGGACCATATTCCGTGAAATTGAACCAACATTTATATGCAAAGTTATGTGACGTTGATTATACCAAAGACCGCTCAGGCTCAAAATCTGCATTACAATGAAGCGAGTGCCTTGAGTAACTAAACTTTCATCGTAAGTCTCGCGGAAGGTCTAATTTAAACAACCACTTCTCAAAACTCTCAGTATCCAGACTTTTAGGGACCATATCTTTGCTCCTTCTCCATTGTCGAGAAGCCAATTCAAAAGACATATGTCTCGCTGGCTTCATAGCAAGGGATCGTACTCGCTGCGCCTCTGGACTGTCCTCGCCTTCACAAAGAACCCTGGACTCATACGCTCTTTTAGCGAAAACGCTCGCTCTGGCCTGATCGCCATGCGCAATACTGATCTGGAACGCATCGTAATAGAGCCGTGCGCCGAGGATTCCAATATATCCTCCAAATTCCTCATTCAGATTCTGAAGCATCGAGTAACAATCTCTTAAAACCTCCCGAGGTTCACTCATAATGCGATATGGATCGCCGATAGCAGCGTCCAATAACTGAATTTGGAGACGGCGGGCGTCACTATCGTCGAGTTCGGGGGGAGGAAGTGAGCATCCGAGGCAGGTGCACTAAAAATTGAAGGCGTCTTGTAGAGCGGTCTGTCGTGATGTGGAAACTCCACCTTTGTCGTACGGTATAGTGATTTCCTCTCCTGCTTCAATTGGACGGATTGCATGAATGGTTTCGTGCTCTAAGTTGTCATTCCAGTTATTGTGAGAATTGGGAACACAGCTGTGATTGATCAAACAAATCGTAGGATACACTGCGCCAACAGGGGAGTCGGATCCGCAAGGTAGCGCATTTGTTTTGAATATGGTGGAGAAAGGGAGCTTTCCTGGGCTTTTGTTGTACAGAGATAGGAATTGTCGCTGCGAATCCTTGGGTAGAGCTTTCAATTGTGCCGCGAGCTTCGCCTCCAAAATCTGCAGTGGCATTGGACCTGCTTTCAGAAGTGGTTTTTCACACAGGATTCGAGCTCCCTCTGGTATATCGACTTGGGCAATGAGCCCTCTACCTTTTCCTTCGAGTTGTGTGATCACAACCATTGAACTGTCAGGGTTTCGGAGTGGTTCCATTCTGTTCATCCTATACAGAGACGGCGATCCACAGGCGGGGGTTAAGGTGATACTGACGTCGACACCTATGGCTGTGGGTGATATAGAAGAAGGATCTGACAGATTAATTATATTGTAAACAAAGTGAGTGAAGCAGTCTTTCTCGGTGAGCGACGATTCATGATGACACTGGGCGGGGATTCTTATATAGTTCCTTTTTGAATGATAATTACAGCACAAGGCCCCACCTCGTATACATTCCTGTCAATGAAATATGTTGCAAGGTATGTAGTGTGGTAGTATCAGCTATGCGAAAAGGTAAAGCATTGGTGCCGGAGTTGCTTGGGCTTCGGCTCCAATGTCCGGTACCCGCGAAGGAACATGCTTCAAACCGATCTCTCGGAATTTGCCATCAGGTTTTAGGCCATTAGCAAACAGTTGACGAAGGATCTTTAGGTCGCTGACATTCAGTCGTGGTTGTAGAAACGGATCTTCAATAAGGAGTAAGTACGGAGTCCTGGTTGCAGCGCTGTTGTTACAGGCCATCATTCGAAGGTTCTAGTTCCTTTGCGCCGGCATCTTCCCAGACTTAAAGACGTTCCCACATAGTTTAGCAAAACAACAGTCCTGCATGCCGCGATTGTTGTCACACAGGAATTAGGCAGCAGTCGAAGCGTAATGACCCCACCATCGACCAAACACCAAAGCAACTCTCATCAAATTCGCTGCTGAGCGCACATTTCACCTCCTTCTGTACGTACAGCAGTATAGCCTTTTCCTCTTCAGCGCCTCAGCAGCCGAGCTCAACATGGTCATGGATTACGAGTGCGAGACATGTGATCGCGAGTTTGGAAGCCAACAAGCTGCTTTTCAACACATGAACGCACTTGATCATTGGGGTGAACGTTATGAATGCGAGACCTGCGACCGGGAGTTCTTCACACAAGAGTCAGCAAATCAGCACATGAACGCTCTTGACCATTGGGACCGACGATTCGAGTGCGAGACCTGTGACAGGACATTTCACACCGAGCAATCCGCTAATCAGCATATGGACGATACAAACCACTGGCAACCTGAATTCGAATGCGATACTTGCGACCGGGCATTCTATACCCAACAATCCGCTGATCAGCATATGAATGATAAAAACCACTGGAAACCTCAATTCGAATGCGATACCTGCGACCGAGCATTTCATACGCAGACTTCTGCCGATCAGCATATGTCAGCTCTCAATCACTTTAGGCAATATCACTGCTCTGATTGTAGCAGATCTTTTCAGGATGAGAACGCGTTAAAGATGGTATGTTTCCCGTGCGCATATTGACGCCTCATCATCAATGTGTGTTTCAGTTCTCTAGCTAACTTCTTGTAAGCACCTTAACTCAAGCCTTCATCGCGGAAAAAACATCGTATGTCCATTCTGCAAAGTAGCTAAGGCTTCTACCAGCAGCCTTTCGCACCACCTTGAGACTGGCTCATGCCCGCGTGCCAAGGATGTCAATCACCACACACTCTTCCACGCTATCAGCCAGCGCGATCCCAATGGTTTAGTGACAAACAAGCTCCTCACTTACACCGACTCCAACGTACAAAACATTGCAACATCTGCGAGCTGGAACGGCCGTAGCTACGAGTGCTACCTCTGCCACCGAGAGCATGGAAGCCTTGGAGCATTGAATCAACATCTGAACTCATTAGTACATCGCGAGAAACTGTACCATTGCCCGAATAGAAACTGCACTCGTGACTTTGTAGGACTAGCATCACTTTTCAATCACCTCGAGAGTGAAAGCTGCGGTTTTGTGCGGTTCGAAAAGGTCCAGCAAAAGGTTCATAGCTTCATCACTGGAGGGCAGAAGTTGATTAGCTTCGCATGAAAATCTCATCATCTTTTTAAGGAATCTTCCCATAGCTGCGGCGTCCGGGCCTCTAATACCTGGAAGTATGAATTGAACTATAATATGATTTAATTAAACATCAATTCTTATCCGTAATGGAAGGCGGCCAAAGTGCCTGATAATCTGTTGGCTTCTTCATTGTGATAATGATAATGCTAACGACAGGACAAGAACGAAGCACATATTTCGTCCTGTCTGCTCCTTTGCAACACACTACTCCTCAAGTTCATGTCTACTCTCCTATAAAGCCCTCTTTAAGAAGTCCCCAATTCTATCTGCTTATTACGAAGTGACCATTCTCCGATTCAATTTTCGTAAGATTGGCTTGTGAGAACTGGCTTACTCCCTTTGAATTGAAAACATTGACAACACTGGTCAAGATATGGCATTCGATCACTTGGCGGCAAACACTATCTATAAATGTTTTCATAGCAACCTAAAGAAGCCAGCCTTGATGTATACCTTGCTGCCCTCCCAGCAGTCAAAAATGTCTTGAACTAGTAAATAAACTCTCATTGTTGCACTATAAGTTCTTATATTCGCTGCATATTTCTCGTTTTCACAGTGTACAAGTGCTCTTAAGCAAGAGCTGTTGTTTACTGCTATATGAAAGAAAGCAACATTTCGCCTATTATCGTTCCTATCCAAAGCAGCGTTGGTAAGGTGAAAAGTCACCGGCCAAAGCTTTATCCTATCTAAACTCTTTACCAGGTCATCAATGCAATTCTCAGTTCCCAAATTGATAATGTCAGAATTTTTAATGATTCCAACCGCGCGCTCGCGCGCTCCTGCGCTCCTTCGAAAGCACGCGGTGTTTGTGTAATCCTCTGGATGCTAATATTGATATTAGCCCATACATCAACAAGGATCATAGTTCTAGAGCTCTTTATGTAGTCATTTACAAGGCATTCTACAATGTTAAAATAGTCAGCTTGAAATAGAGGAAGTACCAGAGATACTTCAAAGCATGCTACAGAGTTGCAGAAGGAATGACCTCTCAGCAATAATTGAGTAGATTAAGAGTTGAGAAGGAACTCGTTAAACTTTGAAATATAAGAGCAACGTGGACTATAACTCTCTAGAGTATCTCAAAGTTGTAATACTTGCTCTGAATCGCTTCAGCTTTCAAAAATCTCAAGTTTAGGTTTTAACAGCCCAGGACATCATACGTATCGCGTGGCATCACTTTTGTTAGAGCTCTGCCATCGCATACTTCAGACTAAGAAAAACCCATTCATATACTCCACATGTTGCTAACGTCTCACTGTAGACAAGTATGTATTGCTAGCCAAAGCTTTCTCGTAGTGGCCATGCTTCGTCGACTTCGTCGTCTTCGTCGTCGCTGTCGTCACTGTCGTCACTTTCGTCGCTGTCACTGTTCGGGAATAACCTCTTCCATGGCTTAATGCCACAAATCTCGTGGAAGACGGTGCGTTGCGAAATTATGGGCTTTCTCTCTGATATGTAGTCGTCTATTTCGACCATCTCCAAGTGTGCGTCCTTGGAGAAGAAGAAAATATATGCTGACTCATTGATGTCCTGATTCAAGAACTGTAAGAAGAAATGACTCCCAGGCGCTGTTTGGCAGATCCGAGGGAGAAACACCCACTGCGCCTCGTCTTTTTTACTTTGCCAGCACATGTTCAGGAAATCCCCCGTGGTGCGAAACAAAATTGGCGGAGTCGACTCATTGGGATGATCCGGTGACATGCTGAAGTCCGGATATACTGAGGTGTCTTGCTCTGGAATCGTCCAAGGAGATTCCTGCCATGCTGGCATCCGCGGATTCTCTACGGGTACGACCTCTTCGTCCTGGCATGTCTGCATTGACCCGTCGATACCTCTGACCAATTTTCCCTTCGATGATAGATAATAAAGTACTATCCATCTGTAATTGCCCTGAGCAGTTGGCGAGATTATGAAACCTCCCGTTAGGGGGGTACCGGCCCATGCTTTTTGTAGAGCACCAGACTCTTGCGTATGTAAATTGAACGGGTTGAGCCACTCTCCTTTGTCCCTTTTGATGCGTAGTATGTCTCCATTTCGATCTTGACAATAAAGGCAGGAACGGAGGCAAAGGAGTGATGATTCCTGATGGATCTGAATTTTGCTAGTAGATAGTTCGTCTTCACGCCATTGACCACTCCCAGCATTGTAGAACATGGCTCGGAGATAGTGATCTTCTTCTGCAAAGAAGACGTAGAGCTACACAATAAATAAGAAAAGGATCGATAATATCATTCCTTCACTTACCCGAGAATTGATCCATCCGATTGCTAGCGGTGTCCCAGGAGCCACTCGGTTGCACGCTATGGGAGTCTTTGCAAGACAGTTGAGTATGCCAAGTTTGACCAAGACAAGTTCATTCGACGAATTTTGAAATAACAAAATAGTCATGTCATCCTTACTCTCAACAGCGAGACGACTTTGAGGATGGGGTAACCATACAAGTCGTGGGACGGTTGGGCCAGGGAACGGGTGGACAGGTTGCTTTGCCGGCTGAAAGCAATCTCTTACCCATTCCATTCCAGAAATTCCGGAAATCAGGTCGAGTAACATAGCTGGCTTAGAACGCTTTGCCATGTTAACAAAATCCTAAACCATATGAACAAACTTACGCGTATGATGCGCCATGTGGTGAAATCATCTAGTTCTTTGCTCCATTCCTGAAAACTAATGATAACGGTGAGAGAAAGCCCCAAATTAAGAAAGCATAAACTTACGTGGAATTCAGGGTTTACCGCCAATTTTCTTCCAATAACCGTCTTGGATATCAGTTTGAGAGACAACGGATGAACGCTGGGACTGTTCTTCCCCTGAATGTGCCGATACTTGTAGGCCAGCGTTATGAATCGGCAACCCAGACTTGAGTTCCACTTCCCCAGAAAGGGATTTGCCACTCTCATGCTGATCGCTCACCACCTCGCTGACTGTTTTACTGCTTCTATTTTCGTAGATGGCTCCACCGAACGTGATAGTTGGACAAATAAATAATCCTGACTTAGGATGAGCTTCTGCCTACGATCATAGCGAGAGAGTGTTTATACCGAATTCATCATGAAATTGCCTCCATAGATACAGGTTGTTGGGGGAGTTTTGAAGCTCCTTCAGCCTATGTTTGCATGCTTGAGACAAATCCAGGGCAGCTGAACTTAGCTTCGCTATCATTTTAGGGCACTTTTACTGAAATTTAGCATGGATTAGCTCAAGATGATGTTCTATAAATTACCTGATACGTATAATTCCATTCCTTCAATAGTTCGGTTCTGTGAATACGTGCCTTTGATTGTGCGTTTCGGAAGTAGTGAGCCCCAATGCCAATTTTTGAGAGCTTCCAAGCCTCGAAATTTCTAGATCTAAATTACTGACTTTATCATGAGTGAAGAGCAAATCTGTTTACAGTGACCCTGCAGCATCAGTCGCGTCAATATGATTACTAGACCCAATGCTTGCAAGGAAGTTGCTCAGGTCATTATTGCGCTGCTCATCTAGAATCTGCGGGCATTGGATTCTCGGATATTCATCCCTCTTAAGCTCGAAAGCTACGGAAGTCAGCGCTAGAATCTCAAGGAATGGGATTTTATGCTGGGGGCCTGTACCTTGGGAGCGAGCTTCTTCGACAGTTCCATCAGGGTAGACCACCCAGCCGTTGAGAGCTCCAGCAGACTCGAAATGTTTCCAATAATCTTTTGTTTCGAGTTGGCGATTGCTTGACCCAGACATTTCGATACGGCACCTATTCTTTTATTGAGTATACAACCCAGTGTTTTGGAGATAGGAGGCGAGCAAGGCGTCCGAGACAGATTACCCCGCTCATGAGATTTACGCGTTTGCAAGAACATCTCCTCTCCGCCTGTGTAACAATGCAAGACAGTCTTGCGAATCCTTATAGGTCCAGAGAGAGAGCCAAGAGTGCTGACTTCCCCTCGATGCAAGGTGGGGTTTCCAGGCTCATTTCGCGGAAAAGAAGTACCCAGACGCTGATTTCCGTTCTGTTTCTACTTCCGCAATTACTTAACTTCTCAGCCTTGAAGATTGATACTTAGAAGGCATCTAACTTAGGTGTATGGTTCAAAAGCACGTGAGTTTTGTAGCCACTTGGTGCTAATGAAATCTATCAAAGAATCACAGATTCGCTGATTCTCCTGCACTGTCTGATACATACGTTATTGCTACATAGTGCAGCGCGGGTACCATAATCAACACGCGCTCCGCAGTGGATATTCATATGCTTAAAGGCTACGTAGGATTTTCTACGACTGACGATACTTGACGAGATACTTGATTCAGCAGCTTAGAGAATGGAGTAAGTACTACATCCTAATAGAAGCATCGATAGAGGGGCTAAATTAGGACAAATGGAAGCGATGTTGACTTAAAGTCATTTTTTTCTAGTGAGACCCTCCTCTAGGGTTTTTAATACTGCTTTAATCTCCAGATTAATACCAGCGAGCCAATCTGGTAAGCAGAGAACCACCTTGACCATCATGTGAGCCTAATAGGTTGCACGTTTACATCATTCGTGACGCAATACTACATGAAAAATCGCATTATCAGCAAGAACTCGATCAATAAGTATAAATGCGTACCCTAGAAGAATCCCTCAGGCCCTTCGCCAGTGAGGATTATTGTTATTAGGGCCCATGGGCTGATATACCTCCCTGTGTGTTGACTGAGCATGTGAAGGCGCTGTTGCGGTCACTGCTTGAACGGGATTACCGAACCCATGAGAAAGGTATGTACTTTTTTGGGAAATCGCGACAGGATGAGACTTTTGGTGCATCAGTAGAAGAGCTAGGAGGATCATATACTGATTCATCAGGAACCTGAGGAAATTCGTGCATAACATGCTAATCTGATGAGGAGAATTGAAAATGACCATCTGTTACTGTACCCTCGCCCCGTACTCATCAACCAATTTTGAGTCGTGTATATGATATACCGTACTATAGAGGTGTCCATCTTCCATGCGCAACAAGCATGATATGGCAGGTCAATGAGGGCGGGGAAGCTCTGTCGTCGACCAAAGATGGAGCAGTTTACAGACTGTCGTGGCGCTTTATCAATATGTCTACTACTACACATTGCTATGATGATATAGACACGGAAAGAAAGAAAATAGTTACAAGCCATGCAATTCAAAAAGAAATTTCTCAATTTCAGGTGTCAAACTGTCGATAAACTCATCAATAATTTGACGAACGGTAGATGTATAGACCATATAGTTATGTGTTCCAAAAGCGCAAGAAGATAGGACCGTCAACCACGTTCGGCGGTCAGACTTGCTGCAGGCGTAGTCTTATGGGATCACCGATGGTTCATACATGTTCTGACATGCATTGACAGGCAACTGCAACTTTACTAGCAGTATCCAGCTACGATATAATCTGCACAAAATCTCACAATAAAACCCACTGAAATTCGTCCCTCAAATCGAGCATTACCCCTCCAATCACAAAATACCCAACAAGCATTTTTATCAGTCCAAATCTAGCATCTCACCGCATGTCTCCGCCCTTATCGTCCCATAGCTCTACACATGTAAACCTTAATTCCCGTTCTTTAATTTGTTTCCACCACGCCTCGCAGCGTACGGTCGGTGTAGTTGTCGCTGTTGGATATGTAAGCCCTCTGCAGGTGCGCGCTTAACCCAACTTAGTCCACAGGCGACGCGCTGTCTTCCATATCCAGGATTCCAACGAAACGAAACGAAACAGGCAGACGAACAGAAGCTAGCGTTATCGACAGGCGCTAAGGGTGCGTTTCGGATTATATTGCATGTATGTACAAGTACTTGATATTATTTCGCTTCGGCTAATCAACTCCAGTTCCAATGTAATCTACAACTTGCGTCTGCACCTGTCGAGCATCGTTTTCCTTCTTGTTATCGAATGCAGATATTAGTATCTTCCAAAATAGACGTTGAGGATATTGTCATGCGGTGAGCGAAGGGTAGATAACGGATATTAAAAGCAAGTTGTCTCATTTGACAGACGCAGGAATTCGAGGACTGACACCGGGTCTTTTCTTAGATCTTCCCACCCCTGCCCCTAACACACACTTGCTCGATGCTCGCTGCAGGGGTAAGGGAGAGACGAGTTCAAACGGTTGGTCCCTGCTGTTTGCGGCGGTTGCTTATTCGTAGGGGCGTCTCTGTTTAATTTGGAGAGGCACAGTGGGTAGAAACAGTTTTGCACGCAGGGGTAGCGATAAGATAATGATAGTCGATGATGATATATGTCGGTTCATCGACACGCTACCATTGATGAAGCATCGTCTTCGATCGTTCGTCGTTTCTTTCGCTTCAAACTTTTTGGACCTCCGAAGGCTTGGAGAGCCGTTCGTTCTTTTCTTTGCGCGGGTTTGATACTTTGTGCTGCCGTTCCTTTGCAATTCACCATTCAGTCAATCCTTTGAGATTCGAATTCACTATACATTCATTCATTACATTCCATCCAACTATCTTTCGTGACAATGAAATTTAACATCTCCCTCCCCTTCCTCCTCTTCACCCTCCTCAACCCTACAAGCGCAACATTCGTAGTCCAATGCTACTCCCGACTCTTCGACCAGCGCGCTGACCCGATCATCTCACCAGGCGTCGCCGCAGACCACGTGCACGCCATTTCCGGTGCCAATGGGTTCAACTTCACGACCGACTATGCGAAGCTGCGGGCGTCGAGCTGCTCAACATGCAATATCAAGCAGGACATGAGCGTATACTGGACGCCGAAGCTGTACTTCAAGGCGCAGAATGGAAGCTTCATTGACGTGCCGATCATTGGGGACAATGCAGGCGGAAATCTGGGTGGCATGGCGATTTATTATCTGTGAGTCCAATATTTGACTGACCGGATGGCTTGTGGAAAGCATCTGCTTCGACTTCGGGGAAGTGTATACCTAACTCAACATGCTAACGTTTCTTCAGGACTCGTGGCGGGCCAGACAACGACAAACTTCGGGCCTTCCCCCCAGGTTTCCGCATGGTCGCAGGCGACGCCTCCAAGCGAGTCGAGACCGACGACTTCGCAGGCCGAGCTGTCACGCACAAATGCGTGGGTGTCGACGGCCCTGACAGCAAAGGTCTCCCGCGCACAAAGTGCGACACCATCCGCGCGCAGGTGACCTTCCCCTCGTGCTGGGACGGCAAGAACCTGGACTCCGCGAACCACAAGTCGCACGTTGCGTACCCGAGGGATGGCAACTACGACGGTGGGAGGTGTCCGTCGAGCCACCCTATTCATCTGGCTACGCTGTTTTACGAGGTGTACTATGACACTAAAGCGTTCAAGGGGATGTGGTATGGTGGGGACAAGCAACAGCCGTTCGTGTTTGCAAATGGCGATGCTACGGGTTATGGATTCCACGGCGATTTCGTAAGTGCTTTCCTTTTCCTTTCTTTACGACGGTGTCGTGTTTCTTGGGGTCCCCGCGTATCTTGCTCACTTCACTTACGCGGACTTACACATGCAACAGGCCAATGGTTGGGAGGCAAACAGTCTCCAGAAAGCACTCGACAGATGCAAAGATGGTGTGGCGAACTGCGAGAAGGAGGTCTTTGGAGAGTTTAGGTCGCAGGGCGAGGCGCAGTCATGCAAGCTGCCGTCTATGATCGACGAGCAGGTCACCGGCGTGCTGTCTGCGTTACCGGGATGTAACTCTGTTACGTATGGTCCGGCTCCAGCTCAGTCCAAGGCGAACTGTGCGGCGCCGAAGCTGTCACTGAAGGCTAGTCCGAAGAGTCTGGGCTACGTTGATGTCACGAAGAGTAAGGGATATCGGTACATCGGCTGTGGGACGGACAATGCTGGAAAACGCACTTTGTCCCAGGCGCAGACGTCCAGTAGCAGTATGATGGTCGAGAAGTGTATCGACTTTTGTAAGAGTAAGGGTGCTCAGTACGCTGGGCTCGAGTACGCGGGTGAATGCTACTGCGGGGCCAGTCTTGCTGCCGATCGAGCACCGGTCCAAGGGAGGTTGGGAAACTGCCTGATGAAATGTTCGGGAAACAATCAGCAGGTCTGTGGAGGCGCGGCAGCGATCAGTCTGTATCAGGCTTGCAAAGGGGCGACTTGCAGCAACCTGGCGAGGCGGGAAAGCCAGAGGTTGGCTGTATTGGAGCTCTCCAACGCCGACAGAGGCTCTGAACTCCGATGATTTACGAATTATGGGCACTAGATCTATGGTGGATTTTCTTGGGTTCCTCTGGCACTCTCAAGGTGCCATTTCGATTGTCGATCTTGGGGTCATTGTTTTTATGGTTATGAGACTCCAATGAGGTAAGATTATTGTACAATAGTATGACCTACTCTTTATTTCCAACGATGTATTTTTCTGCAACTGGAGCTTCATTTGTCACCTGAAGATGCCAACTATCCATCTGTTAGTCTGGTACCTGTATGCGGAGCAAGTGCGGTGAATATATTCCATCACGTAACTGCTCTTACCCCATGCCTTTGACATACTCCCAAGTAGTATGTATTCACATTCCTACAACGGTGGGCGTCGTGCACCAGCCTCCGTTGCTCTATGAGGTATACTACATGAGTTAATCTATCGGAAAGGTAATGTATCGGTCCGCTTTATCTAATACAGGTCGATAGGTAAAGTAATCGAAGTTCGCCGTCAATGCAGTTCCATTCAAATCGGATGCCGCAAGGCCCACGAAGGCGCCCGTGAATCCTCCCGGAGCCTGACAACCACCACACTCGTCAGACATGACTGAGGCGTCGAACACTGGACCTATTTTCTGGAGCTCCACGTTTCCCTCAAGTGCGTAGTAGAATTGCAATTGTTTGCCGCGGATAGTGAGGGATAATTTCATTTTTCCTTGAGCCGGTATTCGGACTGGTGGAAGAAGTGGTTCATCAAGTCGCCCGTGAGGATAGGATGACTCCGAGCTCAGAATTAACAACTCACGCTGTCCATCCGAGTGAGCCGTGACTGTCAGATAGAAAAAGGCGAACCTATTGTAGTATGCTATAAGCCCGGCGAATTGTCGTTCATCAGATGGTGAAAAATCGACCACAGTTTCAGCGTCGTAGGAGAAGTGAGTCTGTCGTCGCGCAACAAGAGCCTGCTCATACCAAGATCCAACTGATTCCCGCCCGATCAGTTGAAGTTTGCCACCTTTGATGTTGAATATCCGATCTGTGTCTGGCGTTCGAAGCCATTGGAAATCCTCATGAAGTCCTTTGGTAGAATCAAAGACATACCTCTGTTCTGCCCAATAGTGTGTGTCGTCCCTTGTCCCTGGAACATCCACAAACAACGATGGCGCAGGACCATCCTTGACGTATAACCAGTCGTCCTTCCAGTATGCTTCTTGGATTGCAGTTTCCCTGCCCAGCATACACCGTGGCCGCGCCTGACTCTCAGGTCTTCCACACAAGTGCACAATGTAGGTTCTCCCATCTGGTGTTTCCACGATGTCTCCATGCCCTGCTTTTTGCAGCTCCGCAAACCGAGCGTCTTTTGACGTGAGGATGTATGCTTGCGGGTGCAGTTCGTATGGGCCATGTATGCTTCTTGACCTTGCCAGCGTGCAAGCGTGGCCATACTCGGTTCCGCCTTCAGCAGTGAGTAAATAATACCATCCGCCCCTTTTGTATAAATGCGGTGCCTCGCATTTATCTAGCTTCGTGCCATGGAAGATCGTCGTCGTCGGTCCCACTAATCTCCCCTGCACAGGGTCAAACTTTTGCAACCGGATGCCAGCAAACATCCTCGGTCTCTTTCTATGATCCTGGATCATGTTCACAAACCACTTCTTGCCATCGTCATCATGAAACAGACTTGGATCAAATCCTGAGGCATTCGCGAAGATGGGATCTGACCACGGCCCTAATATCTCCTCTGCATGTACGATATAATTGATGGTGTCTTTGAACGATCCATCCTTTCGTTTGACATCGGTATACACGAGCCAGAAGCGCGATCCGTCGTGCGTAAGGCAAGGTGCCCATACACCGCAGGAATCCGGATGGCCGCGCATGTCCAGCTGGCTTGCGCGGCTCAGTGGACGTGTAATCAACGTCCAGTTTGCCAAATCAGTCGAGTGATGTATTTGGACTCCAGGGTACCATTCAAAAGTTGAAGTCGCGATATAGTAATCCTTGCCAACGCGCACAATGGAGGGATCGGCATTGAAGCCAGGAAGTATAGGTTTTCGTACAAGAGGCATGTCGAAAGGAAAGCTGTGTGCGATGAAGGTGTTTGGCAGGAAGATTTGCTCGTTCTGCGCTTTATCTGGTCCGGTCTTCGTTCCTTTGAAGCACCAAGGAAAGCCAAAGCATAATCACGCCATATGTACCTTGAAACATCTTCGTTCGATGTGTTTCTGCCGTGTTACCCATTCGAAATTTTGCATCGTTCAATGACTAGCACTGTTTTCGGAGTCATTGACAAGACAGTGAGCAATCTCGAACAGATTCATGAAGCTAGGGTACTCCAAACATCCGGTGCTTGATTTCCCAATATGGAGTGGCTTTCGTATTGGCATCGCTCGCTGCACCACCTACCAGTTTGGTAGGCAGCTCCCTAGTGCGAGCAAGCGGCACTTTTCGATTGACCGTGCCAATTTCCCCGTGGAGTTGCGTCGGAACCACGTTAGGCGATATCCCTGCTCGCGGCCATGCGCTGGCTTTAACGCGGGCTCTAGGCCGATGGTGTTCAGCATATTGGCGCCTAAACACTAGGTTGCTAATGCTCTGCGGTAATATCGAGGGCATGTACTTAGTGTTTTCGCAAGTAATAATCCGTCCCTCTGGATCTCCATTTTTTGGAACTCAAATCGATATGCATCAGTCGATTAATGGTAATTTTGCATGTAGATGCCGAGTTGGGGCCCCGTGGAGAAATCATTGCCCTAAGCCCGTGCCTACTTCTCGATTTCTTTAATTTGCGCCTGGAGTCAGCCACTGTATAAATTACAGCTTTGGCAAACATAAAAATAATGTATCGTGCTGCAGTACCAGGAAAATACTTACGTGCAACGAAACATGGCGCAAAACTCTGTCTTTGATTCGACTATTGATGTCGACGAGATAATATCTCAGTTGACCCTCAATGAAAAGATTCAACTCCTTGCCGGAAAAGATACGTTCTCAGTCAGTGATATTGCCCGGCTTGGTATACCGGCCCTCAAGGTACCCAGACTCACACAGTCCTCTCGTGGCACCTGAATGCTAATTGTGACAGACTGCAGATGGTCCCCATGGAATCCGTGGGACGAGGTCCTTCGAGTCCGTAAGGATTTACTCAAAATTATGCTCCCCAAAATGCTCATAATCAGTAGTACCCCAGTCACCTTCTCCCAAGCGCCAGCTCCATGGGTGCGACGTTTGACCCAGAGCTCATGGAGAAAGTGGGCAATCTGTTAGGCGACGAGGCTCGCAACAAAGGCATTCATGTCTTACTCGCACCCACAGTCTGCTTGCAGAGGTCGCCACTCTTGGGTCGTGGTTTCGAAGCGTTTGGCGAAGATCCTGTGCTCAGTGGAACCATGGCTGCTTCGTACATAAGAGGTCTCCAGGACCGTCGCGTCGCGGCTTGCATCAAGCACTATGCAGCTCATGATCAGTCCCCTAAGGGCATAGAGGACAATGAATGGATGTCTCAACGCACACTGCGAGAACTGCATCTTGCCCCTTTCCAGATTGCTTTGAAGCTCTCTAGGCCATGGGCAATCATGACCGCTTATCAGAAGATTAACAACGTCCATGCTAGTGAGGACCCGATTCTATTGAAGGAGATACTTCGCGAAGAGTGGCAGTTCGACGGTCTTGTTATGAGCGACTGGTGGGGTACGTACAGTACATCCCAAGCCATCAATGCTGGACTTGATCTAGAGATGCCTGGCCCCTCTGTGTTTAGAGGTAGGGCATTGGGCTGGGCAGTTGCAAGTCGCAAAGTCTCCGAGTTGACCATAGATCGATCGGTTCGTAATCACCTGAACTTGCTTAAGAAAGTGCAACCAAGCGAGCCTATTCCTCCGAGCAATCCTGGTGCAGCGAATACACCTGAGAACCGCGCATTGATACGACGTCTGGCTGCAGATGGAATCGTGCTCTTGAAAAATGAGAAGAACATACTTCCCTTGAAGCTCGAGGGCAAGAAGTCATACGGCCTAATCGGACACCATTGGGTAAATCCATCCCTAGGTGGAGGGGGGAGCGCTGAGGTCGAGCCGTACTACGTAGTCACACCCTATGATGCCATGGCTGAGGTGGTTGGAAGAGAAAATATAACCTATACTATAGGTGCATACTGTGAGTGTGGAAAAGTTGCTACCGAAGTACCTACCTAACGTTAAATCGCAGCTTTCAGGAATAGTCCGTTCCTCAAGAATCTCACCTTGCCCAATTCCTCGGATCCTGGCTGGCTCGTAGAGATATTCGGGGAAAATCCCACTGACAACTCTGAAGCTACTCCATTGATGACGGTCGTTACCAAACACAACCTTATCGACGTTCCTGAGAGTTTACAAGGATCGCTTCCAACGCAGTTCTTTCTCCGTGCCAGGACGAAGCATACTCCCACTACTTCCTGTCGTTTCCGCTTTGGCCTGGCGGTAGCTGGACAAGGAAAACTTTACATCAACGGGACCGAATCGATTGATCTGTGGACAAGTCATCCCCCAAAGACAGATGAGACGCCAATTTTCAACCGAGTGTCCATGCAGCGATTTGCTGAGATGGATGTAAAGGCCGGCGAGCCCATCCAGCTTGAACTCATTTTGACCAACACCAGTCTTGGTCATGCTGTCGGAACCGCAGCCACGCTGACTGCACGTCTCGGCGGTTTCGAGGTATTTGACGAAGACGCTGAAATTCGTCGAGCGGCCGAAATTGCCAAGAACGTCGACTGCCCTATCGTCATGACAGGGCTGTCCATGGATTACGAGTATGAAGGGTCTGACCGCAAGACTCTGCGACTTCCCAAGCGTACAGATGAGTTGATCGAGGCCGTCTTGAGCGCCAATCCCAATGCGGTACGTAATGCAAACTTATTTCATTTCCCTTCTCACTGATGTTGTTAGATTATTGTTACCCAGTCGGGTCTTCCTATTGAGATGCCATGGGTTAATAAAGCAGCTACCCTTTTGCACGCGTGGTTTGGCGGGCAAGAGACAGGACACGGTTTAGTTGGTAAGTGCATAGAGATGCCCTAGTAATACGTCGCTAACATTGCTAGATATCCTGTTTGGTTCTGTCAATCCTTCAGCAAGACTGTCTATTACATTTCCACGAGTTCTTCGCGAAACCCCCGCGTTCTTGACCTTTGGCAAGGCCGACCGCACGATTGTATACGGAGAGGGGGTTTTCATCGGCCATCGGTACCAGGAGAAGCTGGAGCATGCCCCATTATTTTGGTTTGGACATGGTCTCTCGTTTTCTCGCTTTGAGTATTCGAATCTGGTCGCTCCTACATCCTTCGAACCGGAAAGCGTATTTAAGATATCTGTGGATGTGAGCAACTCAGGCCCGTATGACGGGTCTGAGGTTGTGCAGGTGTACATTAGCCCCCTCACTAGCTCGATTCAACGACCCAACCGCGAGCTAAAAGCCTTTAAAAAGCCCAGTATCAGCGTGGGTGCAACAGCGACGGTAGAGTTTGACTTGGACAAGTATGCCGTCTCCTTCTGGTCGGAAGAGAGATCGCAATGGAAGGCAGAAGAAGGCAAATATGCGATAATTATCGCACGGAGCTCTGATCCCCAAGAGGAGGTATTGCGCCAGGAATTTGCTCTATCAAAAACCCTTTGGTGGTCAGGCTTGTAGTTATCAGAGATCGGATCGTCTTGGTATTGTCAAAGATGTTGTGATACATATATACGTAACATGAATTGTAAGATTTGGTCATGTTTCAGCCATGAAATTATCCGATGTTTTAGAATTGAGTGCAGCTAGAAGGTCCAAGAGCCGTCTACAATAGGTTTGTGCACGGTCTTTCATGGTTTCATCGCCAATAGTATGGATGACTTCTAAGAGTATGCTCCCTATCTGACGGATTCGTTCGACCTACACGCATGGTTAATGATACGAAATAAGGCAAGGCAAAAGGTGCAAATACTAACAGTCGGTTCACCTTTCACTCGAAGGTAAATTATCGGTATATCTTGCAAAGCCTGAAGAACATCGGAGAAAATTTCGATGCTTTTCAGCGCCAGTCCATGAGGATCATCACTTAAACCAAAACTTTCAAACATTCTACTTTGTATGCATTGTCGTAAAATGACTAGTCTCATAGAATGGTATACCGTAAGTATCGTGCATCTTTGGACCCAAAAGGAACGTTTGTAAATCCTCTCCGTTTCATCGTCGGTATAAGAGTCTACCAAATTCGGAATCTGTAGCCATTCAGGCATACTGTCAATGAGAGCGATGTATCCGAGATATTCCTGTGTCAATATCCGCGCGTCTGTTTCCGATACAGAGGGTCCATGCCTGCGCATGCGTAGCACGATTTTAGCGGATTGGCAAGAAACTGAGCGGAATAAATAAAATCCTTTCAAGAGCCGCCACACAAATTGCTCATCGTACTGGGGTCGTTCAGAGTCCAAGAGTGCTATGCCTGGTTTTTCAATCGACTGCAGGGTTACGTTCTCTTGAAAGAGACTGTCATCTAAGATGAATGCACGATTTTGGAAGGCAGCAGCAACCTGATCTGAAGCATAAATAGCCCAGAAATGATGCCGTAGAAGTAGGCTCTCTATGGGGTCATTCACTTGCGCTACCGTGTGTTCGCTATGAAGTCGAAGCGTGTTTGCAATGAGTGCAGCTTGACTCTGCAGGTGCCACGCGGCACCACTCTTGCCCGTGATATGTTGGAGTGCCGAGGAATGGAAGAGTCTTATCGTCATTGAGGCGGCGCTTGGGTGCTCAAGGTCATTGATTTCGAACGATTTCAGTGTTTCCATGGATGCATGCAGAAAATGCTTTGCTAGAGTCTGCCCAGGTGGGTTGACCATGTCAGGCATCATAGCTACGACTGACGCACAGAGCGCAGTGATGAGTGTAAAGCCTCGGAGCAGAGTGATAAGTTCGTATCTGTTCGTAGCGGTCGGGAACGTCGTTGTGCAGGAGTCTGCAAAGAAGAGTTGAGCATGACCACGCAGGGTCGGCTCGTGAACCCATGGCGCAGTTGGGAATACGTATTGCATGAACAAGTCGATACAGTGGTTGGTGACTAGCAGGGGATTCGATGGAACGGGAATGGCGGACTGGAGCGAGCAAAGAAGCTCGCTCTGAATCGACTGCGATACACTTGGCGAGGGCGTCGAGTCTATTACGGTGTTGAATTCTGCCACTGAGCGCCGCGGAGTAGAGTCTTGTAGTGGGCTCGCATATGCTACGCTGGGAGTGTCTGGAGATCGAGACTCAGGCGACGCTACACTGGCTGACCTCGACGGCCCGGGAATGCTGATAGGCAAATTCAATGATGAGCCACAAGATGGACTACTGGCGCTTAGAATTGTCCTGGGCCCTCTCTTTCTCTGCGCGACTGTGTAGGTACAGTCCAGGCGTGCAATGCGGCAATTGGCACAAGGATGTTCTGTGTCACATTTGACCTTGCGTCGCTTGCAAGCATCGCATGCGCGACGCACTGAGGATCTCGAGGCTTGCATGATGCTGATTTGTCGTAGGGAGGGAAAACTTGGGGAGAGGTCTCATAGTGTGGTGTTGGTATCGTTGCCCACGGGGAAATTGGATCCCGTCCTCATATAAGGCATCTGCCAAGCCCTGCAATGCCGGAGATGAACATTTCCCCGTGGGGTTTTCATACTCCCAGTTTGGTTAGCGAGAGGGGTCCGCCTTCGTCTTCCTTCCGGGAGCTAATTTAGGTATTACTTGACTTCGAGGTTTTTGGTCGGTTCATTGGCCCGACCACCATCCAGCGGGGAATCAGGAGAGAATCTGGAGAAGCCCCAGATTCGAGGACGCTTTGCCTTCTGATACTCCTGATTTCCTTCATTCGGTGGGCTGAGAATGCATCTGGCCTCCCATCTCGGCAGTACGCGATGCATTGAATATATCTTCAGTCCATCCTCCCACCATTGCTCCATCCGCATCTTGCAATTTGTATCGATTCGCAAAGTCTTAAGAATTCGAACTTATCTACGGTCTATAGTCGTCCAGGATGGTGTCTGCAGAGTCTTCCGACCCAGTCATCGCCAGCATCATTGCCAATGACAAGACACCATGGTACAAGAAGCCGAACCTGCGATTCTTGTATATTTTCCTTGTGCCTTGCTGTCTAGCCATTGAGGCCACTGGAGGCTTTGACAGCTCCATGATGAATGGACTCCAGTCCCTCAAATACTGGCAAAAGGCGTTCAACCACCCCGACGGCGCGATTCTTGGCATGTTATCCGCATCCTACAGCCTAGGTGCCATCACCGCACTTCCCTTCGTAGCGATCTTGTCCGACCATGTCGGCCGCCGATGGGCCATCATGTTTGGATCTCTGGTTATGATGGCTGGTGCAGTCCTGCAGTGCTTTTCGGTGAACAGTAAGTGTCTCGTTCTGTTGCCAGGCGGACTATTGGTGCAATTGTGCTAACGTACTCTATAGTTACGATGTGGATCTTTGCCCGCATTTTCCTCGGCCACGGCTTTCCTTACTGTGTTGTTTCCGGGTCGTCATTGATCGGGGAACTTGCTCATCCAAAAGAGCGGGCCAGACTCGGATCTCTATTCAACGCTTTCTACTTTGTTGGTGCCCTACTCGCAGCAGGCATCACCCTTCAGACACTCAAGATTAAGAGTGACTGGAGCTGGAAACTTCCTTCAATCTTACAGATGGCGCCGTCGGTATTGCAAGTCACTTTTATATTCTTCATACCCGAATCTCCACGCTGGCTGTTGTCCAAGGACCGTGGGGAGGAGGCTCTGGCCATATTGAAGAAGTACCATGATGAGGCTGGGGAGGAGTTCGCAATTGCGGAGATTGAGTTCGCTCAGATCAAGAAGGCTTTGGAAGTTGAGAATGAAAGTCGAAAGCGGGGCTGGGCTGAGTTGTTCCAATCTCCTGGTATGCGCCGCCGCAGTCTCATCGGTGCATTCCTCGGTCTGTTTACTCAATTTTCCGGCAACACTCTTATCTCGGCATACCTGGTCGTCATCTTGAAGCAGATCGGCTTTACCAATCCCTTTGTGCAGAATCAGATCAACGTCGGTCTGCAGGGCTGGAATCTGGTTGTGGCCTTCTGTCTGGCCCTGTTTGTCAGTCGCTTCCCGCGTCGCAGGATGTATTTGCTCTGCGCATCATGCTTGCTCTGTGTCTACACAGGATGGACTATCGCTCAGGCGCGTCAGATGATTACCGGATCATACGCCGCAGGAATCACGGTGATTGCGTTCATCTTCCTCTACCAACTAGCGTATTCCATTGGTTACAACGCCTTGACTTACGTCTACCTGGTCGAAATTTTCCCCTATTTCGTACGCACCAAGGGCATTTCCTGGTTCCAGCTGTTTGGAAAGGGCGCTGGCTTCTTCTCCACCTTCGTCAATCCGATCGCGCTCAAGGATATCACCTGGCGCTACCTCATCGTTTATATTGTTTGGCTCGCATTTGAGATCTGCTTCATCTATTTCCTTTTTCCAGAAACCCACAATCGATCGCTGGAAGAGTTGGCTTTCCGTAAGTTTCCAAATACTCATTGACTCAGCAATTGGCTAACTTTGTATCGCAGTGTTCGAGCCTCAAGAGGAGAAAGATGCGATCAGCGGAGGGTTGGAAAAGAGGCATCTTGAGGATGACGTTCACATCGAAGTCCTGGGAAAACAAAATGATGATAAAGTGTAATCCAACTATGCCCCATCACGTCTTGCGCAAAGGACAATATCATCAGTACACGAAGGAGGCTACTTGGAGAGGACCATTCACGGTCATTACCAATTACTGCTTGGCCATGACATAGGCCAGCATTGGAAATTTTAAACATTATGTTCATAATCATCGATTAATCATTATTCTCGTCAATCTTACATTTGCACTTTGTTTATGAAACATGGCACCAACAAAATTTTCTGTCCTACTTCAAAGTCTATATACAACCGTGACTATATCCACAAACACAATGACCGTTGGGTTCTAATTACATGTGCAACGATTTTATACCTTCGTTTTCTAAACAGGGCTGAAAAAGTTCGAGCCCACGCCACAGGCCAGACTCGAACGTTGATATTATGATGTGCCATGAAATCCGAACGGGAAACCTCATGTTAGTCGTTCGCGAGTGAGAATTCAACCGTTCAGGATGCCTAAATTCCATCTTCTATCGAGGTTTCTACCGTAGGTAGATATCAGGTATGAGAATCTAAAACCGGCGATGGCTGAATCTGGATCGAATTTTGACATTTCACCGAACAAAGTCCACGGAGAAACTACTGAGTACTGTTACCGGGGCATCATGATCCTTTCAAATGCCGACTGCTGTTTTACAGAACTACTAAACAATAAGATCCATTGGTGGCGCGCTTAGTAGTCCGAAAGCACGATAATTCAAAGGCCGAGTCGTGTTCTCGAAGTTCCTTTTTCTCAAGTAACGCTGCCGCGTAGCCGTATTCGCTATACGAGGTACGGCGGTCCCGATTTCCCCGCACATGAACATTATGGGGTAAATCTAATGTTAGCCCATTTCCGGGGAATGAACAAGAAAGTCACGAGACAATACTGCATAGTAGACTGACATCCGATCTGTCGGAGCAAGCTAAGGCCGAATAGGGCGGGACATTTGCTTAACTTTATGCCCAAGGACAACTCCTCGATTTCCCCACAGTCAACCCCGTGCAAACACATAGGTAGATACATAGGAACACTAGGACCTATTTGGTTGTTCCTAATTGAGCGACGTCAACTTTGATGCTTCGCTCTTGCTCAGCAACGTAAGGTAATCTCACAGTGCTATTGTGTGATCTTATGGATGGGTGAGCAACAGCACTCACTGTTCAGATTGAAGATCAGACAACCAGATATCGTTCCTGCGAACTATTTGATCTTCTTCTTCTTCATCAATCTCTGGGGTACTGGAATAGCAAGATCAATTGTAGCGCTTCGGAACCCTTGACCAGATGCATGCATTCTGCCGTGCCATCTCTACTTCCTCGTCGGCGTCTTTAGTGTCCTAACAAGGCTCAGGAGATAGTAAATTGCACAGGCCCTATCCCGCTTAACAAGGTGCACTGCAGCAAGGATAATTGTCACGGAAGCAGGCATCGTTCTGCATCGGCCAGGTTTATTGACTCCACACGAATGCTCTTTGGCCTCGGTAGATCAACAATGAGCAAGCCAGATCTGGGTCAGCGTCTATATGCTAGAGAAGAGCAACGTGTGACAACTGCCAGGACATTTGAAATATAAATTGGTCCCCGGCTCAGGTTCTCTGATGATCACCAGGGACCACTCTCTTGATCATCGTTGCGAACAATGAAGTCCCCACTCGCACTCTCCATGGTACTTGCTTACACGGCTTTGAATGCCTATGGTGCTCCAACCAAAGGATGTGGAGTCAACAATGCTCCATCTGCTCCTCCCCCACCCGCGCCTGAGCGCATCGACGTTCGTGAAATCGCATTGCCACCTGTAGTGGCTGGGAATGGAACCTGTACTCCCGCATTGAACCCGCGGGGAACAGGATGCCTACCTGCCAAACTTCAAGAAATCTTCCAGGCGGGCGGGTTTCTGCCAGACGGGCGACATGTGATCGCGAAAGTGACATTTGCGGGTGCCCCGGCGGCTCCAGATCCAGCCAGCATCTATAATGGCGAGCAGATCATCATCATCAAGACGGTCAAGGGGGAGAAATTCTCCAACGGCGACAACTGGAAATGCATTACTTGCGGAATCCCCCCTGCGAACTCCGCAGGACGAACGCCCACCAACGATTATCCGCAAGCATTCCACGATGGCAAGCGTATTCTAGCTGGCACGAACATCATCGAGTGTGCGGAGGACCTGGCCAGCGATGCCTGCACTCCAGATAAAACACATGTGTATGCCATTCGCCAGAGCAACAAAGCCGACGACTCGGGCCCAGGTGCCCAGATCCGCGAGCTACGCATCCACCCGGACAACATCCATCTCGGATTCAGCGTACCTGCCGTGACTTCGGGGAAGTTCGATCAGTACGCGTACTTTGGGAGACTGAAATTCAACCCTGCTCCTCTTAGTGGCCCTGAACCTCGGGCTCCTCGTTACGATGTATTAAACACGCAACTCCTCTTCCGCGAGGACCAAATGCCTGTTTATGTCGATCCTCGCGATAAATCCCAGCTTCTCATAAACAAGAGCGCCATAACTGTTGGCGAACTACGCGGTTTCAATGGCGATGGACGCGAGATAACCTACGTAGGATATCCCGCCGAGTCTTCCAACATCGACGTTTTCGCCGCGGACCTAACCACCGGCGCCGTTCGCCGTCTCACACAGCATCCAGAGTACGTTGATCCCATCGACATATCAGCCCACGACGACTGGATGGTCGTCATGGACACCCGAGGAACCGACCGTCAAATGTGGCTCAGTGGCCTCCGCGGCATCCCACCCGTGACCGATCTCGTCTCCACCAGCGCCACCTCGTCGACGCGCAACAACGGCTACAGGCGATTCTTCCAGCCGTGGCTCATCGACCGTCACGGCGACAGAGGAGACTACTTCGGACAGAAGCTCAACGCCGCAGGTTCTGGAATCCCGGGAAGCGGCGCCATCAACGACCCTGAGTGGAACGGCATGGCAGATCCGCGATGGTCGCCCGACGGCACGGAAATCGTCTACTGGCAGGCTTTCACGGTTTCCCCAGCATGCGGCGGGGCGAATCCTCTCCCTTGTTACAAATCTACTGCTCAGGGTGGACGCGATGCGCGCATCATGATTGCCAAGCTTGCGAGTCGCTCCCCCAAAGTTCCCAAGACTGCGCCTATCGCCTCGGATAAGGTCGCTTGGGGAACTCCATACGTACCCGGTTCTCCCAATCCGTCTAGGAAGCAGCCAGCGCCGGGGAACTACACGCTCAAGGGTGGATGTCGGGGAAGCGCAAAGGTGACGTTGACGAACAATGACGCGACGGGTTCGTTGCAGCGCGTGCGAGTCACGTACAAGGACTTCTCGGACGATGGTGTTAATGTACTCAATGGATGGGAAGACGTGAGTACGACATCTCCACAGCCGACCGTCTCTCAGGTAGACTGGTACTCCGATCTTGTGCAGAAAGGGCCGTGGAATGGCTCGAAGAAGACGGGGCCCGATGGCTTCCACCTTGCGATTGACGTGTTGGTAAATATTTTCAATGCCAATGGTACTCTGAGTACTACTGTTGGCGGGAAGAAGTATACGCAACCGGCGAATGGTACTTAGAACTTAATTACCATCTACATAATCACTTCGATTAATTCGATTCTATCTACAATATTGACCAGAACTGATTGAAATGCCATCTGCAACATCGCTACCAATTGAATTTCTTCTATCTATAATAGGGTTGACTTGGATCGAATTCATACTTGCAATACGAAACAGTCTCAATCGTACTCTGCCTGTAGTATGACTTTTGTTTCATTTCGGAAACATAGTCTTCTCTACCCTATGTCCCATTAGCCCTCTAAAGAACTTATCTAACTACTGATCACTTTATAGTTACCCGCCTATGCGGAACAATTAATTGCATTGAACCTAGCTATCACGTGACTCGATAATAACGTCTCTATATTACAATATCTCCTTAAATCAAGCGGTCCAAACCTCTTGTGATGACAATCCGTCACGAGGCAAGCCACAGGCGTGAGAGGCTGCGAAGTGTAACGCTATGAAAACAATCAGCATCATGTCTTAGATAGAGTTACAAGGTACGGATAAGCTAGCAAGTTACAAATCAACGTGATGAATGTCCTACGAGTGTCATCATCGCATCCCATGCTCACAGACAATCATCGTCCCGCAAAAATCACTCATGCCTCAAACCGCACAAACTGCGCAGGCAGTTCATCTTCGATTCCGTACACGATACCTTAAGCCCTGTCCGCTCCCAGTAACTGCCACAAAACGTAACTCGTACCTCGTACGTAAACCTGCAAAGTCACCTAGCCTCCCTCCCCCCCATTTCCCCCCTTGGCCATCGTCATATGTAGCATAACAATTGGCCACGCACTAACCGCTCATCTCTCTCCCCTCCAATTCGCCCGATCACCGCTATTCCTAATCCTTTCTCGGGCGTAAAACATTCGCTTTCTCCCAATTGGCCCTGACGCAGGTCACCAGTAGCACTTGAGGCATAAGTGCGAACCCCGCTAACCCCTTCCGGAAACCCTACTCGCCACCAGTGAAGCGAGCGAACCAATAGGAAGGGGAGAGGTGCGTTAGTCCGTGAGATGATAGTCCGCACAAAAGGCGCATGGCCGGATATATAACGACCTGTCTCGTCTCTCGACATCTGGCATTACTTCTTCCATCATCATCATCTACATCTACATCTTCAAACAAATATCCATCTCGATCTCGAATCCATCAACTTGAATTACCATTTACCTACCAAGAAAACCTTTATCACAAAACGAAAAAATGGGTAACTGCGGCTGCGCATCGTCTGGAACATGCAACTGCGGCTCTGGCTGCTCTTGCGATAGCTGCCCTGTACGTATATCCCTTTGATACTCCTGATGAGATGGGAAAGAGGCTGATGATGTGGGTGCGTGTAGCATAAATAAATGAACGACATCGACACCACTACTCCCTTGGTTCCTTTTGTGTGGAGGGGGAGATGAGGGTTGGGGGGTATGGCACGAACGATGAACGAAGATGATGACTTGATTTGGGCGAACCTGGGACGGGAAGATTGAACCACGGAAAGACTGCTTATTAGCTCCAAGATGAGATGAGTTGGATAGGGCGTTAGGGTTGAGAATGACATTGAATCGAAATTTTTCACCTGCTGATATGAATGGGTAGATAGATGAGTGAACTGTGATGTGATGAAAACCTTCGTGTGACAAGTGATGTGAATGTTTAATGTATTTTGTTTAACTTTGATTGAATAATGAGAGTAGAAATTTCTCAAGTAACGTTGTAGCTACTTACGGGTATGGTATACGAATACATGCAGCATTCAGCATCCACCATTCACGCATATCCCGCCGTTGTAGTCTTCTCCCGAAGACAGTCCATCTTCATCTTCATCCACAGCACACAGTGGCATTCTCCTCCAGACGATCCCTCGCCCCGCCACCGACCTTGAAGCTCTCCCACCCGAAGATGAAGTACCCGATGTACGCGCCGATGAAGATGCAGATGAGGATGTATCCGTTGTAGTACATGGCGAGCAGCATGATGAAGTAGGCGACGGCGAACTGCAGCATGTGGAGCAGAGCACGGACAGCCTGCTGGAGGACGTTGGGGCGGAATGTCTGCGACGACACTGCTGGGACGCATGCGGGGGAGGAAGTCGTGGATGCGGATTTAGCGGCGGCGGTGGTGTTGTCGTGGGTGGAGGAGGCGGTGGAGGGTAGGGCCACGGCGGAGCGCGCGTATTGCGCGAGGATGTAGCGGTCGTATTCTTTGCCGGCGCGGCGCAGGAGTTCGAGGGAGATGACGAGCAGGATCACGCCAATGCAGGAGCCCGCAAACATGCCGTTGCTGGTGATGCGCCATGATTTGGAGATGAAGCCTGGCGGGAGTCAGTGAGAGTTGGGGGCGTGGGTGTCGTCTGTTCTATGACAATTGTGTAATTGGCAAAATGTAGGGAATCCATTGAAGACATACAGGCATTCTTGACGTTCCAGTTCCACAACATCTTTGAATAGTTAGTGGTCTTGTTTGCCTGCTTTTAGGTGCTGGCAGTTGTTGACATACGGAAATCTGGCAGGCATTGGGGCCGCCCATGCCATGTCCCATTCCGGCCATTGGGTCGGCTGTGCTGGTGGATGTTGAGGCAGTCATGGCAGCCGTGGCTGTTGAGGCCATGTCCATCGACATGGACATGGACATATGATCGTGCGACATTGTGGTGGTGATGATGTTGCAACGGCAACGGTGGTGAGGTAAAGGAAGCTTGTATCTGCACGCTGAAAGATCTCAGGAGAGAGCAATGCTGGAGAAACAAGATTGAATTGCAAACGAGTGGGAGGAGTGGGGATCAAGGCCAATATATATGATGTTGTTAGGTGAGCAAGTTTCTTTGTTATGGCTGTGATGGGATGGAGGAAACGAAACAGGAAACGAATTAGGTGGCTTGTGAACTCAACGAATTCTCTCAATAGAAAATTCTTAAAGTCAGACCTTGGGGATGGGAATAAAGTTGTTAAAAGAAGAATGGAACCATGGGGCGTTGTATGGGAAGAAGTAATGCAGCGCAAATCTGCTCAAGACCATGGTTGGAGGACGTGCACTATGCCGCAAAGAAGAAGGAAAGGGACCAAATGGGATCTTACATGTACAGTTCGAGTAGTAGTTTCCTCGTACCTGTCTAGGTACCTATAGGCTATACCTAACGGAATGACTATTGCTTCCCTACCAACTACTGGCCTGGTACGGGTTCTATTCCATTATTCCATTACACTGCATGGTCCAGCGGTCGACTGTATCATGTAGCATCATGTAGCATCATGTAGCATCATGTAGTGTTGTGGTATCTGATGCAGATAATCCTCGTGCTCCAGCCAATTCAACGCCACCTTTTGCACCCGTATCCTCATGACACGACACCTCGACCCGCTCCACGGTTCCACCAAGCCCATACCATGTAGGATTTTATCGATTCCTCCAACAACCCGGGTAGGCAAACAATGCACTTCAATGCACAAAACTGCACTTCAAGGCACAGCACGGGCAGCTCGTTGTCCAAGGCAAAGCGAAGCCGGGTAAGAAATTTGCGGATAAGGCAAACGACAAGCTGAGGCAAAAGGTGAGGTGAGGTGAGATGTTCTCGTTGGGATCGTCCTGCTGACTCCTAATGGGGACTAGCGGCGGCAGCCCACGAGGGAGTTTGAGCTCATTTATATCTCTTGGCATCACCAACACAATCCCATTCCATTCACTTTTACCAGTAACTAATAGCAGACATTGACATGAAGATATCACCATCTGTGCTGTTGGGACCCATCTTTTGTGTTCTGTTTCTCCTTCGTCTTCCCATAAATGTCACGGTAACCGAGATGTTTCGATGCGTCACTGTAACACCTGATCATGTCTCGTTTGGTCACACATACACGCAACATACTTGGCTGTCACACAGTTAGCGAGTTGACCGGCACTTCTTCAGGTATATTTAGATTCTCTGTGCAAAGATGAAGAGTATTCCGTATATTCCAAGCGTCCCACTTATGTCGAAACCCGAGAACTTATCCATTGATACAGCCTGCTCCTTTTACCAATCTGTACACCAACACCTAGAGAGCTTCCCTCTCAGTGGGCATGCGCATCCGTACGGGGTACATAGAATCATCAGAACGTCGTTCCGTTAGCAGGCGGCAACTTGGCGCATTTATCCTGCGACGGAATCTTCTCATTTCGATCCCACTGCAACACAAATCAGCAAACAATCCCTTCACGATGGCAAACATCCACACCGGACGGGCACCTACATGCTCATGAACACAGCCATCAACCCAGCGCCACCTGTCCGTCACCGAGTATCGCGCGTACGACATGTTTGTGCTGGCATCGAAGCACCACGCCGTGCTCGCCTCGCTGCCAATCTTCCTACCGTTGCAGAACAGCGGCCAGATGGCGTTCGGCCCGCTCGCGTAACCGGGGGAGTTTTGCTACAGCACGTCAATCATCCACTCATTCACTTACATCCTCCAACGTTCAACTTCTCGTGGAGATGTGAGGTAAGCAGGAAGGGAAGGTCTGTCCACGAACCTTATACACGGAGTCGATGAGCGAGAACATCTTCCTCGGATCGCCGTCCACCACGAACGCGCGGTAAAACGCATACGCGCGACGCGCCGTCTCCTCCACCGTCACCGTCGGATCCGGCTTGCAAATCTCCGGCGGCTCCTTGAGGTGGCAGAGGTTCTCCCGCTTCTCGATGTCTCTATCGTTGTACTCGGTTGGCGCGGCGAGGCCTACCATGGGCGCTGAGACGAGCGCGAGGAGTAGGGGTAGAGGGCGCATGTTTCCTTTCTATTACTTCTTCAAGTGACGTGATGTATATGGAAATACAGAATGTTTGAAATCCCCGGAGTGAAATGACGAAACGAAACAACCGTCAGACCCACCGCACCTTATACCCCACAAACCCACATCCGCAGACCCTTCCCCGGTACTAATCCACACTCTCGTAGATTATCTACGAAGGGGTGTTAAATGACTTTTTCACACGCGCACCGGGTAATTAGTATATTCGAACTCTCATTTATTCCCACCTAGGCAATTGATTTATTTTTTCGTCAAGCAAGCTCAGCCAATCACAATCCCTACCCGTCGCTTCAATATCTACTTAATCTCCATACTCCCCTTTCCTTGAAGCGAAGGGGAGTTAGATTGCGGCGGGCTGGGTCTTGGATGCCACGAGCCAAGTCTGTGCAATTCATATCGCGGTTTGTCTGGAGGGAGGGGGAGGAGATACCAAGCCGTACGGCACTTGCACTGGCATGATGGGTTTGATGGAGAGACCTTGGTGCAATCTCTATGGTGATAAGATCAAGATGGATAGGGCCGAGTTATATCCTGTGAACGTCGGGGGAACGTCGTAGCTTTCTTCCTCCTCCGACTGGCATTGTTATATGACGACCGCCTAAAAATAGTCTGTGTAGAATAAATCACATGAGAGCACATAGCATCGCAGCTAAAAATCCATGATATCTTCCAGACTATTCTCCCCGTAAACGCAGAACCTACTTGGCTGGCTCCCCCAGCATACCACGCCCCCGCGACATCATCTCGCGCCTTCTCTCTGGTGTCTACCTGTAGTCGTGATCTGCCGTCTCCAATACACCGGACATATACATCTCTTCCGCACTCCTCTCTCTCCTCGACGAGTATACGATATCGTTTCTCAACTAGGATTCTTACTATCTGGCCTGGCGACGATTGGATGGGCGATCAAACCGTGGACATGATATCTGTGAGTTTCCTTCATTGTGATTTCAAGACTACGCGTTCGACGGCAATGGGCGGTGGGTTTCATGTGTGTGACGCCGCGGTGTGATAATGATTCCGTTGTACTGGTATGGTATCCTACGTTATTCTGTGATTGCATGTTGACGTTATAACTCTTGGTGATTCTGCAGTTCTGTGGGTGGATACGATGCGGTGGTGTGTAGTGGTCCGCCGCCGCCGCTATGGACGGTGATGTATACGGCAGTGCATTGGACATTGCGATCGTTGTGCATGATTGGTATCTGTGATTGTTGCTGGCTCGTGAAGCTCCTTCTCACTGCGAATCTCGGGATGGCCTTTGTTGGTAGTGCGTGGTAGTTGATGCTTTGATATAGTAGGCTTTGCCGTGCCGTTGACGTGTGTGTGTATATGAAGAGGCTCGGCTCGTTATGTTGCCATTGCTATGTTTCCTCGTATGTCGTCTCGAGCTGGCTACTAAGGACGTTGGTACGTGCTGCAGGACGTACCTTCAGCGGCTATACAGCACCCACTTACGCGATCATATGGTACGTACCGACAGGTTTGAAGTGGAGAGAAGGGAATGGGAGGTATCATGAACGCGTTGAGAAATAGTATTTGATGCCGAGTTAGATCGGATGCATTTGGTGAGGTGATTTCTCCATCTGAAACTTCATGTCGTGGGGTGGGTGGGTGGCTCCCGGCGAAGAGACGCGTGGTGAATGGCGTCAAAAACGTGTGCAATGGACACAGTTCGGGTCGAGAAAGGGTATGGAAGGTTTGTTCGATGCGAGGAAACCTTTCTTGGGAGGGTGTAATAGGTATTTGGGGTGGTGGTGATGTATTCTCAGTATGGTGGGCGTGGTTACATGTGTGGTGTTTGTGTTGGCGATGCGAGGTGCAGACAAAACAGTGCATGACGGTACCATCAAACTTCATATACGACGGTATTTAGAAGGACCACTAAATACTTAGATGCATTTTGTTTGTCGTCAAGGCAGTGTCTGCGAGTCAAATGCCAGCGTGCATTCGTAGATGGTAACATTCTCACTCGAAATATATGTTGGCCTACTCAAGTCGAATTATGATCCGGCGATGCAGAGCGAGACGTTATATAGAGTAAATGGCATATCTCAGTGTCTCAAATAGCACCAAGTGATATGAGAAAGCATCGAAGATCACCATAGAGACAGATTCCCTCATGTCGTCACTCACTCACCTTCACCTTATCTCCCAAGCAAAGCCAGCCTCACCTCCACTACCGCCACCCCAACAGCCTCTTCCCACTCCACTTTCCTCCCCTCCTCCTATTAAAAATCACCCTCTCAAATCTTTTAACCACCTATATAAAGCACAAAACTTTCAATCCCTCCATCAGTCTGGTATAGATGAAGTGGATGGATTGTCTCGGATCAACCCTCTACATGAGTCCCACGGAGCAGGGGTTCGAGTACGTAAGAAGCCACAGACCTACCAGACAGGGCACAACAATCGGTCGAACGAGACCGGCAAAAAACTCCCGCCGGAATGTTATTTCCATGACGTGGGGTTTTCAGTTAGTCAAGCTTGCGGTGAGAGATCTGCATTAAGCGGGCGTTCTGTTTTTTGCCATTTTTTAAAAAAGATGGGATGGAAGATGGGATGGACAAGGGATAGGAGGAGGGAAATCTTTTTTGAGGTTTGGTTTGCATTTTTTTGCTTTGGGTTCCCGATTGGGATGGATGGAGATTTGAGTGGAGGTGAAGGCGAGGGTGCTGAAAATTGCGTAAGCAGACTTTTTGTCTTTGCTAGTTTGAACGGCTTGTTTTTTTTGTTTGTTATTGTCTTAGTTCTGCTGGTATATGTTCTTCTGGATAGCTCGGTCAATATGTACATATTTTGTATTGGATAGGTTAGACGTTTTGGATGTTTCTCTGGCTGGACAATTGCCGCAAAGAATGATGTATCCTTTCGCAGAAATTGAAAACACTTAGCTGATTGATAGAGGGACAGAACAGTTCAAGTATTTTGTTTGATGCTTATCGAAGGAGTATGAGCCTTACAAGGTAGCATGCAGGAATTCACTGCTTCTTTTATGTGGACTTAAGATGACAGACTTCATTACATTAGCTATCAAAACTAAACGAACTACAAGACCAAGTCAGGTGCTACTTACTGGCCATTTCAACCATGTATCTTCTCGCATCAAAGACTAAAGTTGTTGTTAACGGGTAGCCTTGCTCACGTACTGCATACAGTAGATCCATCCTTGGCTGACGTCTCAAGAATGCATTCAACATACAAAAGACATAACAACTACATCACGATCTATCCTGACGGACATGGCACACTTGTCACCATGTAGTTCAATCATCAACAAAAGTATGTAAGTGCCAACAAGCTCCTGTCGCAGGCCCTGTGCCTCGCTGGCATGTCGTTCCAAGCCTTCCGAAACCTACTCGATTCGGCATTATGCGCAAATGCGTCAAACACAGCGCTAGAGGGTTGGCACAGGCTGGGCCTTGGTACTCCCATCGAGATGCTGTACCAGTGGTTGAGGCACTTCCCCTCAGTATTCGATTCAGCTGTATTGCTCACAAACATCACCAATATCTGTCGGTGTGGTAGGCCACTTGCTTGAAATTGAAATGGAAATGCCCATTTAGAGATGTCGAGCGTAATGAACGTGTTCACGAATTGTTCTGGTGTTCTTTCCTTGGTCGTGACGAAGGGTTTTGGCCTTGTTCACGTCGATGACATTCCTTCACAATTTGATAATATGACAAACGTCGAGTTATTTGATACGAAGAGCATTGGACAATGTCATGTCGTCGGACTTCATACGAAGAAGAGTGGGGCCTGTAGATCCTTGCATCTCTTCCCTCCCATTGCCCATCTCACGTGAGTACAAATCAATCAACCTTCAATCGGACAGCTCAGACGCATCGTTCGTGAGATATTTCTAATCAAAATCTGAAGTTGTGAATTACTAAATATCTAGTCGAGACACTTGTCATGGATAATGATTGTGTCTTTTATCGACACTTATCAAATAGACCACGTGCACGCAGAGTTACCCGTTTGCAGCGCCTCCTCCGCACCCTGCAATCGGGAATATCCGCAAAGCCACCCTAATTCACCACCAAAACATCCAAGACTAGGACCAAGACCCCAAACTCAACCCCAGCGACGATTAGGATCTGCAGGGTGTTTACAAACTCCGCCCAATCATCGCATGCGATAAGAGCACATGTGAACGAGATAAAACCTCCGAAATAAGGCCCATGTCCCCGCGCTGCCAGTCATGCACTATCTCATACCCTCCCCCTCTGATTCGCATGCCTCGCGAGAAACATACCTCCAACCTCATCTCCATCGCGACTCGCATACATCGCCCGCACTCTACTCGCGGCCCGGGGCCAGAAAGCTATGCACGTAGGGCGGCCCCGAGCTCCAGCAATGGCAGCTCCTATGCGCCGCTCGTCAGTAATTCCCTGGGGTGGTGGTGATTTGCATGCCCGCCGGACCTTGGCTCCTTCTCCGACCTTCCCATTCGAGAGTAGAAAGTGATATGTCTAAATTCACTGGACCTGGGTACGTGGGACAACACCACTTGCGTGCCGCTGCGGTGGTTTGCAGCTGCGAGGGGCGTGGGCCTTATCATTGGAGGGAAAGGTATCGAGTGTCTTGAGTGAATGCTCCGGAGTAAGCGTGGATGGTGATGCTCGAGTAGAGATATGCGTCTCCGTGGTCGGCGCCTCCATGACCTATCGTGAGTATATAAAAGGTGAGGAGTTGCACATAAGAAACAATCGAATCGTAGGCATCGCATTGTTTAGTCTGACATCCGTACATCGCTTGGGTATCCATTCGTTCCTACCGGCCATCCATACTTGGGCTCATTGCTATATCTCCATTCCCTGGCATATATATCTCTTCATTCTCAGCCCTAAGACTTCAGAACAGCCTACCCAGCATGAAGTACATTCTCCTCGCCCTCACATCTGCAATCCTCACCTCTGCCGTCCCAGCACCGGTACTCGCCCCCCGCGCACCACCAAACATCCCCTCCACCGCAACAGCCAAGACGCAGCTCGCCGGCTTGACCGTCGCAGCACAGGGCCCTCAGGATGGCTACTCCCGTGACTTGTTCCCTCACTGGATCACACAGAGCGGGTACGTCGGCGATGTCTGTACTACCCTGGATTTATACTGACATAGTATCATCGTAGCGCCTGCAACACCCGCGAGGTAGTACTCAAGCGTGACGGCACCAACGTCGTGCAAGACTCATCCTGTGCTGCCACCTCTGGCACATGGGTTTCTCCCTACGACGGCGCCACCTGGACCGCCGCCAGTGACGTCGACATCGATCATATGGTCCCCTTGAGCAACGCCTGGAAGGTTCGTCCCTAATCTCTCCACCCTGCACCTATCCGTTATCAAGAGTCGACAGACACTAACCATGAACCACAGAGTGGCGCCGCTTCCTGGACGACCGCCCGTCGCCAGGCCTTCGCCAACGACCTCACCAACCCCCAGCTCCTCGCCGTCACCGACAACGTGAACCAGGCCAAGGGCGACAAGGGTCCCGAGGCTTGGAAGCCCTCCCTAAGTGAGTACTCCTCATCCATTCCAACATCTTCCAGACTCCGAATGAGTGCTAACAACAGAACAGCAAGCTACCACTGCACCTACGCCAAGATGTGGGTCAAGGTCAAGAGCACATACAGCCTGACCATCACGTCTGCTGAGAAGAGCGCTCTGACGACTATGTTGAACACTTGCTAGGCTAGCTGTCCGTTTTGCTGCGAGTGGGTTTCTGTGGCCGTGATGGAGTAGCGCTGGGTTGGGGAATTCCACATGAGTTGGTAGAAACTATTACGAATATTATGCGCTTATGAAGTTGAAATTTCGTGTCTTTCTGTGTGACTGTGACTGTGAGTCTAGCTACGTGGTGATGCTGTTTATTGACGGGGCGTGGATGTGATGAGTACGAGCCTGTAAGTGTTTGTTTTGTCTAGCAATTGTATGACTGCTAAACGTCTGGGGGATCTTCGAACTGTTAGGAGTGGAGGACCTTAGGCATTACTTTAAGGATGTTGAAAAAGACCTTGAAGCTCATTCATCTCAAGCGGACCCAACCTAACACATGCATGAAATTTTCCATTCTTAAGCACATCATTTAATACTATAACATTTGACATGCAGCTGATAACTCATCTTCATCAAAATATATCTTCTATCACCGCCGCTCATCCCAATCAAATCTTAAAAAAGATTAAACAATAGAAAAAACCTCACAAACGTGACGTGTTAAGATGCCTCGAAGAACAGACGTTGGGTTTAACGTTGGTCACGTAATCCACTGCGGGGATGACAACAACGAGAAGCAACATCATCTCTTCAATTTCAACGGCCGGAACTCTGAATTACCACTCATCCTTATATTTTCAGTTTTAAAGGATAGATAGACGGTGCTGGCCTTTGGAATTCGTCAAGGCGTAAGGTTCGAATAAATAGTGCGGGGTTTTCATTGCTACTTCTAGATCACTGTTTTCGGAATGTGATCGGGGGCAGTGGATAAAACCAAGTCTATGATACTGATACGAAGGACATATACATTGCTACTTGACAGCAACCTATTTAGTTGAGCCTCATTCGTTTTCTCTGCACGACGATTTTCATAAAGAAGTTGAATATCACGGAGGTAAATCATGGGTTCCAACATATCTGACCGAGCGTCGAGTGTCAAAGGCAGACGTATAAGAAAGGTAAGTTTTGAAAGTCACCACTCCTCTTGATCATCGAGTCAAATTCTAACTTGCAGCAGGATGCCTGGGACGGAACAAACATCTGGCATCCGCAGCGAAATCCCAACGGCTACATCTCACTGGGTCTAGCAGAGAACTCCCTCATGCATTCCGAACTGCGTGATTTCCTCAACACCAAAACCCCCATCGACTCCAATTCCAAAGCCTTCACCTACGGCGATGCATCACTCTCCCTCCGACTCGCCATATCTCGCTTCCTAACCTCTCAACTTCAACCCGCACGCCCTTTCACGCCAGACCAGATGTTCGCAACAAGCGGCGTCAACGTCGCAATCGAGCACTGCGCCTGGGGTCTCGCGAACGCAGGCGACGGCATCCTCGTCGGCCGTCCCTACCACCGCATGTTCATCCAGAACATCCAGCTCCGGATGAACGTCCGCTTCATTCCCGTCTCCTTCGGAGCCGAAGACCCATTCCGCCCCGCCATCGTCCAAGACTACGAAGCCGCATTACACCTCGCCCACAGCCAGGGCATCACCGTCCGCGCACTCCTCCTCTGCCACCCCCACAACCCCCTCGGCCGCTACTACCCCCTCGACACCCTCATCCAACTCCTCAAGTTCTGCCAAAAACACCAGATCCATATCATATCCGACGAGATCTACGCGCTCTCCACCTTCCCCACCCGTGACACCCACCAATCCTTCCACTCCGTCTCCTCAATCGACACAACCGACCTCATCGACCCGTCCCTCGTCCACATCCTCTGGGGCCCGTCCAAGGACTTCGGCGCGAGCGGTCTGCGCACCGGCGTCGTGATTTCGCAGTCCAACCTTGGGTTTCTCGCCGCGCTGCGGACATGTGGGTTGTACTCTGCGCCGTCGTCGCTTGCGGAGAACGCGGTGGTGGAGGTGTTGTCGGACGGGGAGTTCGCGAGGGCGTATGTGGAGGAGAATCGGAGGCGGATTGCGGAGGCGTATGGGGTTGTTGGTGAGGTGCTGGGACGGTATGGGTTGGAGTGGAGAAGGGGGGTGAATGCGGCGTTTTTTGTGTGGGTGGATTTGGGGAGGGCGTGGATTGAGGCGAGGGGGGGAGGGAGCAGGTGGGAGGGATTGACGGAGGAGATTTGTGGGAGGTGTTTGGAGGAGGGGGTTGTGGTTGTTGGGGGGGATTTAGCGGGCGCGGAGGAGGAAGGCTGGGTGAGGGTTGTGTTTACGAGGGAGAGGGGGGAGGTTGAGGAGGGGGTTAGGAGGATTGCTAGGGCTGTGTTGGGGAAGGGGGTGGGTGTGAGGTTGTAGGTTTGATGTAAACGTGGGCGGGTGACAGATTGATCTTATTCTTATTATCATTATTGTGATTGGTATTGTAACATTTGATACTTTTACACATGGTTCTTGACGTTGAGGTGAAGTACGAGCGCAACTACGCGAAGTCAAACTCCTCGAACGCGGTCTTAAACGCCGCGACATCTGCCTCCTCCTCCTGCTGCGTCTGTCCGCATTCGTGCCAGTCGACCCTGTTATCCAGCGCCATAAGCTTGGCTAATACCTCACGGCCGAACTGATTGTGGAACTTGATTCTCTCGTCGAAGCGCATGACGAAGCTTGTCTCGACCTCGTCCTCCGGGTCCCACAGCACGAAGCGGAAGAAATCCGTCGTCTCCTCCACGCCGTCGCCGACGTCCGCCTTCTCGATCGACGGCCAGTGCAAGTTCTCCGCAAGCGCCTTGAAGCCGGCTTCCACGAGGCCGCTGCGGATGAGCGACGCCTCCACGGGAAGGTATTGCCAGTGTGTATGGGGTAGGCTGGCCTTGCTGACTTCCCACGTGATGGAGCCTAGGTCGTTGCCTGCCCGTGACTTGAGCATGGCGTTCATCGCGGAGCGGTATTTCACCATCTCCGCGTATGTCACGTGTCGTTCGTCTTCTGGCATGGCGGCAAGAGTGGGCTGGTGTTCGAACGGGATGATGAGAATGTGAGAGGGGAAGCCCAACTTTGGGTATGTAGTTGGAGTTGGCAATGGTCCTTTTGCGGTTGTGAGGTAGGAGGCGTCGCCGATGGAGGTGACGAGGTGAGTGGCGGTGTCTGGGTTTGCGAGACAGAAGAAGCATTCTGATGCCGAGAGTGGTCCGTGGCGGTTGTGGGCGTTGCCGCGTCGGCGCTTGTTTGGACGGCCGCGCCCGCCGCCTCCCCGAGATGAGGTTTCGTAGACAAGGCCAGATCCTTGGTACTCCTGGGCCGCGGACCGCTTCTTATCGGAATGGATGAGTGGAGAGGCGGTTGCGTTTTCAGGTGGGGACACGGGGTTGCTGGCCTTGGGGTCCAGACTGAAAGCATAGATCCACTTCTGCTTGTTGGGGTTGCCGTATGATGCAAGACTTATGAACCTCGTGATGGGATAGAGGTTCTCGGTTTCTTCACTGGGGACGTGAAAGAACGGCTCGCGTTCATAGAACGCCTCACTTGCTGCCGAAAAGTGATACTTTGGCTTCAAGACAGTGGCCAGATCGGCCAGGCATTGTTGCGACTGCGGCTCCTGCTCCGCGTCGAAGGGGTTTTTGGAACGATTTCGAATTCCAGTTGGCCACTCATGGGTAATAAGAATGTCCGCTGAGACAGCTCCTCGGAGGATCTTGGCATCTGTTTCGCTGTAATATGGTGGATACTTGTCTTTCGATTCACCTGCGATGATGTTCGGGTCTAGATGACCCCCTAGAGTGACGATGCGGATTCCCTCCGAGGTCTTCATGACGGATCGTTTTCCGAGAAAGTGAAGATTTTCGCAGATGTCGTCGGCGTTAGCCTCCAGCCTCGCCACCACTGATGGTGGGAATGAGGAGCCCGCCAATGCGAAGTAAGTTGTGAATGGGACTTTGATGTTCCCATTGATGAGTGAAGTGAGATTCTTCTCATCTTCTTCTGTAGATGTCGCGGGGTCCGCGAACAAGTTGCCCACCACAAGGGCGAAGGCGAAGTTCTGCTTTTCTTGCAAAGCGCCCAGCTTCTGGAATACTGCTGGGTATTGGCCGTTGACATTGCCAACAACGGCTCTGATTTGCGGGTTAGCGCTGTGTAATTGGAACATCCAATTGTGAAAGGAAATGTATATTACATTTTGGCAGCCATTGCTGTCGAATGTGTATGGCGGGTACGGTAGTTGTTGTTGTGATGTGATGAGCGTAGTAAGTGAAGGTAAAGTTGATGAAGGGTAAAAGGTATCCAAGTACAAGTCGAAGTTTATTTGTCGCGTTGGTAGTTGTTGTACGTCGGCATGTCGGAGGTTTATGGGTGGTCCGTGTTGTGGCTGATGGCAATGCGCCCTCATTGGTCACAGCTTTTCTACATCCCTGATCCCTGCTCTTCCTCTGGAAATTTTTGGAGAGTTCTCTCATGCGCATTTCCTGTCGTCTTGTCCAAAGCTTCTTCCATACACAACACATCCCACTATGGCAGCCATGTCTCGAGGCACCGTCACAAAGTCTCGTTCCGGAACTGGCTCAAAGCCTAAGGGAGGCACCGTTTCCTCCCGAAAACATCGATTCGAATCCTTCTCTCAACGCATAGCGAAGCTCAAGATCGAACCCGTTCGCCGTGGCCGCAATACCGTTCTCGACGATGCAGAACTCGACGACACCTTCTCCTACTTTAGGAACTCCCTCGATGAGTGGAAGGGACTTAACATGGCCGAAACCTTTACCGCATTCGCCCGACAGGTTTCCCCGCTTTGCGAAAGCCTACCCCAATTGCTCCACCACGCCGATCGCATCCTCGATCTTCTAGTAGAAACAATTGAGAAGGCGGACACATGGAGTCAAGAGCCATTGTTGGGTCTCACGGCGCACTTCGCCCACGATCTGGGCGCAAAGTTTGAAAAATACTTCGAGCGGGTGGTAAAGACGGTGTCGCATGTTGCAGCCACCCACCAGGCCGTCGAGGTGATCGAATGGAGCTTTTCATGCCTCGCATGGCTCTTCAAATACCTCTCACGACTGCTCGTACCCGACCTGCGGCCCATATTTGACTTGATGGCTCCATTGCTCGGAAAGGAACACCAGAAGGCATTCGTTGCAAGCTTCGCCGCGGAGTCTCTTAGCTTTCTCGTGCGCAAGGCTGGCGCCACTTACCACAGAGATAAGAAGCCCTTGGAATTGATCATCAAACACATTTCGGACCAATTGGAGGAACTGCAGGACAGTGATAAGGACCATAGCGAGTTCCAGCGCGGTCTCATGTCTCTATTTGCGGATTCAATGAAAGGTGTGCAGCGGGGACTACATTCGAGTGCTGTTGCCATATTGCAGGAAATGCTTCGACAAACCTATCATCCGGATCATGTCGTATTGCGGGTATCGCCTCTGGAACCAATTCTTAAGGGATCGGTCATCTCAATGATCCATCATTCGGATGCCGAGACTTTCGAAGCTCTGCTTGTGCCAATTCTGGAACAAGTCAAGAGTGCAGTTTCTGAGACAAGATGGCTCGGACTCTCATCCCGGCTCTTGTATATTGTTTGCGGTGTGCGAAAAGGAAGCAGGGTGAAGGACTGGCCTTTGGTTTTTCAGACTTTGAAGAGCTTGTTCGATTCTACAAACCCTCCGCAGCCTTCTGTCAACTTACACAAGCAAGATTTCCTTGCTGCCGTGGCTGTACTTTTCCAATATTGTCCTCTGGATACAGCTATTCCTCACGTTCAACTCCTAGAAGTACTCTCCCAGGATGCCTGGGAAAATGACTTCTTACCATTCTGCAATCTCTTTGCCGACATAGGAAGTGAGCGCTTCAAAGCCTTGCTGCTTCCCTACTTCAAAAGGTGGGTTTGAAATAATCATTGACTAACTTGTACTAACTCTCAATCAGATTTGTTGCACAGAAAGCCGAAAAACATGGACCTGAAATCTGCACTATACTGCCTGAACTTCGACGCAACGAGGCTCTGCCTAGCAGCACAATCAACGTATCTCCAAGGTGGCAAGAAGCCATTATCAAAAGATTCAAAGATCTTACAAAGCGCGCTCAATCAGATGATGATCTCATACAGGCCTCTCACGACTGTACTGCATATCTCGATGCGTCGGCAACGCTCGATCTTCGGGACGACATCAAAGAAAAGATTCTGAACCAACTCCAACACGTCTTGAAACAGGCAATTCAAATCAGTGATCCAGCCAACGTCCAGCCTCTGCATATCCTTGCAACAGGTACAGGATTCCAGTTTCTAGTTGAGGACAGCCGGCACACGGACGTGCTACTAGAACTTTGGCCCTCGCTATGCCAAGCCTCTCAGATCTACGGCAACTATCCTGCTTTCTGGCAATCGATGCTCGCTCTAATGGAGAAGAACAAGACATCTACAGCCGTTGAAGGTGCCCACAGAGCTCCATTCGAAAAGGCCTTGATGTCTTGTTTAGGCTCTCCATCCCATGATCTTCGACTTGTGGCACTTGGTATACTTGAACTTCTTGCGACAAAAAGCGAAGATCAGAAGACAATTGTGGCGACCGCGAGAATGATCGAGGATACACCCTTGTCCTTGGAGACTGCGCGTCTAGTATCGATGCGTATTCGACAACTTGCGAAGACCTATCCAACTGTCTGCTCCGATGATTGGGTAAGCGAGGCAATCCCGACATATTGCTTCGGTTTGCTGCATGTCAAGTTCTCTCAAGTATGGGATGATACTTGCGTTGCGCTCAAGGAAATGTGTAATACGAAGGAAGGAGAGGGACACATTACCAGGATTTCATTCGAATGGCTCAACGAACCGGAATCAACCAATGACGAAGTGATAGAGGGCCCTCCGAGTGAACGGCCAATACCGCGATATGCGTCTGAGTTCGAGTGTACAAATCTCATGCACCTTGAACGAAAGAGTCGGCAGACCGCAGCATCATTTAGCGACCTTGAACTGCGGTTGAAATCAGCATTCCAATCCCGTCACCCACACGTTCCTTTCATCACTCTTTTCAGCCGAGCTCAGTCCCTGCGATTGTTGAACACGATTCCACAGGTGGCTGAGAAAAAATCGCGTCTTCTGGTGCCAGTTCTCTTGCAATGGGCATTGAATCATCCTACCGAAGAATCTGCCGAGGACGAAACCACTGGAGATGAAACCGAGACGAATGGGTCCCATTGGTCAAGGAAGGATCAAAAGGCAATGCTCACGGTCTTCTCAAAATTCAACAATCCTAGAGTTCTCTACAAAGCCGAGGATGTGCATGAAGCACTACTCGTTCTCTTAGGAAACGGAGACGTCGAAATCCAGAAGGCGGCTTTGAAGGCAATCATGACGTGGAAAAATCCCGCAATCACTCGCTACCAAGAGAATCTGTCAAATCTTCTCGACGATGCTCGGTTCCGAGAGGAGATCTCCGTCTTCATGGACGTCAGCAAAGAGGATAGCCACTTGCAGAACGAGCATCGAGCAGATCTTCTTCCCGTCATCCTTCGGATACTTTATGGAAAAGTGGTTAGTGGAAAGCGCGGCCAGGAGGCTAAGCGCAAGGCGGTGTTCATTGCATTGACAAGATTTGAACAAGACGCTGTGCGCCAATTCCTCAACATAGCCTTCGGGCCTATCGGTAATGTGTCTATTGTCGTGGAAGGCGAACTTAATGAAGACCTCGTCTCGAAAGACCTAGTGACACTGAGGAAGCAAGTTGGTCTCCTGAACATGCTCGAGGATATGTTAAACACCCTGAAAACGACCATGACTCCATTTGTCTCTTCCATTATCGATCCTCTCCTGTATTGTCTCATCAGATCCTCCCGACAATTGACATCGGTATCCGCCATAGATGGCAGCAACACTACTCGAGATGAGGGTTTACAGACTTCGCTGCTCAAGACTGTTCGACAAAGAGGATTCCATGTTCTGAACATACTTTTCGAGAACTGTCCAGAGCATCCATGGGACAAGTTTATCCCGGCTATCGTCCAAGAACTGGCTGTACCTAGGCTCCAACAGCTTCCTATTGAGACCGCTCAATCGGTATCGGGATTACTCAGACTTTTCGGAGCCTGGTCCAAATCCCCTAAAACGGCCCTGTTTCTTGTCCAATATAATCAAGATATTCTCGTAAAGGTCATCGACACTTTAGAAGTACCATCCGCGAAGGAGGAAGTGAAGCAATTCGTCCTCGATCAGATTCTGCGATCCCTGATCAGTCTGGGGACGACAGAGAAGCTCGCGGATAGTCAGGCAGAAGCGCAAGATAATAGTGTGCGTACCGACATATTACAGAAGTATGCACCCGATATTCTGTCCAAAGTCGGCGATCTGTTGAAGAAGAGCCCAAGTAAAGAGTTGCTGGAGTCTGCCGTCCACACTGTTGCTGATATCGCGCCTCACATTACTGGGTCTACCGAGTCTCGAGGCTTGATTGAGATTGCTTGCTTCCTACTCACACAACCCTCCAAGCGAGTTAACTCTCATACTAAGCTTGGTCTGCTGAGAATTCTGTACGAGTTCATTCCACGTTGCAGCAGCGAAGACCTTAACGAGCTACTTCAGGGTATCCTTGATGTTACTTGCTCCTTGTTCGCCTTCGTGAAAGACCGGGCCGCCCGCACTGTGGTTTGTGACGTACTGAAAGTGCTTTCAAGCCACACTCCAGAGCTTGATAAAGTATCCCAGCTATGTTATGATCTCAATGCTTTCTCTACAACACGACTCGATGAGCCCGATTTCGATCGCAGAAGTTCAGCATTCAACACCATCAATCAAGATCAGGGGGAGAAGTTTTCCTTGATGCAGTGGAAGCCAATCGTTTACAACATGCTGTACCACATCAAAGACAACGACGAACTAGTCATTCGAGATAGCGCGTCGTTGTCTCTACGACGCTTCATTGACGCTTCAACTGGCAAGGAAGATTTCAAACCCTTCTTGACTTCCGCTATCATACCAGGCCTACAGAACGGAATGCGTGAGGATTCGGAACTCGTGCGAAATGAATTCCTTGCTGTCCTGTCCCATCTCATTAGCACCTTTTCGGAGTGGCCACTGGTCGCTGACATGCACGTACTTCTCGGCCCAGATGATGAGGCCTCTTTCTTTGGAAATATCTTGCACATCCAAGCCCATCGACGTCTTCGAGCCCTTCGCAAACTTGCAGCAAGCGCATCAGAACTCAAGAGCGGCAACATTGCCCATTTCTTCATCCCTCTTATTGAGCATTTCATATTCAACAAGGCTGAGGATGAAAGCGCACACAATCTTGCAGGAGAGGCGATCAAGTCGATATCCTCGCTTTCCGAATGGCTTGAGTGGCCGCAGTTCCGTTCGCTCTTGAGGAGATTCATAGGATATTTGACCAGCAAGGAAGACCTACAGAAGACAGTCATTAAGCTGCTTGCAGGCATGATGGATGCTCTCAATCGCGCAGGACAAGCAAAGGGCTATACGACTGCCCAGAATTCGAATGGGAATGCCGATGAAGGCGATGAGGAACCTGCTGATGAAAATGCCATGGACGTCGATGTCCCGAAATCGATGTTGACCAAAACTCTCCCACAGCAGGAGAAGCTGACCACAGATCTATCCAGCAATATCCTTCCGCCGTTGACCAAGTTCTTGCACGACAAGGATGAGGCTACCGTCAGTCTCCGTGTGCCAATTGCAATCGCAGTGGTCAAGGTATTATTGGTATTGCCTCCCCAAGAAGTGGAGAATCGCCTACCATCTGTCCTGCTTGATATCTGTCAAATTCTGAAGAGCCGCTCTCAAGACGCCAGAGACATGTCCCGCAATACGTTGTCAGAAATCGCACTCCTCACTGGTCCTTCGTATCTGGGTTTCATCCTCAAATCACTCCGTGGCGCATTGCAAAGAGGTTATCAACTCCATGTTCTGTCTTTCACGTTGCACCACATTCTTGTGAAATTGACAGACAAGTTGAAGCCTGGAGACCTGGACTACTGCCTGCCTGAAATCGTAGATGTCATTATGGATGACATCTTTGGCGTCACGGGCCAGGAGAAGGATGCAGAAGAGTATATCAGCAAAATGAGGGAGGTCAAGAGCAGCAAGAGTTATGATTCGATGGACATCGTCTCGCGGAGCGCAACCCCGTCTCATTTGGTAGACCTCATCATGCCGACAAAGTCACTCCTATGCGAGAGGATAACCGCGAAGATGGTTCAGAAAATCGACGAACTGCTGCGACGTGTAGGCCTTGGAATATTGCAGAACCCTACGGTTCAGGACCGCGACATTCTGATTTTCTGCTACGAGTTGATTCAGGAAGTCTATAAAACCAATGCCGCCCCCGTCCAAGTCAAGTCTGACGACTCGAAGAGCCAGAGGTATATTATCAATATCAAGGGCGCTGCCAAGTCGGGTGCTCGAGGGTCAACGTCATCCCACATCTACAAGATCACCCGGTTCAGCTTCGATGTTCTACGTACGGTACTCAAGAAGCATTCGGAGCTCCAGACACCCCAGAACCTCGCAGGCTTCCTGCCTATCATTGGTGATGCTCTCGTCCAAGGACACGAAGAGGTACAAATATCGGCAATCCGTCTGTTGACAACTATTATCAAAACACCTTTGGACGGCTTGGACAAGGACTGTCCCGTCTATGTGACTGAGAGCGTTCGCATGATTAAGGGTGCCCCATCTTCCAACACCGAACTTGCCCAAGCCTCGCTGAAGCTGATCTCGGCGATTCTGCGCGAACGACCCAATGTAGAAGTCAAAGAGCGTGATGTTGCACACCTGCTCAAGCGAATCATTCCCGATCTCGACGAGCCTGATCGCCAGGGTGTTACCTTCGGCTTTGTCAAGGCCGTCATGAACCGCAAGATCATCATCACGGAGATCTACGAGGTCATGGACCGAGTAGCTGCTATGATGGTGACGAACCAAACGAGATCGGCGCGAGATCTTGCTCGAAGCAACTACTTCCATTTCCTCATGGAGTACCCACAGGCCAAGAATAGGTTCACCAAGCAGCTCGAGTTCTTGATCCGAAATCTGCGGTACGACCACGTCGAGGGCAGACAGTCCGTCATGGAAGCCATCAATCTGATCTTGACTAAGGTCGGGGACAATGTGCTGCAAGACGTGCTTGGCATGATGTTCATCCCTCTTGTGCACACCATGGCGAATGACGACTCGAGCGATTGCCGCACCATGGCTGGCGCTCTACTGAAGAAATTGTTTGAGCGAGCCGATGCGCAGAGAATGAAGGGCTTCGTGTCTGACCTACGTACCTGGCTTGAGCAAGACGAGGACAGTGGGTTGAAACGACTGGGCATTCAATGCTGGGGTCTCTACTTTGAGGTCGCAGAGTCGAAGCCTTCGGAGTTGGAATTCGTGCTCACAGAGCTGCAATCAACCGTGGAAGAGAGCTTGGAGCGACGCGACGAAGACGACTGGGAGCTTCTCTACTACTCCCTGACCGTGTTCCAGAAACTCTGCAAATCTTCGCCCGACCTTACATTCTCGTCGGAGGATTTCTGGGATGCGATCCAGACATGCGTCTCCTATCCCCACGCCTGGGTGAAGCTCACCGCAGCCAAGCTGATGGGCATGTACTTCGCGGACGTGGCCACGACGAACAAGGACAACGGATTAACCGTCGTGCCCTTGGTCGGCTCTCACGGCTTGCAGCTAACAGAGGTCGACATGATCAAACTCACCAACGCGTTCCTGCGCAACCTCGCCGTCTTCGAAGTCACCGAGGAGCTGTGCGCGCAGAGCGTCCGCAACCTGACCTTCCTCGCCCGCTGCTTCGCTGTCAACGGCCTCGACTGGAACTGGCACAAAGTCCACGAAGCCGCCGGCGACGAGAACAACAACGACGAAGACGACGAGGAAGAAGAAGACGCCGCCGCGAACCCCAACTCCGACAACGACTCCTCCACTACAACCACCACGCGCACACCCCCCACCGCAATCCACCGCCTCATAACGCGCCTCTCCGCGCTCATCCGTCGCGAAACCAAGATCATGAAAGCGCAGTCCCTGTACCCGAAAACCGCCGTCCTCACCCTTCTCGAAACCCTGACCTCCAACCTGCCCATCCCACCGCTCCTCCCCTCCCTCCCCCACCTCCTCACCACCCTCTCCATCCTGACCGACCCGCTCACGCCGGTCCCCCGCTCCACCGACGCAGCGTTCAACGACGCGTACCGCGCGCTCATCGACAAGGCGCGGGAGGTCATGCGCACGCTGCAGAAGCGCATGGGGAGCCAGGAGTACCTGGCCGTCATTGGCGACGTGCAGAGGGGGATTAAGGAGAGGAGGGAGGAGAGGAGGCAGAAGAGGAAGATCGCGGCGGTGGTGGAGCCGGAGAAGGTGGCGAGGGAGAAGAGGAGGAGGCATGAGGGGAAGAAGGTCAAGAGGAAGGAGAGGGGGGCTGAGAGCCGGGGGTTGAGGAGGGGGTGGTAGTTGGTTAAAAGCGTAGGCGTTTTGTTTTATATATTTCATGGGGTAGTTTGTCATTTTGGATGTTGTGTTTTTATTTCATTTATGTTGGTGTGGTGTTACTTGACGGGCTAGCATTTTTATATAGAATGAAAAGATATATTATATACATTTTTCAACCTACGCTACTTCGTCAACGCCCCAACGACACCCACCCCAAAAGCCACCCACGCCGCAACATCAACAGTCACCATCCTAATCGTATGCACATTCGCCCAGTCCCTTAGGTACTTCTGCGCCTTGGTCAACTTCCCCCCCTCCGTCTCCTCCTTAGGTGCCTCGCCGACCTCCTGCCTAACAGCCATACCGATGATCCCCTCCACGCTGCCCTGCACAAGTGGGATGAACAGCATATGCGCCGCCGCGGCCGCCCACCCCACGACGTACCACTTCCTCACGCGGGCGTCGAGCGCGTGGCCGAAGAGAAGGATGTTCGCGGCTGCGGAGAGGCCAGTCAGGGTGTTGAGGCCGACGACGCTCCAGACGCCGGTGTTGAAGAAGTTTGTGAACCACGCTGGGACCGCGACGTCTGCTGTCGACGCGATGAGGGATGCGTAGGCGGTGCGTTGGGCGGGGGATGGGGTGGTGGTGGCGGAGAGTTGGGAGATTGTGGTTGTGGTGGGCGGGGGGGAGAGGAATGATGTGGTTGTTAGGCGCTCCATGTAGGCGTGGGTGAGGGAGGCGGTGGTGGTGAGGAGGGGGGTTAGGCGGAGGGTGGTTAGGAGGGGGGGCGTCAGGGTTAGGGTGAGGCCGAGGGCGGTTGCTGTTGCCATGGTTGGAGTTGTGGTTGGGGGGTTTGGTGTCTTGGGTTTTGTCTTTCTCGTGATGTCGTGGTTGGGTTGAGAATGGATGGTTCGAGCGATTGATGTCTTGTATTACTATCTGACGGTTCAGACGGGCCAATGTTAGACCGTGAGCTGTGGAGATGCAGTTGGCGTTGGCAGACGGTGATTCATATGGCTGCACTGTCTTAAGATGATTGCATGGGGTGCATCAACCGGTAGATGTATAGTATTCGTGGAGTCCATATATATATATTGTGTAAGGCCAGCAATGTAGTGCTCAGATGGTCTCAGAATCGCATGTCATATCGGCCTCATTCGGGACAGGCCACCCACGGTGCCCCAATAGTCTGGAGAAAGCTGAGCCTCGCAACAGAACTATTCCGATCGCGTCCGATGGTTGGAATCCTGCTATTAATCATGTCGCCGACGGAACAATTGTGTTCCATGAGGTGCGATTCCTGGTTTGTAGTCGAGCTATGTTAGCACTGGTCAGTGGCATAGATAATATAAATTTCTGATGATGCACAATATCGCGAAAAGAAATGAACGGCGCATGTTGATCTGAATAGTGGAATGTCCAGTATATCGGCTGGTATATTCTATGGCCTGGTTGGCATTTGTATTTTACATATATTGTACAGTATTTTCGTTTCGTTGTGCGCGTGCCCCTTCAATGTGAGTGGGCATAGATTTGTGCTTTTGGTTGATGCGTATCGGGAATCGATTGCGCATCTTCTGGTCGTTATTTTCGGAATCAATTGCCTCCAGTTTTTACATCTTGTGGTGAAGCCGCCGGTTCAGTCAGTCGTCCTTCTGGGGCATCTGGATCAGCCTTGGTCGTGCTGTTCGGATGGAAATGCGACGAGCGGCCAGTTGTAGTCCCATCATCCCAGAACTCCACATCGCCCTCAGCACTCAATGACCCCCTCTTCACCAGTTGTCCCTTTTCTCGCATGAGATCCTCGATGGTAAGAGGCTTGTCGGAGAATATTTTCATGTGGTCGCTGATCAGATGCCTGTTCTTGCAACCGGGGCAGCTGATCAACACAGTCCCATGGTGGTATCCTTGCTTGGAAACGCGATGTGACGATCTAGTACTGCATTGCTTGCAAGTGAACGTGAGCTCATAGGCAGGTACTTGGTCGCGATCGAGACGGGTTTCGGGGGCGGTCGTCGAGGTAGCTGGTTGCGCCGGATGGGATGTGGTAGATTCGCAACGAGCTACTGAAGAAATTGACCAGGATCTGGGCAGAGGAGAGTATGGAAAGGGAGTTTTTGACGTTCGCGGAAGGTGATATGGTCGTTTGGACACAGGAATGTATGCCGGAGAAGGAGTGCGGGCAATGCGTAGGGATGGCGCTGAGGAGCGGAGGAGGCACCTCAGGAAGGACGGGGCGGGTGAGGCCATTTTTCGAAGTATGATGTGTGAATTATAAGCTACGAGCTACACAACGTCCAGTATGTTGTGTGTGTTCTGGAAATAATGGTATGATGGAGAGTGAATAGTAGATTGTAGTTGTACGTTATGACGATAATGAAGGTTAAGAAAGATTCTCCGCACGGACGTTCGTCATCTGCAAGCGGCGGCCTTTCTCCGAGTCAACTTCAGCCAACCGACCAACCAACCAACCAACCAACGACTGACCACCACCAGGTCACCAACCCCACCAAAGAGTAGATCCAAGAGACTCCTCCTTCATTCCCCTTCATCTTCAATTCAGTTATAGCTTCTTGTCACTCTATTTCCTTCCTCTTTCATCTTCTTCTTCTCTTCCTCTCCTTCGCCCATTCAACAGCAGCAATAGCAGCAATAGCAACAACCGAGCACATCCCCCACGTCATTGCGCCACCATTGCCACTCCACTCCGCTATTCTATTCATTCTTCCCGTCCAATCAAGCAACCTGCAGTCCCTTTCACCACACGACACCTCCTTCACCCATCCATCCCATCCTCAAGGGAGCTTCTCCCATTCCTCATATATCGCCGTGATACTGAAGGACTTCTCACATGAGCAATATGATTGCAGGCCGCGGCCGCCAGCGGATTCGCCCGCCCCGACGCGTATGTACCACACCCTCCATGTGCACTCAGATCGCATACCTCGATCTCTTTGTACGACCAGCACTCCCCTTTGTAAGCTTCGCGTCGAGAGTCACTCGTTAACATAACTTTCTCCTCCAGCCACTCGGTGGTGATAGTGATATGGATTTCGAACAAACATGGAGCATAATATCCTCGGCCTTCCAAGAAATTCGCACCAAAAACGCATCACGACTGTCCTACGAAGAACTTTACCGACATGCATATAGAGTGGTATTGAGGAAGAAGGGCGAGGATCTGTATAACCGTGTGTGCGACAGCGAACATGTATGGTTGAGCGGGAATGTGCTACCTTCAATAAGGGCACTTATTGCTCCGAACCTGGTGGCAGATCTAGAAAGCCCTGAGGGCATGACAACGAGTGAGCGGCGCGTGGTCGGCGAACGATTCCTGAAGGGGTTGCGACAGGCCTGGGGCGATCACCAAGTCTGCCAGAGCATGTTGGCGGACGTTCTGATGTACATGGTAAGATGCACCTTCTACTGGAGACAATGTGGTCCATTTCCCTAATTTTGATGCTCCCAGGATAGGGTTTATTGTCAAGATCACCGACGCCCATCGATCTATGCCACCGCGATGATTCTCTTCCGTGACGATGTCCTCGATAGCCGCATTTCGGACCTCTACGACCGCTCGATTCTGGACCTGCTCAATTCCGTCATTCTTGGTCAGATTCAGATGGAGCGGGCAGGCGACGTTATTGATAAACATCTAATCAAGTCATGTGTGTACATGCTGGATGGCTTACATGCAAGCAAACTAGAATCCGAAGACCAACGCCTATACAACGTGTCATTCGAGCAGGCGTATCTCCAGACCAGCAGGGAGTTCTACCGCCAAGAAGCGCAACTCTTACTTGCAGAGTCGGATGCGGGGGGCTACTGCAGATCTGCACATAGGAGGATATACGAGGAGGAAGATCGGTGCAAGTCGACTTTGATGGAATCAACCATGCCCAAGATCCAGAACGTCGTCGAGGAAGAGCTGATCTCAAACCGCCTCCGAGAAGTTGTAGAAATGGAGAGTGGCGTCCGCTTTATGATCGACAACGACCGTATAGATGAACTGAGCCTCGTCTACGATCTCAACTCCCGCGTTGACGACAAAAAGACGGAACTAACGCAAGCCATTCAGAAGCGCATAGTAGAGATGGGTACAGATATTAGCAATGCTGCAATAGTCGCCTCGCAAGCCCCAGCACCTGTATCAGCTCCTCCAGCCGATGGCGACAAGGGAAAAGGTGCCATGCCGGAGAAAAGCCTCAACCAACAGACGGCTGCAGCCCTTCGCTGGGTCGAAGATGTACTCCAACTCAAAGACAAATTTGACAGGATCTGGAGAGACGCATTCCAGTCGGATAATACCCTACAGAGTGCTATCACACGCAGCTTCGGAGACTTCATCAACTCACCAAACTTCCCTCGATCCTCGGAGTACATCTCTCTCTTCATTGACGAGAACATGAAGAAGGGTATCAAGGGAAAGACGGAGTTGGAAGTGGATGCTGTATTGGACAAGGCTATCATACTGCTCAGGTATATCCAGGACAGGGATCTCTTCGAGCGATACTACAAGAAGCATCTCTGCCGTCGTTTGCTCATGAACAAGTCGATCAGCAACGAGGTCGAAAAACAAATGATATCGAAGATGAAGATGGACCTCGGCAACAACTTCACCACCAAGTTGGAGGCCATGTTCAAAGACATGACTATATCCGAAGAGCTCACGTCTGGGTTTAAGAGACATATCGAAGGGCTCGGCCAGAAAGACCCCAAGCGTATCGAGCTGTCCATCAATGTGCTTACGAGCATGACTTGGCCGTTAGAGACGATGGGATCGAGCGATGACACAGAAGGGAAGCGGCCGCATGCCAACTTCCCTCCTGCAATAGACCGGTTGCGACGCGGTTTTGAGAAGTACTACAACGACAAGCATTCCGGTCGCCGGCTCACCTGGCTTGCGCAAATGGGGTCCGCTGATATCAAAGCTGTGTTCCCTAGAGTTCCTCAAAAAGATGGTTCATTCAAGGAGCGACGACATGATCTGAACGTGTCGACGTTCGGTATGATTGTTTTGTTGCTCTTCAACGATTTGCCCTCGGATCAATACTTGACCTTCGAGGAGATTCAGGCACAGACAAACATTCCTCAACCTGATTTGATACGCAACCTGCAGTCTCTGGCAGTAGCACCAAAAACACGCATCCTTGTTAAGGAGCCAATGTCCAAGGATGTCAAGCCTACCGATAAATTCTTTTTCAATGAAGGGTTTAACGGGAAGTTTGTCAAGATCAAAGTTGGCGTGGTTTCGAGCGGTAACAAGGTTGAAAATGACCGCGAACGGCGCGAAACCGAGAAGAAGAATGATGATTCGAGAGGCTTCTGTATCGAGGCCGCCATTGTTCGGATCATGAAGTATGTTACTCATGCAATCCTTATTCATATCAACGGTGCTGACAGTACTCTAGACAAAGAAAAGAACTTCCGCATCAACAGCTCGTACTCGAAACCCTTAGCCAGCTTGTGAACCAGTTCAAACCCGAGGTGGGGATGATCAAAAAACGAATCGAATCGCTTATAGAACGCGAATATCTGGAACGCATCGACGGGGCCAGTATTGACTCTTATAGATATTTAGCATAATGGTCGCACAAGGTCTTTCCTGGTGCGATTTGGGTCACTTTTCTTTTCTCGTTTTTCATTTTTATTTGTCGATCATAGCGTCTTGCATCGAACGGAGTGTAAGGGCTGGTAACTATGGGGTGTTTTCTGAGATATTTGATATTATTGGCGTTCATGGCGGAAGAGATGGACTGGAGGAAACAAGACCCTTCTTGACCGACAAGACCAGGTCTGGCTGGGCAATCTCATTTCTGGCGTTTCACGAACGCGGACATTGATAATCCGAAAAAGGTCAAGAGATGCCACGACGGTGCAACGCACCGAAAGCGAATGGAATGACAAGTATAGTAACAATGACAAGTCTCGGTCTAACATCGGTGTAGACCCTCAACGATGTCCTCTCCCATTTCGGTGTATCATGATAATATCTGAACGCCGATTGTATCTCCCGTGAAGAAGATCTCCACTCACCCCACAATTTTATCCACTGAAGTCTTCAGGCATTCCCATTAGGGATATCCTTCGATTCTTGGCTACAAGACTCTGTTATAACTTCCCCGCGGACCTTGACCGCTGCAAATGCAATATTTCACCAACCCAACTACATACATCTCTCTTAGTACCTCTGGATATCTTTCGATTCACTGACACAACGTCACCGAAAGAGGAGAATGATATACAAACACTCACTGCGTGACCAAGAGACAACGCCTCTGAAATCATGGTGCAGCATGGTTGCTTGAATTACATGCCTGCCCTAGCTAAGACTTGAGCCAAGCGGCATGGGCAAAGAAGCAGTCATGCCCTGCCTCGTCACGAAGACGAACTCAAGAGGCTCGTAGGTTAGCACACTTGGTACTCGGTCCTCGCATGGCATTTGAAGACAATCATCAAGGGTTCGACCGAAATGTGGTTCGTTCAAGGCCCATCCGGCACCGGGAACCGGCTTGGCTACCCGTCAATGTAAGCTCGCCACGGCAGCTTAAGTCTGGGCTGACCTAACATCCCGAACCACCAAGACATCGCGACATCCGATGCTGTTGAGGTCCATGCCATGATGACTAGAAAATAAAACGGTGCTTTTGTGGTATCTTCTTCCGCTTGTTCGATTGCGGTGCGGCTCTGTGCGCTGCGACATATTGAACCCCACCAGAGTGGAGCTGATAAATTCAAGAATATAAGTTTTCTTTACACAAAGATATTGACCTTCACGATGATAATGCAGAGACTGCTTTCTCGGGAGAGAGATGCAGATGGTGTTCATCGGATGAGGGACTCTGAACCCTTCGTCTTTGATCGATGATCATATGCCTGTTGTCCCCTAGAATCACCACGCCCCTTCCATCATTGACATTGCCCCATGTCTCTTCAAATAACGTACTTGGCATCGGGCCTTCTGTGGAAACATCAGGTCGACTCTTCGAATCCTGTACAGTACCAAGTATGCCACGACGGGTGCCAATATGTTTTCTCCAATGACGATCTCCGGGGTGGTGGATCTGGGGTTCGGATTGTGGATGGTCCTTTCGTGGGGTAGCTAAGACTGACCACTATAAAGTCCAGACACTGGTTGAATTCATGTCTTCCTCCGTCCGTCTCTCCCCGTTCCGCTCAGACACAAGATGGCAACCGAGAAGACCTCACAGGTTCCTGACAGTCAGGGCGTCCATGCCCAGGAGAGCACGATGGACTCACAAATTTCGCACGTTGATGCCGAGAAAGCAGGAGAGACGCCTATGGTGCTCGAGAATGTCGAGACCAATGCCTCGCAACCGAAAGATACTCTTCCTCGAGGCGTTGAAATCATCGAGGCGTTGGGCATTCCCGATTGGAGGGAACAGGAGAAGAAGATTGTCAGACGCCTAGACATGACGATGCTTCCTCAGATGTGGATCATCTACATGATGAACTTCTTGAATCGCACGAACATTGCGTGAGTTATCGACAAAGTAGACTGGCCTCGAACTCTGGACTGACAAATTTTCATAGTCAAGCCCGTCTAGATGAACACTTTGAAGAGACGCTCAATCTTGGTAACACAGATTACAGTACCGCGGTAGCAGTGTTGACTATTGGGTAAGTCTGCACACTGACGAATCAATTACGTCCCCGAATACCTACTGACTGGTTGCTTTATAGATATATGCTGGCACAGTTACCATCCAACATGCTTATCACGCGAGTCCGACCCGCACTCTATCTCCCCATTGTTGCCATTTTCTGGTCTGGCATTTCAGCGGCGACGGTAGCCGTGAAGAGTCCCGGCCAACTGTTCGCAGTGCAGTTCATTTTGGGTGTCTTCGAGGCGCCCTTCTTCCCTGGTGTGCGTATATTATCCGCACTGAATCCATATTCCTCACGGCTAACATTGAGATGATAGGCCGTTTACCTTATGTCGTGCTGGTACACACGCCGGGAGCTGGCTCTCCGCACTGCGCTTCTCTACTCCGGACTGGTCCTCGCGCAGGCGTTCTCCGGCTTGATCGCTGCCGGCGTGTTCTCTGGCATGTCTGGCAAGATGGGTATTGCAGGATGGCAGTGGTTGTTCATCCTAGAAGCCGCACTCAGCGCATTCTTCGCGTTGACGGCGTTCTTCGTCCTGCCCAACTACCCGCACTCGAACAGCGGCAGCGCCATGTGGTCGATGACTGAGGACATGCGCAAGATCGCCCAAGCACGCATCCAGGCTGATCGTGTCGAGGAGACTCAAACTACGACTGTTTGGATGGGTCTGAGACTGGCTCTTACTGACCCCAAAACATATATCTTTGTAAGTTCCTTACATATATCTAGGTGTTCCTACATCCGCTGATGGCATCCCAAACAGATCTTCATGAACATCTGCATGACATCCTCCTACGGCTTCAACAACTTCTTCCCCACAATCGGTAAGTCACTCCCTCCCCACTCATCCAGACACCGCTAACACCCAGTGACAGTCTCCGGCTTCAATCTCGGCAGCAGCGCAACCACGCTCGCCATGACCGCACCCCCCTACATCCTTGGCACCATCGTCTCCTTCTTTGTAGCCTGGAACTCCGACCGCCTCAAGGAACGCGGCTTCCACATCATGATCAACAACTGCTGCGCGATAACCGGCTTCATCATCTCCGTCGCGACCCTCAACACCGCGGCTCGCTACACCGCCTCCTTCCTCTACACATCCGGCTCCTTCTCCGCCAACGCCCTCGTCTACACCTGGGCCGTCTCAACCCTCTCCCAGACCCCCGAGAAGCGCGCCGCCGGCGGCGCCATCGTGAACATCATGGGACATCTCGGGAACGTCATGTCCCCGTATTTCTTCCCCGATACTCATCGCCCGAGGTACACAATGGCGATGATCCTGCAGATTGTGTTTGCGGGGTTGACGTGTGCGACCGCGTTTGGGAATAAGGTGTACCTGAGACGGGAGAATAAGAAGGTTAGGGCTAAGGCGGAGGCCGAGGGCGCGGCGTATAATCCGTTTACGACGTGAGGGGTTCGCGAGCTTTTCTGGTATATGCACCCCTTTGGTGTACTTGGTTATGCAAAGCCCTTTCTTCTCTGGAGTTCGGTTGTGAACGGACGGACGAACGAGACGAAATGGGCGGGTTGGCAGAGTTGATGTGTTGGGCCTTTTTTTGCTCTTGACGTGGTGTCACATCGGTATATATACAAACGCAATCATCCTAGCTTCCGATGTAATCGGGAGCGAATAAAATAGGACGAAATAGGATGGCATAAGATAACATTAAATGTCACGGGACAAATGATATGATAATATACGATACCACACAGTTCAATATGCCAAAATCTACGCACTCCCATATATGAACTCAAGTTTTGAATTGTTCTTTCTTGTTACTACAATTCATGTTAACGTGCTCGCTATGGTCATTGTAATCCTCAAGCGTGGTTGTGATTAAGTGATTAGAGAGTATGGTTTACTCCTTCACTTGGTGACTAATTGTACTGGGAAAATTTACCATCGTTATATCGGGAAAAGACTGAATGATGTACACCCCCCTCTTGGCTTCAGAAAGTAGATTCATGCATCAAACTATGCTCAACGTTGTAGCATGCGCTTTTTAAGAAAAGGAGGAAGTATAAAGGGAATGAAATAGACAGCGGAAAGGTGGGTAAGGTAGGGTAGTGCAAGACCATCATTCCTTGTAGTGTTTAGGCCTCTTCAACTCGTTGAAATCAGACTCATCTTCTGCTGGTAACAAAGCGTGAATTGTGATGAGAAAGGTCAAAGTGAGGTAGGTTAGGTAGATGGAGCAAGCTGAAATAAGAAGGAGCAAGATAAACGTCTTATTTTTTTGTTTGTTTGATAATTCCCCTTGAGGCAATCGAGGCAGGGGAAACAGAATGCATGTGTGCTGGAAGTACTTCTATGGTCTGGTACAGAAAGGAAATAAGTGTGGATAGGGTAGCATTACTTTCTGGCTGCACTTCTGTAGGACAATGTCTTAGATGAACCATCATCATCCCATCGTCCCCTTCCACCAAAAACTCGCCGTACGCCTTTAAAGTTACCCGAGTTCATCCATGTAAATCCAGAGCCTCCATTTCAGATAAGCTAGCTAGCTGAATGCAGATTTCAAGTGCGCTTCCACTCAGTCCGAACACGAGTAACTTTGATATGCTATATCAACTTCAAGTTTAGACAATAACGTCTTCGCCGCACTCCTTCCGACCCCAAGATGACATTGGTGCGTTGGTTTGCGGCACAGAGGGATGGGCTCACAGATGAGGTATCCCCCGCCTGGGTTTGCACGGAAGTGGCAGTGACGATTGTACGTTTTCGAGGGATCTTATTCCGGCAGGGATGAGAAATGGATATGGGGCATTGCACAGCTACGGCAGCTAGTGTCATACTGTTGGGATTTCTGTAGAAGAGGCTCGGAAGAGCCGCTGCGCGATGTTCATTCCTCACGACTAGCAGTTCCGCCTGCTGCTGCGATGACATGTTCAATTGCGGATACCCATGACAAAATTGTTATGATTAAGCCGCGCCCGTACGGTAACACAAATGACCCCATTTGTATGTTCAGCTGCCGTCAGCTCAATTTACCATTTCGATCTGCGGCCAATAATAGCTCTAATTACCTGCTTACGCGCAAAATCAATAGGGCGAGGGTAATGTCAGCCTTGCAGGACGAACGGACTGATGCGGGGCGTAGTAGGATAATAGATGTAATGTACTTCCTACTTTGGTTATATTTGTCTGAGATGCCTACGGAGTCTAAGTATGCACTATGATTGAGGTGTGGTTCTTTATGGATGGATGATGGGATTCATCGGGGTGTCATTGCAGCAAATCGAATACAATTGGGGCGTACATCGGCACAGAGACTGTAAGGTTACAATTCGCACTTTGATTGGACATAAAAGGTAATGGTCGAAATACCACGTCCCACAAACCGGCCCGAAAAAGAATTGTAGGACCGCATTGTATCACAACTCGTGGGCGAAGGTTCGACAGGATGTTAATAGACGTATGGAGTACTCCGAGTAATTCTTACATCACGTTAATTCGACAACTCGCGAGATACAGTTCGCTCGCCGTTGATGACATTCACGAGTCACGTGATGAATTCGCGATAAAAAATGCATGTGATCGATATGTGGCCATCTTGAGCATTTCAAAGTATAGCATGCTCCACTCATTTAGATATATCATTATGTCTTGATAAAAGTGAAGGTAAAGCGACGCGGTCAAATGATTCCTAGTGTTAGTTCCAGTAGCACAGAGGTCAAGCTTGGGAGAAACTTTCTAGGTTGTGGCTTGCAACTGTCTTGTGCCTTGTCCCTTTGGACTTTTCGTCCCGTTTCTTGGCATAACTTTTCTTTTTCTTTTTTGCCGTCTTTCTTCCATCGTACTCTTGATTTTTCACGAAGTTGAACTTGCAGGTGTAGCGGTATGGTGACATTGTGATGCTCGGTAAGCGGTGGGTACTCCATACTTGAACAGTCAACTGGAGAACGCCTATCGTGCTAGACTGTCTTCCTTATCGAATCGCATCGTATCGTCGGATCCTGCTATCGATAGGCGTTGAGACGGATACACACGAGTACGAGCATGTCCGATGCCTTACACAGTAAGTGGCTCACCGGATCCACGGTAACAGCGTTCTCGATACGATGATATGGCACGTCGCATTGCGCCGCTCACGGACCGTTGGGATTTCCAGATCAGACTACAGCGCACTTGGGTAGACACGCAAGATGGCATAAGAGTTGATTCGCCATGCAACTGATCTCAAGTGGAGATGCGACTGCACGCAACGTGGGGACGACGGGAGGAGAGCGCTGTGTGTTGTTGAATTTTCTGGTTGAGTAGGATTCCTTACAGCCGCGGGAGATTTGTTGTGGAGAAGGAATTCGGTCCAGAACCCTCGTGGCAAGAGTCGCCCCAAAGTTAGACGCACCGAGATGGAGACAACCATTGCTGTGTTTAAAGACACTTCGATGCGCAAATGCAGGACTTAAAGTCAGTACTGTTCATAGATGATGCTGATTTGAGACACATCTGGATGATTTCTCCCCAATTGACTGAGTTGTCTTGCGGATTATTTGTATCAATCTTGTCCAGGGGTGCATGTGAGAGCCTCGTTGTCTTGACGCATCGGCATTGGGAGTATAGCTTCATTGATATAGTCCTCCTCATCATGGAGAGACGTCTGATTCACATGATTGATCTCAACTCCTAAATTAATAGGCGCACAAATATCATAACAAACCTGATTGTTTTGTTATTATTGTGAATCTTTGATGGTTGCCACCCGCAAGGTGCATCCATGGCCGGACACGTGCGTGCGTCACCAATGCCCAGGTCTTGACTTGTTTCAACACACGAACACATGGATGCTAATAGTAATAAATATTGTTGGGCCAATATTACTGCGGTGCTCTGCACCGGGAAGCAAGTATAAGTCGTCGCGTCATCTTGCTTGAGCGCTGTAGATCATCATCATAAATGCCTGCAAGATCTTGCAATTGCGTGATGTTGTGTACCTGTCTATCCACCTGGGTCATGCAGGAGGGATCGCTGCGGAAGCGACTGTTATTTTGCACGTAGAATTCATCTTCGTTCTCCAACCTCGAATTAACGTTATGAGGCGGAGCACGTAGGTTTGCTTCAAGGAATGGTCCTTTCTCGCCAGCGACCTCCTGAGCTGTGCAAAGTCCCAGTAATCTCCACATCAGCTACAAGTGTCCGCGCACACGTCACCCGTCGTTGCGATCCTGCTCATCTCCCGTCATTCGCGCGACTCGACGATCGGAGGTTTAATTTTGTCGCGACTAATGTGCCTGGCGCTTGTTGAACAGTCGAAAGTTTGAGCAGAGACAATTATTAAAGATGATAGAATCGACAAGTCAACGAGCGAGGGCTGTTGCACCGATATGAATGAAGCAGTCGTTGACCTTGAACCTTGAACGATAACTCTTGACTAGTATTGCTGGGCATTTGGCGTTGGGAATCCCGAGCTCGCTCAACGACAAGATTTCAGCTCTGGCAGATGCCACAATTGGTGTAGCCTGCCACACGTCTTTTCTCTTTCTCTTCCAAGGCATGTTCCTTCGCTCACCGGGTTGTGGGTCGTGGATTTGATGGTGGATCTCCCACAGGCCGCTGGTGGGCGGCGCAGACCCTGCCCTCGAATCGGCTCACTCTTACCATCCCCTAGGCTCTTCGTATGCCCTTGTACTTGTACTCCGTAGGCAGTCTTTCCATCGCGAGTTGAGTCTTGATGGCTCAGTCACCAGCGGCGACTTGCAGGCGACTTGATGTGAGTGTGAAGCCCACTGGTCGTGCGCGGGCTGACGCGGCGTCTGTTTTCTTTACGTCTGTCTCTTTCCTACTCGCCGGAAAATTCTTGGCCCCGGCCCCGACCTCCTCCCATCTCCTCTTCTCTCTGTCTGTTCATCGCTGTAGATAACTATGCTATGCACGCATCATTAGCAGGGCACTCATGTCGCGCTTGAACTTGCGCCTGCTGGAAGCCGGGCCGACGTCAGAGTGTCTTCCATCACCAGAGACAGACCGGCTGAATCCTGCGCAGTCTTTGATAATACACTACAGAAAGACTGCATACGGAGTACAACACACATTCTACACGTAGTTAGAACAACCTGCAGCACATGTGAACTGGAAATACAACGCTGCAGGGCGTAGAAACTCCCACTCGCTGCTTTTCGATCCCCTGGCGCTTGTTCCTGGCTGTTCCTGGCTGTTCCTGGACTGGCCATGCGGGTTCCTGAGCGACTGAAACGGTGGCGTCTGCGGCGCTGGGATAGCACGGCGCCATTGCTATCCTCGGGCGAATCAAGCTTTGGCTGTGCTGATCCCCTCGACGCTGAATTCAGTTCCGGTAATCGCCCGTTCTGTCTGTTCGTTCGTTTCCTCGTTTCCTCCGTCCCGGCTGTCTTACTTTCTCTCTTCCAGGCTCCTCACTGGCTGGCTCTGTTAATTAACGTCCAGGATGTGCTGGTGTCTGATGGGTCTGTCCACGCCAGCGCTCACCCACACCATGTGGACCACACGAGAGAAGACGACTCCAAGGAAAAGAAGAAAAAAGTCTGTTTCCCTTGGCTCTGACTTTCCTGTCTTGGCCTGGCTTTGAGTCGACTGCCCTTTACTGGATCTGGGGGCTGACTACCGCTTCCGCTGACATGGACGACGACGCCTCCCTCCTCAATCATAGGTAGTCACTGCGCTGTCTAGGCCCAGGGGATCGACTAACTGCTGGTGTCGTGCTGGGGAGTTGGTCTCCACCCGCCCACTCTCCTCCCTAATCACTGGCCGTCTAAGATACCGAGGAGACGACTGCCGCTCTCTATATTAATGCCTATTCCCCCGGGCCGCCGGCCTCTCTTTACCTTCTTTCCAAATCCCATTCACACCACGGTGCTGTTGCGTTCACTCTCTCTGAGCAATCGCTCGTTACATTCCTTGTCTACATAGACATCACCTTCTTTTCAGCAATCAAAGCAATAGCCCTGGTAGGCCGCCATTCACACTCGATTCCCGCGCTCGACGCTGCACATACACGCTTCGCTATATACCAACCTCAGAGCCTTTTAACGTCAACCCCAAACTTCGTACCAGAGTCGCCATGTCTTCCCCAATGAAGCTCAGCCTTTTGGCTCTCATCTCCTCCGTCGCCGCTGTCCCTCACTACGCACACAGCAGATATCACAAGCCCTCTGCTCCCAGCGGCGTTGCTCCCAGTGGATCTCCCCTCTACCCTACCGGTGGTTTCCCTGGATCCAACAGCACTGTCCCTTACCCAACTGGCACTGGTGTGTCCGTCCCTGGCGAGAAGACTACCACTCTTCACGAGACTTTGTACTCCACCGAGACCATCGTCTCTACCATCTACGCCACCAGGCCTGCTCCTGAGGCTCCCTCCTCCGTCGGTGCCGTAGATGTCTCCACTGGTGCCCCAGTCTGTGGCCCTGCCACCGTCTATGTGACTGAGACCGCAAAGGTCACTCTCACCGTTGGTGCTACTCCTTCTTCCTCCAGTGCTGCCGAGGCCGTGTCTTCTGAGGCCGTTACTTCTGCACCTCCTTCTGCCTACCCAGTTGCCCCTGCTCCCTCATCCAGCAGCCTCAAGCTCAGCCTCTCCTACAAGCCTGTCGAGGGTGTCTACTCCGCGCCTGCTGAGGCCCCGGCTCCTTCTTCTTCTGAGGCCGCCCCCGTCTCCAGCGCTCCTGCTGCCACTTCCTCTGAGGTTGTGAAGCCCACTGGATCTCCATCCTACTCTGGTGGCAAGCGTGGTCTCGCTTACAACGACGCTGAGCTCTGCTCTGCTTTCAGCGGCGGTAACTTCGGTTTCGCTCACAACTGGGACAAGGCTCCTGGAGGCGAGCTCCCCGAAGGCGTTCAGTTCATCCCCACCTGCCACCGCCCCGCCCTCTACGAGACCGAGGAGCAGGCCAAGACTTGGTTCTCTGCTGTCGATGATGCCGTTAAGAGCGGCAGCAAGGCCATCCAGGGTTTCAACGAACCCGACGAGCCCACTCAGTTCCCCATCTCCACCGACAAGGCTTGCTCTGAGTGGATCAGGCTCATGAACCCTGCTGCCGAGGCCCACCCCGACCTCACTGTCCTCTCCCTCTCCGTCACCAACGGAGGCGAGGCCCACAAGGGTTTGAACTACCTCAAGACCTGGGCTGACAGCTGCCCCGAGGCCGTCTGGCACGCCGCCAGCATCCACTTCTACGACAACTACGATGCCGATGTCATCAACCGCTTCAAGGCTCACGTCGAGAAGGCTGCTGGCATGTTCAACAAGCCCGTCTGGGTCACCGAGTTCTCCTTGAACAAGGGAACCGCCACCGAGGAGCAGGCCGCCTCTTTCGTCAAGGAGGCCGCCGCCTACCTCGACAGCGCTGAGCACGTTGCCGGATACTCCTACTTCATGGTCGGCACCGGCGAGTACCAGCTCAACTCCGCTAGCGGTCTCTCCGCCGTCGGTGAGGCTTACAAGTCCGCCTAAGCGTGTTCAGACTAGGGTGGAGTGAATTATTTGTGCATATTACATCGGCGCTCGTTCATATATGAAAAACTAACCGGGGATTTTCAATACGGGATCTATCATTGGGAATTACAACGGAACTTGGGTTGGGTGGGTCAACATTATCTAGAAACGTCGGCGTACCCATCGAAACACCACTTACAAACGATGGCGCAATGACGGGTTCGAAATGTTTTATTTTTATTGTTTAAACTTCTTCAAATAAGAGACTTTTTAAGGGTGGTTTGGTGTTGGGGTTTGTCGAACGACAATGAGAGCACGTGGTCAGTCGGAGGATGTTGGGATAGAAATTCAAATACAAATCAACATGTTGTATACGATAGATGTTTTTGTTGCTTCAACTGTGACTGTTCCTGCCTGTGACCATGACCGTGATTATTATTGTCTATAACTAGGTAAAGACTATCGATCAGTCACAAGTTTTCATACCTATCACATTTCATTCCTCCATCCGTTCCTGGACGATTCATCATGTATCCGTTGCATGGAAACGTTCACAGCACTGCGATAGATCAGACAACCCCCATCTCATCCCATCATACATAATAATTGCACCCTCTGGAAGTACGACTAACAGGAGAGGATCAGAATGCACCAAACGCTATATCTTTGTCTATGCACCAAGCGATCAAATATTTCCTTTCAGAAGACATAGTGCATTCCTCGCAAGCAAAATTGACGGATGTGCGGTTCCATATTTATCCTGAGATGAATGTTGGAAGGTTTGTGGGATCCATGTACATGACAATCCAACACGGTATTAGGCAACATCGAAGCATTGGCATGCACAGATGAATGGAACTTATACCACAGCGAAAGAGATACCCATGATACAAAGTTGATTTCTTAGTATAGGAATGAACACACCGATATTTTCAAGATTGCACGATCCAGTCATTCGAAAAATGGGTTGAAATCAACAAAATCAAATTAAGTCAAAGGAAACCGAGAATGAATAGCAAATTGATTATCAAAATTACAATATAAGGACGAAAAAAAGTAGAGAAGGTATCATTATCTCACGTACGGTACGGGGTTTTAAAAATTCCGCGCCAATCAGGTGGCGACAATTTAGGACGATGTGTACCGGAAATGGTCCGCGTTTCTGTACAAAGCCTGCAGTGGCTACTTACCAATCTCGTAGGTACCTATCATTTTCTGTCGGTAATCCTATTCGGAAAGTTGGAAATTGTTGCTAGGGATAATTATGCAATAATAATTTGTATTGAATCGAAAATCTTTGTCAACAGCAATAGGACTTTGCCCAATTTCGTACTCGGAGTTCCTCGGCTTGAGAGAATGCCGTACAATTTGTCAGCACTTCCACGAACGTCCGAACGGTATATATGATGCCATTCCCAGATGACATTGCCACTACTGCACCTCGGAATTAGAAAACAAGAATAAAAACTGTATAGAGAGTTGGGATATAACCACAGCGATCATCAAATCAAGCTGGCTTTCAAGCAATCCCTTCGCAAAATGACAAACTTCGACATCAAGATCGTGTCCGACACCGTCTGTCCGTAAGTATCTAACCCCGCAACCAAAAAAATTCCGTGTAACTCCACTCTAACAACGACAAAACAGATGGTGCTACGTCGGCAAAAAGCGCCTTGAAAAAGGCATCGAAGCCTACAAGGCCAAGCACCCAGAGTCCAACGACACCTTCACAACCACCTGGTTCCCCTTCTACCTGGACCCGACGGCGCCGCGCCAGAGCGTCGAAAAGCGCGAGCGCTACATCGAGAAGTTCGGCCCCGCCCGCGTCGACATGATGTTCGACCGCCTCGCGCAGCTCGGCAAGCTCGAGGGCATTGACTTCAAGTTCGGCGGCCGCACGGGAAACACACGTGACTCGCACCGCCTGATCCAACTCGGGAAGACGAAGGGGCCGGAGAGGCAGACGAGGGTGATTGAGGAGCTGTTTGCGGCGTATTTTGAGAACGAGAAGGATATCACGAACGAGGATGTGCTGGTTCAGGCGGGTGTCAAGGCGGGGTTGGATGAGGCGGAGGCGAGGGCGTGGTTGAAGGAGGGGAAGGGCGGGCCTCAGGTCGATAAGGAGGTCCAGGATGCGTATGAGCAGAACATCTCGGGGGTTCCGAACTTCACGCTCAATGATCGGTTTGAGATTGGCGGCGCGCAGGAGCCGGCGGCTTTCGTGCAGTTGTTTGAAAGGATTAAGAACCAGGACAAGGGATCCGCGCCCGCTGCTGGATCGGCACCGCAGTGCTGAGGGAGGCTTGATGAGTCGGGAGTTCAATTGGAAATGACAGTGGTGTTCAATGAAGTTATCTGCAAATGTCAGTTTGGAGGTTGGGTTGCGTAGAAAGATGATCTCGCAATATATAGCAATTGCAGTTCCCAGCTCGTCATAAGATTTGTCGACAGCCATGGCGCTGCAGCAATAGCTTATGATATGCCCTTCTTTTGATCATAGTTTGGTCATTGACTATTCAAAAAGATCCGAATGAAGTCGTTACTTCGACAAACGTGTGCGAATCAGTAATGTACCGTATAAGAGATGACGGAAGGAAATGGCTACAAAAACGTGCATTGTAGTATTGGTCTAGAACGTGACAAATTCTCAAAAGTCTTAAGCCAGAGCTTGAAAGCTATATCGGGAATTGTATCAAACAGTTTGCTTTTAGGTGATTAATTAATTCATTAGAAAAGGACTTGATGCCCTTTGTGTGTACGTTAATGTGTAGCGTTATCCCAGCTATATACAAGTTCCCGTAGCTGCCAGTGCCACTATTCCAAAAGAACTTCCCCCAATTTTGATGTGTATCAATTGACCAAACCCCTCTGAAAATTACTTCATATGTGCTCGTGTTCCTAGAATTATTGTTGCTAGGCGTGTGTTTCTGAAAAGCCAATAATGTCGCTAAATCGAAAAGAAAATTGTGGTAAAAAAAGCAAGCGAAAGCACAAGGGATATCAAGAGCCGCTCCTAACCCAAAGACACAACGTCCACGGTCTATGCATGTAGCATCTCAATCTCGATTAATGACACGCAGACTGCGTCGTGGATTCAACAATACACCCTTTGCACCCCAGAACGACGGCTCCTGGCCGGCGAGGAGATCGTCTGTGGAGCTGCTGATGCTGCTTCTCCTTCCTATGGCATCCGTACCACCTCCCGCGACGCCTGCAGCGCCTGTATATGCCGTCCGTTCGTTGCTTAAGCGAATCTCGTCGGCGATAGAAGGAGGATGCTGTCGAGCAGAGGTTCCGGAGCTGGAAGGCGGGAACAGCGCGTCCCTCGCGGTACGTTCGCTGGAGTCCTTATGAGACGACATCGTGACGGCTGTAGCGCCCTCCGTCTTCTCCTTTTCAGCTCGTGCGGCTATCATAGCCGCGTGGTTCTTCCATATCTTGACTTGCTTTCTGTAGATCCACGCACAGAACGCGAAGTATGCTGCGATGATAGCGAAAACGCCTGCGATAGTGCCGGCTACGATGGCGCCCACGTTAGGTCCATCACTTCCTCCCCTGTTGGAGGGGTCGCTGATCTCGGTGATGATGCCACCGTTAGGGCCAGTGACGGTGTACGTGTGCGGTTTTCCGGTTTTGAGCGGGCCTTCGCTGGGAGTTTGCACGGGTGCAGTCAGTGTCGCGCCGCCCGTCGCTTCGCCGCCGATGACGGATTGGACCTTATCCGGTACAAAGTAGCCATAAGATCCCTCGAGACCTGCCTTGCTGTCAAAACCTCGTTGGTTGGCTTGTTGTGCAAGCGGATTCCCTCTCTCGTCTTCCTTTCCGTTAAATGCTTGAAGAGCGTTTTCGCCCGTCAGCGCGGTGAATTGATCCGACCAAGACAGGCTCGAGGTGTTGAAGACGTAGATTCCAGGTGATTCGCAGGTGAGCTCTTCGCCCACGTAACCGCCAATGACAATCATTTGGCCGTCCCATATGTGGCAGGAGTGTCCTGCTCGTGCGTACGGTACTGACTGGGATTCCATATCCACCTCGATCCATGTGAACGAAGGTACTGACAGTATCCACATGTCATCGTACTGGGTCTGATTCTTGAACGGCTGAAGGTTTTGACCGCCGAACATGTAGACGTTGTAGGAGGAACCACTAAAGTCGATAATTAGTTTCAGGATACTTGATTGCTTTATCGTCTTGCTTACTCGGCTGCAGCAGCAACTACCGCACATGGGTTAACACGGTAGTTGGGCATCTTGCCGTTGGTGTTTTGTTTGTACCACTGGGATTTGGAGATATCATAGACGTCAATGACATTCATCTGTGTCTGTGCAGAGTCAGTACTAACGCAACTAGCTCAGCATATCGAACAGTACTTACGAATGAATCGTTGATGCCACCAGTCAAACCTAGAAGGAGTCCCTCGTCTCCGAATCCGGGAACGTACAAGAGCAATCCGTCTGCTCTCTCCGTGAAGCCAGCTGTATCCTGCAGACCACCTTCAGTAATGTTTCTGTAGACGCCCTCGCTGCCTGCCGTCTTCCCATCGGTCAATGATTTGACGCCGTTGTTCGAAAATCCCGGGAATGTGTATTCAAGTAGGCCCTTCAAATAGATTCGTTCGATATCAATGCTCCACCCTTCAGTGGTAAGGAAGTCCAGATGTCCTCCAAAATACCATCCTCGACCGAGTGCTCTGACACTAAAGCCAGCACCTTCGGCAGAGCGTTGCACAGATTGTCCATCTTCTTCCGCATTTTGCCCAGCTGACGTCTTTGGATCCTTATGTTCTACCCACTCTTTCGAGCCAATCTTGTATTCCCATGTCGAGAACGCAGTGGGAGTTCCTTGGGGATCATCCGAGAACTCTCCTCCATACAAGTACAACGATTCGTGGGACGCCCAAAGGTATCCGTTGGAGACTTCCGGTGGGCCGGACGGTCGAGGAAGACCAGTCAAGGAGGGGTTGCTAATTTGCCACGATTTGGTAAGGTCGAGTGAAAGGAAGTCGTTTCCTACACTTGTTAGATTTCGCTATCCGAGAATGAAGACGAAAAGGTATTACCCCAAGTGTTGCTGGTTTGTTTTGCCTCTGTAGTCGACCGACCTCCGTAGATATACAATGTTCCATTCACGATCGCAGCTAATGTGTGTAAGACCGAGAACTAATTGTGTCATGGGAAAGAGAGCTCACATTGATGACTCCACCTTTTGCACACCTCAGTGTTGGTGTCCTCCCGTTTCATGAGGCTGCTGCGTTCCATTTGCTCCCGTGGGATGACGCCTCCTCTGACGCCCATGAAAGATGTTGGGTTCGTTTGTAGGACTGGTAGCATCAAAGCCAAAACGATGGCCAATATACCAACGCGATAGAACCTTGATGCACCATAGTTGTTAGGATAAGCGACGACGACATCAGGCTGAACGTCGTCATCCTTCTCAGAATCGATATCATGATCCTCGCCATGGACCTCCTCCTCTTCCTCAACAATGTTGTCGCTACTCTGAAAGCGCACGAACCGTGATGGTCGTAAAGAACTCGGACTGTGGTCGGCGTTCAAAGTGGGTGCAGGACTGCGTTCTCGTCGTATTGTTGCTTCGTCGACTAGGCCAACCTCCATGAATACCGACTTTCGCCGACCAGATGGTGGCAAGGCGGACGATGCTTCTACGCCCTCCATTGCAAATAGCGAAAAGTATCAACAGTCGTAGTTTTAGTAGTTGATTATTTTATTTTTGCGTGAAGGGTTGGGTTGTAGCGGGCGGTCTAAATACGGAGACGTTTGATCACCTGTGCCAATATTGAGAGTCGCACGGCTTATTGTTCTGTTCCGAAAGAAAAAGAAATGGTGGAATGATGTGTGTCTCGAGACCAATGGGCGTGGAGGTCAACGACATGTAAGTGTCGCAAGCACGCGACAGCAATGGACGAGAGCAAAAAGCATCAAAATATCGACTATTACCTTTTAATGAAAAGTCGTGATGTCGAGATGGATGTAAGTGCAGCGACCGGCCTGCTATCAAGAACAGCTTCTGCTCTCCTTCTCCACTTCCTGTGCCTGTAGCAGGTTGAAGGGGTGCACGTCATGAGGTTGCCAATATAGGCAAAGATCACTGTATCGCGATTGTAGATGCCGTGTTGCGACCAGGATCACTATTGGTCGCGGTTGTAGAACCCCAGTAACTAGCATGACGGCGGCCAAGTGCAAGGTATTCCCCCAGCGAGGAACGTCACAATTTCGTGAGGAGCGACAATCTCCAGAGGAATCAAAAGCACAAGGGTGCGTCCTTGGATACAGGCCTGGTAAATAATTCGATGTGAGAAGCGCCTCCAAGTCCTCTACGGGAACACTCATCGAACTTCCTCTCAATTCCTCATCCTCGTCCATTATTGAAGCGCCAATTATCTCCATCGTGATGCCCATTTTCAGCCCTGAGCTCAATGTGCACTAGTTTTATTGTCGTGTGCCATCCGACATGAAATACGGGGTCGCCCCAATACTTCTATTTTTATCGACTCGCTGTGGCAAGAATTGGGGCATGTGGCAGTGCGTGGCGGTGCGGACCTGATCTTCGAGAGCACGTTGTCGAGTCGTATCGCGAGGTGGGACTCAGGAGATATGCTTCCCGACATGCGTCCCGGTCTAGGTTGATACAGGTACACAATACGCATGGGGTGTTGCATTGAGTAAACCTAAACAGGCAGTGTTCATTGGTCTTTGGCTTTGGCTATTTCGTCGAGTACAGCATCGTGTTTAGTAACCCAAGGTGGATTACCATCAGCATCAAATTCAGCCCATTGGAAGAACCCGCAGCCCTCCTCTCCTGGAACGTAATTCACGTGGCACATCCACATATACCGACCACGCGTTTCCTTCTTGCGTGTAACGCATCGTAAGACGGTCGACACACCGCAGCGGCACTTTGGTGTATATCTCGGATGCAAATGATCTTTGTATGATCGGTAGGTTATGTTCAGCCGCTTATTTTTAGCTAATGGGTGAGGATCGATTGCCTGTGCCGGTGCGATGGAATGCTTCCATTCTTCTTGCATCTCGGCATGCATCACGAGAAGAGAATTATGCGGGAGATGTATAGAAATCTGCCCCTGAGCGTCGGCAAGAGTCCCGTCCTCCTTGCGGTGAGCGTCGTCTTCGGCAACCACCTTGCGGATACGGAACTCTCGTGCGACCCCAAGACTCAAGCTCCCTATGACAGCTCGCGGTCCGAGATATGTCAGTTGGTCAGAGTGATATCCAACACTTTCATTGGGGCCGTCATAGCAATTCACGAAAGCTGTGTTAGCCTTCCAAGGTCCTGGAGATTGGTATTTCAGCTTTTCACCGTTCGGATAAAAGTCACGGATCCTTCGTTGGATCTCGCTATTGACGGCTGCTTCCACCTTGTCTGAAACTTTGAGCATCTCGGGCAGGCTCTGCCGTACATCCTAAGAAAGTTAGATTTCGCCCCCTGACTACTCTAATGGCTAAAACTCACATCAATTTTCCGGCCATCATATAAGTATTCGGTTTTTTGAGCCTCTGCTTCCGCAAGACTGTTCACATAGAAACAGAATGTATGTGGACTTTTGACGACGCGATCAAACAGTTGAAATTCAATGTTGGAGTATGTAGGCGCATCCTCAAGTAGCTCGAGGAGTAGAGCATTTGCCTCTGCTGGAGGCAGAAAATGATGTATGATCGAACAAGGGGTGTTTGCTTCAATGTCATCGGGAGAATATAAAAATAATGTTTTGCCTCGTCTGGTCAGAGGCTTCTTGCCCACCCCGCCATTCGCACCTACGCGATACGATGCGAGGGATGACTGGTACCCAACAACCCCACTTTTGGAAAGTGATGTTCGTGAATTCTTCCTTTTATTTTCATTGCTTTGGGAGATTGCTTCAGATGCCATCTCAGTCGAGCCATCACAAGAAAGAAGCGCATCAAGCAGAAGCTCTTCGCTCAGCTCCGGGTGCAGAGAGGCCAGGACGGCCAATTTGAAGTCAGTACTGTCGTCGTCTGCGTCATTCCTGTCGGAGCACTGAGGCCTTGAATGTGTAGCCTTTCGAGTAGGGCTATGCGAGGAGATGCGGCGTCGCTTGCGAGAAACAAATGCATCCATGTTGGTTAAATAGTTGGGGCAAATGGATCTTCATGAGCAGGCAGATATGACGCGTTGACGCCAAGTCACGTGACGTCCATTAAGCTCGGAACTAGGCCTATATTATACGTGCAAAGAAGACTTGTCTCTCTGTTCATCATGGATGACGGACGATTGCCATAGTTTAGAAGTGCTTTCCTTCCGAAGTGTAGTACTTACAATCCATTTGCGGTTATGCGCCTTGCTTGCTGAACTCTGTTCCATTCATAGCCAGCCAAGCGCTCTAATCAAACCCGACCACTTTGCAATTTGAGAAAGACGATTTCACTGATGAAACCTTTGGGTAGTCTAGCTGTTGCACTCGGAAGTGGAATTAGAACCTGCTGTAAGGGATTCGCAGTGTCGACTAATGCACGAGCATGCTGCCCCTGCAACAAGCAAACTACAGCAAGTAACACGAGTAGTATGAGAAAGAGTAATGAGGATTGCTCCGTATGTACGGAGTACTGGGTTGACACTTTGAAAGTCGTAACAAGTTCGGTATTGCGAGGCTACTGTATTTCCTTTCACTGATCAATTGCGGCATAGTGGAGCTATAGGTATTGCAGCACTTAAAGGCGGAGAAAAGGGAAATATTAGTGATTGTATCATTGAGTATGGATGTTTCACGCAAAGTACATACAAACCGCAGCTGGTTGATTCTTCCTCATTCATGAGATTGTTAACCATCACGTGATAGAAGGGATTGATGCAAGGGATGATGAACGGGCATCCACTTCAATTTGATACACTTCCAATGTATCATCCCGAAACCTTGAATTGAGTTGGCATCATCAAAATGCAGCCCAGCCTTAGAGACAAACATGAAATACCTGATTGCCAGCGCAAACCTACAGCCCCCGTACCACATGGATCGTCAGAGGATCGGTAAGGTCGGGCCCCACCAATCAACCTCGGCGCCGCGGGCGTCATCACCTGCCATTCCCTCCCATCGACCCAACGTCAACCCGCCCGCAAACTTCCCAAACACCATGCCCCCGACTCTCTCAGGTCCTGAATGATGAGAAGGTGGAGCGCATGTCAATATATATTATACCGTCGCAAACACCTTAGCCTGCCGATGCCGATTTAAACCAGCCCGCCATGCTCGAATACCGTACCCAAGGCTATAACGGCTACAGCGTCAAGTACTCGCCCTTCTTTGACTCACGTATCGCCGTCGCAGCGTCCGCAAACTTTGGCCTCGTAGGCAATGGACGTATATATATTCTTGGTCTGACACCGAATGGAATTGTAGCGGAGAAGTGGTTCGATACCCAGGATTCATTGTTCGACACCACTTGGTCGGAGAGCCATGAGAACCAGCTCCTCACTGCCGGCGGTGACGGCTCCGTGAAGCTTTTCGACATTTCTCTATCCGATTACCCGGTGCAATCATGGCAAGAACACGCTCGCGAAGTCTTCAGTGTTCATTGGAATCTAGTGGGCAAGGACACCTTCTTGTCTTCATCATGGGATGGGACAATCAAGATATGGAATCCCAACGCAAACGCATCGCTCACAACGCTCCCGACGCATTCTTGCACATACTCAGCGGAATTCAGCCCTCACAGTCCCAGTATATTATCAAGTGTGAGCTCCGACTCGCACATGCGCGTCTTTGACCTCCGTACGCCCGCTTCCGCTTCCAATCACCTCACTATGTCGATACCCATTCATACCCCGCCGAAGGCGCGCATGGGTGCCGCTGCCCCAGTTGGCATACCTCCCTCGGAAGCTCTCACTCACGATTGGAACAAGTACCGCGATACCATACTTGCGACGGCTGGCGTTGACAGAATGGTCAGAGTCTGGGATATAAGAAACCCTAGTGGTGGCCCTATCGCTGTGCTCCCAGGCCACGAGTACGCGATTCGACGCTTGACCTGGTCGCCACATCTTTCCGACACATTGCTATCTGCGAGCTACGACATGACCTGCCGTGTGTGGACAGATGGAAGTGCCATGGGTGTACCACCCGCCAACCCACAGAACATGATGGATGCGTCGAACATGAGTCTCGGAGAAGGCAGAGAGATGGGCAGAATGGGACGCCATACCGAGTTCGTCACAGGAGTTGACTGGTGTCTGTTCGGTGCGGAGGGATGGTGTGCAAGCACAGGATGGGACGAGAGAGTTCTCGTGTGGGATGCCAGGGCAATCATGCAATAAGCAGATGCACCCTATCCACATTTACGGCGTTTATGTAAGCCTGCGATCTCGTTTGGATATCAAACGAACAAAAAAAAAGAACAAAATTCTCTATACTCAGACCCAAGTGAGGGACGGTGCGCCAGTGCGAAACCACGCATCTGGTCGATACACATTTTATTTCGGAAGAATCTCAGTCTCCATGTTTAACGATCAAAGCTGTCTGTAGTCTGATATGTAACTATGCGTGATAGTGATGGGTATACATTTATCAAACCGGTCGAGCACAGATTATGCTGTGCAAACCGCCTCCTTCGACTGAGTCTTCTCCAAACCAAGTGACTTCTCCTCCGTCTTCCACGCTGCATAATCGAATCCCAAATCCTGCAATGATTTGATCCCAAGCCTTTTGTCACCCAGCGACAGCGCCACCTGCTTGATCTTCTGTATCCTCTGCCTGACCCACTGCTTCTCCTCACCCCAATAAGGCGGTATCTTCCCCGCCCCGTCATTCTCCAACCTTCTCTCGTCTATCTTGGCTGCGCTCATACTCAAATTATGCAATCGATTGATATACTCTGCATCAGCCGGGAACATCATATCATGAAAACCCTTCCCATCCCCCTTCTCCTGCACCCTCGCCTCCTCCCACGCCTTCATCTCCTCCGTCGACGGCAGGGAAACACGTCCAGAGTAGACCCGCGAGATATACGCCGCCTGGGCCTCCGCCACAGGGAACGGCACAATGCGCTGTGGCAACGTCAGGAACGTCAGCGTAGGCCGAGGCCAATACACCACCTGCTCCCAAACATGGTTCGTCCTCTGCCCTGTCGTGACGACGGGGAGAACGAGGTTCTGGAGGAACGGGAAGGAGTACTGGTACCCAGTGCAGAAGATCACGCTGTCGATGTCGGATTCAACGTGGCCGTCCGCGAAGCGGACGCTTTGGCGGTCCGGGAGGAAGGAGGTTATCTCGGGGCGGTAGTGGATTGAGGTGGAGGGGTTGTGGACGACGTTGGGCTTCTCTTTTTCGGAGACGATGACGTGGGGGGTTACTTTGCTGATCTGGGTGGAGATGTCGAGGCCGGAGGCTGAGTTGCCGATTATGAGTACTTTCTACGTATAGTTAGCATTGGGAATTTCTAACTCCTACTGTAGGTGGTTGTTCAAGTAGTTACGTACTTTGTCTGCATAGACTTCAGGCTTTCGATAGTATTTTGAGTGTGAGATTACATCGGGATACTTCTGCTGGAACTCCTTGAGGCCTTCAATGTCTGGGATGAAAGGATCGGAATAATGTCCATTGGCGCAGACGACAGCATCGAATTGCTCTTCAGTTCGCTTCTGAGAGATCACGTCTTCACTTATGACCTTCCAGATTGGTCTGCCAGCTTCAGACTCTGGGGAGACCTGCAAAACCTGTGTACCAAGTCTAACAAGGTGCTTGACGTCCTCCGCATACCCATCAAGGTAGCGCTTGACGACTTCGAATTTAGGGAAGAGTGCAGAGTCGGCGGGAAAACGATGGTCGGTGAAGTTCATCAAGCTGTACGGGATATTGGTCTCCAAGTAGTCGTACAACGGAGATGGGAATATCGCTTTCTTCGTGCCATTATTGGCATCCTCCTGGACGACTGGCTTCTCTACCGTTTGCGATGGACGCACACGGGGAATTGTGAAATCGAATTGCCATGGTCTCGAGGGGCTACCCGAATAATTCCAAACCCCGCCGACTTCTTGCCTCTGCTCAAACAATACTATCTTGCTGAACACTTTCTCCGCGAGTAAGTACCTATCAGGGACGTTAGACACACGGCGAACAATTTACCACTTCGGATATGATCCGATCGGGAATAAGAGGAATACTTAATAGTACATACTTTGCCGTTGCTAGGCCTGCGGAGCCCGCGCCAATGATCGCAACTCTCTTTATCTGCGTAAAGGCCTCCATTATTATTATGATTCAATCGTACACAATCAGCCAGCTAGCGAAAGCAAGGAAAGGTTAGGATAGATAATTAATCATTTAACAATTGCGATTTTTCTGACTCCCCGACCACGCCGACGTCGGGTCTGTCATTCGACTTTTTTGTTCGCCAAATCGAAAATGCTTGATGGTTCTTGGCGCAGATAAGCTGTTCTCCAAATGTCCTATCGGTCCGAAAATGCTGTGATTCCAAGTATACCTACGTTTAAGCTAATAAACGAACTAACTCCAAGTCGAATGGGTGGACATGCCGACTTGGATGCGAATGCTTCCCGTGTCTTATTACTCAGGCACCGGCGGAGCAAAGCGTGCCCTGAATCATTGCAGTGGATACTCATTCGTGTTCTAATCGTGATATAGTGGGAATCAATGGAAACGACAGCGACTGCACTAGTATATTGGAGTTAAAACACAGAGCACGTCATGGCAAGGTGTATTGCGTGCTGCAATGCAAGAAGATACATCAGGAGAGAGAAGAATATTAATGCTAATGCTTGAGCCCGAATCTTGTCTTGGTGTTGCAGTGGCCTGAGAGATATTGTTTTTTTTACGTGTCTCATATACCGGCTAGAAGGTGGGTTTCGCTATGTCGAACAAAGACAGCCTGGACAAGTCGGGCATTGTGGTTGATGGTCATGGCATTGATAGTCAACCAAAACCGAAGCGCACTCTCACGCAACGCGTCCTCGCGGTGGTTTGGGACTCTTTGGACAAATCGCCCGAGGAGAGAGCGTTCATTGCAAGAATCGATTGTATGTATCCTAAACCCTATTCTAAGATTTCAGTGGTGCTGACTTTTCAATCTTAGTTTGGATTCTGACCTATGTATGCATTGCATACTTCGTAAAGTATCTCGACCAGACAAATGTATGAAATAGTCAACATTAAGAATGACGAACAAAAGCTAATATCGAACAGATCAGCAATGCCTACGTCTCCGGAATGAAGGAGGACCTTCATCTTACCGGCAATGATCTCAACTACCTCACCACATATTGGAACATTGGCTACATTCTAGGCCAGATCCCTTCGCAGTTGATCATGCTGAAGATTCGGCCCTCAATTTGGCTTCCGACTCTCGAGCTCATCTGGGGATTTCTGGTGATGGGAATGGCTGGTGCTAAGGATGTGAAGACCTTATTCGTCTTGCGATTCTTCATTGGTCTGCTCGAAGCGTCCGCTTACCCAGGCATCATGACTTTGTTGGGAAATTGGTACACACCAGCAGAATTGGGCAAGAGGGCATGCATATTCCAGGCATCTTCGTCTGCAGCGCAGATGTTCTCGGGGTATCTGCAGGCGGGTCTCCTGCGAATGGATGGAAAACACGGAATCGCTGCATGGCAATGGCTTTTCATCTTCGATGGTAAGTTGTTTGCCGAAAATTTGAAACAAGGCGTTTGGCTAATTGTAACATATAGGAATCATCGGAGTGCCAATTGCAATCTATGGCTACTTTGCCATCCCCGATCAACCCACGAGCTCCAAGGCGCGCTGGCTCCCACCGCAGCAGAAACAAATGGCCATCGATCGCATGGAAGTTTGCAAACGGCGCCCTGTGAAGAAGCTCACTGCTCGCAAAATGCTCTCGATTCTCAAATGCTGGCAACTATACCTTTTCTGCGCGATCTTCGTCGCGCACGTCCTCGGCATTCGCATATACAGCTACTTCAACGTGTGGCTCAAATCGACAAAGAGATGGAGTACTGAAGAAGTGAACCTGATCCCTACCGCGGGATATGGTGCTCAGATCTTCTTCACGCTCACTTACGCCTGGACATCTGACGCGATTGGAAAGCGATGGCCGGTCATCATAGCCGCGTGCGTTCCAGCCTTGACCGGCTGCATTATCCTCTCCGTCTGGCCAGACCATAACATTGCGGCAATGATTGCCGGCTGGATTCTGACGTTCCTCGAGACTGGAGCAGGAGCTCTGATTATTACGTGGATTCAAGAAATTTGCTCAGAATCTGCAGAGCACAGAATTGTGATTATTGGAATCGTAGAGGCGATTGCTTTCACTTTCCAAGCGTGGGTGCCGCTGTTTGTTTACAACACGGGAAAGGCGCCTCATTTCCCTATCGGCTATGAGATGGCGGCGATGTTCTTTGCTATTGAGATACTCTTGACTCTGGTTATTTGGAGGCTGAACAAGAAGTGGCCATTGCGAGCAGAGAATGAGGATTGATTACTGATGGTCATCTACTAAGCACATAAGTGCTAGATAGATTGGGGCAGTTTGGATATGCTTGAGGAGCGTGTCGGTCCCGATTGTAAATGTTATGGAGTAAAAGCATGCATTCAATAGACTTAGCTAGCATTCAATAATACGCTGAAATAGTTACCAAGTTAGAAACATATGCCTTATCTTCAACTCGGCCCAAACATGCGTACTGCCGACTGCCGGTATCGGATTCTATTCAATCGTCGGCAATAACAATTATAGATCCATATTTATAAGTGGAGATCGTAAAGTTCGTGTTTAGACAAAAACGCTAAAGAAAGAAGCTTATGCTTAAAACTGAGTCGTTCAATTGCGACATAGCACGTGGTTGCGTTAAAAGGGCCTCCATGTCCTGACTATCTTACCATTATTCCAAACGGACTTTGCCAGTTTGTCATCAGCCCACAACGACAAAATGGTTTCAGAAACAGAGGCACGGGAAATATTTGAGTCGAACATTCATTTCGATGGGTTGAACATCTGCAAGTTCTCCCCTGAGATATTTCAGGCTTGGCGGGATGGTGGTATCGATGGTGTCTCATGCACCTGTGGACTATGGGAAGGTTTCCGGGAATCCATTGCGAATGTGGTTCAATGGAAGAAATGGTTCGAAGAGCACTCAGACCTCATAACCCAGGCACACACTGTTCAGGATATCCGAAATGCCAAGCTTGCCGGGAAGACTGCCGTATTATTGAGTTGGCAAAACACTGCCGGCATCGAGGACAAACTTGATTACCTCCGTGTCTTCAGGGACCTTGGCGTGCGGAAAATGCAGCTCACGTACAATACGCAAAACTACTCTGGATGTGGCTACACGGAGATCAATGATGGCGGGTTGACGGGTTTCGGCCGCGAGGTAGTGGATGAAATGGCGAAGTTGGGAATCGTGTGCGACTTGAGTCACGTCGGGCCAAAGACATCTCGAGACGTGATTGAGTATGCTCCTGCGGGCAAGCCGCCGTGCTTCTCGCACGTTCTGCCAAGTGGGATGAAAGAGCACCCACGCAATAAGTCAGACGAGTTGATCAAGCTCATCGGTTCCAAGGGCGGGTTTGTGGGGCTATCGCAATTTGGGCCGCACATGAAGAAGGGGAATGAGAGCACGATTGACGATTACGTCGAGGCAGTGGATTACATCATTGGGCTCATTGGAGAGGATCTCGTGGGTATCGGCAGTGACTCTTCCGAAGGCCATGGACGACCAAGCGATTTCATGGCATGGTGCAATATGGACAAAGGCTATGCTAGGAAGCTTACGCCTTGGGGTAGTCAAAAAGTTGTTAAACCTCTTGGCCCACTTGCGGAGAGACAAGAACTAGCACAGGCAATGGCTAGAGCGGGATGGAGCAAAGAGAAGATGGTAAAAGTTTTAGGTGAGTGTTTCCCCAGTTTCTTCCTTTCCATGCTCTAATGTGTTGAACCATAGGCGAGAACTGGCTCCGTTACTTGGAGAAGATCTTCGGTCAATAAGAAAAGAGGTGACTGTCGGAAGTGATCATTCGGTACATTCATGCCTCGAGTGAAGGCTCTGTGCAGTGCACACTTCATAAAAAAAATACCCTTCGTCGAAATTGTCTTTAAAGAATTCGACTACACTTCTTTACAGTTATCCATTATTGTGTGTTATGAGAACAAACTAAAGGGCGAACTGAAATCATGATGACGTGGAAACTGACGGGTATACGCCTATTTTAATGGTAGTGAAGATTAGTAGACAAAGTATCTCTCAATGGCTCGGTGGGATCTAAAGGGAGACTACTTGTTCGTTACCATCCATTCCACAGCCTGGAAAGTGAACAGAACCTGACTAGATCAGCCACTAGGTAGGAGTGTGCTACCTAAAATTACTCTTTGACATTCCCAGCGTGTTACGATGGTGCAATGTACGACGACTTTACTGGATTATAAGTAGGGGACACACTCATTCTCGATTCCTTATCGAGCACTGCAGACACTTTGGCGAGATCACGATGAGTACAACTCAAGGTATCATATACAATATTTGGTCTATTCGGAGAGGTTCATGGAGCATAGTTACCAATAGACTATCGATATAGTCTGATCATAGCCACGGGAGAGTTCGGTCAGTGTTACACTGTGCAGATTCTCAACTTGGACTGGCAACTGCAAACATATCATGACCATGTATACAATCCGGCGTACGCAGGCGACCTTGCAGTGAGCAAAAGCTCGTTAATTGCTGTCACGGTGAACGGATTATGCTGGTGGTTCGTACATGTGACGGAAGTGACAAGATCAAGATCATCGGAGAGTTGGTCACTGGGCAAAATCAAAGCAATATATTCGTCCCTTTGGTCCGTAATATGATATCCTGTCCTGGTACACCTTACTTTATCAGAAGCGCCACGAATGAAAGCCCAGCTGACCCCAGGTGGCGGATCAAATCAGCTTCGAGTCAGCCAGTAGGTTGTACCTGTCCGATCTGAGATGACCTCCTTCCATGTTCGATCATGTTCAATTCACGTAGGAATCTTCTGGAATTCGGGAACCTGACCAGCCAATTCTTGACGAGGCCAATGAATAGTACTAGATCGTATTATGAACAAGCAAGATGGTGGTTAACATTTCGATACATCCGGAGAACCAAGTACATCGATCTTCGGAATAGTCAGGCAATACAGCCGGTCGACTTTAAGCAAGTTGAACATCAAGGTTGCAAGTTCTCAAAATCGGGAGTATCGAAATACTCCTAATTTCTAGTTGCCCGAAGATTCATCGTTAGCAAACTTGTATCTATACATCTCGGCTGGCGTTCTACATGCAGATCTCGCGGCGATTGATTGTATTCACGATCTGTTGACTTGATATTTGTCACACTGGAGATGTACTTCCCATGTTGCTGGACTTCAACACGATCTAGACTGAAAGATGGGTAATACTTTGGGCGTTCAGAAAGTTGTACTTCCAGTCGGTCGGACTTGGGCACTGAGTGAAGTAATAAACAGATGTGTGGATAATCTTGATAATTTGAGTTGGTTGGCCCATGCAGGTTGTACGGCCCATATTAGCCTTCATGGGTCGGAAGTCTTTTAATCAATCTCGACCCCCTTCTTTACCGACAACATCAATTTATGAGGCCCTCAAAGCGCGAACATCTGGATTTTATTCGCCATAACACTGCGGGGGTGATGTTGAAATTGGCAACAGAACAAGCTTCCCCATGTTTCGGCAATTCAGTGCCCTGAGGCATGGCGGCAGTTGGTCAAAGATGTCGTGCCGTGATGAGATGTCTGGTCGAGAGACTTATCATAAACTCTGCAGAGCCTCGCAATCCTAGTTACTGTGCTCGACATCCCAACACCCGCTTCAATCCCTCAGGTCACTCCATTCATTCACGATGCGCTGGACCACCTTCGTCATTCTGCCCACGCTGGCCACAGCGCTCCCTCAATGGCTCAAGCGTCAAGGAGGAACTACCATGTTGCGATTTGGATGTGCACAGGTTGTCATCGATCGTCTCGACCCGCTGGTTAATCCTGGTCAGATCCCATCGCCTCATGTTCATCAGATCGTCGGAGGAAACGCATTCAACGCCTCCATGACAACTGGAGACGTCTCTGGAGGAGCATCGTGCACTACCTGTCGCTTCTCAGATGACTTTTCAAATTACTGGACAGCAAATCTTTACTTCAAGGCCCGAAACGGCAGCTACAAGCGTGTGAAGCAACTAGGCGCTGCGTAAGATAATATTCCGATTCGACATCGGTGAATGGGATACTGAACTCTGTGTAGTCGCCAATTCAACGATGACTTCAGCACCAAGATCGACGGTGGAGTCCTAGTTTACTACGTCTCTGCTCAGCCCGGCAAGATTACTGCCTTCAAGCCTGTAAGCTTTGTTGACATTTGCTCTTTATAACTGGAGACTTACCGATCACCAAGGGTTTCCGTATGCTTGTTGGTGACCCAGCCAGGCGCACAGCCGACCCAGCATTGAAGAGGCACAACTGCTTCCGTTGCTACACCGGTCCCAACTTTGGAGGTGACACTTCTGCACCTTGCATGGACAACAAGTATGTTAGCCTACAGTCCTGACGCTTGGAAATGAGACTAACATGATGATCCAGGATCGATACTCAAAATCTTCCCAAGGATGTTTGCAAAGGTGGCATTCGTTCCAACATCCAGTTCCCCACGTGAGTTGTTGATCCTGTAGTACCCCAGCTTAGAAGACTTCTAACTTACTTTCAATAGCTGCTGGGATGGCAAGAATCTTGACAGCCCCGACCACAAGTCACACGTCGCCCACCCAACCTCTGGCCCAGCCAACTTCCTTAGTCTTGGTGGATCTTGCCCATCTACCCACCCAATCAGAATCCCTCAACTCATGTATGTTCAACGAAACTGGTACCTTTTTCAGGCTGCTAACTGGGTATAGGTATGAAGTAGTCTGGGACACCACTCCATTCAACAACAAGGCCGAGTGGCCAGCGGATGGCTCTCAGCCATTCTACTTCAGCTATGGCGACAACACTGGATACGGACAACATGCCGATTACGTCTTTGGCTGGAAGGGCGACTCTCTCCAGAAGGGAATGGATGCTTCTAACTGCATGGGAGCCTCGTGCAAGGACATGAAAGTTCAGACCATCGACCAAGCCAAGAAGTGCAGTGTCAAGACCACCGTCAAGGAGGACAACGATGGCTGTAAGTTGATTGCGCATCCGCATGTTCTTAATCGGACCTATTTGCTGACTTGTCGAACAGGGATCTCTCAACTGCCAGGGGGTGAAATGCCAATGTAAAGGAACTGTATTGATCGTTCATGACTGGCCACTGTTGATTGCCGCCTGGAGTGCCATTGATAACTTAGAGATTGTCCACTTTCGTAATTTTTCTCCGTTGGGAGTCTACTGTCGTTATCGAGAGAAATTCCAGTTCAGTCACTTAGATTCGCTTTGCTCCACCTGCGCAAATCTGCAAAACATACCTGACCCCATGGTATAGCCCTTGCAAGACACTGATCGGCAAACTCATTCGTTGACGGAGACGTACGCCGGTCTACATAATCTTGAGGAGCGGAGTCTACTTGAAGCTCCGAATCATATGTGGGGTATGCATTCGGGATACCTAAGTCAGACTTCACTGTTGACTATAATTATCACACGCAAGAACATGCAGGAAAACGTTCTCCTCTTCATGATGCATCCCCTTGTTAATGCGTTATTGGTTATTGGCAAAACGCGTTGGCATTCTTGATCGTGGCGGGGTTATTCTCGCAGGCTTTGTGAAGCAACGATGAAGTGTAGGGGCCAGAACCAGTGCGTTTCTACATTGAATTGCATCTGCAGTTGTAGTTGCTTGGCTGGGTGTCAGAACGATCGTAAGACTGCATACTTGTGTACCCTGGTAACTTGCCTCGTATCGGGGGCTACAACTGCATTCACCCTTCCTTGAGTCAACTGAAAATAAGACGCGGAGAGGCTTCCACTCTTCTCAAGCCATCAACATATTATATCCTGTATCTCATAGAAAAATCGGTTGGGCAACTAATCTCCACTGCTCTTAACCCACCAGGAAGAGGCGAGCACTGGTGAGATGACGCAAAAGGCGCCCTCGCTACACGGCAGAGATACGGGTGTTTTTTGCGCCTGCGCGCCAAGTGGTCTTCTCTGCGCCTCCGCATTGTTTAAGCATCCCCAACGTGTCCAAGCACGATGGTGGGCCATAGTTCCCCATTTCCCCAGCTTGCCAAGGTGACCAAGGCGCTGCTGTAGGATCTTCAATATCTTGAGCTCTTTTCAGAAGGTGACATGGTTGAAAAGGAAGATCTTGCATGGGCACACCCCGCCCTTGTGACCAACATTCACAACGAAGAGGATGCGTAGGCCGACAAAGAATACAGAGTCGCCGCGGTTGCGGTGACCGAGATAACTGTATTTGAATCTTGCGTCGCCTCCTTATTTCTGGATCTTCAATCATCTAGAATATAGATTTTGGTTTGAAGACTGTAACTACCAGATACGCATTTACACGACATATTTATGGGTTGGCACACACACGCTTCTGGGACTCTGGACCCTCCAGAGGTGCGCAATTGGCGTATCCATACGATAGCCCTTGTGGCTTCAATGTCTGCTCTCGCAAGTAAGTTTAGATGAAAGCAATCTCATATCAGTCCTGCTCACAGAGACGCAGTGGGTTACGATACCGCAGTAATAGGTGGCACAATGGCCTTGGACTCATTCAAACGCGATTTTGGGCTTGACAAAGTCTCTACAAGCCAACGCGACACAATACAAGGCAACATTGTCTCCACCTTTCAAGCTGGCTGCTTCTTCGGCGCTCTACTCACATTCCCTATCGCCGAGAAGTTTGGGCGAAGAAAGACGGTTATGCTTGCTGCGCTTGTCTTCTTGCTGGGTGGAACCATCATGACTGCTGCGAGGGGTAACATGGACATGATCGTTGCTGGTCGTGCGATTGCAGGTCTCGGAATCGGGGCGTCTTCGCTGACCGTACCCGTCTATATTGCTGAGACAGCGCCTCCGTCCATTCGAGGGCGTCTGGTCGGCATCTTTGAGATAGCTTCTCAAGGAGGTGGTATGCTTGGCTTTTGGATAGTAAGTCCGGCAAAAATGCTCTATGGTTAGTCTGTCTCCAATGATACTAACAGTGCTTGTAGAATTACGGAACAGATCAGACCATAGACAAGAGCAAGCAGGCGCAGTGGATCATACCCCTTGCACTCCAGCTCGTCCCAGGAGTCGCGCTCTTTCTAGGCATGATCTGGTGCCCCGAGAGCCCGCGTTGGCTTGCACGTGGTGACAACTTCGAAGGTGCCGAACGAATTCTTGTGAAGATTCGGGGCCTGCCAGCATCGCACGAGTACATTCAGCGAGAACTTGGTGACATTCGCCTCCAGGTCGAAGAGCGCAGTACAAATCATTTGAGCAAAAGGGCACAGTTCAAGAAGCTCTTTATGAAGGGCACGCGTAACCGGATGGGCATTGGTCTCGCACTCATGTTCCTCCAGTCATTCACCGGCGTAAGTAGCCCGCAAACCACAAACAACACCGCAATGATACTAATTGGTGTAGGTGAACATCATCACATACTACGCACCTCGCATCTTTGAAACACTAGGCGTCCCAAGCACTTCCCTCAAACTCTTCTCCACTGGCTTCTACGGCATTGCAAAGACACTCGGGATGATAACCTTTACTGTGATTGTTGTGGAAAAGATAGGGCGACGCAAGGGACTCATCTGGGGTGCAGCGTTAGGCTGCATTCCAATGTGGTACATTGGCGGCTATGTCATGCGAGCGGATCCCGCTGCTGCTGCCGCTCGAGGCGAGGTCAGCAGAGATGGTTGGGGCTATCTCGCTATGGTCTGTGTCTACATTAACGCTTTCATCATATGCGCGACATGGCAAGGTATCACGTGGACGTATGCCTCGGAGATCTTCCCGCTCGATATCAGGATGCTCTGCGTCGCGCTGACCACTGCGGACACGTGGTTGGGCTCGTTCATCATCGCGAGGAGTACGCCCTACATGATCTCGGATCTGGGGTATGGGGCTTACTTCTTCTTTTCAAGTATCCTAGTGGCAATGGGTGTATGGTCTTTCTTCTTTGTGCCAGAAACGAAAGGCCTCACTTTGGAGGAGATGGATGATTTGTTCATGAGGCCCGCGCACAAGGCCGTCTGGGCACAGCTTCGGAGGCGACCACTGCCGGAACATGGGAGCGGTAAAGCCTTTGAAGAACCCGATACGGAAAAGGTAGACGACATGGAGCAGGAGAAGATTGAGTCCATTCAGACGAAAGGAGTGTGAGACACGAGTCTTTGGATTCATTGAAGGATATTCTACTTCGAGATCGCGGCACAACACTGCTATTGTATAGTAGCTTTCCCCCTTATTCACTGTATGAATGCTCCCAGCTCGGAGCTAGACGCCTCCAAAAAAGTGTCCCTTCGGTCTTAGCTGTGTAATTGTGGAAATTCAACTTAAGAACATCTCCATCCTCATAGAGCGTATAATTACGCTTCTGGTTTGTCCCCACCATACTCGGAGTGGCTGCATAAACGAGCGGACCATGTGTAAGCGTTCCGTGAGTTTCATTCCAGACTTCAACAGAGTAGGGACCAGAGTAGGACATTGCATGTCTTCCCACGAGAGCCCAGTCGCTGTCAGAGTCTGTGTCTTTTGGTGGCCAAGATATCCTCGTAGGCCGGTTTGTCGCATTTGTGTCCATAATATTGGCAGACATGTAGCCTGTTGCGCTGTAGTGAATTAAGCCTGCAGGGTTCGCTCCGGTTGGTAGGCTATAGCCTGGAAGGATGGTTCCATTGCGAAGGCTATGTTGTTGTTAACCATTTGGCGTGATTTGTAGTTATTTGGATTGCTTACGAAGTGTTGTTGATCAGGGACCAAGTCCCTGAGAGTATTTGGACTATCGCCAGAGGTGGTGTCATGGTGCCTCGAAACGGACGAATTTAGGGTGAGCTGAATAGTGACTGGCCTTGACCATTGATTATCGAAGGACTGTCAGATTATAAGAACTTCTACATTCAAGGTGAACAACAGCAATGTACAATACTGACCGATAACAGCATGCGTGCCTCAGCGAATATAGACGCAACAATATGCATGCTGTAAACATGTCCCCATAATCACAACCAACATTTCGTACACGGCGGCATGCCATTGTCAGACCAATTTCGATTTAATATACCGATTTCGTTCGAGACAAGGTGCCACTACGCAAATGAGCAAAGAGTAGCAAATCAAAGCATGAAGTCGACAAGGTGACGTTAGCAGGGCAATTTCTGACCGATCTACAAGTCCCAGATGGGTGGGGAATACAAGGACCGGGAGGTAATCGTTTTTGACTACACTGCATTGTTCCTGCACGTCTACAGCTGGAATATCTTTTTCCAACATTCCTGACCTTGTCTCTACATGTTGATCAGATTCTTCAGTGCATGATTATCCTAGCGATCTTTTGGCATCAGTACAATTTTCACACGAAGTAAGCGGCGCGAAATGCGTCCTGTTTGAGCAGCTCATTGCTATTGTCAACCAATCAATCACAGCCTCAGATATCATCTTTGGACAGAAAGTACTTGGTATTTCGAAAAGATTTCATCGAAAACGTGTGCTCGCAAAAGCTTTGCTCGCCTATTTGCTTCTTACAGTCAAGAAACGCCACCAAGGCTAATGTTCATATTTGCCGGCATGAAAGAAGTAGAAACGTGAGCTCGCGACGCGTCTAGAACTTTTGGACAGAAGATCGATTTCCGCCGCTGGCGACCCTAATAAGTACACGGCAATTCCGAATAGCTTGTCAATCTCTATGTTCATCGTTTCACAGGGAAGTACGCTTTACGTTTTCAATTCGACTAAGTGGCAGATATGAACTGCTCAGAGACTTTTTTGTATTGCTACGAACTCCATTTAACTCCATAAGACAAAGCACAGGCTTGGATGACAACATGGCTTGCTTTCAATGCAACTTGAGCTCTTTTCCAATACCAAAGCTGAGATAATCAACCCCAGATCCTCACCCCATAACCATACACATACGCCGCCAGCACTCCCGACCCAACCACCGACACCCCCTTCACAACCTGCCACAACCCATCCCTCAACTTCCTCCTCTGCACCTCTCGCATCCACTTCCTAAACTCCTCCCTCTCATTCTTGAACGGAAACGGTTCGTTCGGGACCTTCTTCCCCAAAAACTCACACAGCGGCCCCCACCCACTCCCAAGCTCGTAATTCAACAGCCGCTCTCTCGGCACGCGCTCTCGCACCATCGCGTAGTGCGACTTGTACTTCTCCCTCGCGCTGGCGGCGTACGACGCTTCGTCGTGGCACCCGAACCAGGCGTGGGACTCGTTGACGATTAGAGTCGCGGGCCGCGCGCGCAGGAAGTAGGGTTCAAGGATTGTGGTGAGGATCTTGACGATGGGGGTGTAGTTGTTGGGGATTACGGAGACGGCGTAGGACTCAAACCATTTGTCTAGGTCGCGGTCGACGAGGACGACTTTGGCCTGGTGGGAGGGTGTTAGTTGTGGGTTTTTGCGCTGGGATGAGGAGGTATGTTGATCTATATGAAATCGCTAACGCGCAAATTTACCTCTGGATACATCTCCAACAACTCCTCTGAGAACCCAATAACAGGCAAATCGCTCAACACGTGAAATTCACCAAGGAAAGCGTCGAAATCAGCTCTCTCGAACGGTCGTCCCTTGCCGAACCACTTCGCGTCCACCGCCTTCTCCCACTGCACTTGGTCATCTGGTCGGTCGACGAAGTCTGTGCCGTGATATGTCGAGAAGCCTAGGATCTTGTACGCTTCCATCATGGACGCGGAGCCTGTCCGCGGCATCGATAGATGTAGGACTTCTAGGGGGACTTTGCGCTGCGTTGATGACGCCGACGACATATTGCTTTAGTGTGGTTGTGAATCCAATTCAGATAGTTGAGAGACGTTGAACGTTGGATTCAACATTTGCTGTTATAGACATCATCACCAACATTCGGTATGGCTAGGCGCGGTAAGCACTACCATCCAAAGTGGAATTAAAGTGTCGCCAAGGGCGATTGGAGTCGTTGGAAATAATGACCCGAAACTTGGCTTCTCATAGCTGGCGGGGCGCTTGGGCAAAGGCAATTGTAAGAATGGGGTCGAAAGTGTTGTTCTTTTGTTACTGTGCATGTTTGGTTGCGGGTAAAGCATGCCTAAGAGAACATGTGAGGATGATTTCGTACTATAAACCCATCAGAATGCATAGCAGCGGTGCCAAACTGGATCGACCAATTGTTGCAATAGTTCATCTTGTAGGCTAAAGCATGGTCCGCAAGCGCGCAAAAAGTCTCCGTCCAGCAATGTCATGAATCCAGCGTGCCAGCATCTGGTATTTACTCTCCCCTTCATATAGCTAGTCTTAGTCTTTAGCGAAGGTAACGTTATACTAGGAGCAGTAGTCAGTGGCTGCAGCCTCGTCGATGTACTTCCGAATTCGATCTGTGACTGCTTTAATGTCTGCGCTTTGGGAAACGTCAAAATCTCTCAAAGGGGATGGCTTTGTGATTCTTGATGAATTGACGTATTGGATTTGTTTGCGTTTTGCTATGCGCAGGGTATGGACTATGGAGCGTGCACATGGCAACAGCATGGCGATCTGAGGCGCCGTGGCATCGCGCACAATAGATGGCGGGAAGTAAAGCGTGAGGTCTGTATGTGGGTACGGACTTGAGACGAGGAGGCAGGAGCATAATGTGACATAGCTTAAGCATGAGAGTTCGTACTTATTGAATGTCATGGTTTGTTTACATGATGTTGTTGGTTATTGTTTGTGCATAAAACTCATCATCAAGGCTTGTAAGAATGTATACTTGAACACACACAAGTAATGTACGTCTGACAAGCTCATATTAGTATGGTAGAGTAATACACTATTCCATGAAAATGATTTAGCATGATACAAGCACTTTTCGTTGTGAGATCGTCAACTCGGGGGTCTTGAAAGCGGATGAACGTCTGCCCCATGGCACATCTCACTAAGGGGTGAGCATTATTATTACCTAGGTATGTATTTACTGTTTTGAAGGCTCTTAATAATGGCATGGATGAACAGCCGATGATATGTACTGATGGAAATTTATTTGCTTCAGCTGAACTATTGTGCCATTATCCAGAAATGGCGAGGCTGTGTAGCCGACTCGTGGCGTTTACCAAAGTCCTTACCCGATCTCGTCTACGCCAGATCTCCAGTGCTTTTGGTGGTTCAGCTGCGTTGATTGCCTGAACCGGTGAGTGGCTAGGAGACGGGTCAGGCGTTTGGAGCGGTGAAAATGTGATTGTGCTGCAGCCGTGAATACTTTGAATGTTTGTTGTCGTTAGCTGGTGGTTGTGTCATTATTGATGTTGATACTGTACCTGCGATCAATAGCGCGACGATCGATGCGCTTCATCCTGGTGATCGTCGTGATGGGTGAATGAACGAGTATGACGACACGAATGGTTGTGATGTAGACATGTCGATTTTCCAGGGCTGAAAACCTGCATTTCATTCAACCGTTGCGACTGCAAGGTTACGGTTATTGTCATGGTCATGGGTCACAAGGATCCTCGTCCTTTGCAGCCAGCTGGAAGCTCTGAATTGCCAGCCAAAACGCACGCCCGCACGCCACGTTTTGGGTCTTTCCCGCCCATGTCGTGCCAGCAATCACGAATAATTATGATGATGATGCTGGCCTCTTCTGACTCCTTCTTGTTGTGACGTGCAGAAGTTAAATGCGCGATCCCCACTTTCCAAGGGGAATCTTCGCCTTCACACATACACCTCTACCTACACTTCCCACTACCGCGTAACTGCAAGCCAAGCGTGTCAAATTGTCGAACGCGATCCGGAATATTCTATTAGAGCTTAATACCAAGCTCGCATCCTCTCAAATCTTGTTGCTTGGATAAAGCACCAGTGTACAACCCATCTCCCACGATGCCTGCAATCATCAGCCCAGACGTCATCAAGCGAGCCTTGAGCGATCCCGAGTAAGTACCCATATCTACGTCGCAACAGGTGTAGAATTCTGATGCAAAAGTAGAAATGTCGCGCGTTTCGTCGAGCTCGTAGCTCGCAAGACCAAGAAGGTCAAATCAGGCAAAGGCAAAACCAAGATCAAGGGTGGTGTCATCGCGGGTATCGTCATTGCGATCATCGTCGCCATCATCGTATTGGCCATCATTTTGTTCTTGCTCCGTCGAAACCGCAGGAAGAAGATCGCGGCGGCACCAGCACACTAGGGAGATGGTATTTCCAGGACGAAGTTCGATGTGGATTGAACACGATTGAGGCCATATACCCTTTGTAATCATCCTTGAAGGCGTTGGTGGTATTTCTAAATAGTAATTCAACGGTAATGAACTCGTCTTTCGCGCATACTATTGATTGCAAGGGACCAAGTCATAATGTAAGATCGACGGATAATGACGAGCGACACCGTCTCTTGAAGTGTTTGTAGATGTTCCAGAAGCTGTCTTGATTACATCTTTCCGAATATTCAACACTGGAGCGTGTCTGTAAAGGTATCGTCATGATTGGTCGGGCTGGGATACATGGACTATTTATACCCAATGTTCACGTGACCAATTCAATGTGACCGCAATGGAATGAGGCCTGTCTGGGCATGTGGGCGTACGGAACGCAGACAGAGAGGAGGTAATCCTCGTTGGATCAAAGTAATACACCGGCAAGAAGGAACATTCCTTGCCTGCAAGATGGAGTGACATATATGCATACACATACAGACGGACAGATGGATGTCGGTACGTCGACATGGCAAAGTACAGATACAATATGACAGGATGGATGTGTCGATCGGTAAATCCTGCATGCTCCCATATGTCCATATTCGTCCCTACGCATAGACAATGATGATGGATGGGCTTGGTGTTTTTTTGTTCATTGTGTCATCTCTTCGTAGTACAAGCCCGCCTCTCTCTTGGTCCACTTGGCTTGGTGGGTGATGATGGTACTCGTATGGGATGGGATGCCCGTGGAGGGGTAAAAACATGTACCTTTTCCGAGGTCGGAGTACGGGTATGTATATACTGGTACACTGTTGATTGTGGAAGGATCCAAGAAAGTAGGCAGATAGAGAGAAGACACCATCTAAAGAAAAGAGCCGAAAAAGCCACAACTTTGGGTTAGTTGAAGATTAAATTACCATAGTAAATGAAAACCTGAGGATGGAGAGAGCTGGTACGAGGTACTTTGTTGGTGGGGGTTCATGGTGACTATGGGGGGGTTTCTTGCCGAGGTAGATGAACAAAAGAGGAAGTAGCCGACGTAATGCCTAGCTGGCCCGGAGACCTGGAGCTGCCTCTCTCACATGCACATGCACTTTTCTATTCACTTTCACACACACTTGGAATAATTTCTTTTACCCTTCCCTCCGCCTACTCCACCCTCCTCCTCTTCTTGCTGCTTCATTTTGCACCTCTTCCGCTCATAGACATATCCTCCAGCTGCTCAGGATTCTAGCCAGCAATTCATCCCCGTCAATATCCGCTAGTACAGCTCAATCAACACCAATGGCTACCAAAACCGCCGTCGTGGACAAATTACCTTCGGCGGAAGAGGTCAAAGAAGATGTGAAGGCAGCAACTAAATCCTCCTTCCAATCCCTCCGCGCTCTGGCTGCCGGAGGTGTGGGAGGTGTTTGCGCTGTTATTGTCGGTCACCCTTTCGATTTGGTCAAAGTCCGTCTTCAGACCTCAGAAAAGGGCGTGTACAGTGGCGCGATGGATGTCGTGAAGAAGACAGTTGCGAGGGAAGGTCTTGCACGAGGATTGTATGCCGGTGTTTCTGCACCGCTCGTCGGTGTGACGCCCATGTGTAAGTACTTTCGACGACGCGACCCCGCTGTCTAATAATTCCTCTCTGTGCCATGACATTTGAGCTGACCAGACCCTAGTTGCGGTATCCTTCTGGGGATATGATGTTGGCAAACAGCTTGTTTCTTCCTTCTCCGAGGTCAAAGATAATCAGTTTTCCGTCGCCCAAATATCTGCCGCCGGCTTTTTCAGCGCAATCCCCATGACATTGATCACTGCACCTTTCGAGCGCGTCAAGGTGTTGCTTCAGATTCAGGGCCAGAAGCAACTCGCACCTGGCGAGAAGCCCAAATACTCGGGAGGTGTGGACGTTGTCAGGCAGCTGTACAAGGAGGGTGGCATTCGTTCCGTGTTCCGTGGTTCGGCCATGACCTTGGCAAGAGATGGTCCCGGTTCTGCCGCGTACTTTGCGACATACGAAATCGTCAAGAGGAAATTGACCCCCAAGGACCCCGATACTGGCAAGCCAGGCGAATTGTCATTGTCGGCCGTTATGGTTGCTGGTGGTGCTGCAGGTATTGCAATGTGGATCCCGGTCTTCCCAATTGACACTGTCAAGTCACGACTGCAGTCTGCCGAAGGCCGACCAACCATCAGCGGTACGATCAAAGGCATCCACGCAAGCGGTGGCCTAAAAGCCTTCTTCCCAGGTATCGGGCCCGCAATGGCGCGTGCCGTTCCCGCCAATGCGGCAACCTTCCTCGGCGTGGAGCTCGCACACAAGGGCATGCGCAAGATGTTTGATCGCGACGGCGAGTAGACGAAACGTTTCCATTACTTTTCGCGAACGCAAACAGGTCGATATATCTACGCGTTTATGCACACCATATTTCCTTATCTCACGAAATCTCATATGGATTGAATTGCGATGACAAAAGTCAAGATGCTTGCGGAGGGTTAGACGTCGAAGACATGGCATGGCATCATGGCGTTTTCTTCTTCTATTTCCTTGAATATCTCTCTGATTTTGGTTCTTGATATCCTCCTGGATCTGCTATTTTCTTCTATGTTCATTTTATTTTTCAACGCCATTCTATTGATTTCGCATCCTGCGCTGCGGCAACGCGATGCTGGCCTGTTTCTCCCGTTCAACGCTTTAGACGAATTCTCGTAGATACTGGGTGCGCGCTCAAAGAATATCGACTTGTACATTATAACAACCTCACGAAGTCTTTTCAAGTTGACGCTCTGTATTCTGTCCTCGGTCATCGTTCTCGCTAGGTGCTGCTCAATAGATCCTCTTGGCTGAGTTGAAGACCCAGTCGCCAATTACCGCTTTCGTCCTGAGGAATGCGACTCCAGGGACCAGCTGCCCAACCCCCAATCAGGTAAGATGTCATTCTCCATGCCAGTGTTCATTATACTTACATACCTTCTTTGTTTTGGGCAATTTCCTTTCCCTAAGCGTATCATGTCTTTTATTTTCATATGGCACGCTTCCGCTGCGACTCCAGCCCATGCTGTGCGCACTCTTTGTTTCGAAGCTTTCGTCCGAGTACATAGATCACGATCGCAAAGAGTTGGACCTCGCCTTAGCATTCTACCAGCGCAGAGCACCAGGTAATCCTCTGTTGTTGTCTACCACTATCCGTCGAAGTGTCTGAGTTCTCTTTAACGCTCCGCCTAAAAACTCCAGCCCACTCTGAATGCGACAATCGAGCGAGAACTTCGTGAAGGAGACCTACATCGAGCAACGGATACACCATCAAAGATATATCTAGAACCTGAGGAGGAGTGTGAGACAAGAGGTGCACCGCAACAATGCCTGACCACCCTTTCCAACCTCAAACCCCTACCTCCCCGACTCGCCATTCACAGCAACAGCACTCGTCCCACTCGTCACCCCCAACGCGGTCCATATTCCTTACGAACCCATCTGCCAGACTATCATCTTCGCCGGCGTCATCGCCCCAGATCGTTTCAGACGACTTCCTCACGAGATCTCAAAGCGTGAAGCCAGAGGTGAATCTGGAGCCCCCATCTTCAACCAACAGAACCATCGTTCCGATTAAGGAAACCAGGTCAGGTTTGGGATCGGGGACAATGACGTCCCAGGATATAGCTCCCGGTGCGGATTTCTTCTACTCCGATACCGAGGCAACAGAAGAGGATGGCGACGGCGCCCTTCACGACAACGAGGACGCAACGGCGGGGGGCAACTATAGTAACTCCGACGTTTTGCCAAAGAGCAATGGGAACAGTATTGAAGATGATACCGATGATGACGATTCTGCGTGGGAGGACGACAACGGGACGCGAGACTTCACTGATGTGATTGAGGGTATTGGACTGGGCATTTACGAGACCGTGGATGGGCAACGAAACGACGGAAAAGTGGGATTGGGAGCTGCCAGGGGAGGGCGGCAGGGAAATGGCAGGAGGCGGAATGATACGCTCCATCAAAGGCCATTCCCACCGTACAAGCAGCTTGCACCCCGTGATTCAGGCATGGGGTTGTCGAACGTCAGCACCGACACAGAGCCGATGACGAGGGGAGAGGAGTTAAAGAACGTAGACAGCCCTCTAGAACGAAAGAGCACGAAGAAAGCACAGAAGATGAGCGTCGGACGTCCCGGTCCCGCAAAAGTCGTCCACCATTATGGGAGTGGCTCGGGAGCAAACACCCCGCGAGCAGAAAGCCTGCAAGACATGGACGGCGGCTCTATGAGTTCGCCAGAGAAGAGCCACAGGGTCGGCGACTCATCCACTACCCTCGGAAGACGTCACAGGCGTAACACGTCCGAAAGTCTACACGCGGTGCTTCAGACGCATGCGATGACCATGCGAGCGCTGGAATCGCTCTCGCCATCGGCGAGTCTGAGTCTGGCGCATGCCCACGCGCGAGCACGCTCGATCTCTCACCCAAATCTCGGATTCGGTGGCAGTGGACCGGAGCCTGCATTTTCCTTCATGCACTCCCAGAGCCTCGCGGACAATCGACACTACCCATACTCGCACGGCGGCATTGTCACGGATCCCAACCGTCCGCCCAACCTGCCCACCCACTTCGTCAAAACGCCGTATCCTTTCATGTCCAAGAAGGAGTTCCCCAAGCCCCAGACGAGACCGCGGACCAGAGGAGATGCATTTACGCATTCGAAGGCTGAAGATCTCGCTTCCGATAAGGGGCAAGAGATTTTGGGCCTTGGAGTCAGTGAGATGGATCTGCTTGCGAGGAAACGAAGACATATGGTTGGACTGGCCGCCAGCGAGGGTGTTCTCGACGTGAAAGGCCGCTGCGAAGGACGACACAGTAGAGGGGTGCTACGTCGGGCTCAAAGCGATGGAGGAACAAGGGGCAAGAAGAGGCCTTGGGTCGAACTGTCTCGAGCTGGCACGGGTGGATCGACCAGCAATAAGGAGAGTATCGTTTGGCTGAGCTTGAGGACGACGAACGTGTCTCACAAAAGCTCCATGGCGAGATTAGAGCACATCTTCGTGCCGAGCAATCTCATGATGAAGGGATCCGAACTCACAAACGGACGCAAGCAAACTTCCAGCAACAAGCACCATACCAGCGACCACGGGTCAACGGCAGACATAGACTTCGACGACAAGTACTTCGCCGAACGCCTACGACAATCATACCGCTCTCTCGCGGGAGGATGGCTACGAAGGACCCTCTCATCCCGAACACTTAAATACATAGAGCTGGGACGAGTGAGCCCATGGAGTGGCTACTCCTCCTGTCGAGACTTCCGATCTGCCCCTTCACCGCCTCCCCTCTTCTCAAGACTCCTCGCCAGAGGGAGAGGCCGCACAAGTGTGGACGACGACGACGCCTCACCATTCACGGAGCACAACCTCATGGACTTGTACCGGAATCCTCCGAGCGGCAAGGCACGGTATACGTGGGTCCACTGGGCAAGGAGGCTTGCCGCAAGTAACGAAAGCCGTACGCGCGAAGACCGTTCACTGTCCAGAGGCGGTGGCTCATCCTCTTTACGGAGCGCCAGGACGGGGGACTACTCGTCAGGAAGGGACGATAAGAATGTAGATGAAGTCGACGTTCTTGAGAAAGGTAAAGCTTCTCCCATTCTTCCACACAGATCATGTTCTAATGAAATAACGAGTAGCCTTCGACCCACTCTCGATGTCAAACGACGACGGCAGTAGCAGCGGCCAGCACAACACGATAACGAGCATCCAATTCGTGCACGGCTTCTCGGTCCTCCGCATCGCGTCAGCGCTGGCCTTCATCCTCGCGTCATCGATCGCCGCGGCACTGCTGTGGGTGTTCCTGGGCCGGAGCGGATGGGTGAATCTGCAGGCGGGGGGTCGGGGCGAGAGGGTTGGGCCTGGGGTGCTGGCGGGGATCCTGGGACTTTTCGTCCAGTTGGTTTTGTTTGCTGCGTGGTTGATACTTATATGACGCTATTTTTATTTTTCTTTCGAGTGTATAAAATAGGGAAGACGTAGTCAGTGGTCGATATCATGTGTGGAATTTTGGATTTAGTATACGCAAAGCACCATCGAGAACACTTTTAATCTTTTTGAAAATACAACATATCCGTGCAAAGAAAGACAAGAATTGATAAGAGAAAGTCGTGACGACGATCATTGGGGTAGTAATATCATCACTTCAATTCCCGCCTTCCATAAATATTGTTCTCAGCAAAGAAAGCATCCATCTCACGAAAGGGAGTCGGCATCACCATCCCATGCCATGACCCATTCCGCCGACGATACTTCCCGTTATAACCTGGTTCTGAGGACCATAGATCCATGGGTTCGGCTCGTGGGGTCTCTTGGTGTGCCCCGGACCCTCATGCCGACACAATGAACACCGACAGCCCCTGGCGTGTTCTCCGTAGTCGCGAGGTATGTGGCCATCCCCAGTGCACGCTTCGCATATACAGTGAAGTGGATGGTGCCTCGCTTCGTGATGTTTCCTCCGCACCTCGATATCGCATGGGCCTCCGGGTTCTGTGTTTTCCAGGCTGGAGTGCTTCGCGCGTTTCGCGTATAGCTGGAAGCAGCTATGGCAACGAGTGCATTGCTGGCACTGTGATTTATGGTCGTGGATCGCGGGGTCTCTGGAGATGGTGCTGATACTGAATACAGACAAGACTGAATGGACTGATGACTTGATGGAGCCTGCTATGGAGTGGTCGCTGGTGACAGACGATGCGGAGGATTGTGCAGTTGCGTGGTGGCCGTACCGATGACGAGGCACGGCGAGCTGGAATGATGGTGGGAGGGGCGAGAGTATAGAGGTACGGCGGCGTAGGGAGGAGTCATCCGATACGCGCCCGGGAGTTGGTTCTTGGACGTATATGGCCTCGGGACTCTGTATCAAGGCGGGGGATGGATCCGGAGAAGGTGAGATCACCACGGCGGAAGGTGAAAATTGCGCTTCACGGATGGACGCTTGATCGGTCTTGTCGATGAGGTCATTGGTGTCTTCATTTTCCGTGAATTCACCAGAGGCAGCGTGTGACGAGAGGTGCATCGACGAAAGGCGGATAGGTGAGCCTTTCCCGTTATGTTTGCTGTTGACTTGATAGGCTTTGTGGAGAAACATGGAGGCGTGAATGATACCGGGCAGCCATCCGAGAATAGATAGTAGCACGTTGAGGGCGAAATCGTCCCATGGGGGTGAATTAGGATAGGAGACGAGGAAGAAGACGACCGGGGGTGTCACAATGGCCACCGCCTGGTGAGCGAGATATCTGTGATTTAGGCGAGCGCAGGATATTCTAGCCATGGATTGTGGAGTGAATTTGAATTGGCTAAGAGGTTGGCGTTCATTTGTGCCTTAGATTTGAAGCAGCATAGATATGAGTAGAACTTTTGTTAGGTGTTGAAGGTATGAAGTCTCTAGAAGCGTTGAAAAGCGGTTATAGAGATTTCAGGATAGGTAAGCACCCCCTTCATTCATTAGATCGTTCGTAGTACCAAAACGGGCAAGTAAGACCTTCGCATGACAGGTAGGAAGGGTCAACTGAGTCGCTCCGGGAAAGCACAATAACTTTAACGTGCGATGCTGTGGCAAGATGTATAGACGTGACGTTCTCAACAATCCAAATGCTTCATGAATTACTACTCATTGGGTATGTAGTGCGAACAGTTATGATACATGGGAAAGGAATATATACTTTACATTTCATAATCTATCACCGCCTCTTACAAGAACCTACTCGGCGAACTCTTCTTCAACACCAACGGATGTCTGTGAACGCTGGGCATCAATCCCAACCCAATGGCTCTTCGGACGGCCTTTGCCACTTTACGCTGATTGACGGGACGCAATCCGGTCAGTTTCGAATGCTTTATTCGTCCCATTTCAGACATGTATTCAGACATCATAGTAAAATTCTGTATTCAATCAGTAGAGGTGCGGCCTAGGACTCTCAGTGATCTCACCTTGTACTCGTTGATGGGATTAATGCCGAGCGTATCGAAAACATCACTTGGTGGTGTCCGGCGACCCATTTTCCACTTCTTCTGCTCGGCGCCGGACAAATCATGCGGCGAGTATACGTCTCCAGCATTCCACTTGCGAAACATCTGTTTGGTGTAGGTCTCCGCCTTTGCCGACTTCTCCATCTCCTGTCCGACGTTCGATCGTGGGCCCAAGTTCCGCCTTGCGAGTTTGAATGCCGCTGTCTGCTTCGATCCAGATGCTTGAGGTTTGGGAGTAGAGGGATGGTTCTGTGCCGCCGGCTTCAAAATGTCGAGAATGTCATCTGCGGTTCGACAGCGATTAGTACGGGAAAGACATGCCATAGATAGAACAGCGCCTTACTTGATTGACTACGGGAAGACGATGATATGCAGCGAGTAGTGCCGCGGGCAATTGGACGCGCAAAGCGCATCGGGAGCAGAGAGAACGACATGGCGGTGTTGTGGTAGTGTTATTGGCGTGTAGACCTGATATCTTGTGATGTTGAAGTTGTGAACATTTTAGCGTGCCAAGAGAAATGATTTCACTTTCCGTCTATACCATCAGAAAGAAGCTCTCAGTTCACAGTCTTTTCTATACCCCTCCAATTTGCCGCCCACCCTTTCATCTAAAGTTAGGATATCTTGGATATATTACGGGACTCATGGAAGGCTACGAAGAGAACTAGATTCTACCACCAGGCGCCACAATTGCACTTCCGAGACTCGAAGCTCTCCATCGCCGCCGCCGCCGCCATGCCGTCACAATTGACCCGCGTCGTCTTTCGACGCATGCTTGCCGACAAACCAGTTTTCTACCGTGGATGTGTCTTGAGGGCAGTCAGACCGAGAGTCCCTATACAACCCTCTATCGTCACGGCACAATGTTCGCAACAACGTACATTTCTCGACATGTTCAAGCCGCAGCGCAAGGTGCGCTCCGCAGAATTGCCACCAGGAATAGACAAGATGGGGGAGTTGGCAGAGCTGCAGCGTGTCTCAGCGCGATTACCCCCTCCGGATGAGGTCTCGCGGGCCCTGAATAATTTCTTTGCGCGAAAAGATTTCACCGCCGAAGATCATCACATACGCCTAGCGCACAATGCTGTCAGATATTTGCAGACGCACCTGCAGGAGGATCAACAGCCATGGCTTTCGGACTCCACGATTCGGACAATAATGACCAGATTGGAACGTCGACCGCAAACGGGTGGTAGCGAACATTTGGCATTTGCGAGGTACTTGCACAATGACGTTGTGGTACAGCCCGAGCTTGGGGTGACGGACGATATGAAGAAGTCCACGTCACAGGAAGTTCAGAAGCAATATTCCATATATCTGTCTCAGTATTTGCGGGTGTTGACATTATATGGGGCATCTGTCGAGGCAAGAGAGATCGCTGTTGCGAACTTTTCTGGCCCTGCGGCATCGATCGAGACACTGAAGGCGATCACGTCGGCCTGGACCCAAGTACTTCGAGGATTCACACGAGAGGACAACGAAGAGGAGCTTACTCTGACGGCTGCAATGATGGAGGAATTGTCAATACCATTTGTTCACCGTATGCAGAACGTTTTAGTCGCCTACTTTGCCAGCAAGAACAATCTGAACCAAGCCAAGTATTGGTATGAGAAGCCGGTAAGCGGTGTCAGAGATCCCAACGACACAGAGCCTCATGGCAATGCCTATGCTGCAATCTTGAAGGCTTGTGCCGTTACCGGCGACTTGGAGTTTGGCCATCAGGTCGTTGCTTCACTGCTAAAGAGCACGCCCAATAAAGCTGCATGGGACGCCATTTTTGTATGGTCTGCAGCGCTAGGAAAAGGCGTGGATGAAGCAGATCGTATGATGAACGTTATGGTCCGCAAGGATGAAGAGGCTCGCCAGCAGGATCCGTCGCACCCAGTCGTTCGGCCAGATATCGAAACGATAAACGCACTCGTTGAGTTTGCTATATCCAAGCAGGACTCTTACTCTGCCGAGCGGTACATTTCCCTCGGCGAGAAACGAGGCATACTGCCAAACCAGAAGACGTACATGATGCAAGTGCAATACCGACTATCTGTCAAGGATATTGATGGGGCAAGGACTGCCTACTTTGGACTACAGGGCGCCAAAGATGAGAAAAGCGTCGAGGTTATCAATGCACTCATCCGAGCCATGTGCCACGCCAAGCAGCACCACTTCGACGACATAATGGCTATTGTGGATGACATCCACGAAAGCAGAGCCCGTCTAGATCCCGAAACTATCACTGCTGTCGCCATCCTCCATCTGCGGAGGGGCGAAATGCGCGACGCTATCGACCTACTTCAGGTCCACGCCCATCAGTACTCCCCTAGCCAGCGAGCCGTCATTCGCCAGCAGCTTCTCGCCTTTCTCCTAGATCGCACGAACAGTACCGCAGACGCATGGGACACGTATCAAATCTTGCGGCAAATGTTTCCTGAGACGACTCGAGAAGATCGCATGCAGGCGATGAATGAGTTCTTCGCACGCCAGCGACCAGACATGGCCTGTCACGTCTTCTTTCACATGCGGAACAGTACACACGAGACGATATGTGCTGATCGTGAGGTGTACATAGCAGCTTTCACTGGATTCGCCCGTAACGCAGACGCCGAGAGTCTGGAGCTAGCGCATAACCAGCTCAAGCTAGACCTGAATGTGGACCTAGACACCCAGTTGAGGAACTCATTGATGTTGGCCTACGCGGGGACGGGAAACAACCGACGTGCACTCGAATACTGGTCAGACATAGTGGCGTCCAAGGAGGGACCGACCTACAACAGCATTGCCATTGCATTTAGGTCCTGCGAAGGGATGCCTTGGGGCGACCAGCATGCGAAGCCGATCTGGCAGAGGCTGAAGCAGATGGACATTGACATTGACAAACAAATTTTCACCGCATACTTGGGTGCGATTGCTCGCAATCAGTTGCACGACGAGGCTGTATCCATGCTCGAGACGGTAGAGGAGGAGTACGGATTTAGGCCTGATTTCTATGTGTAAGTGATCTGATCATCCAGATATCACTAAGTCATCTGCTAATTGCCACCAGACTGAGTAATTGGTTCAATGCGACTACGAACATCGAGAGGCAGGGCAAAGTGGAGGCATGGATCAAGGAATATTACCCTGAAGTCTGGACGGAACTCGAGAAAGTGGGTTACACGGTTACGATGGATGGGTTCGGATACCGGCAATACAACATCAACCGCGATTTAGATCCTTAGGGTGTGTGACAGTGGCGGATCTTTCCGAAGGACGTGTTGTACGATAGCCGTAAGTTGGTGAGACAGGTAACGACGCTGTTCATTTGGAGGGGCATTAATCTACTGCACCCGCATTGTACAAAGTCTGTAATCTAAATGGTTAGGGAATCAAAGTCCTATATCGACCGATCAAAGCCCGGAGTTTGGAGGCGTTCCGCTAATTGGTGATGTCCAGACGATCGATGGACGGCGACTCCACCTTGTGCGTTGTCTTCTATGGTGCCTCCAAATGCCCTAGCCTGGTATCTGGGAGGGCCGTCGCCGATGTCATAGATGCTGCCAGCCGCTGGATGGTTATAAAGGCATGCCTCGAACATAGGACTCGACCGGTCGACTTTGAGCATATCTGAACGAATTATTCTAGACTCGATCCATTCCATCATTCATTGTCCCCCATCACACGTGCCACATTGTCTTCAAATATCCATCTTAAGGTACACTGATTGAAGTGATACCTCAACGTCCACTACTGACAAACTTTGAATTCGACCTAGGTTTGATAAGAGCAGGAAACAATGCAGACCTTCCTGCTCATCACGGCGGCCACGCTGGGCGCTGCTGCACCTGCCATGCTCCAGTGCGGCGGAACAGAAACAATGACACTTCTGGGTGACGCCAACTGTCGGTCCTTCGCCTCTGCTTCCACCGGCGCTGTCGCAGGAGAGCACTATGACTCGAACATCTGTGACTGCGTCTTCTTCAGGTAGGCCAGGACTATTCAGACTACATCCCAATGAACTACCGAAGAACTCACACGACCACCAGCGGGGATCAATGTGCGGGCGACCTCATCTCTGGCAACATGGCTGTCATCCACAACACAGCCAACTCATACGTCTGCTTCCCCAAAGCAAAGACAGACTCGACGTCGGCGTTCGACGCCAGGGACACCGACGCCGACAACGTCTGTCCCTTCGTCCGCGACGACAGCAAATCCCCCATCACCCTCTTCGGGCCCAACAACGAACTCCTCACCACTTCCTCCCCACAAGGCCCCATGTCAGGCCACATGGTCCTCTGTAAGCCCTTCCCCTTTTACCCTCCCCTTACCCATTCCAAACCCTCCGTCCTAAAACCAAACCCCAGGCCTCGAAAAGAACTTCAAAGGCTACTGCGCCATAACCAACCACCTCAACATGTGCGCCAATTTCCCGGACAAGTACTTCCACAAGACGTCCTCCATCTTCCAGATCGAGGGCGAGGGCGACATCGTCCAGTGCTTCTACTACGAGACCGCGAACTGCAAGGGCAAGAACGCCTTCGGCGGCGTCGACTCGACGTATTTTAGAATGCAGGCCAGGGACCTCAAGAGGTGGGACAAGAAGTTGGGGAGTGCTGGGTGCCAGAAGGATTTGGGGCCGCCGAGCCCGCTGATTGAGCAGAATTGGGATAGGGAGGCTTCGTTGAGGAGGGGGTTTTGGAGGAGGGAGGGTTAGGTGGTTGGGTGGTTTTTGTTCTTGGGTCTTCGCTGTTTCGATTCTGTTCGTTTTTCATTTTCTTTAAGTTCGTAGGCTTATCATGAGAAATTTCGAGGTTTTGGTAGAAGATGTGCTTGTTCACTCCACTCGTTCTATCCGGGCTTCAGATCCCATAGAGGCAAGAAGAGAAAAGGGGGAAATGGAACTTTCGTTTCTGTGTCATGGTCAGTGTTCATGTATTCTGCTGCTACTGCCGGGAGATTTTGGTGGAAAGATCAAAGAACAGATAAGGTGAGAAAAGAATAACGAAACCATGTAAATGAAATCAATCAGGTACCTACCTAAGCATGTCTATCAAGATGTGATTGTCCAGCCCAACAATTCTCAATTGTAATAATTGAATACATGATACTAAGAACCGCCTCTTAGTATTTTAGATGACAAAAGGGTGTCTAATAATGATACGCTTCAAGTCACTGCTGCGTTGTAGTCCGAGGAAAGGGAACGAAAACTGGTAAAGTCGCCTGCATTTTATTTTCATAGAAATTGCTAGATACGTAGACACTATAAATACGCTTACATTACTTCCTATGTGCATGTAAATGCTACTACTATTATTGTCCACCGTTCATTCGTTCATTCATTCATTATCATCGCCCGATGAGTACCCAAGTGAGGTAACCATCCAAGCGAGATCGTCATTATGTATGCTTCGTTATTATGCATTGGTCGTGATATGTGAACCAACCGAAAAAGAAAGAAAGAGGATGAAAGAAATGTCGCGTGCCATGCGTGGTGGCTTTTCGGTTCTCATGCCTTCAAGATGTCGATTTTCGGTCTGGAAAGAAGAGGTCGTTCATGTCTTCGAAAACCCGACACGTGCTCTCGTCGTCGACCGTTGAATCGTCAAAACCTATAACTCATTAACATCCACTCCATTTCAACAAGCATCACAAAACTTACCCATCACCCTCTAGTACCTAACCCTACTAACACTCCTCCTCCTACTCTCAAACTCCTCCCCCCTCCCTCCGAAGCTCCCTCTGCTATCCCTGAAATCCCTCTCCCGCACCACACTCACGCTCCGCCTGCTCGTCCTAGCCCCATCATCGTAGTACGCAATCTCCCTGGGTCGACTGCGGCTGCGGCTCCGGCGGTACTCGACGACGTGGGGGTCGTCGAGGGACGCGGAGGAGCGGCGGGTGTACTCGCGGTAGGAGGTCGTGGAGCCCCGGGGGAGGCGAACAGTGCCGGCGGGTGGGTGCGCGGAGTAGTGGGATACGTGGCGGGGGGGACTGCGGTTTATAGGGCGGACGACGTAGTCGTGGTGGTGGCGGGGAGTGGTGGTGAAGAGGCACATTGTTGTTTGTTGTAGTTGTGGTTGTGGTTGTTGGTAGAGAGGTTGAAGGTATGGATGTTTGAAGTAGAGGGATGTATTCGTAGGTACTGAGATAGGTACTGGGGTACTTGATGGGTACCTGTGGGATGACTGAGGAGGTGAATTGGAGTAGCAAGCGAGAGGAGGTCGATTGCAAGAGAAGTGGAAAACGGGGGGAATTAATTATTGAAATATAAAGATGATGAATACATAGTGATGGCCAGACGTAAGACTAGACAATTAGTTAATTGTAGCTTGTAGGCTGTAGCTACAAGTAGAATAGTGAATGGATGTTCCTATGGTTGTTGCTGCCAGGTTGGAAGAAGGAAAAAAGGTGTTTATGTTTGGTGACGTGGGCCAAGCGGCTCCATCATCGAATCCCATGCTTCACATCCCCGTTCGGATCCCCTGCCAGGGCCGCAACCATTATGTTTTAGCTCCATGATGAGGAACACGAGGATACGCAATGTAGCGAGGGAGGAAATAGAAAAAAAAAGGCGGAATAAAATAAAGTATGAGACGTTGCAGTACACAGTTAGTAGATGGACGGAACAGATTATGCGGACGGTTGTCAGGATGATTAAGGGTTTGTATTCGCCCATGTAACCCGGTTTAGGTCTAGTTGTACAAGGTAAGGTGTCGTGAATATACGATACAGTTACATGCCACTACTGTTCTGTTTCTGTCTCTGTTTTGCTCTATCCAGTGCCGTGGGATGCTGCATCTGTCCACAATGCTGGTGTCCGTTCTTTAATTCCTTCAGGTAGACTTCTCAACATCAGCCTTGGTGGCAGGCTTCACAGGTGTCGACTCCGCCGGAACTACGGGCTCCTTTGCGGCGGCAGCGACGGCTGGTGAGCTTGCTGCGATCTCTTTGAGCTCCTGCTGGATCTTCCGCGTAACCACATCCTGTACGGCACCAGGTGGGCTTGCGGCAATTTCATCCACATCTCTTAGCGTCAGAACGTCGCTGATGCGCGACGCTCGTGATTGAAGCAGCATGGTGGTGGGTCCCTCGAACCGCAGGAACAACTAAAAAAAAAAACAAGTTAGTCTTGTGGAGGGTTCTATAGCAAAGCAAAGCAAAATGCATAACGTACCCGGTCGCCCCAAATCGATCTCCGCAGCCATGTCTTGAGGGTGTGATATGCAACGCCCAGCTGTCTCCACGCAGCGGTCCCGCTTATGTCCCTGAAGAACTTCACGTTCTGCAGCAGCGAACCGAAGCCAAGATCGGGTACCTGGAATCGGAGGTTGGACGACTTGAAGCGGAAGGGGAGTGGTGGAGTGGAAGACTCCGTATAGGCCACGACGTTGCTAGGGTGGGCAACATAGCTCTCGCCCGCCTTCAATTGCACCTGGTAGATCTGACCGCTTCCTGCCAGCGCAAGAAGACCGCGTCCGGTGACATGCGTGTTGCCCCAGTTCGCCAGGCCGAGCTTAACATTGTATTGTGGTTTTAATCCGAGGGTATGACCCGTCCACGCAAGCAGTGCCTGCCGTTGCGCAATAAGCCAGTCTTCCCGGCCGTCGAGGTGGACAGTGACGATGGATGAAATCGGCGATTTGGTAGATATCAGGGCGGTGATTGGGCTTGTGGAGGAGACCTTCTGATAGAGGAACGGTATGCCGACTGGTGCTCGTCGGAAGGGTTCGAGGAACGAGAGTGTTGAGAGGGTCTACCAACTGTCAATTGGGGCTGCAAAGGCGCGATTGTCGCAGGGGAAAAGAATGAAAGTTCGTACGTTTTCGACTTTTCCACTGAGACCGACGAGCGTGCCCCGTCGGGTGTATAGGTGTTGAGATGCTGCTAGTGATACGGAAAGCAGCGAGAACGGAGAGCCTACAACTTCGAAGCGGGCATCTTTACTCGAGTCAGCACGCAGGAAAAGCAGGTCATTGGAGTTAGAATCAATTCGCATACCTGGAGAGGGATGGAGGTTCGATGTGGGGGTGATGCCGGCTTGCGATTGCGATTCGAGGGAGGGATCAGAAGAGCTTGCGGTGGCCGTGATGTTGACGCAACGCGCCTGTTGGTATCGACATGTAGCAACGCCGGGTAGAGAACGGCGTGCGAGCGTTCCCAAGGGCGAGGCGGCTGTACGAAGCATTGACTCTTGGTATGGCGACGTCTGCGCCGAGTGATTGAGGTTTTGGGGGTGGGAGGTGGAATTGTCTCAGCAGATCATGAGGTTGAGGTTGAGGTTGGAATTATTATGGGATGGAATTGGCCGCGGGCGTGCGGCTACACCACAGTACCAAGAGTAGGACAACATCTCGCATTTATTACACTTCAGAAGAGAGCAATTGACTCTTTTTTGTATAATTGCCATATAGAGCTTTCATTATTGCACTCTGTACATTATTGGAACATAATTAGAATGTACGTACTGTATGAGCCATCAAATGCCGCGAGCACGCCAACGGAGCTCGCCATCAGCTAATGGCCTCCCCTCATACATTCATTAGCTACCCCCATCCACCATCCATCCATTCATCCTCCACCCGCAACATCCTCTTCCTCTCCAACAACACCCCCAATTGATATATCGCATACGAACACTCCCTCGAAATCCACTCTCAGCTCCCCTCCGACCATGCAAAGGCCGTAGATAGCTATGCTCATCCCCCCACTAGCTCGTGCCGCATGTCGGCCGGGCCTCCGAGCTCCTCGACACTCCCCGCTATCCTCCCTCCTACCTCCATCCGCACTCCTCACACAACGAGTCTTTACCTCAGGTCCCCTGCACAGAAAAGATGTTCATGGACAGCGGCCGCCGGTTCCTGGCTCCAAGGTCGCGGTGCAAGAGACCAAGGCCGCGAAGCCTGCAAAGCCGGACCCCTTGCTCACTGAACAGTCCGTGACCAACAAGGAGCAGCGCAAGGCCGATTGGGCCATCATAAAAGAGATGGGGAAATACCTTTGGCCAAAGGATAACCTTGGAACGAGGGCGCGTGTTGGAGTCGCTGTCTCGCTGTTGATCGGTTCGAAGCTCCTGAATGTACAGATTCCATTCTACTTCAAAAGCATTGTAGACTCCATGAACATAGACTTTGTGGCTATACATGGCACTGCCTGGACTGTCGCCGGATCGATGATAGTGGCATACGGTGTCAGCAGGATCGGTGCTACCGTCATGCAAGAAATGCGAAATGCCGTCTTCGCCAGTGTAGCTCAGAATGCCATCCGCAATGTCGCGTGCAGCGTGTACAGCCATCTTCTGAAGCTGGACCTCAATTTCCACCTTTCGCGACAGACTGGTGGACTTACCCGGGCTATCGATAGGGGAACCAAAGGCATAAGCTTTCTGTTGACCTCCATGGTCTTTCATGTGTTGCCTACTGCCCTCGAAATCTCCCTCGTGTGCGGAATATTGGTGAGCATCATCCCGCGGGTGGTCGGCGCTTGGTTTGGCTAATCACTCCCGCGTAGACTTATCAATATGGCGCAAAGTTTGCCTTCATCACGGGCTCTACCATGCTGGCGTATGCTGCGTTCACCATCTTGACCACATCCTGGCGAACCAAGTTCCGACGACAGGCCAACGCTGCGGACAACAAGGCAGCCACCGTAGCGGTGGATTCCCTAATCAACTACGAAGCCGTGAAGTACTTCAACAATGAGAAGTATGAAGTCGGTCGCTACGACAAGGCTCTCCAGTCGTACGAGAAGGCTTCCATCAAGGTGGCCACGTCTTTGGCCTTTCTCAACTCGGGACAGAATATGATCTTCTCTAGTGCTCTGACCGCAATGATGTATCTTGCTGCAGATGGCGTCGCATCGGGTCAGCTCACAGTCGGTGATCTGGTCATGGTTAACCAGCTCGTCTTCCAGCTCTCAGTTCCCCTGAATTTCCTTGGTTCCGTGTACCGCGAATTGCGCCAATCCCTCCTGGACATGGAGACCCTCTTCAACTTGCAGAAGGTCAATCTGGCCGTCAAGGACAAGCCTGACGCAAAGCCACTCTTGCTCACTGCGGGTGAGATCAAGTTTGAGAACGTCACGTTCGGGTACCGTCCCGAGAGGCCGATCCTCAGGAACATATCTCTCACGATCCCCGCGGGCAAGAAGGTGGCCATCGTCGGTCCCAGCGGTTGCGGAAAGTCTACGATCCTCCGCCTACTCTTCCGGTCCTATGACGTGCAGAGCGGTCGCATCTTGGTAGATGGACAGGACATCCGCGATATCACCCAGGAGAGTCTGCGCAAGGCCATCGGTGTGGTGCCGCAGGACACTCCTCTATTCAATAACACCATCGAACACAACATTCAGTACGGAGACATCAGTGCTTCGCCGGAACGCGTTAGGGAGGCGGCGAAGCGGGCGCACATTCACGAGACGATTGAGCGGTTCCCAGACGGGTACCAGACGATGGTCGGCGAGCGGGGCATGATGATTTCTGGTAGAACTCTCCCATCAGATTGCGTTTTGACATGACATGATGTGACAGGACATGTTTGACTGACATATTTGATTACAGGCGGCGAGAAGCAACGTCTCGCGGTGTCACGTCTCATCCTCAAGGACCCACCGTTACTATTTTTCGATGAAGCTGTAAGTGGCATGGCCCCCGTTTGGAACCTCCTCATTCACCAGACCACTCACACCGATGTAGACATCCGCCCTGGACACGCACACCGAGCAGGCACTCATGTCGCACATCAATAGCATTATCAAGGAGAAGGCCCGCACATCAGTGTTCATCGCTCACCGTCTTAGGACGATATGTGATTGTGACACGATCATTGTGCTTCGAGAGGGCGAGGTGACGGAGAGTGGAACGCATGAGCAGTTGATAGACCGTGCCGGTGTCTATTCCGAACTATGGAGTGGTACGTTGCACGAGACCGTCCCATCCCATTCTACCCCATTTCAATCACGCAAAGTGGTGTAACAGTGACTGACATGATCACAGCCCAAGAAACTCTGTTTGCAGGCAACGGCGAGCCTGGCGATGAAACCAGAAAGGAAAATAGAAGTGAGAAGAGGTGAGACTGGTGAGATATGGGAGAGTGTCCATCTACCCTGGATATAAAGTTTTAAAAGCCTGTTGACGACGCAGCAGCCAGTCTATTCACTGCTGGGACCCAATCTTGATAGAAGCAAGAAAATCAATACAGAGCACTTCAAAATAGAGCCCCTTTATCACAAATTACAAGATGTAATCAGCATTCATGAAGACCGTCGTGCTCGCTTGATGAAATCGACAGCTTCGGTGAAAACCTCGATGCGCTCCTTCTCCATGACGAACTTCGGCACTGTCCAGCAATCGTTAGTCTCACGGCTTCCTCTTACTAAATGACAAAGACAACCTCTCGATAGATATACCATAGAGAGGGCAAAACAGGGCGATACTCACATTCCATGAACCCATGAAATCCCTTCTCAAAGACCATAACCCTGCACTCCTCGATCTCCCCCTCCACCCTCCGCACAAACTCCAACTGCTCCTTCGCAAGGATGTCCACCCCCGCCACTACGACCATCAACCTCGCCGGCAGGTCCTCCGCCCGCATCAACATTGGGCTCAACGCCGCGCCCTCCACCGCTCCACCCTCGCGCCTCTCGAACTCCCCGTAGGCGTCAAACAGCGGATACAAGAAGTCCAGCGGGTCCTTCGCAGGAAACCCAGGCGGTTTCTCTCGCTCGACAGTCTTGGGACGCGAATCCAGCAGCGGACACACGAGCACGCACCCCTTAATATCAATCCCCTCCTCATCATCACCGCCATCACGTAGGGAAGAGGAAGCAAGGGTAACCCTCTTCCCCAAACCCAGCGCCAGCGTCCCACCCACCGACGACCCTCCCACCGTCACAGCCCCCAAATCAACATCCCACTCCCTCGCCGCGTGGCCAAGCACCCAGCGCACCACGTCCTCGACGTCCTCGTGCGCGGCGGGGAACCGCCACCGCGGCGCCGTGCGGTACGATATCGAGACCACGATGGCGGCGGTTGCGTCCGAGAGGTGCGCGCAGAAGCGACTGTCTTGTTCTGCGATGCCGCCGATCCAGCCGCCGCCGTGGATGTTGATGTGCAGCGGCGGCTTTGGCTTCTTCGCCTTGGAGTTGTTGGTTGGGGGATGGTACACGAGGCAACGTTGGGAGGCCCCCGGGCTGCGGGTCGGTGCGTACAGGACTGAGTAGCGGTTGTTGAAGAGCCATTGCGGGGATGTGAGAAGCGCGGCGAGGAGGTTGATGGGCTGCATGAAGAGGAGCCGCCAGCGGAGGGTGAAGGGGACGGAGGAGGGCGCGAAGAGGAATGTCGTTGTTGGGGAGAAGAGGCGCGGGAGGACGGACAGTTTGGCGGAGAGGTATTGGAGGGCCATTATTGTTGGAGATGGTTGATCGTTATGTTATGTTGTAGTCCGTTGTTTGTGTTGTTGTGTCCATGTGGTGGTATATATCTCTTTCAAATATTTCCGTTATGTCCGTCGTTTTGACATCCTGTCCATGTTTGGTTGAGACTGTCTTCGTAGGTCTAGCTGATTTCGCGAAGAAGGGTCCTGCGACATGTTTTAAATGTCCTCATTGTCGTCTTGGCTGTGGCTGCATCTACCCCTGCGAATCGCGCGTGGGTAGATGAAAGCGAAATACGAGGCTCATGATTGAGGTTTCTTGGAGGTTGTTATCCGATCGGTGGTTCGGAAACGCCGCATCGCCGTTCGATAACCTCTCACGGTTATAATGATTCCTATCTACTCCGCCTCTGTTAGAATCGCTATGCACGTTCGGTGAATACAGTATCGAAGTGGTATACATTTGTACCCTTTGACGATGGTTGAGTATCAATATTCAGCCCTTCATGATGAGGATAACAACGGTTCTAGGTAATGATCACCACCGTATCTACTCCTCGAAGGATCTCCATCCCAAACCCCGATGGCTTATCCCACTACCATTCCTTCGTCTCCACCCCCGCGTTACCATTCTTCCAAAGAGGAGTAGTCCGAAGTAGTCCGTTGTAACCTAAATACACCTACAAGTACTGCCTATCTCGAAGATGATACATCTGAATACATGCACCATATCATCACAGTCAACTAGAAACAAAATAGGGAGAACACACAGATAAAAGTATTCATACGACTTCAAGTCATTGCCATTAAGATGTCCGACCCATTCGTGCGTCCATACGACCCGGCAAAGGACTTCGAAGCGTGCATCCTCATAGTACGTCTTCCCATCTCAACATCTACCAATCCCACCGCTACCCACCCAACCAGTTCAACACCACCATCGACAAAACCCTCGACTTCGAGCCCGCCCGCACCATCGGCTCCCACATCTGGTGCAGACCCTATCTGCTCCTCTCCCCGCGCTCCTGCTTCGTCCTCGACGACGGCAACGGGCTCGCAGTAGGCTACATAATCGGGACCCCGGACACCCTCGCCTTCGCCGCGAAATGGAAATCCGACTTCCTGCCCACCGTCGACGCCAACTCCTTCACGCACGATGGCCCTCCACTGACCCCAGAAAAGTCAGCCCTCGTAGATGGCTTGAAGCACTCTCTCTACGAAGCGGAATGCAGCGACATCATCGCTCGCCCCGACATCCTCGCGGGGTATCCGGCTCACCTACACATCGACATTGAGCCCGCGTTCCAGGGACGGGGGTTCGGCGCCCTCCTTGTGGCGAGGTTCCTGAAGGGCCTGAGGGAGGAGGGGGCTGCGGGTGTGCATTTGGGCATGGTGAGGTGGAATGAGGGCGCGAAGAGGTTTTACGAGAGGTTGGGGTTTGCGACGTGTAAGGAGGTGTTGGATGGGGGAGTTAGTGGGGAGACGGGGAGGAAGGGGGATGCGGTTTGTTTGGTTTTGAGGGTCTAGGGTTCGTAAGAGGGTGCTTGGTGTCTTGTTTGAGATGGGATGTATGAAGTACTTTTCGTTTGGTTGCTTTGTGGTAGTTGTCGTTGAGTTGTAATCGGAGATAGCTAACGCGAGGCCATACATGGGCTGCGTGGTCAGATAGTTGTGCTGAAGGTATGAAACGAATAACTCATCGTCCAGCATCTACTATATAGTCGGAATGAGCTTTAGGGATGCTGTAAAAGTGCTGGTCGGCACGTTGTGGAAAGCGAACGAAAGTACATCCTGTTGTAAGATGGTTGTCATGATGCCAGCGCATCCCATAGGGAATTATAACCAAGTATCAAATTCGCCTCAGGGTATTTAAGATCTCAACCTTTTCTGTCACAATACCTTGTCATAGTATTTGAAGATCCTGCATTGATAGTTCAAACAGCATGTCCTATTTCAATCCAAATTTCTGCTTTGCGAACTCGCGCACTCGGACAAATCAAGACCGGAAAGATTCTATGCCTGAACATGATCCTTCCTCGTCCAAGATTCCAGTTGATGAGGATAGTAAATGTAGATCACCGACACCAATACTGACCAGAGAAAGGACCTTGTATGCATGGGATCCATGGTCGCCAACAACTCCGCCTGACGATATAAACGTAGAATACAGCACTCCTGTTGCCGTGCAGAACTTATCTCGCAGATCACACTCTCTTCGCCAATCCTACCTCTCCCATGAACCCATCCCTGATCCCCATGCCTCGCAATATCCATATCGTAGACACAGCCTTGGAGATCTCAGAAGCCCCTCTCCCTTTGCATCACCGACCTCTTCGCCTTCCCCCAAAACTCCTGGTCTACATCGTAGCGAGGCACTCAATATCACAGACCTCCAACGGCAAGTCCGACAATTGACCGACCTACTTTTTCAAACTCTCGATGCCTTTCACTATACACTCGACAACGTCTCCGACGCACCACCCTTCCAACCCATAACTGCAGGCCGTCACCGCATCTCCAAAGCCCAGCGCCGCGACATCGACCAAGCACTCCAAGCCCAATCCAAAGCCGCAGAATCTAACACAGCAGAGAAAGGAACTGGCAAGGAGTCGGCCCATCCGATGCCCGTAGACGACTCCCCGACGCCGTTCTGCCAGTACGGCGATCCGGATCGGAGGAGGAGGCTCACGGAGCCGGATGACGACGTCGAGAATCGTGCTTGTAGGAGGCATAAGGTGGATTTTGGGGCGGAGTGCTGCGATCAGCCTGGGAATCCGTATGTGTGATGGTGACGATAGAGGATGGTGAGGGTCGCGGTTATGTGACGTTTCTTGCTTTGACTATGAAGTCCAGGTAGAATCATCAAATATTCAAACTAGAAACTTGTTCGGAGATGCTTACCAGGTCACAATAGTAAGGGGTGGGTTAAAAGTAGTGTTCGTGATCTCAACAGTGAGTCGATTCACATTAGTTTCGCGAGGGTACATTTGTAGAGTCTGAGTTATGATTCATTTATAGCTTAAAATGGCTTTACTGTTTTCTTTCGTTTTCGTGGAGTTGGTAAAGACGGAGCTTAACACCAGCACCTTCATATATAGCAAAAGTCACCACCCAGTACAACATATTTGACAGCTCAATAACATGTTCCGCCCGCTTGACTTCCGAAAGAGAAAAAGAAGAGATCATAAGAAGACATCTTACTAAAGCACATCATCATCATCATATAATGTAAGGAATGACTAGAAGCAAGACACATTCTCGTTTCCCTCGTTCCCAAGCCACAATCTCGTGTTTACACAAGGGCAGGCAGTCTGACAAACTCCCGCCTACAAGCGCGACAAGTTGGCGATCTCGCGAGGAGCATGGTAGTTCGGAACCTTCATGTCGAGGGCAGAGCCAGAGTATCCGAGGTCCTCGCCCGTCAACACGGCGCACTTCTCGCCGATGAGCAGTGCGGTGGAGTACGTGTTGCAGCCGACGTTGTCAGGGCAGATGGAGAGATCGGCAACCTTGAGGCCCTTGACGCCGTGCACGTTCAGGCGCTCGTCCAACACGCCGTGCTTGACGATGGAGTTGCCCTCGCGAGGTGCCATCGAGCACGTGCCGAGGGAGTGCCATGTGGTCTCGACGTGACCTGGAGGATTGGCGTCAGCGGAGGGTTCAAAAAAAAAGTTGCTTGTTTTGCAGAATGTAATACAAGGGGAATCAAAACTTACGCTTAACCCAGTCTTCGATGTGCTTGATGTCCTCTTTGGAATACTTCAAGTCCTCGTACACATCCTGCTTGTTGGAAGACAAGAAAGTGGGCTCGGGAGCGCGTCCCTTCTCGACGGGCGAGCTCCACGATCCGTGCTGGATACCCGCGGTGAGGTTACCGGGGAGGGCATACTATGACAACAATTAGTCCACCACACGTGTAAAATTTCAGGTTGTTGGTATAGTCTTTTATACATACCGCGTTCGTGGTGGCCAAGTCGAGATCCTTCGCCCTTGCGGGGCTGTCGAAGGCGTAGAATGGGTGCATCGACTGCACCTCACCAGCGTACGCATCCATTCGTCTGGCAGTCTCTCGAGACTTGATGTAGCCCCAGACCATGGGTGCCATGTCTCGCTTGTCGTTCATGAATCCGGCATCGAAGTCGGGTGCGTCGTACGGGTTCGGGGAGACGATGTGAGTTGAACCACGAGAGAATGGATATTCCTACAACGATCAGTACGCCTATTGTAATCAAATTGATGTGAGACTTACAAGGAAGTGGAACATGCTGAAGAACTTGCCCGGAGGAAGAAGCATATGGTCACCGAAAAATCCGGCAATGACAGCTGAGTTGAGATGTCAGTTTGGGTGGTCAAAAAGTCTTGAACGGGCTACAACTCACAGTAGTGCATGACGGGCTTGTCGGGCTTGTCCTTGAAGTAGCTGTCCCAGCCTGACCTGAATTCAGGGCATGGCCAGCTGTCCATCTCCTTCAATTCCTCTTCCGTGGGTCTGATCTTGACACCGGCCTCGATGCCATTGGTGGCAAGGGGACCCGTTCCGTTGGTGTTCCACTGCTGGAAGACCTGCTCTTGAACCTTGGGGTCGCCACGGACAAAGTCATCGAATGACTCTACGTGTGGTTTGGCGCGGTAAACGGAGAAGGTAAGGTAGTGGTCCTGGAAGTTCAAGCCGACACCTGGGAGGTCGACAAGAGGCTTGACACCCGCCCTGCGGAGCTTCTCGGGGTCACCGATACCGGATCGCTGCAGGATCAATGGAGAGCTGAGCGTGCCGCCAGAAACAATTATTTGCTTGCGGGCGCGGTATGTCTTCGAATGCAATTGGTTGGGGTGGAGTGGCTTGGTCGGGACGGTCTTAACACCGACAGCTCTTCCGCCCTCGATGATAACCTTCTCGACCTTGGTATTCACGGCCAAGTGGAGGTTCTGGTGAACAGCTCGGGTGCTGTGGACGTATCCATGGGCAGAGTCACTGCGCCTGCCAGTGTCGCGGTTGATCCACTTCAGCCAGTGCTCGGCGCCGTGGCCAGTCACGAGATCCTGGAGATCGTCTGTGGTCGGGATACCTTGCGATTCAGAGGCGCGGAGGAAATCTTCCTTGATGGGATAGGTGTAGTTTCCGAAAGATACCTTGATGGGGCCCTCAAATCCGTGGATGTCGCGGTTATTGCAGGATCGCTGGTAGGTCTCGTGTTTCTTCATGAGGGGAATGAGTCTGCTCGGCGTGAGTCTCCAGAACTTTAGCTTCAAATTCAAGATACACTTACTCCTTTGTGGTCCAGCCCTTGGCTTGGAAATCATCGTAGTCCGATGCTGAAGCACGCGTGTACATCTGCCCTTGTTAGCCACCACAACAAAGCTCCAATTATACCGTGCTTACCATGAAATTGATGGAAGATCCTCCTCCCAAGATGTGGGCACAAGGCACAACAGCCCTTCGTCCATCGAGCCATTCCGAAGGCCTAGAGTAGTAGAAGGACGCAGTCTTGCTGTCCAATTTCATGTTTCGGGGATAAATCCCCGGTCGGAACACCCTGTAGAACAAAAGGTAAGCAAGAGAGATATGGAGCTATACATAGTACAAGCTCACCATGGGTTATTCAGGTTGTTCTCTCCACCTTCGATCAAGAGGACCTGAAGGTTATGATCGAGGTTGGCAAGTCGACCGGCGACCACGCATCTGGACGAGCTTTAGTCGGATTCTCTCATGTGCATCATGTCTTTCTCTTACCCACAGGAGCCTCCACCACAGACGATGATGTCGACCTGTATCGCGTCAGTCAAATGAAAAGTAGATGCACGTCGCTCAATCAAGAGCTGTTTACCTCGTCCGGAATCGTCATGATGGGTACACAAGTATCTGAAGTATATTTCTGTATTGAAGCAGAGCAATTGTAACCACAGTAAGAAGTAATTGAACTGGGCCTGAAGGTCAATTCACAGCGACCATGGGTTCTTTAAACCGCTGAACCCCGCACGCTTTGATATGATCGGTGGGAGGGATATCCGTCACCTGAGGCGACGTCTACTTGGGCCTCTCCATCAATCTCGGCCGCACATCCTGCCCTCTGCATGCGATGCTGAGGGGATCTGTACGCGTTATTTCCCAAAGAGTGAGCGCGATTGCTCTCGAACAAGCCTAGCGGGCGTAAATGACCCTGAAAGCCCTATGTTTCTAGAGAGCAATTGGAGCTCCCTCCGGCAACACTCATTGCCTGGTTGCGGATCCGCAACGAAGCTTTGCTCTCAGATGTTGGACATGAGGCAGTGTCCTACATCTGATTGGCATGGTGGATCCGCAGAGGGTGGATGGCATCCAGAGCGCCGGGCTTGGATAAAGGGTGCAGCTGGGATTGGCGCTGCAGAGGCCGCATGAAGAAAGCGGAGAAGAGCTACAGAAGTCTGCATGGATTGCTCAAAAGGATCGCAGGTTTGCGGAACCGAAAATCTAGTCCCTCTCAGGGGCTCTTGGGGCAGACGTCAGAGGTGCAAGTACACCGATGTACAAGCTTCTTATTCCCAGGGATGCTCGTCTAGTTGTTTGAGACTCGGCCCAGTTCCATCCGGATCAGAGCGGCTGGATGGGATTGTGATCGTGGCCATGAGTTGAGCAAAGTAGATGGGACTGTTTCTCTGATCGACTTCAATGACATTGTGAGGTGCATATTCTTCGATATAACCGCTGTTGTGCTACAGTCGACCTAACTCCTGGGTATTGAAGGTATCAATCATCTCCCAAACACTGTGCTGTCAGTGCGGATGCTATCCGCATTAGCTTACATCCAGGGTGGGGGGCGAGGGAGGGGAAATGGGGCGAAGTATATGCAGACGCGTTCATTTAGAGAAAGTCTCGTACAAAGTGTTTGTACGGTCTACATGATCGCGGTGGACTCGGCATGTCTCCAGTATGTGGAGTGTGGATGAATGAATGGGCGGTACACACGGATGTGGGGTGCAGTAGCCTGAGGGGAAACGCGTGGGCAAGCCGGACGTCCGTCTTACTTTGGTCGCTTTGAATCTTGGCCGTGATTTGACAATCCCTTGATGGAGGACGTTTTTGTAGATTCATGTACTGTATCACATACTTGCAGCATTTGCTAGACGTATGTAGTCGTAGTGGTGAATTGACTAGACTACTAGTGCTGATGCTACCAATAGTCAACGGGGACAGGCGAAAGTGGGGCTGGCCAAGTTTGCGGGGGAATCGAATCTTTGCCCTCCGGCCGAACATCTCGACGTCCATCCGCAGGATCATTCAGAGTTGCATACGAAAACTCAGGATCTTTCTGATCGTCGTGCAGTTGCGGCTCTCTTAGTTTTGCACGGAAAAACTTCATCTGGTCGATCTTTATCTGCTTAAACTCATCTTTATCGCACTTCTCGATCTTGTCAATGCGGGTGAGGACTTGCCATGTCGGATACTTACTCCAATGCCTAGAAATAGGCCCTGTCCTTGTCATCCTACGTACATCGTACGATGTACAGAACTGCGCTAGCCGGCAATAAAAAGGTACTTGGGAGTGACTCGCAATGCAATGTCAAAGAAGCTGCTTTCCATTAGAGGACCGTCATTATTGGCCAAATAGCTCGAGTGCAGACGCGAAGGAACCTGCTGAATGGCTGGACTTGGGACTTGTTGTTTCTCCGGATGTATACTTTGTACACTCCAGGTCTCGCTCTTGCGGATCGAGTATCTTACCATTTTGTTATGTTCTTGGAAATTCCCTCAGTAGGTTGCAACGTCAAGCTGCATATGATTCACACAATGGCTGGCTGTCTCTGTGCTATAACATACTCGGTGCCATGTAGACGGCCGCACATCTACCTTTGAAACGCTTTAGGTTCTTTTACTTGGTGTTTCAATGCTTCTTCTGCACGAGGCCGTCCGTATCAACAACCTTGAGGTCCTTCTTAATCCTTCTTCAATCTAACACGACCCCGTCTCTCAACCACGAGCTGTTCTTCTGCCTTCAGACTAATGAACGCGGTACGCGTCGGAAGCGTGCATTCATCGTTCATGGTATCAACGGGGAATTTGCCTACAAGACGCCAAAGAATGAATTATTGACCAAGTGACCAAATCAACACTAAGATCGGCAATGGCTGAATAGTGCCACGTGGAAAGGCAGCCCGTTGTAGAGCCGGTGCATCATCCAGCCACCATTCGGTCCGTCTTTTGTCTTCGAAATCATCGAGCTTAATTAGTCTGAAGTAACAGTTACAACGGATCGTAACCCATCGGCGGAATTAGTACTGCGCTGTTACATAAAGAAACAACCCGTGGAGAGCTCCAATCTTTCCTCGAGAGCAATAGCTGTGACATGGAAGACGCTTGACGAAAAGTATGGTCATTTTGGAGTTTTGACTGCTAAAGCCGTCGCATTGGTCCACGAGAAAGGGTCGATGGAACTTATAAACATAAGTAATAAGCTTGTGCATAAAGTCGGCAACATTTGCTGATTCTCGCGGCGCTATATGTTTCGACTTCAGTTTGGATAGAAAACTCATACCGATGAATCTTTTAGCAACGATCCCTCACCGCCAGATGTTGACAACCTCCAACTAGTCACCAGGGCTAGCCGCTACACTTTCTATATTGGCCTGGCCTTACAGAATGGGAAAACATTTGTGTTTATGAGGAGAGATAGCGAATTGGTTCCAGCCAAGGCCAATTTCCGGACCGATCCGACCTGTTGCACGAGTTACAACGAGAGATTACTGTGAGCGTCGATACAAGACTGACCAAGAGGTCGCTGCAATAAAAGACAAGATGGAGGATCTATATTTGATGGATCACGAGTAATATATGGAACCAAAGCAGTAGGAGCCCGCAATCAGCTGGCAGAATGTTGGCTCTGATGCTGTCGACTTCATGCGATCGTGACGACAATTTGTGACGACAAATATGTCTATGAATTGGCGCATAACCTGATCAAACAAAAAAACAATCGGAGTCACCACAACCAAAATTTATGTCTATTACAATGCTTCCGCCATTACAAGCGATATATCCCCATATGTATGTGTTGTGTTGCTTCTGTTATACCAAAGTCTAAGTTGCGAAAATAACCAACGATTGTGTTAGTATTTCTGGGGTACTTCAGGTACTCCCTAGGTAGTCACCTAGAGCCTAACAATAGAAGTACTTGTTATTCCAACATCAATGTACTTCGCTCTGCTTGGCTGACTTTCCAGCTAGTCCTCGAACATTGACATTCAGAAGGATAGATTATGGCTACTACAGCTCATGATCTTGAAATGGACCTCTTCAATACTGCCAGAGTTTGCAAATATCGCGATGCGCCAAGGGCACTATCCATCTTTTCGCATCTATATCCGAGTCATTATTACCTGTTCAATCGGCCTCTACTTTGGTTGAAGTCTGTTCAATCAGTCACTAGGAAGAATTTCTCGATAGTGTCAAAATCTGCGGCATGGGTCCACAGTATGCCCACGTCCAGGTGAAAACGAAAAAAGTCGCTAAGTACCGTGAATCACCTACACCTAAATCGCGTTCTCAAAACCTTTCTATCCGCAGGATAAACAGCAAAGCCATCCCAATCCCACCGGTCTCATATAAAGCACAGACTTGCTCATCCCACTCGCCTTTCCAGAAAGGAGAGCACGTGGAGAATCGGCTTCATCGGCATCCAGAGACCTCCGACTGATGCCGTGAAGAAATCAAGGTTAGAGGTGGTGCCCGGCGAGGAATTATGGAGCATTGGATACGAGACCGTGGCCCACAATTTCGAAGAATTGAGGCTCCGGGCCATTGCTTGCGTCTGAAACGTCCTCTATGCTTCGTATTCACCTGGGTGAAAACGCATTCTATTAAGCATGTAATCAACACATATCGTTTGATGCAACTGCAAGGACGGGAACTAATGGGTAGCTAGGGGAAACTTTGTGCAATGCGCGAAGGGATATATGGAGATCTAGGAATTTCCTGAATAGGCTTATTACGGGAGAAATGCAGCACAGCAAAGATCCATGCGCGACATCTAATTTGTTCTTTTTTTTTAATTTTAGCAAGTATTTACGTCACACAGGAAATAGAAATCGAAGCATTCACCACCAAATACGTTTGTGGTTGTTGTTGAGGATTTTGAGTATATATTTGAGTTGATGTATAAGCTACACGTAAAAGAATAGCGAGCGATGTAACAAAACCACCCGACAGTTAACTTCTTCTCCCACGGAGTTCAATTGTTTGAACAATGTTTCAATATCAATAAGAAATTAAGCTTTTCCGAATATCCTAACTATGGAACAAAAGTGTCGTAATCAAAGATTCGAAATGCTCAGGTGCCACGCAGGGAATTCACATCGAAGAACAGGAGTCGGCGTTGACCGAGATGCCGACGAGGAAAAGTCGGAGGCGAGTGGGAGAGAATCCTTTTTTTTGGTGGATGACTCGGACCTCACAACCCGAACAATTCTCGTACTGCGAGCCGCTCCTATTGGACAATGGCAACGTCAGCCTCAGCCCTATGCTTTTCTTCGCTATTGAGTGGATTGCCGCTTGGTTGCCGTCTGCCGCCCAACGGCTTCTCGTCGTATCGCGTAAGATTGATTTGTCGATTATTCTTGGATTTCCCTACGCCAATGGGTTAAGGCCTTCAGCCCTAGGGATCCAATGCCATTACATAGCCTACGGTGGTGACTACGACGGATTCCGAATTGGGTATTGTCGGGTGGGTGAGGAGTCTTGAGGGACCTTTGTTCGTCACAGGCACGACTCAGCTCGGACTAACCCGAGTACCCAGAATATGTCTATGACTCTGCTTGTGTAATTCGTTTTGTTGTATTATGTATTCCGTAGTGTATACATATAAAGCCCCGACGCTGACTGTCGCCGTTCTTGCCTCAGTCCCAGTACGCCTTGTGCGACTTACCATCTACCATCTACTATCGATTCAGCTCTACTACTCTGTCGACCATTCACCCTAACACCCCCCCTCTATCCATTACCCTACCAACCTCCAACCCTTTCCACTCAACAACAATAAACCAAAATTCATGATCTCAACAGCTGCTGCCACGAGGGGATCAATTGCTTCCAAGCAGGGTCCAACCCTCCTACTCAAATCTATCAATGGCTTGACCGCATCATCAAGGGGCCTCCGCCCTTGCTTCGTCCTCGTCCAGCACACGCAACTCACACCCACGAGCCGGCGAAACTTCACCTCCTCTCCTTCCCACCCCAAGATCACTGAATACTTCCCGCAAAAAGAGACCGAAAAGGTCAGGAAGACGGAAGCAGCATGGCCTCACCCAGGTAAGCTTACCGCCCGGATGTCCACATGCATACAGGCGCTGACCCTCGTCAACTACAGTCTATACCCCCGAACAAATGTTGGCTGTGACGGTGGCGCACCGCGAAGCGAAGACGCTTTCCGACAAGGCCGCTCTCGTCGCCGTTAAGGTCCTCCGATGGGGTCTCGACTTCGCTACTGGCTACAGGCACGGCAAGGCGACCAAATTGGGACAGAAGGACCCCAAGGCCGCGTTGGAAAAGTACGGGATGAACGAGGAGAAGTACATGATGCGGAATGTGTTCCTGGAGAGCGTGGCCGGCGTGCCGGGAATGGTGGCGGGCATGTTGCGACATCTGCATTCAATGAGACGGATGAAGAGAGATAACGGATGGTGAGTGACTTCGTTCTAGGCCGGACCAAATGATGTAGCAGAGAGACTAACGAAGATGCCATGTGCAGGATCGAAACACTGCTCGAAGAGAGCTACAACGAGCGCATGCACCTCCTGACCTTCCTCCAAATGTCGAAGCCAGGAATCTTCATGCGCCTGTTCGTCCTCGGCGCCCAGGGCGTCTGGTTCAACGCACTATTCCTCGCCTACCTGATCTCGCCACGGACGGTGCACCGATTCGTCGGGTACCTGGAGGAGGAGGCAGTCGTGACCTACACCCGACAGATCAAGGACATCGACGCGGGCCGCCTGCCCAAGTGGGAGAAGCTCGAGGCCCCGGAGATCGCGGTAGACTACTGGAAGATGCCCGAGGGCCACCGCACGATGAGGGATCTGTTGCTGTACATCCGCGCCGACGAGAGCAAGCACCGAGAGGTCAACCACACGCTGGGCAACTTGAACCAGACCGAGGACCCGAATCCCTACGTCAGCCAGTACAAGGACGCCGGGAAGCCGCATCCGAGCAAAGGATTGGAACACCCGAAGCCGCTGGGTTGGGAGAGGACCGACATCATCTAATTTTCGGACGGAGAGAGAGAAGTTCTTTTATTCACTTTTCACTGACATGGTTATGAGGCATTATTGGCGTTACTTGATATCCTCCACTCATAGACGGACAGTTCACTTGAGAGACAGACGAACAAAAGCGTATTTGGGCCTGGCGTTTCCATAGCGAGTCATTAATCCCGGAGAGGGTCATCGATCGCTATTCGATACGACAAAGACCCCTCTAGTTCTTCTCCTAATTCAATTCGATTCGGTTCGATTCAACTCGATTCGAATCGAGTAAACATTTCATATTTGAAATTTCCGTTTTCGTGTGACTGACATCTCTTTCCTTTGTCAAACTGGTTGCGCAGTGAAGATACAGACGCGAGCTGACGTCCAATGCTCTGCTCGACATCACCGAGCACCGAGTCATCTCACTCCGACATCTGAGGACATAGCCACGCATGCAACCAAACACACACCCACCCACTCCTCTTAATCCAGTCACTCCACCCTTCCCGAACCACAAAACTTTCGTCTGATCCATTCACTTAACCACAAACCCCTCCTCCCCACCTTTCGAATCAATATCATCCGTATTCACCGACTTCACGCTCGCCGCCTCGGGTCCCTTGTACAGATGCGGCACGAAGTCTTGGATCTGTCTCTCGCTGCCCTGGGCCTCGCCCCGCACGCTGCCGTCCGAGTGGTTCGACACCCAGCCCGTCAGGCCGATGCTTCGTGCTTGCCGGCTTACGAAACGGCTATATGCGTGTGTCGGTTAGTTGGATGGGTGAGAAGAGGGTGAAGGGAGGGAATGTACCGGAAGTTTACGCCTTGGACTTCACCGACGACGTGGAATTTTATCTGCGGGATGTGAGGGCCAGTATGAGTGGGGATTTCTTGCATGTTTGAGGATCAATGGATGGATGGGGGAGTGGTGACTAACTCGTTGATTGGACATGTTGTATAATTTGTACACAGGTAGCTGAGATTGATATTTATATAATGTGTTGTGTTTCCAATTCGGTCTTGATGAAATGAGGTTCGTTGTTTGGTGGCTGCGAGCGAAGTATCTGGATTCTGGAGTCGGTGGTATTGAATGGAATTGGTACTTGTGATTTTGTCCACCTGAGCAAATTGTACAGATCACGTATGGGTCAAGTGCTGGTGTTCGTATTGATTTTGTGAAGGTTGTTAGGATTTAATAGTCATTATGGTCGTTAACTAATATTTGAGGTTGATATTAGGCGCGGGGACGAGGGACGAGGGACGAGACGCGTGATGTCATTGTGATCCATCCCTGTCCGTCGAGCACCTCCTGTCACCCATCACATGTAACTATAATGGAAGACAAAGAGAAGCAAGTTCTACGAATAGATTCTTCACTATCCAACCCGAATGCGTGTATATTTCCTTGGAGGCTTTTCATAAATTAGAACGTACAGTGTCACGAGTGTGTCGTAGCTAAGCCTAATTGACCAAGTCGTGGGAGCACCTCATCTGTAATGATAACTCGTACTTGGCACTGAGCGGAATTAGCCCCAGGATTACCCCTTTACCCTTTGCCACTATTGCAGTACTGGCAGAATTCTCTACGAGACTACGAGACGGGTCTGAGACAAAAGAGGGAAGCTTTGCATGCATGCACGCATACATGCAGAGACAAGTTCGAATGTCGTGCAGAACGCAGCCCTAGAGGGAGGGACGATGTTTTTACGTGCAGACGGCGGGAGACTAAAATAGCTTCGTATGGGGTAAGAAATAGAATCGGAATCGAATGCTACGAGTAATGAATTAATTAAAGTGAAGCTTAAGGGGATTTGCTGTTGGGTTACTGTGTCCTGTACTCGAAGTTAAATGAGGTCGAGATGGATTGGATGGATTGGATGGGATGGATACGGAGCGGCAGGCGGAGGTGCCCGATCCGATCCGACAGCTTCCATCCATGCTTCCATCCTTCCATACCCCCTTGATCATGATCGTGATGAGAATGAGATTGATTATGATAATAAAGCCCAGCCCTCATCATCGCAATCGCAATGCAATACCTTGATAGTGACATATTCGGGGTTATGGCATATTGCCGTATAATCGAATCAAGATGCTGGGGTATGACCTGTATGGAGAATGACCAGTCATGTACGGAGTACATCGGAAGTCTTTCCCGATGTCTCGGGCTCCTTCTGGACGTACCAGTACAAACAGGTACATGATAGATACACATATATTGTCGATCAGTCTCATATGTAAAACCCGTCACGAGGACACCATTGAATGGGAGTCGTCGTGATGATTTGTTTGTTTGTTTGTTTTTATCATTAGTTCCGTAGGTGCCTAGGCCGGAGGTTCGAGAATGAAGTTATTGGGACGCTAGTTTTTAATGGCGGGAGAGG